CCACAAAACCAATCTTCTCTGGCCCACGCTCCTTATCACACACTCTCTCTCACTCACAAGAGCGAGACTGCTTACAGGACCACCCCAGGACCCATAGCCCGTCAACAGTCCACTCAGGTAACGCGGGCTGCTAGTGCCGAGGGGGGCTCTCGCGAATTGCGTCTGTCCAACCCCAACTTCTTGCGCATCAACGTTGAGGGCTCGTCATGTGCCAGAGAGCAACGTCCAATGGGCCGAACGAGCGAGCAAGCATATCGTCGCTCGCAAATCCCCCATTGCTGCTGCGGCGGTTCCGTATCCTCTTCCCTCCCTCCTCTCCCGCGTCCGCCCGCTCGTCCGCCCGAGAAAAGCCGCCAGACAAGGCAGGCAGACGGGCAGACGGGCCTTGGCAGCGCAGCGTCGCGGGGCGAGGAGGGGTAAAGACGGACGGACATCAACGTCGATAGCAACACCACGAGAAAAAGGAACAAAGTCAGATAATAAGCCAAACCTGTGACCTGACGCGCATGCGAGGCCAGAGCGATAGCCCCATTGCGTGCGTCTCGCCCCAAGCCTCATCCCCGGAGAGCCCAGGAGTCGGGATCATGGATCAACAACAGATCGGACCTCACATCGTCTGTGCAGAACCATATCCATTTCCAGACGAGGACGAGAGTGTGTGGGCGACTGCGAGCATCAGCAAGAGTAGCGTGTGTGCGACACAGGACAAAGCCAACGTTTTCCAGCCGGGCCAATCCAGCTTTTGCCCACCCCGTGGCTGGCCCAGGACATGGCCATCTGAGCCTTACCTAGCCCGCTGAGGAGATAAAAAGCCTGGGGTGGCGGTGATTGTTTGGGCTCCTCCCAGCGCGATCCCAATCCCACCCTCCTCTCCGATCTAGACGGGGATGTCATCTCTTGTCTGTCTGTCCGTGCAATGTCCGGCCATCCCTCTCTCCCTGGCCCCGTGGGTCTGGTCGCTCGTACTCTTGTCATCATGGCATCACCGCCAGAGAGAACGTTAAGCTTCTTCGACCTGCTCTGCCTCTCCTTGTGTGCTGTTTCAAGACTGCCCGTTGGAGTAACCCGGGGGAGAGGGGGCGCCGCACAGCGTGGGCGAGACCGCGAATGGATTGATGGGATCATGGGCGCAAGGTGTGAAAGGCACACAGGAATTGTGATAGGGCCTGTCTACCTTTCCTCTACCCCTCCCAAGCCGTTCCAATACGGCGGTCCTACATTGTCCCACAGATGAACAAGATGCGTCCCACATGACAGGTTCCATGCTCGGCCAGTCGGTTGCAGCAGCAGCCAGCATTTCGGGGATGATAAAATACCACCGCTTACAGGCACAGGGCCCGAGGCTGTGACCTGCCCACTTTGGCCCGGGCGCACGAAGAAGGGAGAGGACCGCCCGGCCCTTGCAGCCAGCCAAGGAAAACGGTTATCATGGTGCCCTTTGTCTTTCTCTCTTTTTAATTATTTATCTTTTCCCCCCTCCCCCCTTTTCTTGCACCCATCGGCCATGTAACCTGGCGAACACAGTCTGGCTCCGGTTTCCGTCCTACTGTTACTTGGTCACAGTCACTAGAATCGCCCGATCGAAGGGGCAATCTGCCTACCTAAGGTTAAGTATCTATGGCGTACCCGTGCGGGCGGGTGGGCAGGCAGGCAGCTACCTACTCCCTCCTAGTTGCCTCTCGATCAACGGCCCGGCCGTCGATTCATCCAATCACTCGGCTGGCTAGCCAGCCAGACCTCGTGGCCCTTCCAGGGGAGCGGAGACGAGAGGAGAAAAAGAATCGAGAGAAGCAAAAAAGCAGTCCATCGCACAGACAGACGGCCGGGCCGCCCTCTTCCTGCCACACCGCCTCTACGGGACGTCTGAGATTGGAGAGATTAGATTGAAACACCAGGACCGTGATGGAAAGCGTAAGTAACCACGGAACCAGTGAGGGGGCAAAAGCAAGCAGTTCGTCTGGTTCTTCAATAGGGGTCTCCGCTGGAGCCGCGCACACAAGGAGGAGAATGAAAGACGAGGTTCACGAAACAAACGGTCGTGCATCCCCGCGAATCAGATGCGGTCTCATCGTATGTGCCTACCCGGAAGCCGTGTCGCCAGGTACCTAGGTACCAACAGGGGCTTCGGTCCGCCTTCCAACCCCGGGTAAGGCAGACAGTCAGGCTTTTGGAGTGAAGACACTCGCACGCGCGGCAATGCACCACCGTTGTTTCTTTTTACGCCCCCAAATCTATTCGACAGGGCAAGGCACTGACAGCGCCGTTGTCAGTGGAATGGGTTCCGGGGTGGGGGAGAGAACCGCATGCATAACAAACTCAACCGCCACCATCCCTCGATATCACTGGACGTCCCTCAGCATCACCTATCTATTGTCTGCCTGACCGCCGGCGTCAAAGGTCTTTGCTCACACACCTACACAATATCAATCTTGTGCAAGGGGCGAACCGGCCCCAGAGTAACCCACCCATCAGCCAACCAGCCAACCAGTCCATAACCTCGACCAAAGAATCACCCCCTCGGCATTTTCCGGGCGGCATACGTCCACGGGAATCGAGAAGGGGGAGGGGTGAGGGCGGTTAGTTTCTCATGCGGTGCGAGCCTCTCACAGAAACTCTTGAAAGTCTCCGCACCCGAGAGGATCCTCGCGACTCTTGCTGCGCGCCCTCCCGCCCCCCGCCCTCCCCGTCTTCCTGTGAAGGGTCTTGTGTGTTGTGGTACTCACACAGCGCGGTGCGGACCGGTCGGGTGAGGGGCGGTCCTCTATTTGGTCCCTGGAGAGAGGACTGGTCGGCCTTTCGATGGTGTGAGGCGCGGCGGTGTGGTCTGGTGTTGTGTTGTGTTGTGTTGTATATGCGTCGATGGCCTGGGCGGTTGGGCCAGACCGGTTTTCTTCCGGATTTATCATCTATCTGAAGGGGGAACCACACCACTCCTCCCCTATACCCCGGTCTCTTCGCATGAGTTCCCGAAGCGGTTGTCTGTCAAGGGCTTTCCATTGTGGGCGGCGCAGTGGGTGCGTCCATCTACTTCCCGTGGAGCACGGCAGACATGTCCACTGCATCGATCATCACGCAGAAGGACAGGGCCGTCCTGCCCGCGATGGAACATACTTTTTAGCCCCCGCCGGAGTGATCTCGCCGGTCCTTTCTAGGGGACGTGAGTCTTAGACGTTTCATGGAAGGGATTTGTGTCCAAGTGGCTTGCAGGTCCGGCTTGCAAATGAGAAGGGAGGGGGGTGTTGGTGAAGTCGTTACTTTTGGGCGAGCAGTCATCGCCCATCTATGTTCGTGACACCGCTGTCCGGGGACATGTGAAGGCACAAGTTTCTCGGGGATGTGTCACAGCATCAACGATCTCTGATCCGTCTCTGACCGGGGTGGTGGTTTATCATTCATGGGTATCTCCTCCGCGCTTGCTTTCCATTCCCTATCATACGTAATTCTCGTCATTTTCTTCGCTACTCTTCTTCATTCAACCATTGGTTGGTACCCAACGCCTACCGCACCATCCAGCATGTTTTTTTTCCCTCGAGACTGTGCCTCAAGCGAGACGTGAGTCCTACATCATGCTCCGATACTGCTGAGTCGAATGCAGCACGACGTCCACGTCAGCTCTGTCCGCAGCCCTCCAGCACGGGGGAGGCGAGCAGAGGTCGTATATCAGTCAAGCATCATCCGGGGGCAACAGATCGAGTGATCTGCTATGCGACTAGCAAGTATGGCTACTGCGTCTTCGCTCCTCAACAGGAGAAAAGCGGTACGAGACTATATAGTAGCGATATCTATGAGAGAGGGGCCTCTATGACTACATATTAAGCCTGATGCTTTCTTATCGAGGGCAAGGACAAGGACAGAGGAGGAAGATACCATCGTTGGGGCAAGATCTCAGGCTGTCATGCCGCCTCCGACCACATGACTTACATCTCTGTCTTGCAGAGAAGTTGAGTGGGCATGTTCTCTGCACGTGTTCTAGCTGAGGAACGAGCCCCTTAGGGACGCAAGTTTGGCGTGATACCCGGGAGAGAGATGAAAGCTAATAGGGTGTTATTCACGGTTGACGGCCCATGGCCAAAGATGCAGCGGCTCTTCTGATTTGCTTTCCTTTCTTTTTCCCTTGCTTGCTTCTTGAGCGGAGACAGGAAGTATTGGCTGGTTCTGGTGATAGATTGGACGATCAGATCTATTGAAAAAGTCGTTGTCCCTCCCCCATGACCGCAGATATATCGGTTGTGACTAGGACATACACAAGCCGCATCAGGACGAGCTTCCTCCATGGGCTGCTTACGGAATGCGTTGAGAATGCAGCAGGTGGGCAGCAGGCATGGAGAGGGCTCGGTCTCCGTGTCTCGTCCACCTCGAGATTTCCAGTATGGTGTCCCCTTCTTAACTTAGTACTCCTGGCCATGGCGCTGTCTGTTCAATCCGCTCCCTCCCTAGGCACCATTGACGGTGAGAAGGGCCACGTGAACTCAGGTCGCTGGCACCGCAACTCGCTCGGCAAGCCCTGCGCAGTTTGTGGTCCTCTGGCTCTCTCACGCAGCTTGGTATCGGCCCCTTTTAATCCACTTTTTTTTCGTTTGACATTGTTTCTTCTCAGGTCCCGGAGGGCTAAGGCAGTGTGGTTATGATAGAGATTGAAGATTGGTATTGAGGTATTCTATATATGTATATCGTGAGTACCCGAGGGGGATTTCCGACCTGCCCTTGTGGACCTTTCACTCCCATGCCGGTCACTCAGAACCACCCATCTAACCATTCATGCTCGGCTTTATGCTTTGGGGGGGAGTTGGGAGGGTAACAACAAGCCTTGCATCAAGAACCCATCCAGAACCACTGCAAGCGCGCCCAAACACCGTCCCTGGTAATGATCCATTACGAGAACAGCAGACGGCTCTTGCCGTGTGTGTATGCATACGTAAACAGCATCGAATATAAAGAGCCCTTTGCATATCCTCCTTCCGCTGTGACTGAATAACATGAGTCCAATTCTGTCTAGAGGCCTACCCAAAGACCTTCAGGAACCCCCAGATGCCAAGCCCGCTCAGGACGGGGATGGTCAAGTTGTCATCCCACCCGAACACATCGACGACCTCACTGGCCGCAGCGGCGAAGCCCGACCAGAGGCTCATCAGCCCCAGGGCCACGCCGCCAGACACGGTGACCTCGCCGCCCAAGCCGACAGCATCCACAACGGCACGCGGCAGGCCCAGCGTGCCCTTGAACATGAAGCCCTCGTCGCCGGGCATGGGCCCGATGGTGGGAGCGAGCCAGCCCCAGAACCCCCACGCGGTGACAACACCGACAAGGAACGCGGCGGCGGAGCCGGCGAGAGACTTGCCACGGCGGATGCGCGGGGTGTAGCGGCCGTAGAGGCGGCCGAAGGTGCTGGCGGCGGTGTCGCACCAGCTGAGCAGCAGGACGGCCATGACGCCGACGTCCTTGGGGAGGCCGCCGAGGGCGAGCAGGGCGCCCAGGAGGTAGAAGACGACGCCGTTCCAGCCGGCGACCTCGCTCTCGCGCATGAAGGCGCCGAGGACGCGCGTGTAGAGGCGGTTGAAGGCCGGGCTGGCGTGGCGGACGTAGTCAGCCGTCGCGATGGGCGCCAGTAGGCCCGCGAGCCAGGGCGTCACGGACGTCGTCTGCGTGCCCGACGCGTACAGCCACAGCACCAGGAAGCCGATGGACAGGTGCAGCAGCTTGCGCGGCACCTCGTGCTTGTGCACAAAGGTCCGCCAGTGCCGGTGGATGGGGATCAGGCCCAGCGGGCTCGGGCTGCGGCTGAAGTCGCGCCAGCTCCAGCCGGGCGTCTGGGCGGAGCTGGGGGACAGGTGGCCGTTGGCATCGTGCTCACCGGCCTTGCCGTTGGCAGCGCCATTTGGCAGGGCCTCAGGCTTGGTTGTTGTTGAGGGCTTTTCCGTATTGATGGCCGTGAGGCCGTTCACCTTGGCCGTGCCCAAGGGACTCCTGCTCCTCGTGCGTGCCCTTCGCAGGCCGTCCCGTGTGTCCTCGTCCGGGTTCTCCTCCTGTACAGGCTGCGGCGTGGCGAGCCTCCGTCTCCTTGCAGCGGATCTGGTTGTGGGGCCGAAGTAGGCATCTTGTGAGGATTCGCGGTCGGAGGGCGTGGGGCTCGGGGAGATGACGCGCGGAGTGGCCGGGATGACGGGCTTCGTGCGGAAGGACATGATGTCGGAGGGAAAGGGGGGTAGGGCGGGGAGGGCGACGGTGCCGGAGAAGAGAGGCCGGAAGATGTGCAGGCGGTCGAAGGGCCAGAACAAAGGAAAGAGAGGAGAGCCGGGGTGGGAGCGTCGGCGTCGTCTGGGCTCGCGAGCGGCGGCGTCGGAAGCTGCGGTGTGGTGCTGGCGGTGGAGCAGGGCCGCTACACCTTGCATAGGATCCAGGGTGAGATGATTGTTTTATGCGGCTGAGCGTCGTGACTCGGCCGCATGTTTGCTGAGCAGAGCAAAGGGGGGCGGAGGAGAGGTGGGCTCCTGATATAGAAGAGCCAACGGGCAAGTAAAAAATTAAAATGTAGTAAGCAGGCGGTTGTGCCGGGAGGCGGCCTCGAACGAGGGCCCGATGTGTCGTGTGTGCGGGCGTGCGTTTGCGTGCTGGTCAGAAAATCCAGTCCACAAAAATACTGGAGTCGACAGGCCCAGGTAGTCTGGGACTGGCAGAGCGGATAGTCCACAACAAACTAGGTAGCGAGGGGGAGAAGGACCGACGCCGAGGTGACCTGAAGTCGGCCCACGATCAGGAATTGGGAAACGGAGATGGGAGACAATGACGCTCCGTTCCGTCCGTCTCTGCTCTCTGCTCTCTGCTCTCTGCCTTGGCCTGTGCGCGACCACTACGCAAAAAACAGGGTACTGCCGAACCCAGACAGCGAGATTGGACGAATTACAGGCATGTGACGGACCACTGCTTCTTTCAACCACCACCACACTGCTTCTTCGCCTTTGCATCTTCCATGTCAATATCGACTCCATCTAATAGAGTTGGTAAATCAGTCGGTAAAAGTGGTCTGTCTGGTGTCCTGTCACTTTGCTCCTCGAGTTACAACGTGCCCTATCCCTGGGTGGCGGTCAGTTGTGGTCTGCCCTGCTCGCGGGTGGATCTTGCCCGCCGTGTCACCAAGCACATATGTTTGATATCTATTTTTGTCTATGCAAAACTCGCTCAGTATGATTACATATGTGCTGTGTATAGGTTAGCTTTCGATGAAACGAATCGTCTGTGTGAAGCGGCCGCAGGCTCAATTTCAGGACTGGAGGGTGTCCAGCTTTACTCGGGTCGATAATCGGCCGTTTCCATCAGCCAAGCCCGAATCCAGCACAATGGATCAGTGACTTGTCTCGGCTTCGATCCTGCGAGAAATGTTACTCGGTTTGCCTACTTGCTTGCTTGCTGGGGCAGTGTAGTACTTGAAGCATTCAGCAGCGTAATAGCCAGCCGTCCTCGGGAGACCATCAGCCTCTTGACTGACACCATGTCTCACATTCTGTGCAGATAAGGTCTCTTGATGAGGTCATACCCAGTGCATGCCTAGCGCCATGTAGATGGTTTGCTGCTTGCGTTCGATGTGATGCGTCCCAAGATCCATCGATCCCGGATTCCCGATCCAAGGGACCAGGCCCAGACCCGACGTCCCGATGCTCTGGGTTAGGGTCGGTGTGAGATAAGATAAGATAAGATAGCGATAACCTTGATTATTTTTCTGGTTGTCGCGGATTGGCAGCATCAAGGTCAAGCCTTTGCGACGGTGCAGGCTCAGACTCGGAATACGACCACATCCTAGCAGCAGGCCTTGTCAAGTCGCCCTCCCATAACTGGGACAACTCCTCCCATCTTCCCAATTGAACGGCAGCCAAACCTCAACAAGCGACTATCATCTGCCGACCGCCAATCCGCCGACACCGCGACTGATTGCTCGTTGTCCAACCCACGATGGCTGGAAAGGCGGCACCTAAAGACAAGAAGGATGCCCGCGCATGGGAAGGGCTGACTCCGCCCCTCGCTGAATGGATACTCGACGCCATCAAGAGCAACGGCTGGGGCGCGCGGATGACCCCCGTGCAGGCAGCTACGATCCCGCTCTTTAGGAGGAATACCGACGTCGTCGTCGAGGCCGTCACGGGCAGCGGCAAGACCCTCGCCTTCCTCGTCCCTGCCATCGACAAGATCCTGCGCTCAGACGAGTCCCGAAAGCTACATAACGTCACCGGAGTCATCGTCAGTCCAACAAGAGAGCTAGCTACCCAGATATACGACGTCCTCACCAAGCAGATCCTGCCCTTCCACCAGCCCTCCGCCGACCTCCTTCCTATACTTCAAGACGACGATAGCAAGAGATCCGCAGGCACAGAGCCTTTGGTCATCCCCCAGTTGCTAGTAGCCGGCACCACGAAGCCACGTGCCGACCTCTCCTACTTCGTTCGAAAATCACCCAATCTCCTCATCGCGACACCCGGTCGTCTCGCCGAGCTTCTGTCTTCTCCCCTGGTCAAGACATCAAATTTGGAGGTGTTGGTCCTGGACGAGGCGGACCGGCTGTTGGATCTTGGTTTCAAAGAACAGCTGAACGCGATCCTCGGATACCTGCCCAAACAGAGACGAACAGGGCTGTTCAGCGCATCAATGAGCGAGGCTGTCTCGGAGCTGATCAGGGCCGGCCTACGGAATCCCCAGAGGATCGTCGTCACCGTGAAGAACTTGAGGGATGGCGGTATCATAGAAGAGAGGAAAACACCCGCATCCTTACAGATGACCTATCTTGTTACCAAAGCATCTCACAAATTCCTCGCCCTCGGACAACTGCTAGAGAAGCTCGACCCACGCCCCCAAAAGACCATCCTCTTCCTTAATACATGCGACTCAGTCAAGTACTTCTTCAAGGTCTTGCCGGCAATAATGCCCCCAGGCTTCAAGCTCCTCCGCCTCCACGGGAAGCTCGACCCGTCGACCCGGGAGAAGAACTTCAACCAGTTCCTCACCTCGTCATCGCCAACCGTCCTCCTCTGCACAGACGTCGCGGCCCGTGGCCTGGACATCCCCCAGGTCGACCTGGTCGTCCAGGACCCGCCCCAGGACCCAAAGACCTACATCCACCGCGCCGGTCGTGCAGGCCGCGCAGGCAGGCGAGGCCTCGCCGTTGTCATGCTCCAGCCGGGAAGGGAGGAGGACTTCGTGCCGTTCCTGGAGATCCGCAAGACGCCGGCGCAGCCCCTGACGCACCCTCAGATCAATGTCACGGACGAGGAGGCCGAGGCGGCGTCGGCGCGCATCCGGGACATGGCACTGGCGGACCGCGAAGTGTTGGACCTCTCGTTCCGGGCCTTCCCCAGCTTCGTGCGCAGCTACGGCGAGCACCGCGCGTCCTCCATCTTCCGGGTGGCGGACCTGGACTGGGCGGACCTGGCGCGGCAGTACGGGCTGGTGGCGCTGCCGCGCATGGCGGAGCTGCGGAAGGTCGAGGGGCTGGACCGCGGGCTCGGGCTGGGAATAGACGTCGCCGCCATCGCGTACAAGGACCCGGCGAAAGAGAAGAAGCGCCAGGCCGAGCTGACGGAGCGCCGCGCGGCCGTCGAGAGCGGGGAGGCGGCGGCGGCGGCGGAGCGGCGGGTCGCGCAGAGGCGCAAGAACGAGCCGTGGAGCGGCAAGGTCGTCAAGGAGGAGACGAGGACGCGGCGGCGCGAGAGGAAGGAGAAGAAGAGGGAGGCCGCGCGGCTGGCGGGGCTTACGGACAAGGAGAAGGAGGAGCAGAGGGCGCTGGAGGAGATGCTTGCCAAGGTCCGGGAGCAGGTCAGGCGGGATACTGCTAAGGCTGGGGCGAGTAAGAAGGGTGATACCTTTGAGGGTTTTGATGATTGAGAAGTATGGTATTGAACTCAATGCCACAGCTGCAACAGGCCGGAACGAGAGAGCAGAAGTGACTGGGTGAGATATGGTAGACTATTCGCATAATGACATGTGCGAGCCGCACAGACATGTATGTATGGTACCCAATTGAAGCCAGAAAGTCCAAAACGTAGGCACTGGTATGACGATTCGAACTGTTAAGAACCACAACCAGCCTGGCAGGTTTGCTACTCGACAAAACAAGTCCGCCATTCAACGTGCTTATTGTTGCGGGAGGAGCGCACGCTACTATCGCCAGCAGTGAGACACTAGCAAGAGCACACATCCTGCATAATGTCTTGATGACGGTTAAATCATCCATTGAACAAACATTTCTCCATACATCTCGGGACGCCACCAACGACCCAGAGGCAGTATACTCTGTCTGCATAGCTGTGTTCTCGCGCAAAGCGAAGGCATGCCCTCATATTCTCATGGTGGACTCCTTGCGGCTCTTTTTCTGTGCCAATTTCAACGGGCTGAATTTGCCATATCCAGTATTGCTCCTGCTCCTTGCATGCCCTCGGAACTAGGTGGTGGGAGGCTCTGCGCGTTTGGATCTCCGGCTTCGTGTTCGACGGTGACGGGCGCCACACCCTCTGCGCCGCGCTGCTTGGATGGCATCGTCAGTTCGCAGTTCAAGTGTAATGTGGTTACTAGGATACGTGTTGGCATTATTTTGAAGTTGATGGTGCCATTTGACTCTGGGCTGTGCTTGAGTCCCACGCAGGTAGTCAAGATTTCAGAGGACACCTAATACAAGGCGGAGCAGCATGGGAGCCCGGAGGGCCAAGAAATGGACAGAGAAGCTTTTGTAGCCTGATGGTTACAGGTTTCTATCAGCTTATTGCTACGTTTCCAACATACTCTCAATGGGCCCTGAATTGTCCACTGCCCGCTATCCACACTGCCCAATTTTTGCGCCTTTCGCCCCAGTATTGGCATTTAGTTGTACCAAACAGCGTTGGCAGGCCCATTTTCCAGGTCTATATGAGCAACAGCAGCTGCGCTCGTCGCGTCGTCCGCCATCTTCCAGACCTCGAGGAAGTTGGACCCACTGTCGGGGATGGTGAAGTACTCCTCGCTGAAGCCAGAGGGGCCGACCGAGTTGGAGGAGCCACCGCTGTTGGTGGTGGGCAGAAGGAACGGCTGCTCGGTGATGGCGCCCGTGTCGGCGTCCAGCGAGAAGGCGGAGACGTAGCCGGGGATGTCTGTCGTGCGCGACCGGGTGGCGGCGTACAGGTACTTGGGCGAGGTGGAGTTCTTGCTGGAGACGATGACCTCGTCTGCCCAGTAGGAAGAGGAGTTGGTGAAGCCTGTCGGGCGAGTTAGTATGTCAAAAATCCACGTGAGGGTTTTAGATGAGGGTGAGAAGTATCTTGCCATCAGGCAGAAGCGAGTAAGTGGTGTTGGTGAAAGTCAACATCCCGGTGCTGTTGTCCCGGCTGTACACGGCAATGGAGCTGGCCGCCTCGTAGACAACGTAGACCTCAGAAACCATGGATTTGCGGGAATTCATCTTAAATGTCCGGGCTGGGACTTTTAAAACACACAACATCGATCTACGTCTCACCACGTTCTCCGGCTCAACATCAAGAACAATTCGTCATCGCCTCTCGGGATCAAATCGTTCTTGGCTAGCCAGCCTTCGCTGCAGTTTTGATGGGAAAGCACCTGGCTGATCCTTTGCTTACCCGGCGGTCTGCTTTCCTAAAGGCTGGAAGCAACTCCTTCTGCATTTTGAATATAGGAAGCTATGCAATGTTTCCGCGGGCCTTGAAGAGGTCCGCGGCGTCCCTAACGCATGGAACTAGTGGCCATATACTCATTGACATTTCAAGACCAGGTGCTCAACGATAGGCCGGGTGCTGTTGGAGTCCATTCTACACATGACAGTTCTCCTCGATGACACCACTTCGTTGTTCGATCCAGCTGCTGACTCCGCTACCCGCCACATAATCCACCAATTTACGCAAGAGGGGCAGAATTTTTATTCCCATCACGCCCGGATGATTGAAAAGATTCATTGAGGAAATGCAAATAGGTAATTATAACGTTGCTGTCTTGACACATGAAACGGTGGGCTATGGCTGCTCTGCGACACAGTTCCCAGCTCTTATGTGAGCTTTACCGCCGCAAAGAGCATTAATACTCTCTAAAATTGTAACTTCCAATAGATTAAACCATGCAAGAATCGTGACCATCATTTATCCGGCACTAAATTTGTACTTTCGCAGTTGCGGTCGGTACACCGCCGTCACAGTTTGAGCAAGTGGTCGACGATGGCACTGTTCCGTTGGCTGAGGGATCGCTGTTGGGCAAAGGAGCCCAACCAGGGCGCAGGCAAGCCAGTGAAGCATAAGGCACCTGACACTTGAACTCATCAACCGCAGAGCTGTATCCGAATACCGCAGCTACGAGATGAGTTCTGTTCGATGCGGCATAGTATGATGTCGTATTGCCAGAGTCGCCGAAGCCTGTGCCAACCATCCAGCTCGACTGCCCGACTTGGTCCACGACAAGAGTTGTTGCATTGTGTGCAGGCCACAGTATGGGAGATAGGCGCGCGGACGGCGAACCTTTGGGAAACTGTTGTCCAGCTCTATCTCTTAGTGTGCACTATTTGGTAGTCAGTCTATCTGCCTTGTAGGTCACGCATAATAAACAACTGATTCACTTGGACGGAGCTTGATTAAACAACTCTGCATAGGCACATGGGTACTTAGAGATCCCTCAGTCCTGGGGGTTGGCATTAGCCTAGATAAACAGGCGTCTACCAAAGTACATGGAAAAGTAGTTAAGTTAGACAGGGAAAAAAAAAAAAAAAAAAAAAAAAATAATCTTGCCGTACAACTGCAGACTAGTGGCCCTGACCTAACGTCTCGCTAGCGTGTGGACTTTTCGAGGTACAGGGTAGCTAGATTAGTGAATTCAGGGATGAGAGACTTTCAAGTTGGGTTAGTCAACCCCGGGCTCACTGCCTATTCACATGGAAACCCCACGCCGTGACAGAAACATCGTCACTACGTAGATATGAGGACCAAGTCCTGCTTTCACTCGCCCTCCCTCATACAGTTCAATCTGATCCGACAAGATCGTATCCATATACCAGGCCACTTATCTGTAAAAGCATCCCCGAAAAACATTTGGCCCCCGCCCCCTACCCCGGAGATTTCGCCCAACAGGCCTGCATGAAGTATGAGTTGCGACGCTGACGACAACGCTGATGACACATCGTCCTCTGAATCTTCAGACGACTACAGTCTGGGATTTGAAGCCACTTCCTGACGTTATGCGATACAGTGAAACTTCAGGTCGCTCTGGCTTGCATCGCTGGTGACTACCATGTCACGTACACGTCACTGGATGTCGAGCCGCACCACTATCTCTGGAAGCAAACACAGGTCTACGGTGTCAATCCGTTCTACATCCCAAGACCTGGAGACACGGGCAGCCGAGGCAGGCATCGACCTCCGCCACGGCGTCGATGGGCCTCCTCCGGTAGGGCTGAGTGGCTTCTTGGCTGCACTAGAGCCTATCAAAGAGCCGACGACCTTACAAATGTACCCAGGCGTCCAGGTGGAAGAGTGGCTGTATGATGACGGGCTGTACCCCGGGCATCACAATGTGAATGCGAATATGCTCGAGACTTATATCTGTGCATCTGACGAGAGTAGGAGGCGAGCGGAACAAGATGAGGAACACCCGCCTCCAGATGGGTATTGGAGAAACACACCGCAGTGGTCTTAAGGAATGTAACTGTGGCCAACTTAGTAATCTTTCAGACCAAAGCGTAGATTTAGTTCGTAAATTGAGTTCACATAGTCAAGTAGTCGAGTCAAGGCCATTGAGTACTGACAATCTCTACACAAATATGTCCACACATTTTGAACCTGCCAGTTGTTTTCGGGGTCGCGGAATTTCTTTCACCTATTCCGTGGAAAGTGGGGTGGTCTCGTTTTTAATCTGTACACATATGCTTCTTAAGCAGTATGCATCCAGTCTCTTCACACAGTGATAATTACGTGGAAAACGTCTGATTAGAATAGCTTTCGAAAAGGGTTAAACTAAGAAACAATTGAAGAATCGACCAAACCTACTCCCACAGACACGAGAGGTAACAAATATACTGTAAGCCCACGTCTGTACTCTGATCTGGGCACATTCCGAGCTCCTAGACCCCCCTGGCCCGGAGAGCAGCCTTCAGTTTCTTCGCGAAAGCCGGAACATATTCGGGCTCCAAAATTTGCGCATGGATACCGTCGCACTCATGCCAGCATTGAAAGTTGCGTGTTGGACTAGGCAAAAACTCGGGCACAACTACACGAGTGTAGACGATATTCCATGTTTACGAGCCGCTTGCCGCGGCTCTTGTTCAGAAACGGTGAGAAGGTTTAGAAGAGCCTTCCATCTGTCGAAAATTAGCATGGGTGTCTGTCTATCTTGACGATATCTCAGCTGCCAATAAATCAGCTCATCAATCATTCAGATCAACCATGCCCTACGAGCCGAATAATCAGACCAAGCTATTAGGGATATGGAGTCACGTCTTCCCAAAATGTGTAAAATGCTAACTTTGAGCTCTGGCAGGCTGCCACACCGATCGAAATTATAGCATAGTAGCGGCCTTCAGAATAAACCCCCTCGCTGCTTTGTCGGAGTTTGGTCGCAGGAGCGTCACCTACCCCTTACTTCCCATTAACGCCCACATGTTGTGTAGTTGTGTAAGGCGAACGGAAATTCCATGGAACTAGCTGATCTGGGTAAAGCCTGGCAAAATATTGACGGCGCGAAGCTCATCTCTAGGTACGAGTGCATCTCATCACAGATCGGACCTTGCCCATGCGCTCTACTAGTGGTAAAATGTTGGCGGTGGTGGTGATATCCTTGGCCGCAGAGACTACTAAGGTAGGATACCCAGGTGCAACTGGGAAGAGTCTTCTAGACCTCAACCCGTCTTAAATCCAAACTTCATACACAATCTCAACAACGGCCTCTGCAACCCTGATCATCCACGCTTGTTGCTATCCAGGCATACAGCTGTTAGTCGAGCACTTGGCGCATTATACAGTGCCAGGCTGCTTACCTCTGCACTGGCCCAAAGAGCAATCTTGTCACCAGGCATCAATGCGGACAGAAATCCCTCGCCATCACCAACAGCTCTCGGATCTTCAATGTCAGTGGGTGTATCGGCTAGCCAGTCGACTCGATAATTTTCCCAATCTTCAGAGGCCGTGACTGGAGATAAGTTTTGTTGGTTAGCTTCTGATTACTCTTCCCAAGTGGCATTATATCATACTGTTGTGGTGGACCATCCAAGTGTCTCTGCCGTCGTGATTCACTATACGCCAACCCTGTTGCTCAAGTTCCTGATTTGCGTCACCCGGGCTGCGGAATGTCTGTGACATCTGCACTTCAAGAGGCTGCTGGACCCCTGGCGGCGCAGACGCTGTGGCACTTGGCAGAGGACGCAGGATGCAGACTTCAAACCAGGTGTGGCTGTTCTCATACGTCCCGTCGCCGCCAAAAGTCGCCCAGCCCTGGTCGGCGCTGCGCATCTGTAGTGTGATCCGCGACGCGCGGCGGAAATATGGCGGTAGCGTCTGGGTCGTCAGGTACAGGGCCGCGACCGAGGCCCGGGGGCCAGGCTCCCAGAAGTCGTTGGCATGGTATTCGAGCTCCTCAACCCGGCAACTCATGGTGCGTGGCTGGTAGTCCGCGTGTGCTAGGATGGAGAGCGCCAGCTCGGGAGGCAGGTGGCCTGGCATGGCCCTGAGCCGGAGCCCCATGAGGATGAGTTCTGCGACTCGGACATCTTGACGAGTAGGGTTGAAACCTAGATGGACCGGCTGTAGCAGAGGGGCTGCCATCATCAAAGAGCAGCCAGAGTGTGTAGAAGATATAAACTGAATTTATGCAGGGTGATGAGGGAGGTCGCAGGGGAGGGAGGGGTGAGGTTCGGCATGACCCGCCACTACAGCCTTAACTCGGGTGTGACTAAGCCACGCCCGAGTTGTTGTCCGGTCTTATACGTGGCAAAGCACCACTTCTCATTATCAGAACATCGGAAGGTTAGGTCTGCGGCATTATCTGGTTGTACATGATGAGGTCAGCAGTCGACACGTCTCTTCCTGAGAAACGTACCTCATCAATTCCTTTGTGGTAGATTTGGCATGTAGGATCGCTAAATGTTCGGTCGATACTAACCAAAACGCCAGTTTCAGTTGAATCCGTCGTCAATACGGCTTTGCATGCACCGTTCGTGGAGCACAATGTGGTCGGGGGCACAACAAGTACTGTATCCACCCCGTGTTATCGCTGTTGTCTTTCAGCGATGTATCTTGAGTCCGACAAGTCGGCTTTTTTTCCACTCGCAAATACTAAGTGGAAGGGTGTTGAATGCTGGCAGAGTGGATAGGTATACACAGTGGCTGAGCAGCGCGGAAGCGTCGCAGAAGCAGTATATTCAAAACTCAAGGGGCAGCTGAACTCTATTCTTGCTCTTCCTCTGGAAGCTCCATCGACGCTCCCTCGATACTGAAACATGGTGCTTTTTCCCAGCATACCTGAGAGCTGTCCCCCATTCCGCAGCAGCCCTTTCTTATGCGACAAAACTTCCTGATAACAAGCTGCAGACATGATGAATAGCTATGAGCCGGTACAAGAAAATTACTGCTTGGGAGGAAATGAACACCAGGCCAAAGGGAGATATTATACTTCTATAAAATTCCAAGAGCATCTTTTCCTATTATGATAGCGGCACAGCAGGAGACGACATTTCGCTAGAGATCCTCCACCCCACCGGCTCCAGAACACAAAAGAGATATTAGCGCCTATTTGTCAACAGTGGATATCCGCGTGTGGTATCGGACGCTCTGGTCCACCATTTGATGGGAGTGGGCCCCGTAGAGTACGCTTTTTCCCCTTTATCAACAACCAAACACTTCTTGGCAACGGTAGTTGGTGCTGAGTCGGCCAGACAAGTGGGTGTTGGTAAAAGAGCAAAACCACTGAGCCTTTCCAAAAAAAAAATGAAGGTCCTCGTTATTTTGCAACTTTCGCTAGATCCATCCTCGTAGACTCGCGCGCTCACGGATAAGGAGCATCACGAACCATATATCGCACAGTCTCCGCTCTTTTGTCAATAAGGTGCGACCTAAAATGCCGCTACATTCATCATTACGACTGTTTCGACGGCCCCAAATCTACACTTCCTTGTTGTTTTTTTCCGTGTTTCTCTTGGCGCTTGCCAATTTCAACGGCACGCTTTCGTTGGATTTGCTCCCAGCATTTCGAGAATCGCCTTATGACACACACAGGACGACTCACACTATTATTCATGGAAAACACCGTCTTTTTTTCCTCCTCTTAGAAACCCCCACAAGGGGAAGCCCATCGACTTATGTAAAAGCTTTCCCACTCATCTGTTGGATAAAATCCAAATTGTCCTAAAGACAGGCACTGGCGAGTCAGCCAAGACCAAGGCCCACCTTGACACTGTCAGCTCTTGCATAACCAATATCTTGGTTTTCTCTGACTTAGAGGAGACGATCGGGGGTCACCAGTCTATTGACATCCTTGCGGATCTGCCCCAATCATACAGCAACAATGCCGATTTTGCGGCCTACTCGGCACAGAAGCAAGCACATTCCGAAAGGAGACCTGTCGGGTACTCGGCCGAGGGCTGGAAACTCGATCGGTTCAAGTTCTTACCCATGGTTGATAAGGCATACCAGATGCGCCTCATGCTGACTGGTATGTCTTCACCGAGGCTGATGTGTACTACTTTTGGGGTACGTTGTTCGGTTATTTCTGAGGTGGAAGAATTCACAACTATGGCTCTGTCTCTTGAGACATGACAAAATTATTCTTTCAGCCGGATATATGTACTAACTATGAGTAGATACCCTATTCCGCTTCCTCCACCAGCTGGACCCTTCCAAACCACATTACATGGGATCGCCCGCGGCCGGCCGGGACGGTACGTTTTTCGCATACGGAGGAGCAGGCTTCGTGCTGTCACACGGGCTCATGAAACGCTTGGTGGGAGACTCGACCCAACTAAGCGTTCGTTACGAGGACCATGCCGAGAACGACTGCTGTGGCGACGCCGCCCTGGGGTACGCGATCATGAACAAGACTGGCGAGCCGCTCCAGGTACTATACCCCACATTTGCAGGCGATGAGCTCGATGGGCTGAAGGTGAATCACGAAAGATGGTGCATCCCTCTGCTCGCGCTTCACAGGGTATCACCGGAGCAGATGGAGTCACTGTGGACATGGGAGCGAACAAGGCCATACGATCAGGTTCGTAGTCTCGTTGCCCTTGCTCACGTGGTAGCTACTGACAGTGAACCATAGCATGCCTTTACCCACTCCACAATTCTCGACTACACAATGTCTAGCCTACATCAGGCTCCTACGCGGGCTTCGTGGGACAACTTTGCCGATGTTATTCAGCCGGAAGACTCAGCGGCGCACTCGTCCACCTCGGAGTGCAGCTCGGCCTGCGCATCTGACCCTGGCTGTCTACAATATTCATATTCTGCAGGAACCTGCAGATTTGGACATTTCGTGCAGATGGGACGACCTGTACCAGATTCTGACCACACCTCCGGCTGGAATATGGAAAAGATATACAGACTGGGTTGTCAGAAAGATGCGGAGAAGACCAGTTCTTGCAAAGAAGCGACTTGGCTGAAACCTGTCATTAGCTGACCAAAATCCTTTGGGTATTGACCTTGCTTGGAACAGGGGGGAGAGTCGAATAGATTTCCCATGCAAAACCACAGTTGCGGCTGATGCGAACACGATAGAGTGCAATAATGCATACATCCTCAGACATACATAATACATAAAAGAAAAGATAAACTTAATACTAAATCATTAATTTAACCAGCACTTTCCAAACTCTTTCCAGATTTTCCCACGCACTCTTTGCTTTAAAATACTTTCATGCATGCAGTGATCACCATCAACCTATTTTGGCTGCGTCAGGAAGGGTCCGAACAGTAGACGATAACAGCAGAAAGATAGGCTGATATGACGGCTACAAATCAAGGAACACTGTATATGACGTAGGGGAATCACTGGAGATGATCGGACCAAGCGCCCAGATAATAGACAAAATCCCGGGTACTCCAGCATCATGAGGACGCGGCTGTGCCAGGTGGACCGACACGCACAGCCTTGACGTGGTGGCTTCTATGAGACGACATGGGGTGTCCCTAGTGTGCGACTGGTAAACGTCTTGGCTCTGCTGTGCCACGGTCGGTGGTGAAGTGATTGCAATGTACCCGGGCATTTCTTATACCTGAGGTTTCGATCTTATCAGCACGCATTTGTCCCGGCCTCGACTTGTATGACACGTAATTGGTGTAGGGCTCCCAAAGACTTGGAGGGGACAAATCTGTGGGCAGAAAGCAGACCAGACAATTGAAAGGGCGCCCGCCGCTCAAGTAAATGGCGTCTACGGAGATCCTGACATCAATGTGGGACGAGAGAGGCTTGGGTATTACGGTTTTCGAGGTATCGCATTGGCTTCAGTGCCTTTTCCTGTCTTTTTTTGTCTAATTCCATCTTGGCTATGAGTCTGCGCCAGGACTGGATCCAAGAGCAAGGGCGAAATAACGATTAAGTCCACTTCTTAGACCTGAGCACACCGGGCTTTCTCCTTCTCCAGACACATGGGGTCCAAATCAGGCTTCTTTCCCTTAACGGTGCAAGAACAGGTCGACCCTAGCCCCGGATGTCGTCCGGCTTAGAACCCGTCGAGTAATGCCAATCATGCCAGAAAGTACTCGCGCCAGTCTACCACTCGTGGTTCTGCGATCCCTGCTCGGCCGGGCCAGATTCCTACCATTGGCCAGCCTCCTTAGCAGGCTCAGCACCCCACTCGGTAGCACCAGCAGCGGGAGCAGCAGCGGCGTCCCAGCTGGCAGCAGCAGGGTCGGCGCTCCACTCGCCAGTAGCACCGGCAGGAGGAGCCTCCCAGTCGGCACCGGCGGCGAAGGTGCCAGCCTCGATGGCAGCGGGGCCAACCTCGTCGGCGGTGGCGAGCTTCTCCTCCTCGACCTTCTCCTCGGCCTCGGCCTCAGGGTCGCGGTCTATGAAATGTTAGTCTGATTCCTGGGTCCAGAGAACAGTCAACGGGGCATGACATACAGAAGTAGAGATCGACCATGACGTCCCAGGGAGTCTCGCGGTTGTAGATGGTGCCGCGGAGACGGAGGACCTCACGGGCGAGCATCCACCAGACGCAGCCGATGGCGTGACGACCCTTGTTGTTGGTGGGGATGGCAACGTCGACGAACTCGGTGGGGGAGTCGGTGTCGCAGAGGGCGATGACGGGGATGTTGACGTAGGAAGCCTCCTTGATGGCCTGGGCGTCGGTGCGAGGGTCGGTGACGACGATCAGACGGGGCTCCTTGAACGAACGGGTGATGTAGTTGGTGAAGGAACCGGGGGTGAAACGACCGGCGATGGCCTGGGCGCCGGTGTGGGCGGCGAACTTGAGGACGGCACGCTGACCGTAGGGACGGGCGGAGATGACACAGACGTCGGAGGGGTTGTCGACGGCGGCGATGATACGGGCAGCCAGGACGATCTTCTCCCTGTTTGCGGCCGTTTGTTTAGAAAACCGCCCATTTTGATATATTTTTCTGGTATTTCGAGATCGACCGTGGCGGGAAGCCGCGACCGCGTCTTCGTCGGATCGAACTTACCAGGTCTTGCCGACGTTGATGACGTTGACACCATCAGCACTGGCGAGGAACCGTTAGCAATTGAAACCGTGGCAGGAGCTGGCGAGAAGGCCATGTCACGGGTAAGCATACCGAGTCTTCCACAGGTACGAGTTCATGTGAACCTGCAAGTTCTTGGAGCCGAGGTGGGACTGGGCAGCCAGGAGCAGCTCAATGTCCTGGCTGGTGGCGTTGAAAACGCTGGGCAGGTTAGCGGGCGCCATGATTGCGGTGGGTGTGACGGTGAGGTTGTCGTCGCGAAGTTCGGCAATGCAGTGGTGCTCGAGGTGAGAGGTTGAACTTCGCGAGGTTGAGGCTGCTTGGGGCTCTGCGGAAGATGTTTTGGCAGGTGCGCACCAGAAGTTCGATTTTGCTCCCTGCAGGTGCGCTCCGGGAAAAAGTGTGGACCGCGCCTTCTCCGCCTAGGGTGCAGAAAAAAGTTCGGGCCAGAGGTACGTACCTTCCTGTGGCGGTGGTGGCTGGAGCAGGACAGCGCTAGCCCAAACTGACAAGCGAGAGCCAAGCAGGCGAGCTGCGGCGATGCTAGGACGTCAAGAGCAGCCGCGTCCCCGGAAATTTTGACGGCGGCCATGAGACGAGCACTGCGGTCACAAAGCTGTCGATGATCGCGGCCAGCCCACCATGCCGCCCAGAATACCAGGCCCCTCGGGGCTCCAGAACCTGACATGTATGCGACTCCAGTCTCCTTTGCCCAACTCCAAGAAATGCCGACTTCCATAGGATGTTCTGTCTTGCACACGGCCGTCCCCAGCAATTGGTTCCGACAGGTGACCATCTCACGGGAGGCCTGAGCATACTGAACCATATTGCATCCTCTGACATATCTCATGAGATGCTGGGGACTTGCTGCAGCAGTTTTTCGTACGAGTTGTATAATTATCGAGCACCCCTTGCTGACATCTGTCGCAGTATGTCTCCGGCCAGCGGCAGCATCCCGACAAGTCGCGCCCTCCTTCCAACCCCTCGTCCAGAAGGCCACCCTCACCCAAGAGAGGACCTCCCTGACCCAGAAAGAAAGGGATGCCCTTCGAAAGAAGAAGCTCGACCCTTACCGGTGGCAACAAGCCCAACAAAGAAAGAACCGCAACCTTCGACGACAGGAAGTGCTCACAGTCCAGCGCGACAAGGCATGGGGCGACCCAGTGAACGGCCTTGTGACGCCCTTCCTCGAGTCCTTCGACACCGCCGGCCAGTCTCCTCAGTCCCAGGTCAGGAGGGATGAGGAAAGGAACCCGCTGGAGCAGCCGCACGACCTGCCGACGTCGGAGCACATCCTCAACTACCAGCTCACGAAGCAGGAGCTCGACGAGGCCATCGCCGAGTCCTACAAGCTCACCGCGCCCTCCCAGGGCGACATCAAGTCGGTGTACTACAGCGAGGTCATCGACAAGGAGGCCAAGCAGACGCACGAGGAGAACCACGTGCGCGCGGTCGAGGCCCTCAAGAGGATCACGACACTCGACAACGCCAGCAGCAAGGACAGGCGGCACGCCAACATCCGGCGCATCATCGAGACGTTCGGCCGGCACGAGACGGACGCGAAGCTGCGCCAGAAGCCGCTGGTCGCGGGCCAGGATGAGCGGGTAGAGAAGGTCCGCGGCGGGCCGGACACGGGCTCATCGGAGGTGCAGATCGCCATCCTGACGGCCAAGATCAGGGTGCTGGCCGCCATGTACGCGGGAAAGAAGGGCAACAAGGACAAGCACAACAAGAAGAACCTGCGGCTGCTGCTGCACAGGCGGCAGAAGCTGCTCAAGTACATGGAGAGGAGGGAGAGGGGAAGCGGCCGGTGGGAGCACATGATCGAGACGCTGGGCCTGTCGCCTGCAACTTACAAGAAGCAGATCGAGGTTAGGTAGCATCAGGCTAGAGCAGAAGTGTAGTGGAAGAACATAAAAATGTAAATTGTGTACAATACAGCCGTGAGTGACCAGAATTCGGTGCAAACCCGACCCTGCTTTAACCTCGTTGCGCCTTCCATGGTATGCCAGCCTATTTAATCAAATCAATCGCAACAGACCTCAAAGTCTCTTTCATACTCCACACGAGGTGGGAATCGATGCTATCTTCGTTGCTTTTAGAACACGCTGATGTAGTTGCCGATGCGCTCCTTCTGGTTCTGCGCTATGCATTCGGCAATCCATGTGATGTTCCGGATTTCCTGTAAAATGTTAGCTTCTCGGAACGTGGATAGCGGCATAGAGTAGGAAGCTCACCTGTTCCCTCAGCTTCAGCCATGCGTATACTATACCGAAGCTGAATTGTCTCGTGAAAGCCTCCTTGGATATCTCCATCTCCTTTTGGTAGAACATATCCTCCAGACTCCGACCGTCAGACCCGGAGCCCCCACCCATGTTGCCAGGGCCAGCCGGCCCACCGCCCAGGCCAGCGGCGTCGAAGAAGGTCTTGTAATCGTGCACGCCATCGACAGCCAGCCTCACACCCTCGAAGTCATCGGCACGAGACAACATCAACGTGCCCTCAGGATACAGCCGGCCGAAGTTGGGGTAGAGCTTCTTTCGGTCCGCCTTTGTCAGTTCGGTGCCGAACGAGTTGAGCGTGATGTTGATGGCTCTCCGGTCCGCCTCGAACTCGAGGATCTCCGACATGACCTCGGCCGTGGGCGTGCCAGCCATCTCGGCGTGTGTGTTGACAAAGTTGTGGAACTCCTCGAGGTAGTTCTTGTACAGGGTGTTCCGCACAATCTCAATGTTCAGCTCGTCCAGGTCCTGGTGGCTCAGGCTGCCCTTGAAGAACGGCGCCAGCGGGGTCTCGATCAGCACGCTGTTGTAGAGCTCCTCGATGTTGGTAGCGACGCAGAGCACCGGCATCGTCTCGAACCAGCCCAGGGGGTGGCATCTGTCCAGGAGCTCCCTCGTGTCCCTCTCGTGCAGTGTTCCTGTGATCAAAAGCGCGACGTTGTCGATCATGTATCCGTACGTCAAGTAGTCCATGAACTGAGCGAGAGCCCCCGTTGCGTTGGCCCGGACATATTTGAACTCGGAGACAAGCTTGTCGGTCGTCTTTGCAGCAAGACTCGAGGTGGATGGGTTCGGAGGCAAGGAGGCAAGGAAGTCGCCGTATGCTGGGCCGAGCTGCAGCTTGAGGTCTGGCAGAAACGTCGTGAGTAGGTGCACTCGCTACCAGATGTAAAAGAGGGCTACGAACCATCTATGCTCTCGCACTGTGTCATGTTGCTGTAGTTTGAGTTGGTGAGCAGCCCATTTCGATAGCCTCGGACAATGCCCTCGATGTAGCTGCACTCTGACGGTTAGCATGGCGGTTGTTACCGTTCGAAATGATGGGGACAGCTGACCCATTGTTGACGTTGAAGAAAAGTCCCTCCATGATGACGCTGCCGGGAATTAAAGGTGATGGGGACAGCTGGGATCGGTTGAACAGAGCTGGCGTTGCTGGAGCTTCTCGAGATCACGGATCGGTGACGACGACCTTCTCTTCTGCGGATGGATGGCTGATGGCTGATGCGCACCTTGGAGACTGCTAACGCCTTGGAGGAGCCGCCAAGGTGCTGCTGATTGGAGGGCAGGCGCCCGAAAAAGTACGTACCATTAAAACGCTATTTCGGGCTTAGCGTCGATTGCTCGTCTGCACTGGCCGACCCCACATGAAGAGCCAGAGCACTTGAGCGAGCTTCAGCAAAAAATTCGGCCGACAACTTTTTTTTCTTGCTCGGCATCACGACCCTTTCCTCCCAACCCACCACACAACCCGCCTTTGCGCGCCTTACTAACCCCCTTGGAGGACAATATCTAGGAAAGCGCAAGGGCATTTTTCAATTTGTTTAACATGCCTCTTTTCGTTCTCTCCGAGACGAGTGTAGGGTAAGCTGCACCAATTCCTGGCGCGAGCGAGCGCATGCACCTAGAATATCCTTGGACCATGGGTTGCTGACTTGCGTGCCAACAGCTACGCCTTGTTCAAGGCCAAGGACAAGAAGCTGCTAGACGACAGCGAGCTCAACTCCCGTCTCCAGACCGCCGAACAGATCAACAATGAGTACGTGCAATTATTTCCGTCCTATGTCAAGACCACGAGCCCCACGCGAACGGACCGTCTAACAAATCCACAGGCTGAAGCTCAAGGAGATCGTAAAATGGGACAACGCCGCCACCGGTCTCGAGGAAGTGGCTGGCCTGGTCGAGGGCAAGGTCACGCCCCTGCTCACCAAGCTGCTCGAGTCCATCAAGGACGAGAAGAAGGCCTCGCTCGTCGTGTCAGATGCCAAACTGGGTACCGCGATCAACAAACTTCCTCAATTCAACATCACCCCCGTCGCCGACTCCTCCACCCACGATCTCTACCGTAACATCCGAGCACATCTTACCGACCTCGTCCCCGGTCTGGAGTCTGAAAACCTCAGGAGTCTCGCACTTGGTCTGTCACATTCGCTTTCTCGGCACAAGCTGCGATTCTCGCCTGACAAGGTCGATGTCATGATTGTTCAGGCTATCTCTCTACTTGACGACCTCGACAAGGAGCTCAACACATATGCCATGAGGGTCAAGGAGTGGTACGGCTGGCACTTCCCCGAGCTGGGAAAGATCCTGAACGACAACCTCGCCTACGCACGAGTCATCCTCGCAGTTGGCATGCGTACCAGCACAGCCAGCACAGACCTTTCCGACATCCTCCCCGAGGAGATAGAGACCGCTGTCAAGGCTGCCGCCGAAGTCAGTATGGGTACCGAGATCAGCGAGGAAGATTTGCTGAACATCACAATGCTGGCTGATCACGTCGTCCGATATACCGAGGTTCGCGCACAGCTGTCGAGCTACCTCGAGTCCAGAATGAAGGCTATTGCCCCTAATTTGACAGAACTTGTTGGAACTCTGGTCGGCGCGCGTCTCATTGCCCACGCCGGCTCTCTCATGAGCTTGGCCAAGAACCCCGGTTCCACCATTCAGATCCTTGGTGCCGAGAAGGCGCTGTTCCGTGCTCTGAAGACAAAGCATGCCACACCCAAGTACGGTCTTATCTACCACTCTTCCCTCGTCGGTCAAGCCACCGGCAAGAACAAGGGCAAGATTGCCCGTCAGCTCGCTGCCAAAACTGCTCTAGGTATCCGTTCGGATGCCCTCACCGAGTGGGTTGATGAGGAGGGCAACGAGGTCGATGAGGACGAGCGAGCGTCGTTTGGTGCCGCCGCTCGCGCGAAGGTCGAGAACAACCTGAGGAAGCTGGAAGGAAAGCCCCTGGTTGCCAAGGGCATTTCCGTGGGTCCTAATGGACAGGCCGCTGCTCAACCATCCAAGTGGGATGTCAAGGAGGCCAAGAAGTACAACGCCGACGCTGATGGTCTCGAGGCCGAGTTTGCATCAGTTGAGATTGCTGGAAGCGATGCTGGCAAGAAGGAGAAGAAGGACAAAAAGGACAAGAAGGATAAGAAGTCAAAGAAGGAGAAGCCTCTTATCGAAGAAGTTTCAGACGAGGAGATGGCAGATGCTCCCGCTCAGAACGGAGCTGCAGGTACGACACTCACACCCATCCCCCTTATTCCACCTCACTTCCGCCGACAACGGTGGTGTCCACGAGTCCCGCGAGGAGATTCAGAAGAGAAATGGGCACGAAGCTCATCTGATCGCGTTGAAATCACCTGCTGACTCTCTGACAGCAACCCCAGCCAAGTCTAAGACACTGTCTGAAGCCGACTTTGAGAAGTATGCTGAGGCCGCCGGCATCTCGGTGTCCAAGTTCAAGCGCAAGTATGAGCGCGGCGATGTCGAGCTGGCTGAGGACGGCACGCCCAAGGTGCTCTCCAAGAAGGAGCTCAAGAAGCTCAAGAAGGCCGAGGAGAAGGCCGACTCCGACGGGTCGCTCAAGAAGAAGCGCAAGGCCGACGCGGACGGAGAGGAGAAGCCCAAGAAGAAGAAGAACAAGACCACCGACGCATAGAAGTGGTCGCCTCATGATAAATTGAAGGTCAAAGATCACGGGCGTTAATCTTTTTCTCTCTTGCCACTGGGCTATACTGGGTCATTGTATGATACTATGCATATCTTCCTGCGGCCTTCTTCTCACCTTTCCAATCCTTCTGGCGTGTTGTGAGAGATATCCTCTACGGCGTTTTGGGCGTGGCATCCGGCGGCTCAGGAATAGGGACTGGGGTGTGTGCTTTGGTTTAGAAATTTTGAGTTGCTCTGAAGAAAACTGGAACTACTCTTGTTGAGATATTCTGTCATAATGTACCGCGGGGGGTTGGGGCCTGGCAATATTCCTCGAGGTCATGATTGCTTTGGACAGTGGACGCTTGGCTTCTCAGGATCAACTCTTGGATGGCGCTGGCTTGGGCGTCTGCACCCCCTCCCGGCAGCCGCTACCTGGCTTCTCTGAGCTGTGGCATCTTGGCTCATCACGAAGCGAGGACGTACATTCAAATACAGTTTCAAAAGTTATCATATTGTCTTCTTAATCTGTGCAAATCTGTGACCTCTTATGAGACAGCTTCTAAATATGTTCATTTCCAGTGGCATGAAGTTGATGCTATGCACAATGGTACTCAGATAGACAGGTCGACATACTGCAGTTCAATCTTAAAAAGACATCAGGTCAGCTGTTCAAGTTGTGTGCCATTTTAAGAAGGGCGACTGTGGGCAGCAGTTCTCATGGCCAGGCGTACAGTACTCGGGTGCTCATATCCTGCACAGCTGACAGTATTCTCAGGTGTTGTCGAGGGGATTGGAGCACTTCTGTGCCGCTGTAGTTGCACACAGCATTGGCTACTAACGCCGTGTCACACAGCTAAAGGTCTGGGCAAATTTTGAATAACAACACACCTGGAATGAGACAAAGGGTAGTCCCTAAAAGCCGAAAATAGGAGCTTTGTTGGTGCCTATCTAAGTGGTAAACTCTTGTAAAGAATGGAAAGCCTCGCGCTATTCCCCATCAACATAATGGGTGCGTAGCTGGTTCCACTGTGGTTTGATGAGAGGGCATTGCCCTTTTCGGTCTCTGATGAGACAATTTAGCAGTGGTCACTGCGACCAGATCCACCGTCCTGGCAGGTGCCGCAGTACTTGATGAAGCTGATGTCCCCGTTGTTGCCTCCAATACACATGAAGAGAGATTGATTGATGTGGTTGGAGTCAGTCGACTGCCTGTTGGTTAGGAGTGCAGCATTGATCTGGTTATAGTAATTTCCTGTACCGATTTAGCATTTCTCTGTGACCACATGCAGTTTAACAAAGACAGAGACCAACCTTTCCTCAGGAGACCATAGCCACAGTAATTGAGCCCCGGAGTGCAGTTGTCTGCCTGGACAAGTGGGGTGAAAGCTACAAGGGCAGCAGTGATGAGAGTTGTGGTCTTCATGGTGAAGGTCTGTTTCGGCTTGGATTCTAGAATTGCAGAGAAGATTGAGATTTGGGTGAGTGCTTTGACTATTTCTGAACTCTGAAGACCGGCAGTGGGAGCGTTTTTATATTGCCACCGGCCAAACACACACACACAGTTCAAAATTATTGGCTTGATCCTTCCAGCAACACAAGCTCCCCAATGAGATCACTTGCTAACGCTCTAGGCTCAGTGGGGAATGCGAGGTGAGACAATGGACAAATACAGATGCATTCACATGGTAATGACTTCACCCAGGTGAGGGAATTTTCATGTATTAGGTAAAACTAACCCATCTGTCTTCAATGGTCTTTGTTGATGACTGCACATGTATGGCTCGGAGTGCTCGGGGCGCCAACTGTCTCGGAAAACGTACCATGTCCCAAAAGTTTGTAATGTTGGCTAACTGTCAGCTTACGATTTGAACAAGAGTTTGAAAAGTATCCATCTCAATGGTCGGGATAGGAAGAAACTATAATGTCATACGAGACAGTTTACTTAAGTAATCGTGCGATGCTCGGCTTGTCATCTCGCTCCCGTGTCTTGCCTTCCTGCACAACATTTGGCCCGAGACAAAGCAGGCTCTTTTGGCTTATTTTTGCCGTTTTGATTATGGCGCGCTGTCCTTGTGAAGCACTAATTCATTGTTGCAGAGTGGACAAGGCAGTTGGGTGGCAATTGTGTGCACTGCTTGGTGGTCACGAATCTCAGGGAAGTAGCATGAGGAATGAGTTGCAGCTGTATCATCGCCTCGCAGTCATTGTTATGCCAGTATCTGTGACTGTTGTGGGCCTGGATTCAGCAGTATGTGTAGTTCTTTGGTGATTTAATATAAAATGTGCCGGTTGATAGATGATTAGGCAGTGTAATGTCCAAAAGGAAAGGATCATAAAATAACTATCTCGCCTTACACGGTAAATTATGAGAAAGCTTTCAAGATCCGGGCCCATTGGATGATAGTTATCTTAAAAATGGTGTGTGGCATCTAGGGTTGCCACCCTGGACTGCATGCAGTCTTCTGGACCTCTATCAGAGGATGTTACCATCCCAGCTTTGGGAGTCAGATGAGACAGGTGTGACAGTCTTGGACGGCAATCAAAATGAATCCAGGCCAACTTATCGTTCCAAGCAACTGGTTCTTTCTTTTGGCTGTATTTGTGATCCTGGGGCCTTTTTGGTACCAGTACGGCGCACGTGGAAATTGACCTGGAGCAGATCCAATAATGACGTTCTTGATTTGGATGAACAAGCTGGCTATTTGATGTTATAGTGAGTGGGTAGGCCTCTGCTTGAGACCTCTGCAGCCTTGATGGAGGGTGAGGCTTCGTAACGCAGATTCGAAGGATCCAGTCTTCGATGTCACGTTGAGTGGCGCTATTGGGCTTTAAGTAGACCAGCAGCCAGCTCTCAAATCTGGTCTGGGGTGCGTCTACTTGTTTCATGTGCCTCATCGGCGCCAACCAAGATCTCCTTGGCAAGCACAACCAGGCCCCCAAATCGCCGTACCACTAGGATTGTTTGCATTCTCGAAAGAATTGAACAGCATCTCTTCCACAAATCTTACGCTCTACGGGTCTCGAGTTGTAGCCTTGGTGAGCGCAGATTCTTCCTTGTCAAGTGCCACGGCACGACTTTGGATCTCTACTTGGGTGCTCTCTCAATCCAGATGTCGTGTTGGGCCACCAACCGTTTGGACCTCATCGAAACGCCTGGAATGGATCAGTCTACCACTTCAAGCCAACTCAATGTGCATGACCAGCACCAGCCTGAGACATCAGGTGGAGGAGAGGAGCCCATTGCAAATTACTCCCAGAAGATAGTATACAAACGATCCGAAGTCTGGGATCAAACTTCGCGAAATCATGCTGGCGGGCGAAGGTATCCTTAACCCAGACACGCTCGAGCAAATCAATTTCGGCAATCAAGGCTATATCTATAAATGCGGCGGCAGCTTCGCATACAAGCAGCATGGGCGAGACGAAGAATTCAGGCTCATGGTTGACGCGGGGGAGTCGTCTATCACACCTTATTCCCGCTTACGACACATACAAGACTTTGTCGCCGTCGACGGCATCATCATGGAGCTAGGTTCGCCTTTGGAAGTAAGGCGCATAACTTCGCCGTCCGAACGGAGAAGGGTCAAAGACGACATGGTCTCTCTCGTCACTCGATTACATGCGAAAGGGATCGCCCATGGTGATGTCGGACCGTCCAACTTCCTCTGCGCTCAAGACGGTACCCTCCGCCTGTGCGACTTCGACACAGCTTTCTACCTCGACGGCCGTCCACAGGAGTGGGAGGGCGGCTGCAGCCCGCAATACATCTCGCCCAACAGGGGCTATCCGGATTGGAAGCTCCCTTCGATTGAAGATGACATGTACGCCCTTGGTGTGAGCGTGTGGGAACTGTACACTGGACGAACGGCGATGGAGAAAGAGTATGATGATCTGGAGGATCTGATACCGAGAGGATACGCGGTCGACGTCAACGCGGTGGAAGATTTGGAGGTCAGGTCTTGGGCCAAGGAGCTCTTGGTTGCTGGAGGCGCTCGGATCTTCGGGGCACTTCCTGAAGAGGGCGAGTCTGGGACTTGATTGGGACGTCGGACTTTCAGTGCCATGTTTGGTTGAGCACAGTGAAGTATCGAAAGCAAGTGTTCTGCCTCTATGCCTGAACAGCATTGCAGCTCGTCCTCTGTCGCTCGTCTTTCAATGCGCGATATGACGCAGTACCCAAAGTCAATGTCACTGTTGTATCTTCTTCGTTGACTGCCGGCTCTTTCCCCGTCCGGTATCTGTGTCCCCATATGATGCTTCCTGTGCCATGTACGTGATGAGTTCCATCTCCATTGTCGGAAGCCCAAACCAGGACTCTACCAGCCACCGAATCTTTCTTCTCGATGGGGGCCAGCATGTAAACCCTCCCACGTGTGCTCGTACAACCCCTAAACTGTACATGGGCGTCTTGTTGGAATATTCTAGATATCTAGGCTATTATTAATACGGGATATCCTTTTCCCCATATGTTTGCCACTGTATGGAGGATAATAACTATAAATAGGGGCCTTTCCTCCTGTTGAATAGATGTTAGCTAGCCTAATTGACTAAGCATTTAACGCTATTATTTAATAGGTTATAAGGCCTGGAGCTTACCTAAAACGGTAATGCTAACTTAATACGGAAAACGCATATTACGTAATACCCCTAATTGCTATTACTTCTTAAACCTTTTAAATAAGATAAGCTTTATACTTAAAACATACCTTTTAATTAATTACTTAATTAGGCTAATCAATAAGCCCTTAACCAATTAAATCGCCCCATTTAACATTATAAATTAACCTTATTTCTTAACCCAAAGCCTATATATAAAAACCATATCTTCTTTACTTAAATACTTAATTATTTTTTTATTAATATTTAACCTATTTATATAATTTATATATTATTTAAAAGCCTTTATTAAGAATAATAAGAGCATTTCTTTAAAATTTAAAAACTATATTAAATTAATACTAAAAATGTAAATTCCAATGGAATTATAATAATTCTTAAACTTCCTTAAAAATACTTAACTATATTTTAGCCATTTTTAATTTATAATACCTTAAAAATATACTATTTAAAAGCTCTTTTTCTTTTCTTTATAATTATATTACTTTAATACTTATATTTTTATTCCTTAACTTATTAAACTTATTTAAAATTTATTATATTTTTTTTTTATTATCTTAATTATCTTAATAAATACTTTATTTATTTATTTTAAAAATAGCATCCCTTAATAAGTATAATATTCTACTTTTTAATGAAATGGAAAACTATATATATTAAAGCATTAAAATTTAAGCTTAGCTTAAGAAAGAAAACGCTATTAAGAATAATCTTAAGAATCTTTTCTAGGGCTTATTTTTAGCTTAAAATAAAAGAGCCTTTATTAATATTAAACTTATATATAAGCAAGAGCTTATTATGTTTATAAAAGATATAAATAATGCTTAAGAAGTATAAGATATATTTAAATCTTATTATAAACTTTTTAAGTTTATAAGCTAATATTTACTTTATAAAAAGTTCTTTAATATTAGTTTTAATAATTTTAAAATTATAAAAGAATATATTAATAAGCTAAAGCTTTTTTTAAAGAATTTAAAGGCTAATGATATAATTCTTCCTAAATAAATTATAATTAGCTGGATTCTTTATAACTTAAATAATAAATATATTGGCTTTATTTAAAATATAACTTAGTTTTAAAAAAGATTTAAATGCCTATATAATTAAATCTCTCTTTTCTAGCCTATTAAATAAAAGTAAAGGGAAACCTTTTAAATTATTTAAAAAAGCTTTATATATAAAGGGCAAGAAAGATAAAAAAAAGATTGTTATATGCCCTAATTGTAAAATAAAGGGGCATACTTAAGAAAATTGCTATTTCCTTTATCCAAATAAGGCACCTGCTAACTAAAAAATAAATAAATAAAAAAAGGAAAAACTAAGTTTTTTAAGAAAGAATATAAGCTAAGAGAAATGAAAGAAAATACAAGAGCAACTCTTAACTTTATTAGCTAGCATAAAGTTTTCCACGGCTTTAAAAGGCGCTTAAGAAAAACCTATAGCCCATACGGCTATAAATAATTCAATAGAAAATACTAAATATAATAAAAATTTATTAAATCTCTTACAACTCTCTTTTAACAACCCAATGGAAATTAAGGTAAATAACCCTATATATACCCCCATATATATATATAACAACAATAGCAGCTAATAATAATAAATCTACAAGAAATCAACAATATATAAATTCCATAAAAATAGCCGTAAATACTGCTGCAAATATAATAAGTTTTAAAGATATACGCCTCTTTAACATTATATATATAACTAATAAAACCGTAAAATGGGGTAATGCAGGTACTATATCCATAAATAAAATAAGGAACTTAATAATTAAGTTTCCAAAAACAAATACTATAAAAAGATTTTTTAATATATATTATATACCTTTTCTAAGTTTAAATATACTTAAATATAAGTACATAAGTAATAAAATCAAACTAGAATTAAAAGGAAATACTATTAAATTATACTCTTAAGAAATAAATAAGCTAATAACTTAAGAATATTAAAAAGACGGCTTATATTTTATAAGAATTAACATAATAAAATAAATAAACAAACCTAAATATACTTTTTAAAATATATATATAACTTAACAAAATTTAAATATAAATAATAAAAATAAAAAAGAAATATATAAATAGCATTATAAACTAAGCTATATAAATATCCAAGCTTTAGAAATATTTCTTTAAAAATATAAAATAAATATATTAATAAATAAACCTATTTAAGAATATATAAGCAACTATAAAGTATGCTTAAAAGCTAAGCATATAACCAAAATAAATAAGACTAGCCTAAATAACTAAGTATATAATATACTTAAAAGAATATATAGTAATATAAGCGATCCCTTAAAACCTATATATAATAAATATAAATATTATATATTATTCCTTAATAAAAGAACTTAATATTTAAAAGTTTCTTTACTTAAAAATAAAAACAAAGCATTAAAAGCTTTTAATAATTATAAAAATAAGGCAGAAAATAAATATAATAAAAGAATAAAAGAATTCTTTACCAATAATAAAGGCAAATATATAAATAAAAGATTTAAAATCTTATTAAATAAATACTCCATAACTTATTATATAACGCCCCTATATACAAAAGAACTAAATGGCTTAATAAAAAGACTAAATCTAACTATAATAAATAAAGTTAAAAGTCTTTTATATATAGCAAATCTACCTATATATTTATAAGGAAAAGCAATAAAATATGCTATATATTTATATAATATTACACCCTATAAAAACCTAAGGTATAAGTGCCTTTATAAGGTAATAAATAAAAAAAAGCCTTATATAAATAACTTAAAATTATAAGGATTTATTATATATTTTTAAAATAATAATTATAAAACTAAATTAAAACTTAGAAATAAAAAGGGCATATTATTAAATATAGTCTTAAAATTAAATATATATTAAGTATAAGATATAAATAATAAAAAGCCTATATTAATTCAGGATATCCAAATATTAAAAGGGCAATATATAAATAATAACGATATTAATAATAACAATAATAATAATAATAATAACATATATATATTCCTAAAATTACAAAAACAAAGGGAAGAAAATTCCCCTCCTATTTTAAACAAAATAATAATCTAAGGGAATCCAAAAAACTATATATATACTATACAAGATACATTATTAAATAACTAAATATCTATATTAAATACCCAAGAAAATATATTAAAATACTGCTTAACTACAGCTAATATTAATAAACCTTCTTCTTTAAAAGAGATATTAAATAACCTAGAAAAACCCTTATAAGTTAAATCTATGCTAAATGAAATACATAATTTACAAAAACAAAATACTTATATAATAATGAATTTACCACCCAGCCGTACGACTCTAAGGGGGAAATGGGTATATAAAAAGAAATTTATAAATAACCCAGCTATTATAAAGCCTAGTTAGGTAGTAAATAATAAAAATAATACTAAATTTAAATCTAAATGGGTTATTCAGGGATATAACCAAAAATTAAGCATAAACTATTTAAAGACTTTTTCTACAATCTACCGCCCTAAGACCTATACTATGCTTTTAATAATAGCAATAAATAAAGGATATTATATATATAGTTATGACATTAAAAACGCATTTCTACACTTTAATATTGATTTTAAAATATATATAAAATTACCTGCATATATATATAATAAACCAAAATATAAAAATAAAGTTGCAAAACTAAATAAAGCTTTATATGGGCTAAAATAATTACCTATGCTTTAATATAAATACTTAAAAAATATATTAACCAAGCTAGGATTTATTGTTTACCCATATAATAAAAGGGTATTTATATACCTTAATAAATAAATTATATTTATATATCATGTAAACGATATTATTATTATAGGACTTAATAATAATAATATAAATTTAATAATTAATAAACTATATAAAAATATAAAACTAAATTTTTAAGGAGATTTAACAGATTTCCTTAAAAGCGATATATATATAAACAGAGAAGATAAATAAATAACTATAAACTAAAATAAATATATAAATAAAATATTAAAAAGATTTAATATAAAAGAAAAGGTTAAGAAAAAGGAAATAATCCCTTAACTTATATTATATACCCCTAATAGAAAATTAGAAAAATATACTAACCAAGCTAATAAAAATACTATAAAATTATATTAGCAATAAATAGGGTTTATATTATATACTAGCCTAAAAACAAGGCTAAATTTAACCTATTCTATAAACAAGTTAGCTAAATATATAGCAAACCTAGGGCTAGAGTATATAAAAGAATTAAATAAAATATAGGGATATATATATAAATTCCCACATATATCTAAAGTATATAATTACTTTGAAAATAATTTATAATTAATAAGCTATATAGATTTAAACTAAGGTAATGATATATTCATTGGAAAAAGCACCTTAAGTTATATATTTAACCTATATAATATTAATAATAATAATAATAATAATAAAATAAATCTCATAAGCTGGAATTCTTAGCTATAAAAAACACTAGCACTTTCCTTTATGGAAGCAAAATATATAGCATTAAGAAAAGCTATAAAAGAAGCTAAATATTTATATAATTTACTTGAATATTTTAATAATAATTTAAATATTAGCTTTAATCTTAAGCCCCCTACTATATATATAGATAATAATAGGGCTAAGAAATTAGCCAAAAATACTTTATTTTATAAAAAAACTAAATATATAAATATTGCATATTATTATATAAGAAAAGCAATAAAAAATAATAAAGTAATATTAAAATATATAGATTTTAAGCAGAATTTAGCAAACTGGCTTACAAAACTAATAAATAAACTACACTATAGAGAGTTTAAAGAAAAGTATAGTTTAATAGAAAAATAATATAAATATTAAGCTAGAGAATAGAGAGATTTTCCACTTATATTATAATGCGCGTAAAATAAATTAAGGTGTTTACTCTTTAATAACTAGGGTTAAGATTTTTTCCTTTACTTATAAAATATATAAATAAATAAAGCGGATTTGATTATATATATATATAATATTACCCTAAATACTGGAGGTTTTCCCCTAAAAGAAATAACTAAAATAATAAAGGTTTTTCCTGAAAAATAAGCGTTACTTATACGGCCTATATATACCATATATACACACAGTTACAATATACTTATACTGCGTTTATATACGTTTAATTCTACATAGAAAACGTATTTCCGTAGTGTATATAGTATAAATAAAATGATGTGTGACTTTAATATATAAAAATGCCGTGATATACCGTAGCTATTATAAAATAATTAGTAAATCCCATATAAAACTATAATTTAATATATAATACCCTATTGGCTACAAGTTTAAGTTTAAGTAACAGCAAATTTTTGGGTTTTTTGCCTAAATATATAAACACTTAATAAGTGAGTTTTTCCTTTTTATAAGGTTTTCTTACTATATAACTAAATATTCCTTTTTTATAAACTAAATCCCTTATATATAATAAATAAATAAATAAAAGGGAATTAGTTTAAGGGGGGCTGTTGGAATATTTTAGATATTTAGGCTATTATTAATACGGGATATCCTTTTCCCCATACGTTTGCCACTGTATGGAGGATAATAACTATAAATAGGGGCCTTCCCTCCCGTTGAATAGACGTTAGCTAGCCTAATTGACTAAGCATCCAACGCTATTATTTGACACGTCTGACACTCCTCCATCGAACTTCAGGTTGAACTGGTGATGATGCTCCCATTCTTTGCATCTGTCCCTTGCATCCATGTCCATACCGACCTCGTATGCTTCACAGACCAGCCTTCCACTCTCATCCACCTTCAGGGGCAGAGAGTTGCAGTTGGTGTCCATCGCAGGCGCATGTCTAGCCTCGGATCGCTTCTTGGGGATCCAGCAGGAGTTCGGAGAAGTCCCGCCTACATCGGCCAACAGCACCTCAGCACCAAGGGCGCCACAGCGCACCGCCTCGCGGTAGGCATCGTCCAGATCGCAGAGCCCGCCTGGTCTGAACCGTTCAGCCAATGCCGCCAGGCCCAGCACTCCGATGATCCGATCACGCTCGTCTGTGCACTTCCTCTCATGCGTAAGCTGGAGCAGCCTCCCCAGTGGTATTTGGATGACGGATAGATCCGGTGCCCAGTCATGCCGCCGACACGCCGCCCATGCCCGCATGTACGGTGTGGCATATGTCCCTGAACCCCCATAGTTATCTCTGCCGAACCCAGTGATTTGATGGTACGGCGGCAGCCCTACCTCGCACCTGACAGGTGCACCCTCCGTCGCGGCGTATGCCATGAAATCCAACCAGCATGCATTCAGTCCAGTTCCTGTATCTGAATTGACGACCTGAGGGTTCCTGCTTAGATACCCTTCCTGGAATGTCCAGACCCTGCTATGCCACCCGTCCTGTGCCCAGGTGCTCAGACCATGATAGCTTTTGAGTTGATCCGGAATAGCTACTAAGTGCCTACTTGGCTCGACCAAGGGCACTGTAGTAACCTGTTGTGCCGGACAAATCAAAGTGGTGTGAGCCCCAGCATAGTAGCTACCCATGTGAGACAACTCGGTAGCCTTCTCGTCAGTATCATTCTGGTTTATGCACAGCTTATCAATCCATAGACTTGAGGGACCTCCGACGATGGCCGCGCTGCGGCGCATGTTGGTCACCGTGTCCTCGCCTTTGAACTCACTCCACAAGTGAGATACCGCGGTAAACTGCTCGCCCATATCCGAAGAGCCAACCAAGCGCCTGGGTTGAACGAAGCATGCCTGGCTGTGCCGGCTGAGCTCACCCGTGTCCCAGCATAGTGGACAGAGCAGCGGCCCATGCTTATAAGACACTGGCCTCACCGCCGCTTGCATTCCCCCCTCTTTTAAGTCCACAAAGCCTTCTCGGACCGGTAGCAGAGCAAGTGTAGCCTTGAACATCTCTCTCGGCATCCATCCACCAGAGCCCGAGGGCTTAATCTTCCCACCGGCACCGGCGGCTTTGAACTCCGTGACGGCAGCTATGCCGATGCTCCAGGCCAGGATATCCCGCACTTGCTCGAACTCCTTCACCCACAGGTACGTGACGCTGTCGTAGGAAATTTCTCGCGATATCCCGCCCACGACGGTGAGGAGCTCCAGGGCAAGACCGACACGGCCAGTGCACCGCAGCAGTCGGTGGCTGCCCTCTTCGTACGACATGGTCGCCAGCATGGTCTCTCCAACCGCGACGACGACTTCCGTCTCCCTTTTTTCCTGGACTATACCAATGGTGAGCTCGCGCACAAGCGTCCACTTCTCGGCGGCATCATCCCCGCCGTCTTCAGAATCGGCAATGCTGCTGGTGAAAATGCACGTTTCGGTGGTGGCGTCCATCCTCTTCATCTGGCTGACCAGCCTCACCCGCGTCCGTGGTGTCTTCTCCGCCCCCGGCAATACCCGCTCCTTGCCCCAGCTCGCCTCGCGCTCCGCTCGCGCGGCCTCCGAGTTAGCGGACGCCTCGGTCACTTCGTCCAGCCGCAGCGTGGCCCAGGCCCGCTGGCTCTCGGCGGGGGTCAGCGGGCGCTCCTTTAAATCTCTGAGCACGGCTCTCCCGGACGCGGCCTCTACGAAGGCCTTGTATTTCTGCAGCGTGCGCTCTTGGTACATGTAGCTCGGGCTCCCGTGCCAGTCGGCCTTGTCCAGGCTGATGCCAAGGTCTGCGGCGCTGGACGCGGCATCCTCGTAGTAGGGCATGGGGTCACAGTTGCACTCCCATAACGCAGATGCGCATTGATGAACCCGCCAGCGGTTGCCTTTCTTTACTGCAGTTTCCATTCCGTTCTAGGTCTCCAGAGATGTCAGAAATTTTGCAGCAGGCGTGGGAAGGAAATCGTAATGAGCAGTGTGTTTGCCTGAGAAGAATTTCGGCAGGTGTCAGATAAGAATGGAATATCATGTCACGTGATTACTGCATCCCTAAACGCATTTAAACAGTGTAAGTCTTGGCAAGCATTACTCTTTCTAGCGAGTACGTCTATGCTCCTGACCTCTAGACATCTGGATGCCACGGAATATATCTGGTCTGACTGCCTGAACCATCAGTGATATTTGCAACTACAGCAGCTTTCACGAAATGGATCGGCTCACATCCCGGTCTGTCTAGAAAACAGTACCACGGTCTTCCTTTTCCTCCTGCTGCAGATCCTTGGCATTGATATTCCTCCAGAACTGAACCGCCACATCCAATCAGCGGCCTGAGAGCGGACCCAACAATGGCCATCTTCATGCCGACATCGCCATATGCCGCGGTTTTATATTTGAGCCAGTTCAGAATTCGGCAGTGAGGAGACTGGAAGCAACTTGTAACTACTATATATAGATCTCTTGCGCCGCATACCCCATTGTTGGGAATTTTTGAGAAGGTATTCGCAGGAATTGGCGGGATTCAAATAACTAGAACCAACATCATAGGAGCCGAGAAAGCAGTCCAATGGCCGCGTGTTGGCTACAAGGCGAAGGCTACTACAAATACCGACAGCCGTTTCAGTTGTTCTAGCCCTGCGAATCGCCGCGGCCCGGAATTCAGTAAGGGTGAGTGAGAGATTTCCAACCATTCCGTGCGATTTTCCCGTCACGATCATCGGTTCCATACAGAGGTTTTACTCACGTGGTTTGCAGGCACTCACCTAAACCCGAATCAGTACCTGGTCGCCCAGTTTGATGGGCACTTCACGCAGCCGAGGCCGCAACCCAACCTTCGCCGAATAATGCACCTCGCGAAGTGTCACACACATTTAGCAGCCTGGCAGCTTACCATGCCAGTTTCTCTTGCATAGGATGTAACCTAAGTGAGCTAGTTTCTGCAGGTCATTCTCTGGTCAGGGGATGTAACATGTGGATCTGGAACAGGAGAACAACAATGCTACATAGGTGTCCCCCAGCATCTGCTGTTTGTCTAAAAAGAAGCGGGCCGGTGCCACTCGGAAGTATGTGTCACTGAGCAGGGGAAAAGCTTTTCCCAGGATCGTGTTAGAGAAGGCGGAGTTTACCTTGAACAAGGGCGCTTCGCTAGGTGGCCTCATTGGCCAGGAGGACGGAGCTCGTCCCAAGAGGCTGTTAGGGTTGCATAATGACAGGCGTTCGGCCCGAAGACAGAAAATCAGCGTGCAGATCCAAGTGCTTAAGTTTGAGGTTATTCTTGATCGCCTTGATCGCTTTGGGCACTGGGGTTTGAGGAGCAACCCATGCTGAGTTCAGGAGGCTGGTTCGAGGTCTGTGACAGCCCTACACCCCGGCGAAAGACCCCTATCCCTGTGCACAGCCAGTGATTATCGAGATCTTCCCGCCAAGCGAGCGGGTCTAACCATTGATCTGGACAGCCCAGGATAGCCCGGATTTAAGCCACACGAGCCTCCACTGCCGCTGCCACTGGCTTGCCAAGACGAAACGTCCTATGCTTCCGACGACACCTCACCTGAACTCGCTCGTCTGAGAGTCAGACACAGATGACGAGGCCGGCCGCTCTGGGTATACACCACTGGCACGTCTGCGCGCTTTTCTTTCCCCATCCAACAACCGCCGCAGTCTCCCCGCTGTAACAACTGGGTCTCTTTTTCGACGCGCTCCACATTTTGAAAAGACAAACTAGTCGCTCGGGCCCCAGTCCGGGTTGTGGGAGACGTCGCCATGGGCAGACGCCTGCAGACGAAAAGATGAGATGAGACTGCGTTTCGGAGTCAAGATGGTTTCTGTCCATGGGGACGCTGAGGAGATGCAGCGAGCCGGAAGTCGGAGGTGGCTCGAAGTAGGCAGGCTGACGCGGCCAAGCACCGATGGGATGGGATGCTCTTGGGCTCAAAGACGTCTCATATAAAGCCAGTGAGGCCGCTTGTTGATTCTGTGATCTGAATTGAATAGTATCATCTATCTCGAACACATCACCGCAGCATCAGTCTCTATTAACCTTTCCGATTTTCCTCTTCTTTTTCTTCTAACGGCCGGTTCCGTACGCTCTGGTTCAGCTGTTTGCTATTACTACTTACTGTTTTCACATAACATTTGTTAATCGACTCATCACTTGTTTGTCTTCTGTCTTCAGAACAACCGCCTAACAGTCAACATGAAGTTCCTCTCCGCCCTCGTTCTCGCTATGGCCAGCGTGGCCATCGCCAAGGACGGCAACAACACCGACGGCACCTCGACCAAGTCTCAGTGCAAGCAGGTCTCCCAGCTTACCAAGTTCATGGACATCGCCGGCAACTCGACCAAGCTCGACAAGATCACCAATGGCAACGCCACCAAGGCTGCGGACATCCAGGCAAAGGCGTCTCAGGCATCGACCAAGTTGACCGAGCTCCAGAGCAACGCGACCCTTATGACCGCTTGCGACCAGATCTTCGCTGTCCAGGACACCGAGGACGCCTGCGAAAAGATGCAGGGTCTCCAGAAGCTCAACGCTCTCATTGCCAACCAGACCGCTCTGGACGAGAAGACCAAGGGCAACACCACCAAGGCCGACGCGATCAAGGCCAAGGCGCAGGAGAAGGCCGCAGACCTCACCGCCATGGAGGGCAACGCCACCCTGACGAGCTTCTGCGCCGGCTTCAACGACAAGCAGTCCTGCAAGGCCATGGCCAGGCTCGCCAAGGTGCAGGAGTTTGCTGCCAATACCACTGCTCTTGTGAGTTTACATTCATCATTTCAAGTCACTTGGGGACTGCTGTTCAGTCTACTAACGCGACCTGATACAGAACGAGAAGTTCAACGGAGACGCAGACAAGATCTCCAAGTTCCAGGCCAAGCTCAGCAGCAAGGCCGAGAAGGTCAACGCCCTCATGAGCAACAGCACCCTCATGGACACCTGCAATAGCCTCGGAATCACAACCGCCTCCACCACCACCGGCGCCTCCACCTCGGGCTCCACCGACAACAAGAAGAGCGCGGCTGTCAGCGTCAACTCTCTGGGCGCCGGACACGTCCTGGCCCTCGTCTCCGTCTTTGCCTACGCCGTGGCCATGCTCTAGGCGCCAGGAATTTTGGGGGATTTGGGAGTGGTGTGAGGGCTTCAATGTCCGAGTTTGGGGAGTGTAATCAGGTCGTGCTGCTTAAAACCTGACTGAGCTCATTTTCGTGATGAGCTGGACATGGAACGTCAAGGCTGGCTGATGATTGTGGTGAGGCGAGAGCAAATAAGTTCAGGGCGTCCGCCTGAGATACGATGGAGTACAGTCTTTACTGGCCCATGCAGAAGCATCTGAGAGGGGTTGGAAGATGCACACGACATTGCTAGGTCCATGTAACTAAGCTGACATTATCGTCAGAATGCGTCTTATCGAGTTGATGCCATAAGAGCCCGTCTCGTTAGTCCTAATCGTTGCTTTTGTACTAGAATGAAGCAATGTCGGATCCCAATCCACTTAGTTCTAGGCTGCCTATTTTACGCTGAAGCCAATCATCGCGCACCTCACGCCTGTCCGATGTTGAGAGTAATCTGCAACGGATTGCAGGCTTGCTCTTAACTCACGCAGACGACAGCGTTGAATTTCCCCATCGCAGATGCTGACCGGGTCCGGCCAAGGCAGATCCACCCCTCTGACATTCCATGTTTCGATGCAATGTCCATTTTGCCGTTCCATCTCGTCCAGACTTTTCGCCCGAAAAGCCCTCCTGTCACGGCACAAGAAAGCCTATTGCGCCAAACACCCAAAAGAGGGACGCTGCAATGCCGAGAGCATTACCGTGGCTTCTAAAGTTGCACCTACGTACATACTGTAACAATAGCCACCCTTTAAGGTTTATTATCCCGATAAACCATTAAAGTTGCTGCTACCTTTCCGCTAGGTACCCCCTAACATAAATCTAAAGGCACTATTTCAAAGTTCTAAGTTAAGTTTTATTCAGCTTCTTGGTTGTGATTTGCTTTTCCTTCACATGGGTGGATCCAAGATCACGTCAAGCCCTTGTTTACGTAAGAAAACCCATGGCCAAAGGAAAAACAAAGTTACAAAGTTTGGCTTAAACTCAAAACCCCTAGGGAGGCATTACAAACTATCACGGCACAAAAAAGCCTATTGCGCCAAACACCCAAAAGAGGGACGTTGTGATGCCGAGAGCATTACCATGGCTTGCACCTATATACGTATTATAACACCTCCTATGCCATCGGCAGGGGTGTGTTTCCCCGCGCATGGAACTTCCTCTTCCCGTTCAACGGTCATTATGTTGTCTACGGATATATCTGATCTAGATAGACAGGCCTCCCTCAGCTCCACATCAAAATTACAGTAAAAGAGCTTGACGGTCTCCGCATGAGCCACGAATAACCAACAGGAGTACAATCGTGGTCGAGATGATTAACATTAACCAAGAATTCTTCCTATTCAAGTGCGACAGTCTTGCTTCTGAGTATCATTTGACTTGAACCCTCTCCATTTCAAGCGCCTGAGGCTCTATCAAATTACTGTTATTTTAGAAGTACTTTCATGATCTAAAGTAATACTGTAGTGATGCGATCCTTGACCACAGTCCGAGCCGGCAAGTCTCAGGAGTCACTCCAATTACTCAAGCATACTCCAAGGTGCGGATACCACAATTGGAGTGAGTTGCTACACGACTGGGTCTTCAGAAGGAAGTGGTGGTCGTGCCTCACCATCTGGTTTCGGGACCAACAACGGTTTGTATGCTTCATGCCCTACTGCTCTCCCTGAAGGCATTTTGCCAACGCCACTTTCATTATGCCACTGTTACAGTACGTATATAGGTGCAAGCCACGGTAATGCTCTCGGCATTACAACGTCCCTCTTTTGTGGTGTTTTGGCGCAATAGGCTTTCTTGTGCCGTAACAGCCACGAGGCGGGGAGGACATTAACCTGGGTCACATCAATCCTAGAAGTCAAAGAGAGGGTGAATCTGCCGAGATCCGAGCATCAGTAACTGCTGATGGGTACCTGATCAGATTGTCCGCAAGGCACGCCCTCAGCTGTCTCATGTATCTTTTGACCTCGTGCATACAGCCTTGGGCGATTCTGACTGACTGCGTTGGCTATGAATGAGACTGGAGATGTCGTTTGATTATATCGGCGACTGGATGAAATGCGACTGGAGAGAATGAAGACTGGAAAGATGAACTCGATACCGAGCGTTGGGAAATGAGAAAGCGAAATTGATAAACACCTGTCTATTCGTCTGGATAATATTTGGATTCTTTGCAAATTAGTTCAGCCGGCTCATGTGCTAACAAATTCAAGCCCACTTAGCGTTCAACAAAGCAGGGGAATGGGCAATTGGCCCGAGCAGTACTGGTGAGCTACTTCGGCCCACGTACTCCGCACTCTATGCACCGAGGTCCCCAACATCAGGAGGAGCCTTGGTCCGATTGATTAAGCGCAAGTCACACAGCCCACGCGTCATATCTAGCTTCTATCCATCTCTCCCGCTCAAGGCAACCCCACATCCTCCCTGCACACATCTCTTACTGCTCAACCGCAAGGAGACACTGTTCCTCACCATGAAGATCACACTCTATGTCGACGTCGTTTCTCCTTTCGCTTATATAGCCTACCACATCCTCAGGGTATGTCACATGCCCAATTTCAGCCACTGGGCTGCAAAGCTTTCCTCGCTTACATGCGTCACAGAACGACCCCGTGTTCAAGGGCTGTAAAATAACGTACATACCCATTTTTCTTGGGGGTCTCATAAAAAAGACTGGAAACACACCACCGATTCAGATCAAGAGTTCGTTCAAACCACCACCGCCCCTACTCAACTTCTACTCCCCAAGTGATAATGTGCTTCACTGAGGCGTGGGAGGGGATGTTCAGGTACCAGAGATGCACTCGACTAACGACTCATGCAACCCAGACAAAGACAAATGGATCAACAACGAGCGCCTCCGATGGGCAAAGTATTTCAACGTCCCAGTCGTGACTGACGTCCCCGAAGGCTTCCCTGCGAACACGTTGCAGCTGATGCGGACCGTCTGCGCGCTCGGCCACCTCGCCAGCCCTGACCAGCCTCAGCCATCAGTCGCCTCGCAGCCTGCCCAGGAAGCCACAATCAGGGGCCTCGACGCCTTATTCGAAGCCTACTGGGTTAAGAGCCGTGATGTCACCGACAAGAATGTCGTTGCCGACGTGCTCACGCGCGCCGGGTGGAAGGACCTCGCCTCGGTGTCTGAGGTCGCAGGCGGCGACGCCAAGAGGACTCTCATGGAAAACACGGACCGCGCGTTTGCGGACGGGGCGTTCGGGCTGCCGTGGTTCGTCTGTGAGAATGATCGCGGTGAGAGCGAGGGCTTTTGGGGCGTGGATCACCTGGGTGCTATGTTGGGCTTCTTGGGGCTGGAGAGGCCGGCTGGCCGAGGAGGATGGAAGGCACTGCTCTAGAAGGGCGTTGCCTCGGCAGCAGGGTCCACGTATCAGAATGTAGGATCTTGTTAATCTGGACTTAGATTGCTGGTCGGTCACACACGTGCGTTTTCTCCACGTAGGAGTATCTACTGCTGGTGGCAAACAAGATTGGGTAGCTGAACAGAAACAGGTCAAGTTGCGTACTCCGTCTCCAAATATCCGTCAAACTTATCTCATTGAGATATGTTCGCGCTGTTGAGGCATTTCTCGAGCGATTTCCTGGTTAGAGATGAGTATGGACCGAATGACCTACCAGCTATGTGTTAAGTTCGGGTTAGGCCGGTCTGATCCGAATGTCGTCAATCTGCTCTATTAGAGTACATTCTTCTAGCAAGACACTCCGAAAGGAGCTTGCCACAAGCTCATCCCCCTGTGGACAGATACTACCAACCCACAAGACGTATTTCATCAGCCTCTCCCTCGATCTTCGCCGCCCGAAACAGTACGACAGTCCTCGCCTCAATCTTCCCGTCAAAGATCCTCAGTCTGGTCCGTCATGTCTTCCAGCCCGCTACGGTCCCCCTCAATGAGCACCCTCGACATGGCCACCTTTACACACTCCAAGCCAAAGCGTGGACCACGTTCTCAACCGCCTGAAGCAACTGGACCTCGTACTTCAAGCAGCGACAGTGTCTCGTGTCCATGGTGCCGTCGACGAGCGAGATGTCCCACCCGTCAGCCCGCATAGCGAGGACCTGAATATCGTCCCTCGTGAATTGGGTGTACTTCTCCAGGTCGACGTCGTACATGCAGCGCTGCCACTTGCCGACAAGCTTGTGAGCTCGGTAGCTGACGAACCTCGCGGTCAGGATCGCGAGGTTCTCGGTGCTGGCGCCACGCGGCTGCAGGAAGGCGGCGACTTTTCTGGCGCTCACGATAGCAGCCCGCTCGATCGCGCCCAAGCCCGGGTCTTCACCGAAGACAAATGTGGAACCATTCAGGAGGGCCTTGATGTTGGTTGTACGGTAGAGCTTGTCGGGCGAGATGCAGTGGTACTTCGGCCCCGTGATGGGCCCGTAGAGCAGGTACTCGTCAGACCACGCGTACTCGCTCACATCCGCGCACCAGAGGTCTTCCGAGAACCAGACGTGGTCTTCCATGGAGGTGGTGTCGAGAACTGCGATGCTGGTTCCTCTCTCGTCCTTGTAATGGGAGAAGTGAATGGCCGTCCTCCAGAAGTGGGTCCACGAGCTGAAGGCTGATGCGCATCTATCCCAGCCCGTGAGGTGATCGTTGACCATCTCGCGGAGATCAGGAATGTCCCACATGTTCGTGGGTTCCTTGCCGTTCAGGAATGCGTGCGGGAACACCCCATTCGGGCCGTTCAGCCTGGGGTCCCCGCCTCCCCCGGACTTTGAGTGGAATCCCCTGAACATGATCCTTGGGTTGCCGGTCTTCGCATCTATAAAGAAATTCTGGTTAGTATGGGTGCTGTTTTGTGCTTTCATAGACTCAAGCCTCTATGTTCACTTACACGAAAGGAATCTCTTGGCGTCGTTCAGCGCCTCCTGCTCCTCGGCCTCCTCATCAGACTTGGTAGCAGAGGTCGAAGGTTCGTAAACCGTAAGTTCAGTCCGTCGTGCATCAAACGGGTAGAACATCACCCCGCCACGTTGAACCAACAGCCTGCCGGCTATCTTCTGAGGGTATGCTGGGAGGTGGTGCGTCGTAATCGCAGGTTTCTCGAATTTTACGATGGCCGTTACTGGTCCGCGCCAGACCGCGGACAAGTCGCTTCTGCACCATTCTTCCTCGAAGTTCCGCGTATCCCACCACGAGTTGTCTTCCCAACAAGGTGTGTAGGTGTTCCAACCCAGGACCTCAGGGGTGTCCCACGGTGTTAACAGGGACGGCCCATTGTCAACCCAAAGACTTCCAGTGGACCAGGGCCCCGTAGCATCAGCCGCGTTGTTGTTCATGGCCGGTGGAGATCCAACATCTGGCGTCCATCCCAGGGCGTCCGGGGTGTCCCATGGCGTCGAAAAGGACGGCCCATTGTCGACCCAAAAGTGACCAGTGGACCAAGGTCCAGTAGCAACCTTCGTCTTGGAGTGCTCCACCTTCTTGTGGTTTCCCGGTGCCCACACCATTGTTCGTGTGTCGCAAGTTGCCATGCTTCTTGTGTCGACACTGGAGGGTTTTTCTGTGGAGATCTCGAGATGGTCGAATAGGCGGAGGACTAGCTGCTTTTGATGCTGCAAATTGGTCAATGTTAGTCAAGACGAGTCAACCTGTAGGGGCCATGTAAGAAGCCATAGGGGTCGGTGCCCCTTGATACTGACCAAGATCAAGCAGCAAACAGTAAAGACTTTGTATCAGGCCACAGGATCAACGCCAAGTCTTCTGTTGATGAAGGCAAGCCAGGTCGAGTCGAGTTGAGTCGGTCTGATTTTGAGATAGTTGAAGAAGGAAATTATGCCTCGGGGCAGCAGGGTTTAAGTATTGATTCCTGGCCCATTTTGTAGAGAAGGTAAATCGTTTCAGTCGAGGGATGGTATTCCATTCTCTCTCACAATTCAATTTGATGCTAGTGAATTGGCTGTCGGGATATCAGATCACGGAGAAAGTGAATTTGTGCCTGGGAGTTAGTGGTCATTCATTCAAGATCGAATAGCAAAGTGAGTGAGTTTTTGGCCGAGAGCCACAGCCATTCATGCAAGAATGACTTCGCCAGCACTGAAGTCACGTTCAATCCAGCCGGCCCTGGGGGTGCTAAAGAAGTGACTGCGGACGACGTAGTATAATTTTGATACAAGGTGGTTAAGTTATTGAGTGTTGATGAAGGGTGGCTTAGACTGCTTAGTTAGCAGTCACACTGCACTATCTGTTTCAATGTTCTTTGTGAATGTCCGTTTTCATATAATCTGCGCTATATGAGCTCAAGATTATGAAACCTGCCATGCATCAGTTTCTAACCTGAGCATCAAGTTTTTATAATGTGTGTGGGATTAGTTAAGCAGATCAAAGAGTACGTTATGCTTGACAAGGACAGTAGCTGATGGTAAATTCCAGCGAATTTAATCGACGATGGAATGAGTCACCTGACGCGATCCACTGCCAACAGAGGACAGCAGACAAGCCAACCCCTCTTTCGTACTCCACAAGCTCATTTTGTCTAGCCGATCGTTTTGACTTGTGGCCCGTTCTCAATGTTGGCTTTGTTGATCATGTATCGTGGACACATGTCTCCATCTCTCACGCTCAATCCTCGAATATCGACGCCACAATCACACGCATAGTCCCACTCGACGCCGAAAAGCCGGACTGTGCTCCCGATTTTCGGTAATTCACACCGATATCGTTCAAGTCGAGCGTCTGAAAGCTTAGGATAACTAAGTCGGTGCTGCGAGCTTCTTTAAAAACCCGATCAGCTACGAACAGCAGCTGCGCAAAACCATGTCTGATCCCTCGCATGTGTGCAGAGCATTAAAAGACTACTATCTTACATACGCGGACATCCGGCAGACGGCGAAGTCCTGTCGTCTTTGCTGGCTTCATGTGAAGGTTCTTGAAGCCTTTGCCAGCGGGTGTTTCCCCGCTCTGTTTCAGGGAGCACAAGACAAGGCGCAACATGCCGATGTCCTCAAACGACTGGAATTTCTGCCACAGCCGGATGCGTATAAGCTTCCCGAGACCCCAATGCAGATATTCCTCATGGGAACCTTCCTGAATCTTGTCATTTGCAGAGAATCTGACGAAGGAAACACTTTTACTGTCCAAGGTGTCTCCTTTCCCTCTCTGACGAGGCCTCGTTTTTCGAACACACATTACCCAGACAGGAGCCTTGAAAGGGCTGGACTTTGGCTCCGTCAATGTTTGGACCAGCATAGTTGCGGAAAATCGGACTTCTACCCAAAAAGGCTGCTCAATGTTCGTGAAGATCCGATTCGACTGTTTGAAACGAACGAAATCAAACACTTCAAGGACCCGTATGTCTGCCTCAGCCACCGCTGGGGTAGTCCGAAACACAGACGATTGACCAGTACGGTGGGGAATATTCAGAATCACATGGAAGGAATTCCGTGGGACGAAATCCCGAAGACGTTCCAAGATGCTATCATGGTCTGTAGACGCATGTCTGTAAGCTATCTTTGGATAGATACACTATGCATTCTGCAAGCATATTCTGGCATGTCTGGCGAGGATGCGGCCAAGACCGAGGCCGATTTCGCAGCAGAGAACTCAGCAATGGCGCGGATATATCAAAACTCTCAATTCACGATCTGCGCCAGTATGTCGACTAGTATGGACAGTGGAATCTTTTCCGCCAGAAAGAATGATCGCCGGATCAAGATTACCGGAGACGACGGGACTGAAGCCATCCTCCGAGTCACGGTGGAGCATTCGCATGATACGCCACCAACAGACCTGGAGACTAGGGGCTGGACGTATCAGGAGTATCTTCTGCCTCCCAGGATTCTAGAATTCGGGCCGTTCGACATCTCTTGGAGGTGCCAGGAGGAGCATCGTTGCGAATGTGGAGATATAGGGTTGAAAAGCGATTGGGGTTGGCGTAAAGTGCTGTCTAAACAAGCTTGGCCACCTGGAAATGCTAAAGGTGAGGCTGAGAAGTGGTGGGTTAGGACAGTTCAACACTACACGGCGCGAAACCTGACAAACTACCAAGACAAACTACCCGCCCTTTCCGGACTTGCACAGATTTATCATGAAGCCACGGATGATATTTACTTGGCGGGTCTGTGGAAGGCTTCTTTACCCCACAGCCTTTGTTGGTACCACTGCAGCGGGGAGCAGGAATTTGAAATGGCTGCAGGTATCGGTCGCAGGCCTCAGGCATATCGTGCTCCCTCCTGGTCTTGGGCTTCTGTCGATGCCTTGCACAATGCTCAGTGCCGAACCTGGTGGCCAGGCACCCTCGACGATTACATCAGCCTGATTAATTGCAAAACCTACGGAAAGATCGATCTACGAGAGCTCTGCACAATATACGAAGTCGATGTCCAGCCGAAAACAGGTGACCCATTTTCCGAGATACTTCCAGGGGCCTTCCTCGAACTTGGGGTCACACTTATCTCTGCGAAAATTGACGTCCAGACTCAAGGCCGTGAGCCACCCTTGTACATGGACGACTTCAGGGGCGACCCCGAGGTGGCTTGGACATTGAACCATGTCAATCAGGACGACACAATTGTTGCATTCTGTTTACCTGATTGCGGGCTGGAAGACGACGGGTTGGAACATCAGGATGAAGTACACTGTGCTCCAATACTTGAAAAATCGTCTGACGAGGTCTCAGAGAGAGGCTGTTTGGTCCTGAAGCGGCTTCGAGACCAAGAATATCGTCGCGTGGGCTTCTGTATCTTGCTCAAAGAAAACCCAAACCAGAGCTATTTGGCAAGGGGACATGGTCCGGAACCTGTGGTTCCGGAACACGCAAGCTGGGCACAGTGGTCTCTGGGCACGGAAACACGGATAAAAGTTGTGTGATGTTTGTCCACAGAACAGAACACTCGTTAGGGGGAGAAACTCTGGCTCGAAGACAATATAGGCTATGGCAGTGAGGGGGTGGGGGTCTAGTAAATAAGTGGTTACGTACGTCTTGAGAAAGAGTGCCCTCTAGGCCCCTTGTACAGTCAGAAACCTAGCCACTACGTCAACTTCGAATACAAATTTCGCCAATTTGCCGATCCATCGTTGCCTTCCACACAGGTAGTACGTATAGGTTTCTTACCCGAGCGAGCGACCTCAAGCCTATTCATGAGACCGCCTCCTATACGCTCATGACAAACTCCACCTACTCCCACGGCCTATACATCTGCGAGCGACTCAATGTGAGGATCATCAGGTGCCTCGGAGATGATGAGATAGTAGCGACTGCGGCTGCAAGGTCGATCGTTGTTCTGAATAGCCTATTAGACGGCCTCAACCAGTATGGCTGCGATGCGCTACTTGCTGAGTAACATCAGATATCGTCGCTCCACGGGCTCGACTTTAACCTATACCGTCACGCGAAAGAGTATACATACCACTTTCTTCGCCGAGAACCTAAAAACATAGCAAGAGGTACTCAACCCGTTGATGACCAAGCATACGAATGCAGTATCGTAAGGTGATCAAACATACGCAACAGTAACTGGCTCTTCTAATGCTCTCTCAGCTCCAAAGAAAGACTCAAAGATGGCTAAAGTGACCGTTTCTGCCGTTTTCCTACCGCGATGTAATTAATGTTGTTCCATAGACGGCGTTAACCATTAGACTTAAAGTCCTGAAGCTTCAAGAAGTGTGGTTTCGACTTTGTCGAGTGGAGAGACACGTCAGAAACAAATAGCATTTCAGAGTTTCGCCACGGAGCAGGCCAACCAGGAGCTACGAGGGTTTGTCGAAAAGGTGGAAACTGCTATATAAGTCGAGCTAGACTACAAACAAACACATACGACCATAGGTACCAGAAAATTCGGGATCCCGTCCGCTCTCCCATAGACAAGCTGGTAACCGCTGGATTAGTAGTTGGGTCGGTGACGACCAGCGAATACCCGGTGTTGTATGTTTTTTGTCATTTTTGTGGGATCCAGCAGTGGAGCCCTTGTGGAGTTGTTCGAAACTAGGGCTGGTCAGATAGGGCTGTGTGTTCATGGTTGCGAAGAGTTGAAGTCTGAATACAAGGTTGGGCGAAGGTCTCAAATGCCATGAGGCTTTGTGATTGCACATACTGCATCTGGTGTCGTTGAAGTTACTATGATTGGACATAAACTAACAACTTTTTGAGGCCAAAGCAGTTGTGTGACAAGTCTTGGGAGACGTCGTTCAAGAAACGTCCCAGGAATTTCCACAATAGGCTAGACTGGCGGGTACTTGTGCGGCTCTCCACGAACGGACTTCCTCATTCAGAGTTGGGGAAGCGACTGGGCCTGGGATATCGGGGAAGTGGCAGGGATCTGGCGTGGCAATGTTTGGGGTAGGTCAGCGTCTTGCCATCTGTAGATCTGGGGAACTTATGCCGAGGCACGTCCTCACGTCCCCGCAACATCCTAAACCTCGGAGCCCTCGGCGCAAGGCATATAGCCTACTTTCATCATAGGCCAAGGGAATCAAACCACCAGCGCTGATTTCTGTCGCTCGCTCGAGTGGAATTTATATCGCCTCCATCTTTGCCATCACACGCCGAGTAGGATTTCAAACTATAACCCCCAACTTTGCTTTTCTCCTCCAATTCTGGCATCGACCAAAGCCCAGCCGTCGCAACATTCACAATGGCACCCAAACAGAAGCAGCCATGCTACGTCCTCGGCGTGGGCATGACCAAGTTCATCAAGCCCCGTGGGAAGGTGGACTACACGGAGCTCGGGTTTGAGGCCGGCGTCAAGGCCATGCTGGATGCAAAGATCAACTACGACGACGTCGAGCAGGGCATCGCCTGCTACTGCTACGGAGACTCGACGTGTGGCCAGCGGGTCTTCTACCAGTTTGGCATGACCCAGATCCCCATCATCAATGTCAACAACAACTGCTCCACCGGTTCCACCGGTCTGGCCATTGGGAGGCAGTACGTGTCCAGCGGCGCTGCTGACTGCGTGCTGGTCGTCGGCTTTGAGAAGATGATGCCTGGAAGCCTGCAGACCTTCTTCAACGACCGCGAGAACCCCACGGGAACATCGGGCCTGATGATGGCGTCTACTCGGGGCTTCACAAATGCCCCAGGTGCTGCTCAGATGTTCGGTAATGCTGGCCGTGAATACATCGAGAAGTGAGTTCACCTTGGCCCATGCGAATGACCACAGGCTAACATTCACCGACAGGTACGGTGCCAAGCCAGAGGACTTTGCTGAGATCGCCCGCATCAACCACGCCCACAGCGTGAACAACCCATACTCACAGTTCCAAGACGTCTACACCCGCGAGCAGATCGAGAAGGCCCCGATGATCTTCGAGCCCCTGACAAAGCTGCAGTGCTGCCCCACCTCGGACGGCGGCGCGGCGGCGGTGCTCGTCTCGCAGGCCTTCCTGGACGCCCGGCCGCACCTCAAGGAGCAGGCCGTCCAGATCGCAGGCCAGTGCCTGGCGACAGACGCGCCCTCGCTCTTCTCCAAGAGCTCCATCGACCTGATGGGCCGCGAGATGACGGAGCACGCGGCGCGCACCGCCATGGCCGAGGCGGGCGTGGGGCCCTCCGACTTCAGCGTTTGCGAGCTGCACGACTGCTTCAGCGCAAACGAGATGATCACCATCGACTTCCTGGGGCTGTCGGAGCCGGGCAAGGCGCACGAGCTCGTCCGCGCCGGCGGCATCACCTACGGCGGCAAGATCGTCATCAACCCCTCTGGCGGGCTCATCTCAAAGGGCCACCCGCTCGGCGCCACGGGCATCGCACAGTGCGCCGAGCTCGTCTGGCACCTGCGCGGCTGGGCCAACAACCGCGCCGTCTCCGGGACCAGGTACTGCCTGCAGCACAACCTCGGCCTCGGCGGCGCCGCTGTCGTTACGGTTTACAAACGGGCGGACGGGAAGGAGGCCCCCAAGGTGGATGATGCTATGGTGGGCAAGGTCACCGGCCTGGGGTATAACCCTGCCACTCAGGCCAAGGGGTTCACAGCTGCGCAGGCGCGGGCGGTACGAAGCAAAGACCGGGCCAGTGAATGGGCCCTGCAGGACACAGAGAAGAAGGTAGAATCCAGGTTCTAGGTTTTGTTTGGGCTGTCAACGTGATCATGTAGCCGCAAGAGTTTGAGCTGTGAAAGTGGTACAATTACATAGAAGCAAATTTTTGAGAAACATTTGCGCTGTGCAGACATACTTTTGAAAACACACTCTGTCTACGCCCCGTCACTCCATACATCAATGGGCACCTGCCACCCCGGAGATGGCCCACAAGGACTAGTGGCTGCAAGGAGAGGCGGCTGGGAGGAGAGGAGGATGTTCGTTCTCATGGGCGAAAATGAAGAACTGACAACCCTAAAAATGGAAAGGCTGGTGTGTCCAATGAACTGGTACACATTTTCACAAGCAAACAAGCCCTTATCTGCATTTTGAACCACTTCAATGATGTGTCGGCTAACTTGCTGGTTTCACATACCTGCAACCCGAAGACAACTCAGACTGGTAGAGTTCAGCGCATGCAATTCATGAGCAATAGAAAGGATACATTCTAAGTCGTACACATTCATTCCAAGAGCAAATAGCTGCATTAAAAGTGACTTTGGTGGTGGCGAAGTCGTTCTTGAATGAATGGCTGCTGCCTTTGCAGGCACAAACTCCTGTGTACATCGCTATCCAATCTCAAATGAATGACTGCTATCTCTGTGGCACAAACTCACTCACTCCGCGATCTGATGTTTCGACAGCCAATTAACTAGCCCATACTGATTTGAATGTGAGAGAATGAAATGCTTTTGAGCTGTAGATTGATTCAGTGTCACCTCGGTATGGGTCAGGAATTGATGGTTAAGACCTGCTGCCACTGGGCAGAGTTCCCTCTTTCAGAAGCAGGACCGAATCGACTCTATTCGGATTCTCTCTCATCAATCCATGGTCTTTAGTGGTTGATAATGACCTTCCACTGCTGAGACCTTGCGCAGGTAAGTGTCCAAGTCTTCTTCAAGGCTTCCCACTCGTTGGCTGCAAAATCGGAATTGATGGACGTGAGCACCGAGATTGACTGGGCCTTGCTAATCGTCATGATTTTGGCAGCTTCAAAGGCATCCAACCCCTAGCCTCGTCTCATTTGCATACAGTTCGCCGAAAGAAATCTATCCGAGACTGCTGCTAGACCTCCACAACACCGCGATCATCTTCATTGTGCACTCTGTTCGGCAGAAATCTTTCAGAGCGCGACTCGAAGCCGATCAGCACACTGAGAAGCCATCTAAATTGCCACCCAACCTCGAAGACGAACACCAAACAGAGATGGATTCTCCCACGATGCAGTCCGAGCACGATCAATCCACGAGGCATGTCCAAGAGGAGGGTAAAATCGAGCCAAGGTCCAATGATGCCTTTTCGGATCACGATGAGCAGACATCATCGTCACAGCTCACCACTCCTGATACCTTGACTTCGGACACGAAATCCCCAGGCCCCGACGAAGGCGAATGGGGGGTACATAACCACATGGCTCATGTTACAGTCAAACAACCAGGACCTGTGAAGCATCAGAGCGCAGTATCAGCATACTGGCGCCTAGTGTCCGGGAGGCTTGTCGCCGACTGGGGCGGCTCGCTTTTCAGTACAGCTGCTGCGAGTGAAAAGCCATGGAACCTGAAAGACGACCTACCTCTGTTGGGTATGTTTCCTGATGGTCCTTTCTCACAGGAAGACCTGGAGAAACAGAGAGCTTTCTTGGAGCGTGAGTAATCTACGAAGCATACCATCCTGACATGATGACCTAGCATCTAGCACCTGTGCTGACCGTCAATTCCTCCGCAGGCTCTCAGACCGGAGTTCCAAAGTTCTTGTTCCGAGGATTCCACGCCAAATCTGGTGGAGGTGAAGATGCCAGGCTGAACTCATGGAACGGCATCATACCGCACGCGTTCCTGCGTGCGAACTCGCTGTACCGGGACAAGAAGGGGAAACTGATAAACATGTGGGAGATTCAAGCAGATTGGCTCTACGACATAATTACCCTCCACATTGAGAACTATCGCCGCATTGAATCGCCCTTCAGTTCATGGACCCATACCCTGGAAACGGCCCTGAAGTTTGCCCTCGAGAACGATTCCTCTACAATCGCGGTGGTTGACACCTCACATGCATCCCTGGTAGACCGCGTCTGGTACACCGAGGACTTAAACCGGGCGGATCTGACTGCTACGTCGTTTCCCGACGAATTCCTTGTCTATGGGCCCGTCAGTGGGCCAAACTATCATTGCATCTCGGTCCGGGACTTGGTGAACACGACGAGGATCCGGGATATCATCGACTCACCACCCACTGCGTTCGGAAACGACCGCGTTTCGTGTATTGAGCGGGGAGCGGTCGAGGCATCCAGGCAGATCGCTACCGCCCTACAGCCCCCGGACGCCAGCTTGGAGAATATCGTGATTCTTACGGCGAGGTTCGTCGGAGTCCGCGCGGCCAAGTTTATGGACAGGCTCGACTACCTAGGCGATCCTGAGCTGAAAGCGTTTCTCTACTACGTAAGAGACGATCTGCAGCGTCTAGCCCTGCGCTTAGACGCCAGATATATCTCTCTTTCTGATAAAACCATGGACACGTGCTTCTCGGCCGCCTTGGAGTTTGAGGTACAAATGCTGCAGGCTGCCGAGAATGTCGTGCGCGTTCTGGCCTGGGATCGAGAACGGCCATTGCCAAGTTCCCTCACTGCCACCGCCCAGGACCAACTAGAAGATACCGTCAATACCGACTACGTCGAGGAGCACGTGCGAAAGGGTCGACACGTGAGCTGCGGGACTCTTACCGGCGAACTTGACGGAGAAGGAGGGAGGGAGTGATAGTACTTTCTATCATGCGGATAAGAAGGCATCCGCCTGCAGCGAGACAAATTCTGCCGGGACATCATCGATGATTGTGCTTCCTAGAGAAGAGAACTGTCTGGATCACCTCAGCCGAATATAATTCACATCAGACACATCGTAGCAGGGAGCTGATCTCATCGCTTCATGTCTATATGTGGCGTGAGCAGCTTACGAAGTGTCCCAAATGTGACATAGCTATGTTTTGACAAAAGCAAGTTGATGTATTCCTCGAGACGAATAGGAATTTTCCGTCCCCTTCCGTTAACACACACAAATTTGCCTGTAAGTGAAGTCATTGCAACAGCTACAACGTCGCCTGGGTGGCACCGTCGCTTGCATTTAAGCACGCATACGAATCATACTTTGGCACGTACACATGGCATGAAGACTCTCGACCCTCAGCTATCTTGCAATTCGTATGTCCTGTGGATTTGATTCAGACAGTGTCTATTAGCGACAAGTGCTACGGGCTTTTGGAACTCAGATTCCGTTCCGACGTGCCCAAATTCCATATCCCGTCGCAGATCCAATCTCCTTCTCCGTCCAGCTCCCACAAGAATCCAGGGATCTGGTCAAAGCGAGAGTCATACTGGCCGGACACTCCCACCCACGTCCAAAAGTCGTGCCACAGCGTTGGCAATGATCGCCAAGGCCCGGACCGGGGGTGCGGCGGCATCTCCTTGATGCCATTTTGATCAAAGCAGTCGGCGACTTTATTCCACACTCTCTCGTCCTTGAGTCGGTGCACCGCGATAGGTTCTTCGGCGATAAGAGCGTGATATGTTGCGTTAGGGTGTGTTTGCCTTCTTGCCCAGGCTGTCCCGTCCCCACGAGCGTCAGCATCATCGTAGTCGAATTTCTCTGTGCCCTTGAAGTTCACAAAGTCGGCTTTTTGGCCGCCCTTCAGCATCAACACGGCTGGAGCCATGTCCTCTCCCGTGACAACCTGAAAATTCTCCTGTAGAGATGCAAGGAGCTCCACCATATCCCACGTCATTGTGTACATGGCCCCGTGAGGGAAGACCAGGTCGTCGGTTCTGGAATAATACAGTTCTCCGATGACAGTGTGATTGGCAGTGCTCACGAGATGCCCATCCAAGGAAGATTTGGTCATCCGTGGGACTAGGAAACGATCCCAGAATCCACGCGCGTTCAGCCAAAGGTCCGTGTCCATCTTGGAGACGAATTCGTAACGCACGTCGTTTCTGACCAGCCACCTGTAGAGCTCGAGTGTTTTGACGGTGTTTGCGGTGACGTCGTCCTCCGCGATGTTGTCCAATACAATCATGTCCCCATATGTGCGATTCTCGCTGGCCACCGCTTCGGTCCACCGCTGACCCGGGTTCGAGACGACGAAGCGACCGTCGGAAGGCACGTCTCGGAAGAGCTGCATCCAGCTGGAGCGTATGAGCATTCTTCGTTCAGCGTCTCCTGCTGCTGATATGACGGCAGCGAGCCATGGATGATGTTGTTCATTCTGCGCCCAGCTTTTTGTTTCGTTTCTCATTGGAGACGGGGGAAAGGGATTGAGAGCGTATTTTGGTTCTGGTAAGCCGTTCACAGGATTTCCATGGATGATGACCTCTGTGGATGGAGCTTCGAATGGCTTGTGATGTCGAGGTTGGGTATCCCAACGGAGATAGACCATCACACCAACGAAGATGCAACAAATACTGATGACCTTGAGGATTTTCCTCTGGACCCGTTTCTTAATCTTGGTCCACAACAATGAGAGCACTGATACGGCAACAGTGCTTGCGGACATGGTGTCTTTTGGTTGAATGCGAGTAAGTTCACTCTGACTCCTTCCGTGACGGAGACAAGCCGGTTGTGGTAATGAGGACATTGACAACGAGGACGTAATAAAGAAGCAAACGCTTCTGCCCCACCTTAGGGAATACAAACCCTGGCCCAGAATTGCAGTGGTGCATTTGACTGCATTGGCAGCTTCCTAAACGGTGGGTCGTTGCAAACAAGCAGGCACAAGAGAACGGGGTTGGTTCTTGTGCTCATTCTGTCACATGGAATCCACCAGGCAGTGCAAACACAGTACAGTTCTAGATTCAAAGCATCAGCTAGCCCAAATCGGAAATAAAATTGTTGGTCGGTCTTTTTCCCTTCTTCTGGTATCGCTTGCACAAACCTTGCACAGGCCAAAACAGGTTGATTATTCTTTATCGGCAAAGTTCTCTTGAAAAAAGAAGATAAAAAAAATCAAGGTAAGCGGTACCTGAAAATATGGGTGATGACCGTATCACTTTGTCATCCACTTGCACAGAACAATCTAAAATCTGGGGACGGAGCGTTCTTCGACGTGTGGGTGCAAGCGAGTGTGTGTTGGATTATGTGCTCCGGGCGCGCTCCGGGTGGCGTTTATGTTGAAAATCTAGGAAACAAAGCTACTGCCTTTGTCAGAAGTGAAGAAGAAAATTCGACATTTTCCTGCTCAATCTCCAAGCTCCATCATTCCAAATCTTTACATAGATACCCAACAGCATCATTCTCCCAGTCTTCTGCGGTTAGCTCATCTCCGGAAAGGTTGGATTCTTCATCGTCTTCTGAATATTCCATATCCTCATCTGGGCCCCATTCAAGGTCATACTCATGATGATCCCTCCATGGCTGCGACAGTTCAGGGCTAGCGCCCGACCACTTAGCATCCTCTGCATGTTGGTGTATGAGATCTGCAACCGCATGGTGTCCTCCACATCTTGCTTCATCGATTGCCCCATCGTAGCCAGTCTTTCCCCTGTAGTGGCTGAGTGCGTTGCAATTCAAAAGCAACTTAACCATGTCTATGCGACCGTTTTCAGCTGCACCGTCCAGAGCGGTGCCAAGTCGCGGTTCCATAAAACTACCGTGAGAGAACACGCTTGCACACGGCGGTGCGTTGACGTCGGCTCTGGGGTTGTGGAAAAGAAGCAACTTTGCAACGGCTAAGTCCCCTGATGCCGCTGCCTCTTGCAACGCTGTTTTCCCTTCAACACGCGCAGGAGCGGCATTGACGTCAGCGCCATGAGCGAGGAGGAGACGCATTGTTCTCAACTTTCGCTTCTGACCTTCCAAGAAATCTAGCTGCGAACCACAACTAGCTTGAAGGGCTGTATACCCCCACATTCACTTAGCTGGTGCGTTGACGTCGGAGCCTGCCTGAAGGAGAAGCTCGGTGATATCCACACTGCACTCGCGCGCAGCTGCTTGCAAAGGGGTTGTGATTGCTGGAGAAGCCTTACCTCGAAAGTAGGCATTCGGCTCTGCACCCGACTTCAACAGCTCTCGGCAAACTTCAATTCCACCACCCCTACCGATCCATGTTGCCAGTGGAGACCCAGGTCGCAGCTGTGCCCCGTTTCTGTACAGATACTCAAAGACACGCGTACTGCGACACGCTTCCAAAAGCGGTGCTGTCGGGAATGGGGAATTGCGTAGGTCATAACCCGCGCCGACAATATATTGTATGACAGCCATGATCTCCCCTTCCCCTAACAATTCCCAGTTGCAGAGTTCCAGCGTAAACTGTAGCAGGTGGTGCAAATGGATCTTGGTGACCCGCAACTTCGCGATGGCTTAATGGACCCTGAATGCCAATAGCTCAGCCTCTGGGCTTACAGGGTTCCCGAATCCTCCTCCGTTCGATACCAAGAATTCTCGGCAATCCTTTGCTACTCCTTCCAGTAATGAGTGGTAGTGGGAAGGACTTGAGAATATAAACAACCAATCACTGGCCGACGCCGAGGGGAGGATTCGGGGCGATTATTCTACCTACGGGAGCTCGTGGGGAGGCAACCAAGCAATCACCCCTGCAAAACCAGGACTGATTTGTCGCTTTCCATACCGTTTGGCTTATGCTACTAGCATTACTTGAGAGACGTGCAACATGAGGTCTTGAGTCTCTGGTGTTAAGCACTTTGCATCAGTCCAAAGCTGAAACTTTCTTGGTCATTAATTCTCGACACTGAGGGCCACATCCGGCAACTCACAAGCATAATTGTGTGCGCCTCTTTGATTTTGCTCACGCCATTACAGTACTTCTATTTTAAATTTTTGAATTCCCCAGGCCTCATTATGCAGGAGACATTCGTGGATGGAGTTACTAGGACCCAGGGTCCTCAGCAGTCCACTTTCAGCTCAGATTATGGGGATCAAGCCCCTCCGCAACCCATTCCAAGCCAAGATGATAGAACCCAAGGTCCTCCCATGGCAAATGCGGGCAGATATCATGCCCCTCCTACAAACTCGGACCAAGAACGCGCACCGCAGGTGGCCCCAACAGTGGCACCGACAGGTGACGAATCACGACTGCCCAGAGCCGTCGTCGTCCCGCAGAGGCGCCCCAGCGATCGCGCACGAGGTTTCGTCCGGGCGTATGCGCCCGACCTGCTCTGCTGCGGAATCGACCAGGAGACCTTTCTCCGTTTCATCGACGGCCTCAACAAGTCCGTCGCCTCCAACCCGGCTGTAGAGGCCGTCAACATCGCGGGCGAGGCTGTCGGTGCGGTGCCTGGGTCCGAGTTCGTCGGCGCGCCTATCGTCGGGGCGGCACTGCAGGTGGCCGCCGGCGCCTACAAGGAAGTAAACGCCCGAAAGGGGTATGTGCTTCCTCTTTTCTTATCCCTGCTTAGAACTTCTGCGTGACGGCATTCGTGAAGAAGCTGACCTGTGATTGGCCTTACCTGGCCGTTGCAGTCAGAATGGCTACCTCGTCAAGATGAATGATGAGCTTTTCCGGCCGCGCGGTTTGTACTGTCTTATCATGTCCTACGACGTGAAGTCGCGCAGCAATGTCGTGCGGCCGGGCCAGAGTGATAGCCCCAGCCACATCATCCGCCAGGGCATATCCCAGGGCACGAAGAGTAGCAGCATGCGGAGCAATGATGGCATACTTGGAGCCTCCAACTTTCCTGCGGCAGCCCAACTTGTCTATGTTGGCCCAAAAAATGCGCTCGGAAACAATGTCGAGGAAAATAGTGGCGAAGAGAGGGTCAAGCCCGGGGCCTGGGGCCAGAGCCGTACCAAAGTCCAGAGTATGTTGACCGCTCACGCTGATAAAGAAGATCTAAAGTCCCAAGCCAAATTTGTAAGTTTTCTCTGCATTGAAACATCTCTGAATGAGTTGTGTCTTCTGTGGAACTTTTGTTAGATTTGCCTCCGGTGCTGAATGTGTTGCAGCAAAAGAAGAACCCAACGAGCCCGATCAACTGCCTAATGGACCCCAAGGTGGAACTCAGCGAGAAGGACAGGCAGAAGCAAGAGAAACGTGAAGCCGAGCAGGACAAGAAGGAAAAGAAGCGCGAGCGCGAGGCGGAGAAACGGGCGCTCAAGTACCCAGACAAAGCACCCAAAGTGCACAAGCCAAAAGAAGTAGTGCTATCCAAGACTTCATGGTCCCCTATACTGAAGCAGTACCAAAACTCTAACCAAAAATGGCCTCAATGCTTTAGGGTATCCTATATGTAATGATTGTCAACATGCCGTCAACCCAGGACACGGAGACGGCTCACAGGTCAGTTGATGGCCTGAGGACAAGTCCGGGATTTGGTGCAGGGTGAATCTGTAGCAACAGGCCACAAGAATCGTCCTATCTTTTAATCTAGCGCAAGAAATAGAACAGAAGCCGTGCCTTGAGATATGATGATAGTGAGAACCATGGAATAAGTTCATCCGTACTTCACCCTAACCTGCGATCTAACCATACAAAAGATTAATCCTTCACCATGCTCCATCCAAACCTGAACATCGTTTGCGGTTTCATGAAACACTTCAGACCAGCCTCGCCGCCCTCAGCACCAAACCCACTATGTTTGGTTCCACCATAAGGCTCGGGTCCCAGAGCCCTAGGATGGCAGTTGGCCCAGACCATACCAGCCTGAATCCTTTTGCCCAGCTCAACGGCTTTATCGTCGTCCTTGCAGTACACTGTCGCTCCCAACCCGTACTCCGAGCTGTTGACTTCCTTGATGACTTCTTCAAAGTCCGTCCAACGGCGGTATGGGCAAATGGGGCCGAACTGCTCCTCTGTGACAAGGCGGCAGTCGGGAGGAGGGTCGAGGACGAGCGTGGGATAGAAGAAGTATCCCTTGTCAGGGCGCTCATGGGAGGAGCCGTTCACTTTCCCTTCATTGACAGCCTGCGACTTCCTCGCCGAATCGCGGTTCCTGCCATCCAGGACGATGTTGTAGCCGTTTGTCTCGCATTCCTGTTCGAGGCGCTTGAGACGGCGGAATAAGTCAACATTCTGGATGGGGCCCATGTAGGCATCTGGGTCGGCGCACGAGCCGACGACCGTCTTTCTGGTAGCGTCGAGTAAAGCTTCCAGGAAACGTTCGTGGACGTCTGCGTGCACGTAGATTCGTTTGGTGGCGATACAGGCCTGGCCGGAAATGAACCACGTCGCCAAGGCAACCTCATTGGCCACCCTTTCAATCTCCTCCACGTCGGGGCAGACAATCACTGGGTCATTGCCGGCGCTACAAGATTGTGATGATCTGTCAGAGCCGTGTCGCGGAGAGAGCAAGGGGGCCAGCAAAAGGAAGGGCAGTGACTCACAGTAGAAGCGTCAATCTCTTCAAATTCTTTGCCGCCAACTCCTGTATCTTCTTGCCTGTGCGCGTATGTCCCGAGAAGGCTATCATGGGAATGCCGGGATGTTCAACCAGCCAAGCACCCATATCATCGCTGCCACCCAGGATTTGGAAAACGCCCGGAGGAAAGGCCTCTTGAGCGATTTCGCAGAACTTCAAAGCCGCATAAGGCGAATAGGGGCTGTTCTTGCAGATGATGACATTACCAGCAATGATGGCTTGGAAAATCTTGATGCCCATTACCCCAACCGGCAGATTCCAAGGGCAAATGGCACCGACAATTCCAACAGGGAAGTACCGCCGAACTGTTAGGACTGTTTCATCGTCTTGGAGGACTTCTTCAGGGATCTCGAGGGTCACTGTTCCTCAAAAGATTAGTAGGAGTTTCGAGGGTACAAGAAGATGGAGAGGGAAGATACAATTGCAGTTCAGTTGAGCCATTGTTAGTACCAGTTCAGCTTCTGTAATCTTTTGCTGTTGTTTACGTCTTCGTTAGCCCATCATTACGTACCATCGAGCACACTGCCTCTAGAAAGGGAGAGATTTTAGAGCATGTGAGACTGACCGTCTTCCCAGTCTCTGCCATAATGACCTGTGACAGATCATTTTCATACTTCTCTATCAGGTCCCGAAACTTGCTCAAACATTTCCTTCTTTCCTCCAGGGAAGTTTGAGACCAAGATTCAAAGGCCTTCTTGCCTGCAACGACAGCATCTTCGAGATCTGCTCTGGTAGCTATGGGCGCCTCCCATAGTTCTTCTTCAGTAGCAGGGTTAACGCCGCGAACTGTTCGTTCGGCGCCACGTCGCTGACCATCAACAATCTGGAATGGTCAATGTCTATGCAAATGCTGAGTAAATGATTGAGTGGTGACTCACATTGTAAAAGGAGGTGAATGACAGCTCCGTCTGGGTTCTTGCTTGTTTGAGCAACATGGTGCTGCCAATTACGCGAAAATGGAGACTGATTTGTGAGTATAGGACCTCAGCCAAGTAACAAAATTCATCAAGACAGCCGTTGATGACGGGAAACTCGGGCGTCAAGTTGACCTATTTCAAGCTGTATTCGGTGCTGACTTGGATCAATTATAAGCATGTGACCGATCAGCTGTTACCACCTTGGCAGGACCGGAAGCCACAAGTCCTGGCCATATAAAGTTGAGGTTTTAAATTGTTCTGAGACTTTTTTCCACCCCACCGTACTGCAAGAGGGGGTTGCAATGTCACGAGAGGCGCGTGCAAGAGTCAATACTCTCCAATCATGCTCATCATCACAGAGGAAACCTCGTCTAGCCAAGGAAAAGAGAGCGAGAGGAAGCTTGCTTCCTGATAGCCTCAAGGCGTTCGGGGCCAGCGGCAGGCAGGCCGGGGAAATCTATCTACCAGCCACGCCAGCCCGATGCGCCATGACCAATGTGATCAGTCTATTGCACGATATCTTGACTCAGTTTAAGCCTTTGATAGCATCTCGGGGATGTAGTGAGTGCTTAAGCCTTTCATTAAGCTTTTGGTTCAAGTCCTGTGCGATTCTAATGCCAACGGACTGACTCAAGTACAATGAGCTGATGAATACAACACCTAAGGGTCTTGGAATCAGAAACTCTTGAACATGTGCAGGAATAAGACCATTTCGCTTTTGGAAGCCAAGAGGGGTCGTTCGCTTCAAATACCTGCAGCCACCCTGAGCATTCAAGCTGAAGATACCCTCTTTCACAAAGTATTGATTCATTCTATGGGACCGCCATGTCGTCAGCACTCAGCTCGATATTCTCACAATTGTCTTACCTTTTGGCAGATTCAAATTCGCCAAGCTCGGGTGAATTCATGAATGAGCGTTTGCGTACCAAGGCGCTCCATCTATCTCAACAGCTCACAACAGCCCTTCAAAAGCCAGCTGATGCTGCTCTAGAGCTAGGTCTACTTGTAAGATACCTCCCTGGCTATCACGTGGTGATGATTCTCACAGTGTATCATAGCCCACTATATCCATATGTGTCCGAATCGGGGTTCAGCTGGGTGTTTTCACGATCTTGGCCGATAGCAACACGCCCAAGACAGCTCAGCAGCTTTCTGATGAAACCAAGGCTGAGAAGCTACTGATTGGTGAGCTCCATTTCCACTCTTCTTTGCACAAACGGTAACTGACATATTTTTACCCCAGTCCGCATAATGCGTGTTCTTGCCACAAACGGCACTGTTGAGGAGATTGGGATGGAGAAGTACAAAGCCACCCCGATCACTTGTGCACTGGCCAAGCCCGCAATCCAAGCAGGCCACATTCATTTGTGAGTCACTTTTCTTGGCATTTCAATCCGTCATGCTAGACTTGGACTCACCGTTGACAGCTGGGACCAATACGTGTGCTCTCTGTCCAAATTTCCCCAGTATCTCGAAGTCCGCGGTGCGGCATGCCCCAGTGACCCCAACAACGGCCTGTTTCAATTCTCACACGGGACGTCTCTCGAATCATTCGCACTATGGCAGTCTAAGCCAGCCATTCTCGATAACTTCAATACCTTCATGGAAGGTGTCCGGGCCGACAAGCCCTCCTGGGTCGAATGGTTTCCCATCCAAGACACAATCCTCGCCGGTTCTGACCCGGCGTCCGATGCCCCGACTCTGGTTGACATTGGCGGCGCGCGCGGTCACGATTTGATCACATTTGATGCGCGCTACCCGCAACCTCCGGGTAAACTTGTTCTAGAGGACCTCCCTTCCGTGATCGATGATATTCGAAGCCTTGACTCAAAGATCAGGCGAGTGAAGTACAACTTCTTTCAGCCCCAACCCATTAAATGTGCAAGGGTGTACTTCTTCTGTCATATATTCCACTGCTGGCCTGATAAGGACTGCCTGAGGATACTGCAGAACCTACGCGGATCGATGAAGAGAGGATACTCCAAGGTCATCATCAATGAGTTGATCCTGCCAGACACAGGGTGCTCTTTCTACCCAGCTTGTCTAGACTGGGTCATGTTGGGTCTGCATGCAAGTTTTGATCGTACTGCGGGTCAGTGGAAGCGGTTGCTGGAGACTGGCGGGTTCAAGATTGATAAGATCTGGATGCCTCCTGGAAATGGGAATGGAGTCATCGAAGCGAGCCTATTGGACAATGGGCTCTGAGTATTGGAGAGCAGACGCGTTGCGCTCATCAGCCTAAGGGCGCAATGTGGGAAATATTGCGAAGAAGAGAGGCGATCTCGTGGCGTTGCAATCGCGAGCCTGATGTCAGCTTACGTGGTTGAGGAATTTCGTATGTTGTTGGCAGTCCTTCCAGGCTGTGATCCGGGACGGCTTTCAGTGGGAATGTTGTAGTAGGTGTCGACGTCACTAGTCACTTCAAAAATCTTTGGTCTGAGTAACATGCGCTTCCGGCCCCATCGACCCTGGCTGCATGTGCCATGCGTCTTGGAGAGGCCTGACACCAAGTAAATCGCACCCAGGGTGTAGGCGTTCTCATCTTATAGCACCGTGAACATCTCCTCATATTTCTTCAGCGCATCCATGGCCCGAGGCGCAGCCACTTTATCATGGGTGATTTGGCGCTTGGCTTTGTCTGGGTTTTCAGCCTCATAGAAAAAGCCCGGGGCAAGAGGAGCGCTAGTGCTTTTACCCCCCCCCCCCAATGTTACTCTGTGCATGGAGCGAACTATTTTCTCCAGACCTCTCTGCACGAACAACTCGCCGCTTCCCACCGATGTCTGTTGTCCTTTCGCCTTGAATCCGGCCGGACACTTCGATACCACCTCTAGCCAACATGGCCGCTTTAACAGAACAACTCATCTTCCAACACTACCCTCTCCCTCATTCTAAAACTCACATCAGGCTGCTCAAAGTCCTCAGCGTGGTCAAGACCCGCGCAATCCCAGTCCACTGCGAGCTCACGACCGTTTCCATTACCGCAGCGCCGCCGTACCGTGCCATATCGTATACATGGGGCGAAGCGCCTCTCGCCTCGATTCTCGTCAATGGACAACAGATGGATGTGCGCTTGAACTGCGAATATGCGCTGAGGCAAACGAGTCCGCACACTGGTGATGGAACCTGAGACTTCCTCGTTTGGATCGATTCGATGTGTGTCAACCAGCTCGACAACGACGAGAAGAGCGCACAAGTAGCCATGATGGGAGAAATCTTCAAGACAGCTACACAGGTTGTTGCCTGCGTAGGAGCTCACGGAGATGACAGTGAAATTTCTCTACGAGTTCGTGCGTGGAGGAGAGGCAAGGATTCAATCGGCCCTCCTTCATTCCCGGGAAACAAGAAGCTACTACGTCTTAAAGCTTAGCCGTACGGAACTGTTTACCTGGAGGCGGAAACATCCAAGATCCATCCTCATTCGACTTTGCAAAGCGCTGGCGAATTTTCTCTCGCGCCCATATTTTCATCGGGTTTGGGTCTACCAAGAGCTTTTCCTCGGAAAGGACATAAGTGTTTACTGCGGTAATGAAATATTACCGATTTCCTGGATCTGGGTGACGAGTTCGGTCGTCGACTCCTGGTTGTGGCCTAGCACCGAATATTGGCTGTTTCTGAACCTTTCGCATCCCGGCATGTGGAGCACATTGTGCTCGGCGATTCGAGAGGCCATGCCACTGCTACTTGCCGGCGCAAAAGAACAGCCGCGGATGCGATTTTCCAGGACCACGTCAGCTGTCGCCGAGCTTTCGTGTCAAGATCCCAGAGATAGAATCTATGGAATTCTTTCAATAGTCGAACCGGTCGAGAGCCAGCGTTTCAAACCTGATTACATGAAGGACAGGCTCGACCTGGCGGTTGAGGTCCTTCAAAAGACCAGACCAGAAGCCATTGTTGGCCTTTCTGACTTCGATGCAATTCATGCATCATACGCAAAGGAAATCGGGCTGAACCTCAACTTGAAAGAAAACCCGTCCCAAAATCTCATTGTTGCGAAAGGGCTTCGTCGATCATCTACGAATCTGCAAGAGACCGTGCCCAATACGATAGGCACGAGAGATAACTGGTCGTTCTTCGTGGGATCTCGAATCTTTTCCCAACGGGACGATTGGAAATTTGAGCATCAACATGAATTGTTCCTGAGGCATGGTCTGGCGTTTAATTTGGGGTCTCCGAGAATGGAAAAGTGGCTGCAGAGCGACAAGATTCCCGATGCTTCAGTGGGTGTACATCTTCCACCAGAAGCACAGGATGGAGACTGGTTGCTGATTCCGCGTTCATACTTCTGAATGTTGCAAACCCGGCTTTCTTGGAAAAGAGCCGCATTCTTGGCGAGACCTTACGACTCTGAAAAATTTGAAGTCGTCGGCAAGGTCTTGATTTCAGCCAAAAGATGGGTCTCAAGATGAGACAAGAATTTTCAAAGACGGGCCTCAACTTTCAAATTTTACTGCGATCCTGAGGACCTCTTAATTTTGTTCGATCTCTGCAAGTGGGATAATCTTTGGTATATAAGAGAGTTGGAGGACTCGGAATCATTTGATGCCTACTTCCAAACGAGATGTTGCGGGCGAAGGTTTTCCTCCTACGCAGTCCGAACAGAGAATTGACTTGCAGCAACACTGGCTGTTGGGATTCATTGAGTCGTGTAGGATTCAAAGTATGGCATCGCCTAATAACAAATTTACAAAGCAGTGGAGCCGCGCGTCGAGGCCCCAAACCGTCCGGGCGGAGCACGACTGTGGCTCACTCAGCATCGGATTATGATGGTCACTACCAGACTTGTACATAATGCTGCTCATTTAGCTGCATGGGACATACCCTATCTGCGATTGAACGAGATGCCAATCCTTACATTCCCAATGAAAACTTTGCAGAAAGGCGATGAGTACCACCACATCATCAGAATGATAGATAAGTGATTAATTCATTGGGAGCCAGAGTACGCCCACCCAGCTTCCACAGTACGCCCACCCAGCTTTCAGCGTTGACCCACCTAGTATAAGGAAATTAACTATATGCATTATAAAATATTAATATTATGGGGTTATTAATAAAGCATAGCTATAGCTATTTTAAAGGGGTTTTATAGCTATCCCTTTATTTATAACTTAAAAGTTACTTTTGCCCTTTGCCCTTTGCGCCCTCTTCGCCCTTTGCGGCCTCTTCGCCCTCTGCGGCCTCTGCGCCCTCGCCGCCCTTTGCGCCCTCTGCCGCCCTCTGCGCCCTCGGCCGCCCTCTGGGCGCTCTGGGGGCCTCTGGGCGCTCTGGGGGCTTCTGGGCGCTCTGGGGGCTTCTGGGCGCTCTAGGCTTTTTAGGCTTATATTTTTAAAATATTGCTTAAATTAAAAAATAGCTACCCTAGCTTTTTATATATAAGGTAAACTTTATGCTTACTTAAAAAAGTACTTAGTTTTATTAATATAATACTAAGAAAAGGGAGTACTGGGTGGGCTAACGCTAAAAGCTGGGTGGGCGTACTGTGGAAGCTGGGTGGGCGTACTCTGGCTCATTCATTGGCCATTCTTCAGACTAGACTCTTTGGGGCTCCTGGCACTGCAGAACCTGAGCAATTTTGACAAGTTCAAATCTTCGGCTCCAAAACTCCCCTAACTCTCCTCAATTCAACCTGATGTTGTCGTTTCGTGAATCTACGCGGATGTTGCTGTTTCCGGGCACTACGATATTACACGTTGGAGGAAAACAGGTGTGGATGACTATGCCTTGCCCTCCCACACACCCTCCCTCCAAAGCCTTTGTCGCACTAGAACGAAAATCACCTACATATATATGTACATGTGCACCAAATTTCGAATTATCTGTCTAGGGCCTTCCCGAGGATTTGAACAGTGCATCAGCTGCGGGATCTTCGCCTTTCTTTCTGTTTCTGCCAGACAATCCGAGACCTCTCATTTCGCGGGCTGATTTGATCATGGGACTTTCTTCATTGACCATGGACACAGGCACCGGGGCATCCTCCAGTTGGCTTAGCCTTTGCCTCTCGCTCGCACCTGCGAGGAGTTGATCGGCTGCAGGGTCATCCCCCTCAATCCGTCGGGTTGGTCTTACTGGTTCTCTCGCGACATTGGCTGGTGGACATGCGTAAGGACTCGTGCGTTTCTTTTGGCCCTCTAGCTCCGGCCGCAGGCCCTCTTTGTATCCGGGCACGTCTTGGAACAGTTTGTTGGCTTTGGGATCTTCGTTCTCGTACCGCGTTGTCTGGTCGCCAACGTGTTGCTTTGTTGCCCTTGATCTCAATCTCGCCAAGAGTAGGTCCATCTCGATGTTCCTGTCATTTTGCGAGTCATGCGAGTCATTCTCTGTCTCGCGACTTGGGTCTTCGAATTCAAAGTCATATTTGGGGTTGACAGACTTGCTTTCCTGTCCACGGGCTGACGGAGTCTTGGGCGCAGTGCCATTATTTCGTGACTTTAGAAAACGCATGATCGCAGGGGTATAGGTAGCAGTCAGAAGGCGGTGGGTTTTGGTTGTGCTTTTTGTGGTTGTGTATGGGTTTTAGAACAAGCTTGAGTAATGGGCAGGAATTCTTTGGACCAGTTGGCCTGTGGCTATGATTGATAATGTGCCTGTTGTGGTATGCGAAGTTGTTCGGGAATCACTTAGGTCGGTGAGTAAGTCGCTGATATGATCATTTGCATGTCAGGTCAACAGGACCATTTCAATCTAATACTACCTCACAGTAAATGAAGGTACACTGTTCTTTGACTGCAGTTTTGAAGAAACAAAATGCAGTTGTTGGTAACAAAAGCCATCAGCAAACTTAGAACCTTCTTTGTCCTATATGGGTATTTACGCCTCTCTTTGTGGACTTCTTCCTCCCGTCACCACCAACGGATCCTGTCCCTTTGGCTTACCCGGCTCCTTCTGCACGAGCTTGCAAGCATCCTTGCTACACAGCGGGCCATTCGCAAGTGTTGAGCAGCAAGTTCCCTCGAGGCAAACACTGGATGGCCTCCAACGTTCAAGGTCCCACGAGGTCTCGACAATGAACGGTGACGAGCACCGCCAGTACCACACTGCCGTTGGCCCCCAGACTCCCTGCTCTTTGAACTCTTTCGCGCTCATTGGCTTAGGTGCACCAAAGACGCTGGTGATGAGGAGCCCGAAAATAGGCATGACAACCGTGAGAATGGCGACCATGGTGGTGGGGATGAGGCACGGCTCGAAAATACAAATGTACAGGCGATTCAAGGATCGACTGATTTGATACGCGGACTGTCTGGTACGCGAATCATCCAGGCGTATATGTGGACGCAGCTTCAGACGCGATGTCGATCGTCGTGGCAACTGAACATTCTACTCGGCGGAGCGAAAATCAGTGACTGTGCCATCTTGTCGTACGTTTCGTTTTGGATTCACTGACAGGTCGATAATTAGTGTCGTCGCAGAATTTCCATCTTCAAAAGCGACGTTTTGGCGCTTCCCCGGTCTGCATGTAGCGATGCATCAATGTAGAGTCGAGTTCATGGGAATATTCAACGGTGACAACTGCTATGTCTGCCGAATACGCTGTGCGTGCGATGTTGCTGAGGATGATCACGGAGACTTCGCACTCCGGATCAGAAAGGGGACGCTCAAAGTTATATGGACACTGAGAGCCAGGGGCGATTCGTGAGCTTAATCGTCTCCCAAAGTTTATTTCATGCGCTCATCTTGGCTGGGGATTAAAAATGGAACGCTCGACCGCTGCCGCCGGGATCACCTGAATCATGCCAGGGGACGGTAAAGCTTGTGGACGAAGCCTCTACGTTGCGTTTCATACGACGAGTTATCGGCGACTGATGCATTGTGGCTTCAACGTTTAAACAATCCATTGATCGACGAAATTGTGGATACTTTCACGAAGCGAACGAGGCAGTTCTGGCTCGGGTGCTATAGAACTGCCTGGGTGGCGCAAATGGTGTCGTTGGGTTCGCAAGGCTTATTATAGCATGAAACTCGCGCTCAAAGAAAGCTAGATCCTCGGTATCTCGGGCACTAAATTACAGTTCTGGTCCGTCCAGATCGGTTCTCGGCACGCAACAGCTATCGAGACATTTACACATTACTTTGACCCTGGCTCTATTCCACCTTGATCGCAACCTTGCCGAAGTGCTTCTGGGCCCACATATACTCATATGCCTCCTTGGCCTGCTCCAGGGTGAACACCTGCTTGTCGAGGACAGGGTGGATGTCGTTGGCCTCGACGGCCGCGACCATGGCCTCCAGCTGCTGTCGGCTTCCAACGTAGACGCCTCGGAATGTGCAGATGTGGCTCAGCGCGTCGAGAGCAGACGTCGTCGCCTTCACGCCGCCCAGGAAGCCGATAATGGAGATGATACCCTCGAACTTGATAGCCTGCACGCTCTGCTCGAGCGTCGCGGCGCCACCGACCTCAATGATGTGGTCCACGCCGGCGCCGCCAGTTGTCAGCTTCTTGGCGGTGGTGCCCCAGTTCGTGTCCTCCTTGTAGTTGATGACGTGGTCGGCGCCCAGCTTCTTCAGGGTCTCGAGCTTGTCGGCGGAGGACGAGGTGGCGATGACCTTCGCGCCGGCGGCCTTGGCGAACTGCAGGGCGAAGATGCTGACGCCACCGGTGCCCTGCACGAGGACCCACTGGCCGGGGAGGACGGGCTTGAGGCCGTACAACGCGTTCCACGCAGTGAGGCCGGCGCATGTGAGGGTCGCTGTCTCGAGGGCGTTCAGGTTTTCGGGAGCGCGGGAGAGGCCGGTCTCGTTGAAGACGGCGTACTGTCGCAGCGTGCCGTCCACGGCACCGCCGAGGCCAGTCACTGTAGCGGGGATGTCCACGGCGCCGAACTGGTGGCCCTGGTTGAAGAGCGTCACGACCTTGTCGCCGGGCTTGAATCGGCTGACACGGCCTCCGACTTCGACGACCTCACCGGCGCCGTCCGACAGGGCTGCAATCGGGGGACTGGCAGGGAAGGGATACATGCCCTGGTACCAAGGCGTCAGTGCCGCTGTTTGGCATGCATCGAGGTAGTAAATAATGGCGTGTTTAGGATAAGCTTACCTTGGGGATGATGAGGTCACGGTAGTTGAGCGAGGCTCCTTGGATCTTTACCACGACATCGTTCTCGCCCACCTTGGGCAACTGTGCCTCACCAAACTCGAGGCCATCGAAGCCCTTCTCAGTGCTGGTAATAGTCCACTGCTTCACGGTCGATGGCGCCATTTTGTTGAGCTGATAAAAAAGGTCGAGATTATGTGTATTCGGCTGATTTGGTAGACTTCGGAGAATGCCTTTGTGGAAGGTGAAATGAGGAGTTGTCGACAGATGGCACCACAAGCATGTGTGGCAGACGGACCCGTTTGGAATATATATGCCACGAGCCGGCCCCGATTTGTCAGTCCCAAGTAGGCAAGCTTTCTCGAGAAGCATTTGGCATCTGGATTCTGGACCCACTCATCATGCGGCTAAGGCTTGCAATGGTGACATCGACTGAGCCACATTGCAGTTGACCAGTGTTTAATCCTCGTCGGTAAGTGCCGACCCCTGCTGCTGCATAATCCGGACAGCGCCCCATGTATCTGTCGGTTCAGCCCCATGGTTACACGAACCGGCTGTTTAATATGCTGGAAACATGCACCTATTATACCCCAATAACATCGAAGCTATTTTACCTCTCATCTGTAATTCCTGCCCGAGGAGAATCTGGCAGGCCGGCCGACAGGTAGGCCATAAGCCTCGAGCGAGAGATCGGCCGTAGCACGGGAAAGCCTGCGCTACAGACCCACAGGTTTGCTGGGCTGGGCATACAAGAGAGCAGCGTCATTGACCTGGCCGAGAACCATCATACCTGAGTCGCTATTGGCGTGGATCGGCCGTTGTACCTCCACAATGTAGTAACCGGTTACTAGCCATGAACAGCTCGTCGGGCCAGGAGACTTGGCAGGAGATGAACAATCCGAGCTCACGGATAACCCGAGTACACGTATCAAAGCATACATCCGTAGACCAGAGCAGTCGGCCGAGCGGGAGCACGTGAGCATTATGAGGAGATGAATAAGCCAACGCGTTCGGCCAAACAGGAACAGGTGAACATTTGCCCCCAAAACACACTAGAATTAGAAGGCCAGGAAGAACCGGATAGTCCGCAAATCTCGAACGTGCTACGTCATTTGGATCGATCACATCGCGTTTCTGCGCCGGGAAATCATGACTCGCGATCGGCCAAGCTTGCCAGATCAGGGCTGGATTGGTCATGGTTCTCCGGAACGTTGAGCTTGACACTTAGTGGCTGCTTCCTCGGGCCCCTGCTCCGCTTATGGCGGCTTGAGTGATTTTGAAGAGGCATTGCCTCAACTATGCTGCATGGTGAATTGAGTTACAAATTGACAAGACTCAGTCTCTGTCTGTCCATCGCATGCAGCATCTTTTCACGCGCTAGGTCTGGTTCAGTGTCTCGTGTTAAGGAGCCCACAGAATGTGATGTGGTGTCTCGATTCCGAGTATGGAACCATGCCCGGATGGTTCCAAATACGAATAAGCAATTGACGACATCAACTGGTAAGTAAAGAAAGTGTGGCTGCATTGCGTCCATTTGATATATTACGGCAAAGATAGAACATATGCATTCACTAATCGCATTTTCGCCAATCCCAAGTGGGCCCTCAAGGTTCACCGGGGCTGGAGGTTGAAGGTTATCCGAAGGCGCTCCAACATGAAATGGGTCATCTTCTGGCGGCTCTGCATCCATGAGTATTTAAAAGGGGTAATTAGTCCTTTTGAGAATATTTTCTGCGCTGCTGACCTATCAAAAGATATCTCTTCCCTGCAAGTCGCTCAGCAGGCTCAGAACTGCTCGGAGATGTTCTCGAAATCGATGTCGAACAATACTCCAGACCGAAACTCCCGATGCATTGTTACAGACCTGAAGACCCCAAGCTGAGAAATCTTGGTTCGGTGTAGTGGGTCGGAGAGCAGTAGGATGTATTGTAATCCGCCATAGCGATGTCTCTCGTCAGGCAGTTCGCAGGTGGCACGCTCTTTATTCCTACTGCAATCACTACCAATCTGAATTGATCAGCGATTTCGGGACTACGCACATCAATTAAGCCTTTGACAACGCAAAAGGGCGTGACTCCGTGCAATTAAGGCTCTACACCACATGCCACAAGCCGGCATTTCGAAGCGGTTGGCAAGCTGGGCAATCTGCTGCAAGTGTGCCGTTTGACTTCATGTGGATCAAACAGGTTCACAAAGAGCCCCCTCAATGAGTTATCAGACCGTTAGGATGAGACTCGATCCCACCCTGAACCTAAACTATTGAGAGTGAGTGCGCTCTAACATGGCGAGATGTTCCGCGGCCGCCGATTGAGCGCCGCTCTCGGTGACCCAAACTTTAACCTCAGGCCATATGCATTACTAGTAGGGATAGACATATAATTAGCTAAGATCAACTTGCTCAGCGAGCTTCTAATAAGCACCAAACCCCGGCCTGTGTTACTATCTCCCATGGACACTCTTCTCGCGTATTTTGTGTAGTTTTATAACATTCATATGACAATTCTGATTCGCAATTTGATACCAGGCTCGATTTACGTTGTCTTTCTCGGAGGAATAATATGACAAGTCACGGGGGAAGGGTCAGAGCTTGTGGCTTGGAAGCTGGCCGCACAGATTCTGGAACCGGGCCGGACGCTTGGACTTGCCAAATTTGTACAACGTATCCCGAACATGCAGGTCAAAGGCCGGAACTATGCATGCCTTGATGTATTGGGCTGCAGCCGATCTGGAAGTGGAGAGAAAGGCGGGCGCGCGATTCGGGGTGACTCAATGAGCGAAGAGCAATTGGCAATTCACGCGCACGTTTCCGCGGAACGGATGCGCAAGTGCGCGGGGCCCGGCCCGGTCAGGCAAACATGTCTCTAACAGGGACGCCGGCAACACAACGGGACAATGTGGTAGTAACGCGGTAGCGTGGCTCACCAGCCTGGGTTCTAGACTATCCACAGTCAGGACTCATATATCCGTGCCGAGGGCCTCTTTGATGGTGCCAACAGCCCAAAACTTGCAAACCTCGTTGTAGCTGAAACTCTCGACTCGCAGCAGCCTTTGGCATCTTGAAATCTCCACACGTTACATTCAGCATGTTTCTCCGAGCTGGGCACGCCGAAACTCACCTCCCGACCCTCCGCGCCCTCATCCGCGCCAACCCGCTGGGCATCTTCACCACCGCCATCGACTCACCCAAATTCCCATTTCTTCAGTCCAGCCACATCCCCTGGATCCTCGACGTCCAAGATGAAGACAGCGAGACCGAGCTAGGTGTCCTCCGCGGCCACATGGCCCGGGCCAACCCCCAGGCAAGATCCCTGATAGAGCACCTCAGCGCCGGCGACAGCGCCGCCCCGTCCCCACCGGCTGGTCCCCGAAAGCTCGAGAGGGACGTCATGGTCCTCTTCAACGGGCCGGCGCACCACTACGTGACGCCCAAGTTCTACGTCGACACCAAGCCCGCGACGGGCAAGGTCGTGCCGACGTGGAACTACGCCGCCGTGCAGGTGTACGGCAAGCTCAGCGTCTACTACGACACCAAGGACCAGTCCACCGACGCCTTCCTGTCCGAGGCCGTCGCGGACCTGTCGCAGCTCGCCGAGACGCAGATCATGGGGTACGAGAAGCCGTGGCAGGTCGGGGACGCGCCGGGGGCCTACATCGACCTGCTCAAGAAGGCCATCATCGGGATCGAGATCGAGATCACGGACATGGGCGGGAAGTGGAAGATGAGCCAGGAGATGGAGCGGGGTGACAACCAGGGCGTCGAGGACGGGTTTAATGCCCTGGGCACCGATGAGGGTAGGCAGATGGCAGAGATGGTGAGGACGCGCAGGAAGGAGGAGCAGAAGTCTTGAACGAGCGAGCACATACCAATACACTAGTTCTCATCAGCAAGTCCGTCCTCATTCACATTGTTCTGGTTGCGCATGTTTTTTATTCAGCCATGGTTTGTTCAAGAGTATATTCAAAATGCCGTGCTATGTACGCGGATTGGTAAAGAGGTATGTACTGTGAAGAAAGTGGCCCAAGCCAGTGTCGCTGCGATGCCATGAGACAGAGCCCAAAGTTGTGCTCTGCCTCGGATTATGTGCATTGGCCATCTAGCACTTGCCACCCTTGGTAGGCTCGCAGTCGCCCTCGGACTTGTCGCAGCCAGTGTAAGCCTGGCACTCGGTGACACCGCTGTCGAAGCAGTTGTTGGAGTAGGTGGCCTTGTCGCCGAAGTTGGTGTTGATGCCCATCAGCTCGCCGCCGTTGTGGGCAGTGGTTCCCTCCATGTGGACGGTACGGGCGCAGTTGCCCTTGCAGTTGCCGCACGAGCGGTAGACCTTTCCGTAGTCCTCGGCGTAGAAGTTGACAATCTGTTGAGGGGCACAGTCAGTCTTACTTATTCCGAGGTTGATGGCGAGTCACGGTTATTAGAGACTTACGTTGACGGTACCACAGCCGTTGTGCTGGATGACCTTGTCGCTCGCGCCGTAAGCACCACCGCCGATGATGTTGGCGGTGCCGTCACCCTTGATCGAGATGGCGTCCTCGCAGACGTCCTCGAACCAGACGTACTCAAGGGTGCAGGAGCCCTTGCAGTAGATACCCTCGGCCTGGTCCTTGCCGATGATGACGTTCTTCAGAGTGGCGCCGTCCTCGAGCACGAAGACGGTGTCAGCCTCTCCACCCTCGCTCTGGCCGCCGCAGGCGCCCGAGCCACGGTCGTACTTGACCCACTCGGCATCGAAGGTCTGGCCGGCCTCGATGTACTGAGGCGCGTCAAGGGACTTGGTGCCGGAGGCAGCGGGAAGGCCACCGTCATAGCCCAGGCAGGCCATGGCTGCCGGGAGGGAGACTGCGAGAGCAACGAGCTGTGCTGAGGAGTACATTGTGGATGGAGTTGGAGGGAGTTTGTCTGTTGAGGGTAATAACACGTGATGCAGAACCGTTCGACGGTCTAAAGAATGTGTAAGTTGAAAGCAGGTATGTACTTGTGAAAGAGCGGAAAATCAAAGACGGACCCCTGGTCGTTGCTAGTAAGGCTGGATGATGAGTAGTTAATTCATGCTGATTACCCGGGTCAGTATGGCCTTTATATACGCACGTCTTCAAGACGCTCTGTATCCTTCTCCTTTGCAATCCCAAATAGTACGAGGCCATCAACACGCAGCAAGTCAGCAAACATGATGCCTGCAAAATTGAAGGAAGGTTACGGGACCCGGGCCAAGAGAAAGCCAAGAGTTGTTTCTGCGTTTTTTGGTTGACAGTCCGGCTGACAAGTCGGCAGGCGGGTCCACTTTGTGTTCCTGATTGAATAGATACCAAGACCCGCGGCGACTTGGCAAGGGGCAAACGAACGTCTTTCCACCAATGCGGCTGGATGCGGCGGGATCACCACTTGAAACGATCCTGGCCGCCCGCCGGTGGCTTCGATCCGAAACCCCATCTCGGCGTCTAGATATTTGCCCTCCGTAATGAGAGACGCGTTATACGAAGACGGAGGCGAGGGTATTTGGAAAGGAGGTAGCCACAATACCAAATTTTCAGGGACGGTGTGGACATCAATAGTTAGCTTGGCCATGATCCATCAGGGGCGACGGTGAGCATCAGAGCTCTTCGAAGAGCTAGACTACGTTGCCCGTCGTACGAACTGTTGGGGGCCATCGTAAGAATTCCTCAGGCCAGTACCCTGTTCGCCCCTTTCGGGCAAGAGCTACGAGTGCCGATCCCCACGTGCACGACATATGCGCAGATCCCTCTTGTATTTTTGTTTATCTGGTGGGGATGAGCGTGATGCGCTCCATTCACAGTGTCCAGGCACTTGTGCTACGCCCCATAGGATTGCTTGTGGACATGCACGTTGGTGTGTCATGAGCAGGCCCCAGAAAACCTCGATTGGGTTGAGATACAGTATGCGTGAAACATTATTCAGTCGGCAAACCTCCGTCGACACGATAGGCAAATTTGTAGGACGATCAGCTCTCGTGAGAGCAACGCAATACTTCTAATGCTGTATGCTCCGTGCTATCTTTACCACATGATCATGAAATATTTCCCACCTGACTTGAGCCTCAGCCTGATCAGCATCATTGCTTTCCAATATACTGACCGCCGTCCCGCACCCCCTTCAGGTCCCCGGCGCGGATCTTAGCCATTGTCATCGACGTGATAATTGCGGCGCCAATTCCGCTGCCATCTTCCGCGCTTGTGATGGTGATTGGATCGCTCTCCCGGCCCGCCGGCCAGTCGAGGATTTCGCCCAGCGCTTCGCTCCATCTAGCCTTAAACTTTGGATGTTTGTTAGCGACACTGCCATCTGCAGCCACATGACCTGACTGAGTCCCCTTCCTTCTGCAAATCGCAGCGATGCCGCATGCACATAGCCGCGCACCGCGCACTGCAATGACCTCCGCAAGCAGCCGTGAGAACTCGACCTCTGCCGGTGCGGGCTCGAAGCCTAAAGTCTCCTTGTAGCGGGCCTGACGAGCCTCGAAAGGGTCGTTCTCGAGGCAGGCGAGGAATCCCGTATCCATACAGTAAGTCTCCTTCAACTTTGGGATGTCGCGGCCCTCAAACAGGATCCCTCGCTCGTAGAGGTCTAGTATGACGAGACGGAAAAGCTCTCCAAGGTACAAGCCAGCGCTCATCTTCTCGAAGGCCTGCTCGCCGGGCTTGGCAGACTCCTCGTCGATTTCGATGTCATATTTCGTCCTTGGCAAGACGCGGTGTGAGTTGTCGAACGCGCCGTACTCGCAGTTGATGGCAAGCGGAAGCTCGGGTGCCAGCCCAGAGCCGCTTATCTTTGGTATAGAGCCAACATCTTCCATGTACGCTGCATTGCATCCGGTCCCAAAAATTGCACCAATGATGGTTTCAGGATCCTTATACGCCGAGGCGATCATCGCTCCAACCGTGTCGTTGATCAGAGCGATGATCCTGACAGGTAATTCCCGCCTCGACAATGCCTCGCCGAGCTGGATGACCACGTCCTCCTGCTCGACGCCCTTGATTTCGAATCCTTTCGTCCAGGTCACAAGTCTTCCTCTGTCGATGTAATCTTGATGTATTGGATATGAGAATGTGAAACCCAGCGGTAGTCTGGAAAAAGGTCAGTGGGAGCCAATTCGGTTTTGAAGTTCGGCAACTCACGGGTAGTCCTCAGTGCCTTGCAATTCGTGCTTGTCAAGGAAATCCTCCAAAGAATCCGTGATCAAACCCCAGAGCTCATCTGCGGAGCCTGTTTTGATGTCATCCGGCACCTTGTAGGTGTCCTGCAAGACATCTGTCTCTTGATCATGGCCTTTGAGCGTGATCCAACATACGCGCAAGTTGGTCCCTCCGAGGTCTATGGTGAGATACTGCCCGTTCTCACGACCTGTCGGGAAGCCAAACACCCACGTCGGATACATAGCCTGTGTCGCGTTAGCAACGAGTGAGTTTCGTGGGCAGCCAAAGAGGTAGGTATAACCCACAATATTTTGGGAATCCTTCTCTAACCCCTCGGCGAGCTCCTTCTCGAATCGACCGACTATCTCCTTGAGCATGCCGGTAGTGATGGTAAATGCCTCCTCGAGACTTTGCAATTCTCTTTCCAACGCCGGCGGAAGCGGTATTATTGATTTGGAACGAGTTTTCCCATTCAGGGCTGGGATAAACTCGATCTCCCCCTGCCCTGTCTTCTCAAACACAGGCTCGGAGCCTCCCATGTTTGCTGATTGCATCGATGCTAATTGAGCAGCCATTTCAGCTTACAGTAAAAATTCCAGAAAGCCAATTTTATTTGTACTTAAGATCCTGTTCAAAACAATGACGAGTAGATTTGCAATAGGTGTGGATGGATGAGGGGTAAGGTGAGCGATGGTCGGCAAATGCACCTCAAAAAAGGTGGTGATGTCCTCAGCATCAGATGCCTGGTGATATTTAAACGAAATGTCCTCATTCGTAGGTGATGGTGCCAATGACCTCTGCCGTACCCGTTTGCTGCCAAGTTCGAGAAGTGTTCACCTTGACGTCACGTCGATTTCTGAGGTTGATCCTGGAACCGTCACAGCCCCACTGGGTTTGATGGATTCTGACGTTGTCTCCACTCTTATGAGGCTATACCAGTTGGCTGTCTGGACAAACTGATGCATTTGAGCGAGACAATGGTCGTTATCAGCACCTTTGGTCTAGAAAGCCACATATCGTCCGCTACTCAATCAAACATCATATTTATCTGATCATGGACCATACTACACAATGCCAACTTACGTAGACTTCCCTTCTCTTCTTACATTGATCATCCGTTGCAAGAATGACGACTTCCAGCCATCATATGCTGCACAGAAAGTATAAACTGCTCTGATCGTCCTTGAGGAACCTATGTCATTTCGCAACATCGAAAGGCTGTTCGCTCGAACATAAAAACCAACTTCAACTGAGGGAGACCTCATCACAGACTCATGCAGACCAAGACCATGAGACGCTCCAACTCGGGGAAATGGTTCGAAATCGAGCATAACCAAGTTCTGCCCACGATTTAGGTACAGTGGCATGAGGAAGTCAATGATCGACAGAAGATGCAGTATTTGGATTGTACCACGCTCGGGCGATTCCCGAGACTCAGGTATGTTCCGAGACCCGCGCAACCCATTCTACCCACAGTTTTCACGGTCGTTTTACGCTTCATTGGTTGACTACCCACGAAAATGGCCATGCTCCACCGCATATCGCTGCATGTCACGCAGGTCAATGCACGCCTGGCAGGCCTTTAAACTTCCATCTGGAGACGGTCTCGGGCTTGAGACGCACAATTGGTTCGCAGTCCAGAGAAAGCTGATCTGAGGCAGTCTTCTGCAGTCGTAATTGAAACACTTGCGAAGGATCCGACCTCGACACTACCGATATTCAGGTAAGGTGAGGCCATGTTTCGGTCTTGTGCTTCATTTGCATCGATATAGATAATTCCAGTAATGTTATCAGTCATGTTTACAGAGACACGGGCGAAAAGCTAGACTTGCTTTTCTTGTTTGGCTCGTGAGTGTTCCCCCCGGTGACGGCTATTACTTGCAAACCTCCCCCGGCACACAAGACGGCGTGACCGCTCAGCTGTCCAGACCCAAGCCTCCAACCTCCCATGCCGCCGCCGCAAGGAACAGCGTCTCCTCATCCCACCTGCGTCCGACCATTTGCATCCCAATCGGCAGCCTGCCCTGGCCGTCTTCGGTCCTGCCCCAGCCTACGGGGACGGACAAGCCGGGATGGCCGGTGAGGTTGAAAGGAGAGGTGTTCCACGTGTTGCCCAGCGCGAGCGCATACCTTTCCGCGACGCTCATGTCAGGACCGAGGTGTTTCATGCCCACCGTCGGGTTGCACGGGGTGATGAGCACGTCGAACTGCGCCAGCGCCGCATCGTACGCGGCTCTCAGCTCGTGCACGTGCGTGATTGCCTTCCCCCTCGCGGCGGGAGGGAACGTGTCCTTGTTGCGGTTGAGGAACTCGCCAGTGACGAATTTGTTCACGACCGTCGGGGCTGATATATTCAAGGTCTCAAACCACTTTCCGTCCGGAGTGGGGGGCATGAGATCTGCTATAGGCCAACTCAGACAGTCCGGTGGCTTGTTGTGGACGAACACATCCGGCATCTCGCTCCTCACCACCGCCGTGAAGATTGCGGCACCAAGGTCGTGCATTGGGATACTCACCTCCTCGACTGTGCCGCCGAGAGCGGCAAAACGCTGGCCCGCCTGCTTGACGACGGCGGCCACCTCCTCGCTGAGTTGCGGTGCGGACCACGCCTCTTTGACCAGGCCTATGCGCAGCCCACTGGCGGCTGCCGTCGGATTCCAGCTCCCGGATGCCTTGCGCGACTCGATAGCCTCGTCCAGCTTTCCGTGATAGGCTCTCGCATTCTGCCGCAGAGGTGTCTCGGGCGTCATGCGTGGGTCAAGGCCGTCCCAGCCCGCTAAGACAGTGAGTAGCAACGCAGTGTCACGAACGGATCCGGCCAATGGCCCACAGTGGTCGATCATCGGGTGGAGAGCACCGATTCCCGTGTAAGGCACCAGGCCGTGTGTTGGCTTGAGGCCATAGATGCCGCTGTACGCTGCTGGCTGGATGGTTCGTCAGGGTAACAGTAAAGCAGTAGGCTCAACGATATGATGCTCACCATGCGGATGCTGCCTCCCTGGTCGCCTCCTATGGCCAGATCGACCCCTTCTCCTAGGTCGTCATCAGAAGCTATTTGCCCACCCCCCTTCTCCCTCTGCTTCCTAACGGATTTGACCCCAACCAAGGCCGCGCCCCCAGAGCTACTTCCACACGCGTAGCCCTTCAGCCAGGGGTTGTCGACGGGCCCAGTGGCGCTGCTGAAGCTCAACGCGGACATGCAGTAGTTCTCGCATGTCGACGTGCCCGTGATGGTCCCCCCAGCCTCGAGCACGCGGGTGACGACGGGGGCGTCAAAGCTGGAAATCGGGTATGGTTTATCCTTGGAAAGGTGATACGGTTGAGTCCCGCCGGTCATGGGCAGTCCTGCGACAGACACATTGTCCTTGATCGCAATGGTCCTCCCGGATAAGAGCCCTTCCGCAGAAGGTCTGATGGTGGTCTATGACTGTCAGCCCGGGCCCCGAAAGCCTGATAGCGCCCCGCGTGAGGAGGCACTGGTTGTGGGGGAGAGAACGTGTGCACAAACCCTGTGGCTCCATCCGTTCAACGGGTTCTCGGGCGCAGATGGTCGCGTGCTGGCCCGCTCGCCTGCGCTGTCGGCCGTTCGGATGAGAGGGTGGTGGTACGGTGGCATCGCTTGGACCGTCTCTATGTCGGCGATGGCAGCCCGCAGGAGATCGAGGTAATCTGCCTCATCTCGGGGCTCCACCTGGAATCCCAGGGAGGAGGCTAGGTTCCGAAACTCCTCCTTTGACACGGTACTGCTGGAATGTGGGTGAGCACGTGGGCAGTCTCGAACCTGAGCTCTGGGAGCTCAAAAGTGCCGGGGAACACATACTATTTCTCGGCGGCGAGTCTTGCAGACATGTTATTAGACTGCGAGTGGGGCCGGAGGAGATGGGGCGATCTTGTTGTTTCGTTGTTTGCAAAATGATACGAGTCATGGAGAGACAATAGTTTGTTTTACATTGTTGTCTGCTGGCTGCGTAATCGCCATTTCGAAGAGCCGCCATGATAAGAATGTCGTCCGTTCTCGACCCGAATCCCCGATGCCGGTACCCCGCTGCGCACGCCGGACAGGCATCTAGCTGTTTCGCGCGAATGAAGCGGGCACGTGTATCTTGACGAGCAATCCAGCAACTTTAAATTTTCCCGATGCCACAACACTATCATTCTAATCGCGGGAGATCTTCGGTGGATCGCTCGAATAGTTTCATCTTTCCACGTGCATTGGTCTTTTGCTCAGAAGTGGCTAGGAGTCAACGCCATCTCACAAACACTTTCGCAACCCTATGTCCCAGCAGAAGTTGTACAAAACATTACTTAATATTGTGCAAAAGAAGTAAGATCTATCTTGGAGCAGATAGATATGCTCAAGAGGGAGCCTCGAAGAATTCCAGAATCCCGACCCATGTCAAGCATGAGATGCCCGCTGGAGTTGCTCAAGAACAGGACTCCGTAAACTCTGTGCGGAAGAATTGGCCAGCCTGCCTGCAATCCTGAAATGAATCTTTCATCGTGTTGTCCTCCACCGGGTTACTTGCAATCTCTTTCACGATGGGATCTCACCATTCGCCTTGGCCTCGGCCATAAGCTGTTCGTAGACAGCCACCGCGTCCTCATACTCAGCCCGAGCATCAGCGTCCTCGTCCTCTGAGTCGGCGCGCTTGGTGGCATCCTGGCCACCGAACAGCTTTACGGCCGTGTAGTACACATCTGCCAGGGCATCACAGATGGACTCGAGCGACTCGGAGTCACATTGGAACTTGAGACTGGAAGGTGTTAGTTATGAGACAAGAGAGGAGTAACACTATGCGCTTGAAGACGTACTCGTTCTTGAAGTTGGTGTCGATAGAAGCCTTAGCCGCCTTGGTGAAGCGGGATTGGGCACGGTAGTTGGTATAGCCGAAGTCATGACGGTAGCATGCAGGCTCGAAGTTGAAACCCAGAGGGTTGTCGGGAGAGTCACTGCAGCCGTCCGAAGTCCAGTCCAAGGTCGCGGGGTTCTTCGCGTTACGGTACGTGATGAACTGGGGCAGCGAGATGGAAAAGAGATAGTTGTCTGTGATGGTATTGATGTCTTGACGGGAGGAGAGCGGAACCGGTCCGAGGGCAAAGGTGGCCGGCACCAGCCCAGCCAAACATGCGATGCCTGAGAACTTCATTGTGAACCTGGTCAAGGGCAGTGTGGCGAAGTGCTGCCTCAGGAAAAGAGGGTCTGAAGACTGCAAGCGAGGGTCGAGTGAGGCCCCTTAGAGACAGATGGGATCGCGAATGACTGAACGACTGCGAGCTCAGCTGCGTTGACACGAAATTCCGAAACCTGCGGGGAGGCAATGATGTGGATATATAATCCAGCCCAAAGACACCAACCACTCTGTACCACACACCCATGATGTCTGAATGAACCTATGACATGGTGGAGGACCCATATGGAGCTTGGCTCGCCCCGGCTCTGCAGCGCCTAGAGGGCCACTATGGTCCAATAGATGCGACTGCCATGCCGCCACGCCTCCACGTGCGAGATCCCCAGGTTCCTGTCCTGATTTACAGTCACACTCGTGGGCGTCGCCTTCGGACGCGTAACACCTTGATTGAAAAAAAGGTCCTGACCTGCTCCTGGAATAGGAAGTTCGCCGCTGCAAGTGCGATGCAGTCTGACTCGCCATGTGCAGCTTTGTTTCGCTTTCAGACCTCTGAGACGACCACCCGGCCGAAATAGACACCTTGCTGTCCAGGCCCCTGGTTGGAGGCAACACCAAATCGTGATCCCTGCACACAAGTGTGTATACGTATGCCCTGGCTGGCCAAATGACCAATTGTAGTGGCGGACTTGCGCAGGTACACCATCCGGTTGCAAGCCGGGCCAGCCGGGCCAGCCGGGCGAGAACCATAGATGGCTGGATTATGCTTGTGCCCTTGCAAAGCTGCCCTGCGTTCATGGTGGAAATACCCGAACCATACTGACGAAGAACTCGATAATCAATGGCTCGTCGTTGGGCAATGAATACTTTTCAAGAGGCAATTGAACCTAGCACCCCACCAACGAATCGATTTCACGTCTCGGTGTACTAGTCTGCACTTCTACCGCACGCGTGCAGTCTCCGCAGAAGAATTGAATGCCAGGACTGCGGAGAAAAGGCGCAGCCACGACCTTTTCAGTCATGCAGATGAAGATCGGACTATACGGTAGAGCGATCGGCGTTCCTGAAGAATGGAGCCGACCAACGACACCGAGTAAAAGGACCGCGTCTATGGTTGTGTGCAGTTCGTCCCAAGCGAATGAAGTCCGACCGTGGCCGGTTCAACGGTGGTGTGGTGGTATTTTTTCGGTTCATCCAAGCTTCTAGCGTAGCGTCCCGGGCTGTCTGCCAGGATCCGGATGTGCCATTGCACGGCGACCTTCCGCATCGATCAAATCGCTCCGATGCTACATTGCGCCAGGGCTTCTTGGCGTTTCCGGATTGTGCGCACGACACCCTTCAGCGGTAGGTGGACGGCGTCAAAGTCGGTTGACTCCGATGCGGCTTCGGGCTTTTGGGACTTCCGGAGCTCTGTAAACCGTATTGAGAAAAGGGGATTCGAGAATGGTGCAGATCCCCTTGACTGTCGGTATCAGGCAGTGTGCTATGGCTATGTGAACAACAATTTAGTGAACGAACAGCGTGTGTGATAAATCGGGTCGATCGGTGAATGCACAATGACGGCAGTCAACATATAATGGATGCTCATGACATGAGAAGAGGGGAAGCTATGTTGACGCAGAAGGAATTCATGTCAGAGCACCTGCATGCAAAAGTCTCCTAACAAAATAGGAATAGCCACTTCTGACGGCCGTCGCTATGCGTATCAGCGTTGTGCTCTCAGCGGCGAACCTCAGTACCTAGCTCACTTGAGAAGCATTTCCAGTCTGTCTTCCACTGTGATCGAAAGGGAGTTGGCTCGCCTAGGTCATCTACATATGATGCCAAGTCCTTATACAGCGCAAGATAGACAATAGCTGAAGTGACCTACTCATAAGTCAGACACCCACTGAAGCACAGCCCCTCACCACGCACACAGGACGACGTATTATAGGCAGTCCAAATATATCGTTCAAGACATGCAATCCGAACTGGATAGATCGGGTCTGGCGAGGCGGATATAGTGTTCCCAGATCTTTTATACTTTATTGAGATTCAGTACGTCGTGTTGTCCGTGAGGGGCCTGTGCTTGAGTTGGTGGTCTGACTCAATTTTTTGAAGCTCCCGTTCCGGCCAATTGGTCTGCACACGCTGATGTTTCAACGCCTTGAATCAATCTCATCAAAGAGTATGCGGTGCATTCCGCAGAGTCTCGGATGTATTGCACGTGTGCTGTAAAAGACATCCCAACCAACAGCTCACGATGGCAAGGCCCACCATGTTGGCAACGCCAAGATAGATGTTACACGGACTGAGCGTAGAGGATCACTGACGATGGCTAGGCACAAGTCGCTTTTCTCGTATGATATGACTCGGCTATGCCCCTGTGCGACTTCCTTGATTGACTGCTGTTATCATTGTCGGCAGGATAGTCATCGTGTCTTTCCTTGATGTTACGATGTCTCAGTAATTAGTTACAAGCTGGTCAAAATCCAATCCACCAAAGTTCAATAACACAATCGTGTGTGCACCTGGTCAGTAAATTGACCAAGATGGCACCGCTGGCACACGTGCATTCCGTGAGGCAGCCTCCCTGTGCTTGCAGACTGGCCTCTGTGCAAACAATGCGGCGCTCCTGCACACGCTTGTCTTAACATGGACACTCGATAAGCTCAGGATACCAGCTCAACATGGGCAAGGCGGTAATCATACAACAAGAGTGTATCCTTTTCCAAAGCTACTCTTCTATTATCAGCAGTAATAAAATCGCGTTGTGTTGTCAATATTGTCATATCATCCACACATCCACTTTCTCAATGACTGTCTCTTGTAACATTGATCTACTTAACCCAAGAGCCCGGAATTGTCCTGCACATGCGGTCCCCTCCATAAAAAAGAAAGTAACCTACCCCCCCCCCCCCCCCCACCGACCCGACATTGTAAAGTCTTCATAACAATTGAAGAACACAAAGGCGAGGTATGCCTATTATCGCACGTCCAAGCCCAGTCAGGTTCCAACCCCAAACGTCCGGGCTTACCCACACAGATACCGCTTCACAACATCATCCGTACTCCCATTGAATCCGAGCTTCTTGTAAGCCCCTTCGTATGACCCAAAGACTGGCCCGTCCCCGCGCAGGAGCTGGGCAGGCGCCTGCGCGTAGCCGTTGTCCGGATCCGCGCAGCCCTCGAGGGAGTACTTGTTGCCGTCCACCTCAAACCTGTCCCCGCACGCGGGCGAGCTCTCCGGTGCGATGCTGAAGTTATTTCCGCAGGCGTTGAGGCCTTTGCTCCAGGCGACGTTGTAATGGACGCCGCCCGCCTTGATCTGGTTGCCGATGGCGATGGCGGCGTTGGCGGCGGTGGGATGTCAGTGTAGAGGAGCGGTATGAGCTTACTCTTGAGCTTTTTACATTGTTTAAGGAATATTGTAATTGTGTTCGAAACCTAGTGTTATCGACATTGTAATTTTTTTTAGCGCTGGGTGTTTAAGCGTTTATTACTTTGTGAAGGGACTGGATGCATATTGCTTAAGAAGCATATGTGTACAGATTAAAAACGAGACCACTTAAGGGATGTTGTTCTAATAGATTCTTGTCTGGCGTTGCGTTCTAGTAGTGCTCTGATGACACTCGATACTTGACGTGTCGACGGGGACGGAGGTGTTTTGTTCTGAAGAAACTATAGAGTCACCTAAGGGGTCATTGAGCGCTTCCATAATACAGACAACTGAGCCCCTTTTACTTTTCAAAATCCATAATTTCAGATTAGAACGGCACAAATAATTCACAATCCATCGCCAAATACGAGAGTAAGCATATTCTCGTAGGAAAAAAAAAACGTCTTGTGTTTTACGTACTAGAATATAATACCAGAGAGTCGCCCAGGGTGGTCTTCCTGTCATGTATCAACGTGCGGATATTATTGTACCGGCTTCCGAGCGATACACAGTACAAGAGACGGGTACTTTTTGAGACACGGAACATGACCGCTACACTATGATATTTCTTGATGACTCTTTGTACGTCGGGTAAGAGATTGACGACAATTATCACAGCCGTTGCGAGGGCAACACTACTTTTGAGGAATTGGCACCCCTAGGGATGGCGGCAGAATATACCTAGGTATGTGCCAGTTGCTAAGTCTCAAGTCGACAGCGCCTCATTTTGCGTCGGTGCTGGTGGCTAATTTGTGCTACTTCTTGTCATGTAGAGAATCTCTGCCCTGGCGGTGGATCGCTTACTCATCTCATAACATCACAAGCTCGGTATTCCAAGGTTCGTGCAATGAATCTGGCGGAACAGACGGCTCTCTGGAAAAAGTCAAGTCTCCCGGCCGACGCGGTTTCGGGAAGAAGGGGCATTGCTGTCACCATCCTCGTTGCATGGCCAGTTGAACCATGTTTGTATTCTATGAATCGAGACTGTGTGTGGCGGCGGGCTTGATCTCAATTGTTCAGGGGAGAAACGCTGGCGGAATGCTGAAAACGTTTCCAGCAGCGGCTCTCGTCCTCAAAGATTGAGCTATACCCCGTGGATTTTGCCAGTGGTCATATGCTGGTCTAAAAGATTAAGCCATGCAAGTCTTTACACGAGTTTTGGGGGGGGTTCCCTGCACTCCAGGGTTATACCCTGAAACCATCAAGCAGCGCAAGTTGTGCAAGGCAGGCACGTCCCAGCAGTTCCAATTGCAGAAGTCATGCAGGTGCGGGTGGCGTCTTTGCTGGAGCTCACCTGCTGCTGCACGTGGAAGGAGCTGGGCATGCCTACGTGCAGCTTGCATGGCCAAAGCTAACTCTGCCTAACAAGTGCCTTGTGACTCGGTAGTCCACACCTTAAGGCTGCTCCTGACCAGGCTCGTTTTCCTTGGAGGACTTCCCTCCACCCGATGATTCGATAGCACTCCGGACTCTGTATGGCCCAGCCCCGCGCTGCTGCCTCTGGCTCACTTCTGTTCATTACAGGATCACAAGATCAAAGACGTTTCAGAACAGTCCTACCATCTCCTACCTGAGCCGCCGCATTGGGACACGACCCGATTCCTCGCGCAAGACTGGCCATGAGGTCTTTGTGAGTTGACGACTTCGAGGACAGACCGGCAATCGACACTGCTGCATCGTTACCCCACACACACTCGTACTCACCCTCGCTCGGGGCCTCGGACCCTCTCCGCTCCAGGGCTGGCCCGTCCGTCTCCAACAGTCTCGAAGTCGACGATCCGAGCAGTCTCTCAAGCTGCTGAGCCCTGGACTACAACTATGGACGACACATCGCATTCGACCTTCAGCACGCCCAAGCGGAAGCGGACTGATGTTGCCAGCGATGAGGTGCCTTCCCAACTAGACATCCACTTCTCATTCGAGGTGTCTCAGGGCCTGCTCTCGGATGGCGGCGACAGTCCACGCACCAAGGTCGCCCACAGGTTCCGGGGCTTGGCCCTGGCCGATAGTGGGGGCGGGGCTGCCGCGGCAGATGCCCGAGTCCACGACACCGAGACCGACCCCGGTCGCAATACCACAGATGGGGATCCGGACAAGATGGAGGTCGACGAAGACGAGTCGAAGATGCGCAAAAGATCAAAACTCACGCCACCTACAGTGACATCCGATGGATCACCACGATTGAAGCATTCAAACCTGTCTCCAACCCAGCACCAGCACCAGTTGTCAGCGAAAAGAGTCGAAATCCCAGAGACCCCAGCCGTACAAAAGACCGAGCCGCACACAGCTGCTGGCCCAGAGTCGCGACCCGTTCCTGGCGACGGCCAAGTCCTGTTCAAACCAAGCGCTTTATCTGTCCAACCCGCAGCTGACAATGCAGAACTCACCGCTGGACCTGCCAAAGTGTTCTCGAGTAAACCAGCAAAGCAATCTTCCGCTGCGAACAACCGCCCTCTCGAGAGCCTGAAGTCCAGAGGTCGCCGGCGAGCTGGCACACCACCTCTTGCCGCGTCAGCCAGCAAACTCTGCAATGCAGACCAGCCCGGTGATGCAGCTGCCGAGGTGATTGACCCGATCCGTGCCGCGCTCACCTGGCACGAGGACGAGATTACTGTCTACGACCCGGACGACGAGGACGACGATGGCGTGGGTATCAATGGCATCGGGTTTAAGCCGACCCCTGCCATCGCGTATGCTCGCACCATGAAGAGGAAGCAGCAGCTCGCCGAGTACAAGAAAAGAGAAGAGAGGGAGGCCAGGGCACGACGGAGTTCCAGACGACGAGGAAGCCCGGACAGAGCCCCCAAAATGCAGCGGAGGGAGAGTGCAGGCACGGAGAATGCCAGGAAGGTTCGCTTTACGGACAGCGAATCTGCTGCAATGATTACTATTTGACGAGAGCAAGGGGAAAACTTTGGTACCAGGCTTTTGGTCGACGAGTTCCAATTCCGGAGCATCTTTGGCATCGATTTGGGGCGTTTTGAGGAAGGACACTCAGGGTGAGGAGTTACAAACATCGGATAGCGTTGCTTTTGAACAGGAGAGCCTGTCTGCGGCAAAGGATCAAGGAAAGAGATTCACGAATCACGGGTGGCTATAGTGGACATTGCTATGGGGTCGTGGCACGGCGTTAAATGCGTACATATCCAAGATCGAGTGCTTGCAGCAATAAGCAATGGCTTCTCAATATACCCAATGCCGTCAAGCCGCGATGTCCCAGCACGTGGTATGACTGTCCAAATCCTCGGAATGACCCATGGCGCGATTACAAGAGCTGTCGCAATGATTAGGGAGCCCAGCGCCAGGTTTCATGGCCTTCCACCAACCTGGTGATCCCCTTCTTGAAATCCGGAAGTCGACAGCGCCGGCCCGAGCGTCACATCTGCACACAACGGCGCATCCCGCCTTGCTTGTGCTGCAGGCCCACAACCGCAGTTATGAGGTCCGTCAGGCAATGACTTGCCTAAAATGCTCTCCCATGCTTCTTCATTGCTTCTCAACCTCGCAGACCCGGAGTTTGGGAATTCCTCTGCGACTTCCTGGCGATGTATATAACACCGCAGACTTAGGTCTCAACCATCAGGTCTCTCGCACGAGTCCCGAAGAGCTGTCGTACCTTACTAGATACCTGGCTTCGGGAAACATGGTAATATCGAGAAGAAGCTCCTCTAAGGCACAGTCGCGGATCGGGCGCTGTCGAAGGAATCGTGCTTCTACCAGAACTTGTACCAAGCCTTGTTGGTCGTTTTGTCGGCGGGCGCGGCCTTGACCGTGGTACTTTGCAGCTTCTTCTCTTCTTCTTGCCTCTTCATATCAGCCTGCTTCTTGCCGACCACCTCGACGACCCGCTTCATGTTGGCCCGCTCGACCCGTCTTTGGTACTGGCAATACTCGTACGCCAGGATACTTATAGCCACGCCTGACCCGACCGCCCAATTGGCCGACTTCGGCACTGGTGCTTCAATTCACAGCGATGTTAGCGTCGCCAGCCTTCAGATCCCCTACAGCGCAGGACAGGAGATGCCCTCACCTCCGATAATGTACCGCAGGAACCCAACCGCAGCGCCCGACCCAATTCCGGTGATGAATCCGTCCCTCGAGCACGGCGCCTGGTGGACTTTGAGGATATCGTCGCTTTTGATCGTCTTGAACGCCTCGCCCACCGTTGCCCGCTTGTTTGGGTCGAAGCCCTCTGGCAATGGGACGGATTTCAGCGACACCTCGGCGAACCGTTCCATGGCGGCGGCTTGCGACTTTCGGGATTGCTCATCGTCGGGGGAGCCTGGGGTCCGGTTCGGTGTCGGCTGGTTGGGGGATGACGGCGACGCAGACATCTTGGGCTAACGCTCGTCGCCAATTGTGGTGTGGGAGGTGTGGAAAGCCCATCTGATGTCGATGGAATCATCGACTTTCTACCAGTCTGCCCAGGTACAGATCTGAAATGGTCTGTGCGCTTGCATGGGTAGCTCGGGAGGTACCCTCGAGCCCCTGCAGTTGGGCTGACTGGGGTCCGGGGGGCACCTGCACACGGGCGGGCAGTGAGCGCGTGTAAGACGCGGTTGGCCGACGCGTAAAGCAGAACCCGCCGAACCACTTTGGCCGGGCCTGGTGGGTGTTTTTGATTCGGGGCTCAACACCAATGAGCATTCTCCTATTCCAACCTGATGCCAATTTGAGGCGTCCTGCCTATACTCGATCGTATTTCGCCTCTGCAAACAAAACAAACCACACGTCCACTCCTCTACGGCACGTCTGCTGATTCAAGACACGATCCTCCGTCCTGGGTCTCGGCCACGCGACATACCTACCTATACCTAGGTACATTCCGCTTCCAAATCTCGACGCCCAGACAGTACCCAGAGTTGCTGGGACTGATCCAGTACCAGTTGCCCCAAATACAAGACGCCCACACGCATGGTTCCCATCTCTTTCCTCGACTATCCTTTCCACCATGCCCAATACTTCCCTGCGCCGGCCCCAGAAAGGCTTCCGCGGTGGTCGCGGGGGCAAGTTGGCCTACCATGGCGGCAAGACACGAACCTTCACAGCCGCAGCCGGCAGGGCAGAAGCCACCTCGACAGACGAGAAATGGGAGCGGACACGGCTCGCCAACTCCATTGACGAGAACATGGGCTTTGCCCGCTACGAGGCCGGCCGGCCACGGGAGGGCTGGCTGGTGAACGTGCAGCCAGCGTCGATCGAAGACCCACGCATACCTGGCGGCGGAGGCCGTGCAGCCCTGGACTGCTACTTCATTGAGGAGGATGGCGCGACTTTCAAGGCGACGATAGAATACGAGCCATACTTCCTCGTGGCAGTACGGAAGGGCCACGAGGCAGAGGTCGAAGAGTGGTGCAAGCGAGTGCCCGGGGGCGGCGTCGTGAGGAGCGTCAGGCGGGTGGAAAAGGAGGACCTCAACATGCCGAACCACCTTCTCGGATACCGGAGGACGTTCCTGGAGCTGAAGTTCGCCAACGTGCAAGACCTCTTGTTGGCGCGGAGGGACATCATGCCAATAGCGGAGAGGAACAAAAAGGGCATGGATGCCATGGACACATACGCCGAGGTTGCTGCGTGCGTACCTGACCGCCCTTGAATACCGTTGTGACCTGGTTGGTGGGGAGCACTCGACTGACTTACAACAGGACGAACAACGGGAACTTTGACCTGTTTGACGACGATACACGAATTGATGAGAAACGACTCAATACCTCCATAACCGAAGCCAGTGATTTTCTTGTTGATATTAGAGAATACGACGTGCCATACCACGTCAGAGTAATGATAGACAAGGGTATGTTCAGCCTAGCTCTCAACATGGTCACTCATCTGACATAGAGTTTCAGGCATCCGAGTAGGGAAATGGTACTTTGTAGAAGCAAAGCATGGCGTCACGACGGTGGTGTGCAATGAGGAACACCTGGCCATGGCTGACCCAGTGGTGATGGCCTACGATATCGAAACATGCAAAGCACCCTTGAAATTTCCCGACGCTGCCGTGGACCAGATCATGATGATTTCCTACATGATAGACGGCCAGGGGTTCCTCATCACAAACCGGGAGGTAGTCTCAGAGGACATTGCAGACTTCGAATACACGCCCAAACCGGAGTACCCCGGCCCATTTATGATTTTCAACGAGCCGAACGAAAGAGCCGTCATCGAGAGGTTCTTTTCACACATCAAAGAGGCGCGACCAACCGTGATTGCGACTTACAACGGTGACTTCTTCGATTGGCCCTATGTCGACGCCCGGGCGAGTCTCAACGGAATCGACATGTACCACGAGATTGGCTGGAAGAAGGACAATGAGGACCAGTACAAGTCCAACTACTGCGCACATTTGGACTGTTTTCACTGGGTCAATCGAGATAGTTATCTGCCACAGGGAAGTCGTGGTTTGAAGGCCGTCACGGTGGCAAAGCTCGGATACGACCCTGACGAGCTCGATCCCGAACTCATGACACCTTATGCCGCTGAACGACCACAAACCCTCGCCGAGTACTCAGTCTCCGATGCCGTCGCTACGTACTACCTGTACATGAAATACGTCCACCCCTTCGTCTTCTCACTGTGTACGATCATTCCTCTTGGTCCTGATGACACAGAGCGAAAAGGCACGGGAACACTCTGTGAGATGCTGTTGATGGTGCAGGCATACAATCACGAGATCGTGCTTCCAAATAAACACGTGGCACCAAAAGAGTCCTTTTGGGAAGGCCATCTCCTGGATTCGGAAACATACGTTGGTGGCCACGTTGAGAGTATTGAGGCTGGGGTGTTCAGGGCAGACATCCCAGTGAACTTCGCCGTGGACACGGGCGCTGTCGATGAGCTCCTCAAAGACTTAGACAACGCTTTGAAGTTCGTGATCACGATCGAAGAGAAAAAGAAATTGGAAGACGTCGAGAACTACGAGGAGGTCAAGGGGCAAATAGCTGCCCGGCTGATGGCGCTGAAGGAGACGCCAAACCGGAGCGAGCGACCACTGATTTACCATCTGGACGTCGCCTCGATGTACCCCAACATCATGACCACGAATCGACTGCAGCCAGACTCGATGATCGACGAGTCGGACTGCGCTGCTTGCGATTTCAACAGACCTGGCAAGACGTGCGACAGAAGGTTACCGTGGGCTTGGAGAGGAGAGTACCTGCCAGCGAAACGAGACGAGTACAACATGATCAAACATGCTTTGGAGAACGAGCGATTTCCTGGAAAGTATCCCAGCTCACCTATGCGGTCATTCCAGGACTTGCCTTCCGGCGAGCAGGCCGATCTCATCCGGAAGCGCCTGCAAACATACTCCCAGAAGGTCTACCACAAGATCCACGACTCTACCACCAAAGTCCGAGAGGCCATCATTTGCCAGCGCGAGAATCCGTTCTACATCAATACTGTGCGTGACTTTCGAGATCGTCGATACGACTACAAAGGCAAGGCCAAGGAGTGGAAGGGAAAGACAGAGGCCCTCAAGTCTTCAGGGGCAACCGCCTCAGATGTTGATGCCGCAAAAAAGATGATCATTCTCTTCGACTCTTTACAGTTGGCCCACAAGGTCATTTTGAACTCCTTTTATGGCTATGTCATGAGAAAAGGTTCAAGGTGGTACTCCTTGGAGATGGCTGGCGTCACCTGTCTGACAGGCGCTACTATCATTCAACTGGCTCGAGGTCTTGTTGAGCGGCTGGGTCGTCCTCTCGAACTTGACACCGACGGTATTTGGTGCATGCTTCCTGCCACGTTCCCCGAGAACTTCGCCTTCAAGATGAAGAACGGGAAGAAGCTACCGATTTCCTACCCTTGCGTCATGTTGAACCATCTTGTCCACGACAAATTCACGAACCACCAGTACCAGACTCTTGTAGACAAGAAGTCATTGAAGTACGAGACGCACAGCGATAACTCCATCTTTTTCGAAGTAGATGGTCCATACAAGGCCATGATCTTGCCCACTTCGAAGGAGGAGGACAAGAATTTGAAGAAGCGATATGCTGTATTCAATGATGACGGCAGTCTCGCAGAACTGAAAGGCTTTGAGGTCAAGCGGAGAGGAGAGTTGAAGCTCATCAAGATCTTCCAGCAGCAAATCTTCAAATTCTTCCTCGAGGGAACCACACTTGCGGAATGTTATGCTGCGGTATCAAAGGTTGCCAACCGTTGGCTGGACGTGCTCCATAGCAAGGGGACGACGCTTGCTGATGAGGAACTCATGGAGCTCATTTCTGAGAACCGTAGCATGACCAAGACGCTGGAGGAGTATGGTACTCAGAAGTCCACGTCGATCACCACCGCCAAGCGTCTGGCCGACTTCCTGGGAGAAGGCATGGTCAAGGACAAGGGCTTGAACTGCAAATTCATCATCTGCTCGCGACCCAAGAATGCGCCCGTCACTGAGCGAGCCATTCCCGTTGCCATCTTCTCTGCTGAAGCAGACGTCAAACGAACGTACTTGACGAAGTGGTTCAAAGAGCCGCCCATCGACACGGACCCCAGGGCGTTGATTGATTGGGACTACTATTTGGAACGTCTCGGCTCGGTCATTCAAAAGCTCATCACCATTCCTGCCGCGCTGCAGAAAATCCGAAATCCAGTGCCGCGTGTTCCTCACCCAGACTGGCTACAGAAGAGGATCAATATCAAAGACGACAAGATGAAGCAAAAGAAGCTCACGGACCTCTTCAGCAGGGAACCGCTCAAGGACGTCACCAACCTCGCTGACCTAGAGGACTTCGGTACCCAGCTGCTGAAACCAAAGCCTGTCACCGAGATGGTGGCAGCGACACAGCAAAAGACAACACCAGTCGCACAGAAGAGGAAATCGCCTGAGCCTGAGGAGAACCTCGACCCATTTTCTGCATTGCCCAAGGTGATGTCGAATCCTTCTGAAGACTATCCTGCTTTCTTGGAATACCAGAAGAAGAAGTGGAAGATCCAGAAGCAGGCCAGGATACGTCGTCGACACTTGTTCGGTGAACGCCGTGCACCCACCAACAACATCCAACAGGCGTTTCGAGACCAGGCTGAGGTCACCTTCCGCAACACATGGCAATTGCTACAGCTCAAGCCAACGGATAGCCCAGGGTTGGTAACAGCGTGCGTCCTCATCGATAACAAGGTCCACTCCCTCAAGATCAAGGTGCCGCGCCAAGTGTTCCTGAACCTGAAGAGTAAGGATCTTCCGGACATTGACATTGAAGGCTGCGAAGTTGAGCAGGTCAATCACACACTACCCAATGGTCACCCCTCTACCCATCTTTTCAAGTTGACGGTGCCAGAGGATACCTATTTTGCCCAAGCAGAGAAGTTCTCCCTGCTCTTCAACCACCCCAGTGTAGAGGGGGTGTACGAGAAGCAAATCCCTCTGAGCACCCGTGCCGTCCTCCAGCTTGGCAATCTCTGCACCATTGACGAAAGCAAACCCGGTGTCCTTGGCCAGGGTCTGGATCAAGGATTCGAACTGCCAAGTTTGATGCGGCCGCTGAAGCCTAGGACATACCTGAGCGGCTCCAAGATGGCGTTCATCTACCTGTCCCACATCAGCGCTGGCGAGCGACAGATTTTCGGGCTGTTCTCTAGCACTGGGGACACGGCGCATGTTGTGATACAGCACAAAAACAAAGAAGGTGGCCAGGATCTCCCCAATATCAACAAGATCTACTCCGATCTGCGTGCCCGACATGCAAGCGAGGCGCAAGGGTCGAACTGGGAGGACTGTTTCCCATACCAGGAGAAGCTCACCTTCAAGATCACTCAGGTCACAACGAGGCGAAAGGCTTTCCTTGAGATTGGTGACGTCGTCAAGAAAATGAAGAAGGACGAGACCAAGCCACTGGTGATGGTCGTTCAATCATCGCAGACCAATCTCCTCGTTCACGACATCTCAATCCTGGGTGAGATGCCCGTGCTTCCGCTCAAATACAACGTCGATGACAGCTCACTGCCGCCACTTGGATGGCAGACTGTTGTTGCCAGGCGCTTGATCCATCACTATCTTGGCCTGGGCCCGTGGATATTGCACCTCACTGCTCTGGCCAGGTACGCTGATATCCCTCTCTGCAACCTGGAGCGGGAAGACCCGCGCTTCTTGATCGATGTTGCCTATGCGAGACGGCTTCAGAGCAACAACGTCGTGTTGTGGTGGTCTGCTGGCCCCCGTCCGGATCACGCTGGCTATGAGCTAGACGATATTACAGGGCCCCTGGAGACCGTGCAGATGCCCTCGGTCAACACTCCAGGGACATATTCCTCGGTCTGCATTGACCTGGAAGTGAGGAACCTCGCAATCAACACCATCCTAACTTCTTCTCTGATCAATGAGCTCGAGGGCGCCGACTCGATATCCTTCAACCCCGCGGCGGACGGTGTTGGCGGTGACGGAAACGAGGTGCTATCCTCAGACAACGCCTTCGCCAATGCCAGCATCCAAGTGCTTCGTGAGATGGTCAAGAGCTGGTGGGCTGAGGCGTGCAAGGGCAACGAGATGGCAGACATCATGGTTCAGCATCTCGTCCGCTGGGTCGAGAACCCCGACTCGTTCCTCTACGACCGTGCCCTCCATTACTACGTCCAGATGATGTCGCGCAAAGCGTTTCAGCAGCTCATGGGTGACTTCCGCCGCGTTGGATCGCAGGTCATCTTCGCCAATGCCAATCGGTTGCTTCTACAAACCACCAAGGCCGAGGTGGGCAACGCCTTCGCGTACAGCCAGTACATCATCAAGTCTATCAAGGGCAAGCCGCTGTTCCACTTCATCGACCTAGAAATCAAGGAGTACTGGGACTATCTTGTGTGGTACGATGAGTTCAACTACGGCGGCAAGGCGACGCAAAAGGTTATCGAGGCCGACTCGCAGAACCTGGAAACGATCATGCACTGGCAAATGTCCACGTTCCTGCCTGTCCGCTTACAAGCTACCTTCGCCGACTGGGTCATCGAGTTCATCACACTTATGCACAACATGAAGCGGCCGCTCTTTGGCTCTGACCCCACTGCCACGCCACGCCTGACCCAACTCCCGAACAATCGTAACTTGGCCGAGGACGGCGAGGGCCAAATCATCCTCGGAAAGGCCTTCGAGAAGCCCCTCAAGCGCGACATCCAGGGCCTCCTGGCGACCCGGAAGCGCGAGCTACTCCACCCAGAGCTCGCAGCCGACTACACGTTCCCGAGCCTCCCCGGCAGCCACCTCAACTACAGCCAAAGCAACGCGGTGCTGGAGCTCGTCAAGATGCTGATGCAGGTGCTGTCCCTGGACAAGAACATCGTGTTTGAGGCGCGGCTCCTGCGGAAGGAGCTCCTCGCGCTGTTCGACGTGCGCGAGTTCAGCAAGGAGGGCGGGTTCGTCAACCCGTCCGAGTCCCTCCGGATCGCGCAGGTCAGCTGCGACAGCTGCACGATGGCGCGGGACCTCGACTTCTGCCGCGACGAGGACCTCCTCCCCGAGGAGCCCGGCGCCGCGTCGCTGTGGAGGTGCAGCTTCTGCGAGGCCGAGTACAACCGCAACGAGCTGGAGGAGAGGCTCGTGGCGGACGTCGAGGCCATGGTCGCGGCATGGGCGGCGCAGGACCTCAAGTGTGTAAAGTGCGGCGCGCTCAGGGTTAATGACTTTATGGAGCACTGCACGTGCTCTGGTGGCTGGGGGGAGAGCGTCCGGAGGGAGGAGCTGGTTGGCCGGCTTCGGGTCTATCGGAACGTTGCGAGGTTTTATGGGCTGAGGATGCTTGGGGATGTTGTCGGTGGGTTGTTTGAGGACTTGTAGGGGTGGGCAGAATTGGGGATTCGAGATAGAGGCGTTTGGGGTTTTCAGCCTGGCTGGTTGAGCCGGTAGTGATGGACTGGTTATAGGACGAGGCCGGTGTTGTCTTTGAGACTGTTTCGGTAGTATAAAGGGCGTCGTCTCGGAGCTGGGGCTGGATCGGGTACTCGCTTGGGTTGTCCTTTGTCTGTAGAGTCATGTGGTTAGCTTAATATCCTCAATGCAGGGAACCCATCCACCAGGCTCTATGTCGTGTTGTCTTGTGTGTTTCATGAAGTCTGAAAGGCATAGTAGTTATGGACGGCGGTGCTCCTGGATTCTTGCCAAGAGGGCGCCTCTGCTTATTTAGTGTAACGCTCCTCTTGAAGGTGTTGTTGTTCTCCATTGAACATTCTTTATCTATCTAGGTGGTCAGCAGATTGCTGGGAGATTGCCGAGGGCCTGAACTTTGAATGTTCACACAAGTTCAGATGAGCCCGGTGTATCACACATGTTCACCTTATAATAATCTGTTCACGCGGGTTCGTGCTCGGTAGAGTATAGCGACTTGAGGAGGTTGGGTCATTCACCCTCGGCTTTGTATTTGATTGGAGGGTGTATTTGAATCTCTTTGATAGCATGTAGAAGCACTCGTGGTGTATCTGGCAAGTTCCACCATGTGTTGACCAAGACAAAGGAGGAGGTTGGGCTTGGGAAAGGGAGTTCCTCAAAGAATATTTCTCGCGCGTCATATGGAGGTGATGATGTCCATGTAGAGTGTTGATATTCCAGTGGTACGAGGGACACTCCTCAACAGCGCTGTGATTGCAACTGCACCAGAGCTGTATCGCAGGTCAGCTTGTCTTTTTCCTCGAAGAGAGGAAGGGGATGGACAACGGAGTCCACCGAGGCATTGAGAGAATAGTGAATCACAACAGAGCCAGTCCGAGTAGCTGGTCGTCCCATCTTCGTTTGCAGTGTGGTGTTGTGCTCCTGGTCTTCAAGGCGTTTTCTGACCACGTTGTCTGCCATTCACTCCGGCAACGAGGGAGGGGACTCAGCATCCGTTTTCCACCACCTGGTTGCGCGTCTCATTCACGCGTTTGTATTCACGCGTTTGCATCAACCACACCTGTTGAAGCAGCCTGGACTTTGCCTTGATCTGGCCTGATCTGATCCGCTCTGCTTCCTTCCACAACCTCAACGTCGTCCTTGACCTCGACCGCAACTTCAACCTCGAACCTGACCTTGGCATCACCACCACAAGTTCCCACCCACCCCGTGGTAAGTCTACTCTCACTCGGCGCACCCTTCCCACTCGGACAACAGTAATATTAACTATTCAATCTCTTGCAATAGTTGGAACACCCTCGCCGCTTTCACATAGCCCAGTCTATAACTTATTCTCTACCCACTCAGCAACCTGCAACAAGCCTATCTAGAATCACGTGAAGGCAGACAACATGTCCGACAAGAAAGCTCCCGACAACAAAAAGGCGGCCGAAAAGAGCCCGTCTAACAATGCTTCCCCCTCCGACGAGAGCCGCCCATCTCCTCTTATCCGGAACAGCTTTTCTCTGGCGGAAAACGACTCGCACACATCAACTACACGTTTCGGAGCTATTGGCGGCCCAGCCACTCCCACTCCTGCTCACCATGCCCGTCAGCCATTCCGACATGCAACGAGTCTAGCCAACCTAAGTTCCATGACTACCAGAACTCCGAGAGTACTCCAGTCCAACCAACCGGGTACTTCACATGTCCTGAACTTGCCTACCTGGCGTCGCGGCCCTGAGTCAACTGTGCCGGCCCCCATCGGTGAGCGCCGCCCGGGAGCGCGCCCTGCAGAGAATGATGAAGACCGCAAGGCGCGCGATGATGCGCGCGCCGTCGAGTACCAGGAGAGGGCGTTGAGGAAGTACAACGCCGAGCACCAGCACAAGCAGCAGAAGCAGCAGGACCAGCAGCTGGTCCCTACCCGCAGTCAGGGCTTCGGCGGTGCCCGTGGTTTCAATACCGGCTCCCAGGGTCTCGACGGCGGTTTCCGGGGTGTGGATGACCCTCGCATGGATGCTGGACGAGAGCCCTTCAAGCCCATGAATTCCAAGCTGGATCCAGAGGCGGCCAACCGGCCTCTCACCGAGGAGGAAAAGCTAGCCCGGGACATGAAGGGAATCTCGCACAGATACCAGGGAGACTCCAACAACCCGGCCAACGAGTCGGCCGACATCCCCGAGAGCGAGAACTGCTCCGTGTGGATCACCAACCTGCCGCCGGACTGCACGTACCGGGACCTCCTCGCGGCCATCGCCGTCCACCACCCGGGCAAGGTCTTCGCCACCTTCATCTCGCCCCAGCGCCCAGGGCCCCAACTTCCTCCCCAGCCGCGGCCACTCGGCCGCCAAGGTCGTCTTCTACTACCCCTACTCGGCCCGGCACCTGCTCCACGTCGCCAACAGCAACCGCCTCTGGGTCCGCTACTACCTCGCCCGCGCCGTCCCGAACCGCATCCGGGCCGCCCCGCAGGCCTACGAGAACCACACGTCGCGCTGCCTCGAGATCGAGGGCCCCTCCGACGTCGTCAACGAGCCGAACCTGCGGCAGGTGTGGGGCGGGTTCTTCGACTGGAACGACGAGGAGGTGCGGGTCGTCCGCGACCAGGTGGACTGGCGCACCGGCGTCACGATGCGCCGCATCGTGTGGCGCTTCGGCTCGCACCGCGCCCAGGCCGTGGCGGCCATGCACTACATGCGGAGCTACCTCCCTCACATCTGGGTCATTTACGCCGCAGACCCTTGCGACGTCCAGGTGCAGCGTCCCTAGAGTGTGGGCACGAGCTCGGAGGGGTTTCTGAGGGTTTCTGTTTTCTTTTGTGTGTTTGGTTTCTTTTCTCCCCCGGCGGTTTAGGATGATTCTCTTGCGGTTTGCAGAGCGCTGGCGGTATTGATTGATTGCTTCTGAGGGACAAATGGAATTATTGTATTACTATACTCTTTTGTGCTTTTGTTTTACTGTTCTCACCTGCCTCTAAGAGTGATTGGGGCGGGGTCTCTTTTGTGTTGTGTCATTGCCCTCCAGCACCACTGTTTTCTGGAATCGCACGATCTCGTGTCTTTTTCTTGAAGTGCGAGTAGTACACTCCACCGCAATTCCTGCTTCAGAGTCAGAGCTCACTCTGGGCTCACTGATTCATTCTCAGGCTAAGCAAGTGTTCTACTTCGCTCTTCAATTCTCCTCTGTGCCCTGGGTATCAGCAGACTGTGCCAGGGCAGACATCATTGCAGTCAATGATCATATGGTCCCTGCCCCGGTCAATTCATATCTTAGCTGGATATCTGTGCATCTCACACCCACTCATATAAATTTCTCTCATCCTTACATTGCCGTCTTGACGGAATCATAGCTCTACAGCACCGGAGCAAGGAAAACCTGATGAGTAGGGGAGCCATATGGTTTTGTTATTCTTCTTGCGATACCGTTTCCAGGTTTTTACTTCCAGGGCCATTGCATCTAACGGACGAGCTTTGGATCAGGAGCATCTCAAGTCGAACACTGGGCTTTCCGGTAAGGGTGTGGGAGATGCTCTAGTTGTGTCTACGCCGATCCGGCCTATCTGCGCACCGTTCGAAAGGGGCCCAAGGGGAAGGAGCTGGTTGTTAAGTGAATACCTAGTATCCGTTCCACTCAATGCAGTCTCGATCTGAGATCATATAATCTTGAAAACGTCAGGTGAGCGCTTCTGTTTTCATAACCTTTCTCATACTGAGGCAAGTAGTTTAACTCTTCAAAAGTCAAGTCCCAGACCAACTCTCATTAATGTTGAGAAATACAAACACCAAGGTAAGAGGACTTCGTATGAGCACCTTTCACCGTGAAATAATATTTTCTACGCATGTTGGACTTACCACACAGAATGTAGGCCTCCCGCTCATTGAAATGAGTCTAAGCTTCCGTTCAGCATCCTCCCGTCTGATATTAGCCTGTCTCTATAGAGTCTATTCTGTCCAGCTCCTATATCGTCTGGTCTCGCTACACCCTATTTCGTCCAGTGTTCATCCTCTATGTATCAGCTCCTGCGTAAAGATATGGTCTAGTCCGCGTTGACTATTTGTTGAGGGCGAAGCTTGAGAGATTACTTCTAGTCGCATCTTTTTCCATTTGAATCGGCCGGGTACAGTCATAAAAGGAATATAAAAATACACCAAGCGATAGAGACACACCAGGCGGGAAGGTCTTGTGTCACGCACTTCAATGAGGTTAGCTTGTCACAAGCAAGCTCAGCCACGCTAGAAGAGCAACTCCACTACAGCCAGAGGGGACTAGATCATCAATGCATGTTGAAAGCTTCCAGAACCGTTCAAAAGCGGGAGGATCTGCGTCTAGGGAAGACTAAGCGATTCTGGGTGCCTTGAAACTTGAAGTGCTAATGAAGTTGGCTGTGAATTTTGCACATTATGCGCAAGTATCCAGCGCTACAGCTCATGGTGGCTGAGCCGCCCATGGGGTTAATTTTGTCGATCAGTTACCTGGGTATGTTGCGCGAATTCAAGATCACGCCCAGCATGTTGAGTATGCCGCAATGCATGGGGAGTAAGATATGCTATAGACGACTACGTTGAATATGCTCATGGGGCCCAGGAAGCTCCTCCCGAGCTGACGTTGGGCGAATGAGCATGGCTGTTGGAGATGTCTTAAACAGTCTTGTGCAAGTCAATGACTAAACAGGCGTGGTAGCTAAACATTGAAACAGGAGTCAGGGGTGTTCAGTCGAACCCACAGACAGTCCGGGGGAGGATCAAACCTTACTCTTTGGGGACCATCAGACGAGATGCAAGAATGTCTGGGCGCCGTCTCGCGGGCCGCTCAGAGTGGCTTCTCCGTAGTGCCGTTGGGCGAGCCGATTGGGCGTTTCGACGGTTCCTGAATCCGAACATGTGCCAGCTGCCACCGTTGGTGTGACACAAGAAGGGTCCCTGGTCCACGCCTATCCCCAAGATGCTGACGGTTCGCCACGCACAAGTTAGCACGCTACTCCCCAGCAGACGGGCCGCCCAACGCAGCGGCCTCACCTGCGGCTGTCTTGGCACATGTCTTGGCACACTTCCAGAAACTGAGCAAGATGGCCGTCGTCCTGGGCCTCCTCCTCCCCGCAAGAATTGGCCTGCTCTGGCTGGAATAGCCAAGACCTGCGATGCTTCCAGCGGCGGCAAGGCCGAAATATTCTGCCTTGTCTTGGCCGTCCGAAGCGGACGACACGCAGATCTGCTGTCCTGTTGCGCCCTTTCCGGCTTCCGGACGCCTCCTTCAGCAGGCGCAGCAGCCCGCGTCTACCATTGTCGCCGTCTGGAGTATCTAACAGTAGTGGGCAGCCATCCGGGCTCAGACGCCGCCACTCGACTTCAAACGAACTAGCGTCACACTTGACCTTGTCTGACAGCTCGATCATCCAGTAACACTGCCCTCGTCCAGTTGGAGCCTCAATCATCAGACCGGATGTTCAGCTTGTCGTGAAGGCTGCCTTCGCCATGGCCTCACCCACTCCCAGGTTGCTCCCATCCCGCCACCCAGCTGGGCCAGATAGGAGGGGGCCAAGGGATGTGTATATAACCTCTTCGTCCTACCCTCTCGATCTTGGCAAGACCTCGTTGCACATTCACAAGCACAAGATCTCATCTGCACAGACCTCTCCTTCTTCCGCTCCTTGCTACCTTTACCCGGATCTGCGACCAGGAGTCTGCAAATCCGTTTCAGTACCTGTATCTACTGCTTAAACAAGCTTGAGTCTTCGTTTCCAGTTTCGTTTTCGCTCATATCACAGGCCATCCCTCGCCTCATTAATTTTTTACTTGCCTCTATTCCTCACCCAAACACCCAAAGAATCATCAACATGGTCGCCCTCAAGGCCGCAGCCGCCGTCACCCTCCTCTTCGCTCTGCAGGGCGCCCTCGCCGTGAGCCCAGCAGAGTCGTACAGCTCCTCCAAGGTCCGCTCCGCCAAGCACGAGCAGCGCCAGGCCGCGGCGAAGCCCCCCGTCCTCCAGGCGCAGCCCAGCCAGATCCCGGACCCGACGCTGGCCGCCGGCAACGGCAACGGCAAGAACCAGCAGTTCATCACCGGCCAGTGCACCGACTCGACCGACTGCGGCGCCCAGCAGTCCGACCTGACAAAGGTCTGCTGCGCCTCCGTCGTCGACCAGGCCTCGGGCAAGACCGTCGGTACCTGCTCCGGCTCCGCGGTCGGCAACGCCGCGCCCAAGCTCGGGTGCGGCTTTGGCGACGGCAAGGCTAACTCGGGCGCCGGCGCTGCTGCTGCTGCCCCCCAGGCCAGCGGTGGTGCTGCCGCCGCGGCCGGCGGTGCCCAGTCCGGCGGTTCCTCCACCAACGCCGCTGCCGGCTCCGCAAGCTCTGGCGCCGCGTCTGCTGGCGGCAACGCGGGTGGTGCTGCTGCGGCGTCCGGCGGGTCTTGCCCTCCTACCAGCACAAACGATAGCCTCGGGCCCGGCAACGTTGGTGTTCCCGGCAAGCAGTTCGTCACCGGCCAGTGCACCAGTGACGGCAACTGCGCGTCAAACTGCTGTGTGCTCGGCGGCGGCAGCGACAAGTCCATTGCTGTCTGCCGCAACGAGCCTGCCCTCAAGCCTACTGAGAAGTGCGGCTTTACGTGCACCGCCTAAGTGGCTGGGAATGCTGCTAAATCGGCGGGTTCTGCGTACGGGCCGGCTAGTCTGAAGAATTGCCGCGCAATTCACGCTTGTGTTGTACATGGGAGGATGCTTGGGTGATTGTGGAAGTAATCATGCATAGCGGGTGGAATGGTTTGCATTGCTTGGAACATAACTGGATTATTCCGTCAGCTCAAGGCCGGAGACAAGCGGCCGTGTTCACTCTTTGCACTCTTTTCAGTATTTCGTATAGGTCTTAATAATGTCATGATATGCCAATCACTGTGAACTCCAATTACATGAAGTGATGTGCTGGCCGTTCCGATACTCTATTATTCAAGAAGTTTGGTGCACCAGAATATTGTGATATCACCTAGGTACATACAATTTGCCACTCAGGAGTCTTGGCGTCGCCTAATTCAGTTGTGCTGAGAAATGTTGCCTGTGTAAGCGATCGCAAGGCAATTAATGTACGGTGAAGTTGTCTCATCGGGTTCAAACTCAACAAGTCCCTTGTTGCCCGTACATGAATTTCAAAGGATTGACAAAGGGAGGAAGCGCTGGCTATTCTGTCTCACACTCTTTAATCAGTGTCATGATCCATACTGACATGCAGCACATCTGCCGGATGTACCACTCATCGTGGATTCGCGTTTCCAAAAATCATGCACCGGTGTTACTCTCATGAGACATTCGCCAGTCGAATCATCGGCATGTCCCCCAGTATCTCAGGCACCCACGCAACATCATCCTCCTCGGGCTCCTCAAACCGCCGGTCCTGATCGTCCACCTCGACGGTCCCACCCCGGACGTACAAGATAGCCGACCCCTCAGCCCCAGGGCCCGAGTCCACGAGCTCCTCGTCGCCGGGGATGAAGCACTCGTACTCGACAAGCAGGTCGTAGCTGCGCAGCCGCCTGCCAAGCAGCAGATCCCAGGCACCAGTCTCGGCCCCGAACGTGGCCGCGGAATCATCCCCGACGGCGCCGCCGCAGAGGAGGAGGTCGTACAGCAGGCCCATGGTCAGGAAGCCTCCTGAAGCAGAAAGGTCTACCAGCAGGTGCTGCATGTGGTCGCGGCCGTCCTCGTTGAAATCCTCTGATGAGTAGCTCTTGACGACCTCGAGGCGCGTGACGGGCGGCCCGCGGGCGAAGGTGACGCTGAGCCCGCGCCAGCTCGCGGCTGGGCGGAGGTATGCGTCCCTCAGGGCTGTGTTGCCGTCGTCGCCACCGCATGCCGCCCAGGGGAGCCGCCGGAAGGGAAGGGCCACGTCGCCGATGAGCGAGAGGAACCACCGCCTGCTCTTGCGCTCCGCCGATGTGAAGCAAACCGCGGAGCTGAAGAGGGGCGCGAAGGCCTGCGCCAGCACGGGGTTAAGTGAGGTGGCTGTTGATGGGTCCTGGCCCTCGAGCAGCCGGGAGGTTCGGAGCGGGCGTGGCGGATGAGACAGGATCTCCTGGGCGAGGAGCCGGAAGGTCCTGCAGGTTGCCTGTGTCGTGGATCGGTCAGTGGGCTGTTGTTCGCCAGGGCTCGGCATTAGATGTGCGCGCGAAAACACGGAAGAGCGAGGACCACGGAGCGCGAACGGCGGCGCTCCACAGCATTCTTGCTTCGTGCATCTACAGTTTCAAGGACAGCTACTCGGGGGAAGTGCGGTCGGCTGGTGTCTTGCCTGTGAGAGGAGGAAGCTCCGCAGATCGAGGCTGCTGAGGTGCTGCAGCACCAGGATCCGCGTTTCTGTTGGCAGATCTTCGAAGGACCCCATACTGGAATCCTGGATATGGGCAGTTTGGGCTTCAAAATTGAATAGCAGGTTTGTTGTTCTCTTTTCCGCGTGGGGGAGGAGTGCGATGGATGCTGAGAGGAGTTTGCTCCGGCTACCATGTGATAGTGACCATGACTTGCGGGTGCGAGGCAGGGTTAGGGTTACAGCAACCCATTGAATTTGAGAGGCGCTGAGTTCCTTCCTTCCCTTGGTTGACTTGCAAAGGAGTTGCAGGTCACAATTCACTAAATTGAGCGAGTTCATCAGTACTCTACGAAGTAGGCTGATGCTATACTGTACTAGTCCAACTCAGATGTCTTGGATGCATGATCTGCAGTCTGAAGCCTAGACAGGCACATCAACGCTTGAGTTGACATCATCAGGGTCAGGATGCTTTCCAATGGGGGAGACGTCATAGTGTGACTTTATCATTTTGTGAGCATGCATGTCTGTGCCCAGGCCATGCTCGCCTGCTCCAGCATGCTATTTTCTAACAATTCCCACCAGATGGGATTCTTTCTCGGTCTTTTTATCTGCTCTGCTAGCTCCTGCACTAGTCATCGATCATGAGTCGTGTGAATGATCATCGTACTCTCTGGGTATGGTAGTCCCAGATGCGCAAGACTCAAACTCAGCCAAGGCGACAGCTCGGCCGCCCTGTACGTACCCGACCCCGGGTTCAAAACGGATCCCGGATACGCCTCGGCCGATTCCAGGCCCGAGTGTATCGGCCGAGTCGGATCGCCACTTGGGCGTACTTTTGGACGCTGGAACTGATATTCTACCTAGGTACATTGGGATTTCCATGATGGTCACTTTAGGTCACAATGCGGAGAGAAACTCCAGAAATGACACTGAAGGGAAGGAGGCACCGGTGATCGAGTGATCAGATCAGTAAAGATACCTAGGTAACTACGAGACCTCTACTCCTTCTTCACACAGCTTGTCATCAAGCCTCCGTCCCAGTGGCCTCCCAAAGCCAAAGAACTCCATCCCTCAATGAGAGCCTTTCCCAAGTTCTGATAAACCTGGCCACAAGCTGAAGCCTTTCCCTTTCCCAAGTCCTAAAATTCCTGGCCATACGCTGCCCACGCTGATCCATCCGTGACCCAACTCCCACAAGAACCATAACCCTTCCCTCATTTCCTCATGTCACACTGAGTTCGTCTTCCTCTAAAGCCAAACCAAAAAGCTGCACTGCCTGGGGTGCGTGTATGCTCCGCCGAAATAATGCACACAAGTCGTTTTGTCGCGTCTGCGCGCCCTGTGCTTGTTGGGGTATCGATGCTATCGCCTAGGCGCCTCGTGTACGTTTGTTGTTGCATGGAAAACCCAATATCTTCAAAAGCAAACACGTCCTTCTTCCTGCTCCGTCGTGCCTCGTTCCGTTTCGTTTCGTTTATACCCCGCCCCCAGGCTCCCAACCTAGAGTCAATACCTCCGCGCATCACCCTTCCGATGACCACGCCCTGCCGTCGACCCAGCGCCAGGGGCGGATGGGGGAGGCACCACACCAGGCGGCACGCGAGGAGGCGAGGCAGTGAGCATCGCGCGCGAGGAGCTGCTGCTGCTGCTTCTGCCAGCGCCAGGCGCGACCACCAGCGGCGGCACCGGCGGAATCGGGGCCCCACCGCCGCCGGTGGTGACGGTGGTGGTTGTGACGGGCATAGCAGGCGGCCCCAGCACCCCGCTGCCGACCATGCGCGCCGAGTTGGCCAGGTACTGCTGGATGAGGCCGTCGTCGCAGTTGCCGTGCATGAGCAGCTGGTTCTTGAGCTGCAGCACCTCGTCGCGCAGCGACCGCGCCGTCTGCGTCAGCGCCTGGTGCTCGGCGCCCATGGCCCGCTCCGTCGCCTCGAGCTCCGCCACGGCCACCTTGCTCTTGGCACGGCACCGGTTGGCCGCCTCGCGGTTGCGCGCTCGCGGGTCTGGCAGTGGTGGTGGTGATGATTGTTGTTGTTGCTGCTGTGGTCGTGCTGGCATTGTTGGGGGCTGCGAGGATGGCCCCGCTTGGAGAGGTCTGGAGGGGGCGTTGCTCGTTTTTGTCGTCGTCGTCGTCGTCGTCGTCTTCGTCGATGTCTGCTGGTGTTTGGATCTGCTGCTGCCGCTGCTTTTGCCGCTGTTTTTGTTATTGTTCTTTTGGTTGCCGTCGCCGGCCGCGGCCACAGCGGTTGTGGCTGGGGCGATCGGGACCAGCGGAGTAGAAAACCCCGGTGATGAATTGTTTCGATGACTCTTCTTCTCAAGGCTCGTCTCTGGTGGCGCGACGGGGCCGGGTGCCTGCCTCCTCTTCTTGCTGGGCTTATCATCCGCCCGTGGTTCGACCTGCATCCCCAGGTGAATCGGCATGGCTCCCTTGCTGGCGACGAGCGGTCCGATCACACCGGCACTCCCCTTTCCCGGAGAGCTCGGGCTGTGGCTGCTTGCCGGGGTCGACGTGCCAGGTACGCTCAAGCTCGATGACATCGTGGGCCCTCTGGATGTTGATGTCGACGTTAAGCTGCCATCCATCGACCAGGCGGTGCTCACCATGGGCTCAAAGCTGGTCATCCCAGGAACAAGAGGCATCGAAGAGGTATACTGCGGCAAGGACGTGGGAGACACCATGAAGTTGTCTATGTTGACAGAAGTTGCCGGCTGGGCTACCCATGGGTCTTGGTGGAACCCGGCGACACCGCCCCCGCCCGGCCCTGGGGCTGCCGGATGGTCAAAGCGAGCATCCAAAAGGCCCGGGTCGATCGGTATCGCGCTGCTGCTGTCGAATCCGAATGAATTCAATAGTGGCGGGTAGAAGGGCGAGGTGTGGGGCTGGTCGGACGAGTGTGCCTGTGACGCTTGGTGCGGAGCGGAGGGGTCCTCCGGACGGAAGGGTTGGGCTGGTTGTTCATCGCTTCCAACGACATACTGCGTGTCGTCCTGCTGGGATCCTTCTGTGCCCGTGATCTCCAGGTCCTGCAGGGTCTGGAGCGTCTCAAGAGGCATCTCAGGAGGGGATGCGACGGGTGGGTGTGGCTCTTACGCAGGCAGTGCGCGTGGTCGCAATCGGGGTCGAGGCTGCCCGGTAAGTAACAAGCATGCTTCGGAAAACAAGGTTTCGCTTAACGGGCTTGACAGTGGCTCTGTTTGGGATGGATGCTTGATGCTGCTCGTGGGGTTGATCCCTTGCCTTGATAATCGATCGGGCCTCGTCGACTTTTTAACTTTCGAATGCCGGTGCCAGAGAAGGACTGGCTGGAGGTGGCGACCTAAGCAGGTGTCGCAATTGAGAAGCACCGCACCACTGTGTGTGTTGAGAGAGAGGCAACTTCTGGGATGGTTGGACAACAAATGGATGCAACTGTAGCTGCAGCATGGCCTCAAGCGCGTGCTAGGTAGCCGGAAAGAACGTGAGTGGTCGACGCAGGCACTGAAATTCCCCCAAGACAAAGCGTCACAATGGTCGGGATCAGCAAGCCTGGTTTTCAGAATAGGGCACGTCACGGTTGACGGGAAGGCGCCGTGGGAATATGCCGAGGACGCAAGAGTGACCATAGATAATACTGGAGAGAATGTAGGTGCTGGGGCGGAGCAACGCAGGGCTGCCGTACTGATGTTAGCGAGTGTCTTCCCTCTTGGAGCACTCCCGGCCCATCGGTAATTTCTGCAGGGACTATGCCGCCCTGGACCGAGTCGGTCTCGACAACAGCCCACGGCAGCCAGGGCCTGCTTCTAGGAAAAGAATGAATTGTGCACAGAGTCTGAGAATTTGGTACCTTGTTTTAAATTTTCTTTTCTCGTAGACTCTTTGACTGAGCGAGAAGAAAGGGCGCCCGCCGGTTCGCAACGGCGCATCCACCCACAAGGGGTCGCCTAGGGCAGTAAGCTGGCGGGACTCAAGAGTATTGCAGCGGCCGTGAATGTTTCCGCGTGTGACCCGGCGCCCAAGGGGGCAATTCTAGAAGTTTTCCGGGGTTTTAAGGGACCTTCAAGGCTGTGCTCTTAGTGCCCGGCGGACCCCAGAGTCTATTGCAGCCCTGGCGTGCCTGGAAGAGGTTGACGCCTGTGGGGCAGCTCGTCCCTGCAGAGTGCTGGCAAAGGTAGATCAATACTGTAGCCTCGCCGGATCCAGAACCTGTTCACCAGACCAAGCACACAGGAGGACAAGCCGCGACGAATCGGGATATTGGCGTCCCCCTCAGCGTCCAGGACAAGTCTTGACAGATCTCGCAACCGTCGAAATGCGTTCTTGTCTCCAGGTAACAGGACAAGTACTTCGTACCTCCGTAGCAATCACACGAGGAGACACTAGGAGGTAGACTGAGGACGCGTGGCCAATCGCCAGGAAGAGACGGGCGGCGAGGTGTCCGGAAATCCTGATTGGAGGGCCCAGCGGGAGGACGTGATAGGCCAATGCGAGGGGGCCTCAGGGTTTGAGGACCAAATCCAAGTGGACCTTATTCTCCGCCGGCTGATACGATGCGATTGGTGAAGGGATGAAGTATCAGTCAGTCAGTCAGTCAACGATCTCGATGACAAGATGTGCAAACGAAGGCAGCGGGAATAATGAAAAGTCTACATAATTCCCTTGCCTGTCGCGCGCCCGTGGAAAAAACACGTTGGACATCCAGGATTAGGATTTCCAACATTTCAATGTCGCCGGCTGGCAGTGCCCCACTGCATCTGACAGATGTGCTCGATGGGCAGTCCCCTGTGGATGCGCCGTTTGGTGGGTCGATGTGGGTGTTCCCACCCTGTGGGGTGTCTTGTTCCGGGCACCGCGCCCACAGCAAAGCTTCCCTGCTTCCGTGACCAAGTACCCGCAGAAAGATCGACAGGTCTCGGGCTGGGGAACCACCCAGTTTGTCAGTTCTACACACACCCAACGTAGCAAGTGTGTCAGCGCCGTCGACTGGAGTTAATACTCATACCCAGGTAGCTCCCGTCTCTCAAACCGACGTGAGAATCGACGGCCTGTTCGGGGATCGCCACCAAAGCACTACATCTGCCCAGGTGTGTGTGTGTCTGTGTGTCCGTGTGTCTTGATTCTCCTCTTCCATACGTTGCAGCAGGCGCCGCCGGGCAATGGAAGGATCAGGGTAGACCTCACCAGCACTGGAAAATGACCACTCCATCCTGATTTTGGCATGGGAACCTCAAAGGCCGCCGTTTCCCACGGTCATGGTTTCGTCAATAATGCGGACTGCGCCCAGCCGGTGACACAGAACCATGCACAAGGAGAGGGGCCCCCGATGGGCCATCATCGCTGCTCGTCTTCTCGATGCGCGATCCGAGCCTGGTATAATCTTTCCACGTCCTCGATGTACTGCCGGTATCTGGATGATGAGAACACACCAACGCACATCCAAGATCAGGTTTCACGCAGCGGTTCACACATTTACTCCGACCTTGCGCACGGGCTGTTGCTCCTGCGTGGGCGGAAGTCTTGGAGACGATGGATTCACCCGCATCTCGCAACGCATTCCCTAGTTCTCTTCGCTCTCCGCGCCTCATTGACTTCGAAAATCCCCTATCAATTGGCATGGTGCTGACTCGAATGATCCGCAGTGATGGTTTGGATACCACGGAGAAGGCACGTTGCATGTAGGCGGCGCTGTTGCCTGTTCTCTTCCTGGGCATCGTGAAGACCAACTCAATTCAGATGTCACGTCTTGCGAATCTCATATCATCTGTCCTCATCGTGTTCCCTTTCTTCTTCTTCGGGCACTGTTGGGCTAGGCAATCGCGGCATTCCAACGGGGAACAGACCACCAGGGCTTGAGGTCTTCCAGCCTGCTTCCGTCCAAAATGTACCCACCCTCGGCGCCTTCCAGTGCAGGCTCCAACGAGGACCAATAGTTGAGACATGTCTACAGGAGGTTCAGGGCATGACTGTCCTGGCTTGATTGCCCCGTCTTCACCCTCCCCTGGCTTGCATCATCGCAGAATTCCCAGGCACGCATTCGGGAGTACCCAAGTGGTCCCGGCCCACTGGACAACTCTGCGTGCTGGCCGGCTCGTGCCCCAGGTCCGGAAGACGGCACCCTGATGGCTTGCTCATCTGACACCAATCTGTGCAGTTGTACGGCCGACTCTTGATTCAGCTATCAGACCATCAAACTGCCGCATTACTGCACACGACGCCCACCTCCGGCCATGGTGGGTAAGTAGGTTTGCATCGAGCAAGCTTGGCCGAGAAAACGTCGGCATGTTGGCGACCGTCGCTATGTTTGCCATTCACTCCGGATGATTGTGAGTGTAAAGATACTTGGTAGGTGGCACCGAGACCTTTAGGACACAGCATGTTGTTGCCGCTGCTCAATCGCAACACCGCAACAAATGGCGCGATTGACTGAGGCCTCATTTCTGTCAACAGAGGCAATTGTCACTGAGCCGAGCACTTTTCAATGACCAGCAGCGCCAACTTCACGATACTTCAAACACGAGATACTCGAAAGACGAGCGTGATGTCTTCCCACGACCGGAAGCCTCCGCCGGACGCTTCCTAGGCTTTTGCCAAACCTTAAACAGCGCCGCTGCCTCAGAATCGGACTCGGCCGGGCAGGCTCTCAAAGCAGCGGGAAAGAGATGTAACATGCGTGATTCATGGCTGCGGATTGTTGTACAAATGTCAGATCTCAGTCCCTAGGGATCCGCACACCTATGTAGTTCAAAGTTCGGACGACAATGCTACCGGCAACGTCACGACACCTTAAGCTTATTACCCCTTCAAATTTAGAAAATCCAAGCCAGACATGACGCAGGCGATTTAAACCTTTTTTCTCGCTTCCCCATCTCGGAATCTTGAAGCGGTATTGAGTATCGACGGGGCGGTGTTGTCACACGGGTTCCCTCATCGGGAATCTGCCTGCCAGCAAATACTTACTCAGTCCCCGCCGATAGAGAGAAACAGAGAAAACCCTTCCCACCAGAGGGCGTGTGCGGGAGGGCAGCGAGGGAATGAGGCCGGGTGGGGGTCCTCTCCTGTTGGGCATCAACGATCAAGGTTTCATCTGGCCGAATTCGCGAGCCGGATGGGGAATCTCGCGCGTGGATGACCTGGCGATTTGTCAGGGCGGGCGGGCCGCGGGAGGATTTTTCCAGATAGTCAGTTACCTTTCAGGACCCAACAGCAAAGAGGGCCAGTCAGCCAATCCCCCTCTCCCTCCCAGGCAGGTAGTTCAGTAGGACCGACTCGTCTGTTCTCCTCCCCTCCCCGCTCCGCCGCCCCCCAAGTAAAACCCTCGATCCCAGCGTAGACCTACTGTTAGGCCAACTTTGTGAGCGCGCTACGACTTTGTCTGTTCGGAAACGAGAACTCTAGCAGCCGTGTCGAAATGCTACTACAACCCGCTGCGAAATTCCCACGGCACAATTGTGCAGGAATTTGCGCTCTAAATGACAGCTCTTTTTGTCGCTTGCGAGCACATTGAGGTTCAAGAAGCCACATTGAGAGACTCCAGAACCTGAAGAAACACAACAAATCCTGGCAAAATCAAGCACGGATTCGTGGAAAGAACCTGAACACTCCCAATGTCATCGCGTAGCACTAATATATTCCAGTAGTACCATGGCTAAGGAGAAATCACTTATGCCCATACTACTGACCCGGAAGACTACGCATCCATGATCCGATAGAACCACCATTCAATTATGCCTCCACACGACTTTGGCAAAAGCACAAACATCCATCAAATCTCATACACCCCCTCCCAGCGAATGTCCCTGCTGCTCGAGCCAACATACACGTCGTAGCGCCCCGGTTGCACAACCCAGCTCTGTGACACCACGTCCCAGACGCTAAGGTCGCGCCTCGTCAGCTCGAAGGCCACGTCGGCCTGCTCCCCCGGGGAGAGCTTCACCTTCTCGAACCCGCGGAGCTGCTTCGCGGGCCCGTCGGGGATGCCGACGTACAGCTGTGCTATCTCCTCGGCGGCCACGGAGCCCGTGTTGGTGATCTCAGCCGTCACGGTGGCTGCGACGTCCCATATCGAGTCGCTTGTGATGACGCGCTGCGACAGGTTGCTCGGCACCGGTGCGGACTGGACGGCGCCGCCTGAGTACTCGAAGGTGGTGTAGCTCAGGCCGAATCCGAACTCGAAGCGAGGCTCGATGTTATTAGCATCGAAGTGGCGGTAGTCGATGTAGACCCCCTCCGTGTAGTTGCACTGCGGGAAGTGGTCGTCTTCCGAGGCGGGCTTGCACGGCTCGTACAGGCCCCCATAGTCGCTCTCGTTCCGGGCGAGGGTGTACGGCAGCTTCCCGGACGGGGATATCTCGCCGTACAGCAGGCTGACGAGGGACTCGCCGATGTCCTGGCCGGGAAGGTGCGCGATGATGGTGGCCGTGACGTTCGGGTGCTCGATCCACTGGTCCACCAGCCGGATGCCGGCGGCGTGGATGACAACGATGGTGTTGGCGCATTTGGACGCGACGTTCAGCACCAGTCCATCGCTGAAGTCATCGTGCAGCCCGTCCCGGTCCCAACCCTCGGTCGCCATGGCGTTGATGAACACCAGGCAGGCATCGGACATGGGGTTGACGAGCGGGTTGCCGGAGCGCAGGTCCCAGTTCAGGTAAGTTCGGGTCTCTTTGGCGCGCTGGGTCAAAGCGCCGAAGGGCTTATTCCTACTAGTCAGTAGAGTCCTTGATAATCCAAAAGCAGAAGGCTGACTGGGCAAGACTCACAGAATCGATGTACGACGGCCCGTTGGAACCGCTTCGGCCACCCGCGAATATGACCCCATCGTAAGCTCGCTGTGAAAAGTGCGCCTCGAAGCCCAGGACCGCGTCGGCCATTTCCGGCTGCGATTGGTAGCCAAGCTCAAACAGCTTGTCGATGTTTTTCGTCGGCGGCGCTTGAGCATCGTAGCCGAAGACGGACAACATCTTCGGGTTCTGAAGTGGTAATGAGTTGTTGACGTTCTTCACAAGCACATGTCCCGCGGCGGCTCCTTCGAGAAGCACTTGGTCTGCATCGGGGCTTCGTGCGTCAATGAGCTCATGTGGCAGGCTGAGGTTCTGTATACCAATCCCAGGACTGGGGAAGCTCGTGTCGTTCTGGCCGAGCAGATACCAGGCTGCGAGGATCCTGACCGCGAGCCCGTGTAAGCATATATGAAACTACAATGAGGGGAGTTCCTGCTCACCTGTGAGCCATATCATCGATCCTTTCCTCGGTGACCGAACCATTCTTCACTGATTCGGTCAGATTGGCAGCCCAACTAGTTCCATTAGGCATGATCATGTCGAGCCCGGCGAGAGGCCCAGCTATACCACCAGTCCTGGCGTTCCAGTCCGAGACGACGAAACCCTGGAACTCGAGCTCCGTCTTCAGAAGACCGTTCATGAGCTTGCTGTTCTGGCAGCCGTACGAATTGTTGACCCGATTATAAGAGCACATGACACTGGCAGCGCCAGCCCGCACGCCATCCACAAACGGCCAGAGATACAGCTCGTGCAACGTCTTGTCATCGATGTTGGACGACGCGGCCTCGGTGTCGTTGTACGGCCGCCGCCAGGTCTCTTGCTCGTTTGCGATCAGGTGCTTCAGGTTTGCGATGACCCCGGCGTCCTGGATGCCCTTGATCGTCTCCGCATTCAGGGTCCCGGACAGGTACGGGTCAGCAGCAAAGCCCTCCCAGTTGCGGCCGCCGAGGGCGGTCCTCCCCAGGGGCCCGGCGACGGGCCCCAGGGCGACGTTGGCCCCCTTGGCGCGGAACTCCCTGCCCATCTCGAGGCCCCTCCGGTAGGTCAGGTTCCTGTCCCAGCTGGTGCCGACGTGGATGCCGCTCGGGTACGAGTTGGTCAGGTCCGCGGCCCTCACGCCATTGCCCGCGTCCTGGAGGCACAGGCCCGGCCACCCCAGGCGCGGCACGCTGCCTGTATTCCCGCTGCACGTGTTGGCGGGGTTGGTGTGGCCGCCCGTGACGTTGAGCTTCTCCTCGAGCGTCATCTCGCCCACCAGGGCCTCCGCGGCGCTGAAGGCGGACGCCCAGCTGCCGAGGCCTTTGGCATGGGCTGTTTGAGGGAACCGAGAGACGGGTTAGCCGGGGACCTAAGAGACGAAGGGAAAACATGGTGGTGTTTTGACCTACGGGCTGGGTAGACAGGCGGCGACTGGCCGTAGAAGTCCACATCTGTGACAGCATGGCCCAGCGCCAGCAGTGGCAGGAGATGCGTGAGCGTCAGCCGCATCGTCGTTGCATCTAACAATGACCGAAGTCGAGAATATGGCTGGTGGGAAACAGCCCGAAGAACAGTGCAACAGACGACGTCGGGTTTTTTTATGGTCTATGCCGCATGGACATCGTGTGTACGGCTCCGGGTGACGGCAAGCGTTCCCCGGGTCGGGTCGCCTGTGCCGCCCGTCAGCCTAGCTAGCTGGCGTGTTTACTGTTTGGTCGTATCATTTGCTGCAGTCGTGCAAAAAGCGGTCTACCGGTGTCATCGCGCAGGGGTCAACAAGCCCTGGAAACGCTGGGCATTTTGGGGCAACCGCGAGTTCAATATCGATCATAAGCAACCTGAACCCTGGTTTTTGTGACGCGCTCGGGGGAGGTACGGCCGAGCCAAGGGAAATCAATGCCAAAAACATGAAGGTATCTACCGAGGTCTTCCCAGGCGCTTAGGGGTGCATCCCATCACACTTCGTATCGCTGAGTCGGCACTTTTGTTGTCAATGACAGCCAACAGCAGATTGCGAAACGACGCTGGCGACTGCTTCAAGTCGGCAAGAGACAACCCCAATTTTGTGTTGGGGCAGGAATCTCGAAGATACTGATGTCATGGAGCAACCAGAGTGGATGCGGAGGTTGGCACCTCCAACACCGACATGCTGTTTACTAATTGCATTGCAGTCTCAACAGACGTGTCACACTTTTGCATAGGGCGCGACAGGTTGTCATTTGCTACACTTCTCAGAGCTATCCACCCGGGAGCCACCTAGATAAGCTTGTTCAGTCCCCGACAATCACGACTTCCGACGAATGCGACCGGCAGGTTTCGCCGGCCACAATCCGAGGCTGGTCATCTGGGTAGGAATTACGCGTGGTGAAATAATTCCGTTGGTCGCATCGGAACCGAGCATCCACACAGGCTCCCACGATCCAACTAGACAATCATTGTTCTTGGCCTGCTGCACCCGAAAGTTTGTTCCATCTGCAAGGAAGTTTCTATCAAATCACATTGTGGTCTCTTAGGCATGAGAACCTTGCCCAGTGGTTCGCCCCACAACAAGGTTCCGCATCTCGCCATGTTGCGATGCCGAATGTCACGGGTTCGGGTAGACTGGAAGCTTGATACGTGATGATGTTCTGGATAGCATCAACCTATCTAGTACTCTCACATGCGGATTCCAGATCTGGGTTTACACAAGGTTTAGTAGTATGGAGATAAAATGAAACAGCGGATCTGGAAATCTGCTTATATAGTGGTAGAGACCGGTTTATCCTTCATGATCTGGCCAGAGAATTTCTAAGTTAGAGGATAAAAAGATCTCGTGGTCTACCTAGGTAGGCTTTACAGCAGAACAAGACTTACCTGTATGAATACCACCTTTTACAGTATATACATACCAAATCGCAGGCGTCCGGAGAGTTCTTTTAATGTACTTTTGCACGCATCATGTCCACTACAGACTCACAGGACAACAAGCCCTTTCCATTTGCTCTCCAAAAGGATGTCTGGAAACATTACATGCAGAACCGGCCCTCATACCCGGATTCATTGTGGCATGAGTGGATCGGATATCACCAGGGCCCTTTGAATACAGCACACGAGCTTGGGACAGGTTGTGGTGTCGGTGCGGCCAGTCTCCTTTCCGTTTCCCATGCCAGGAGCGAGCCTATCAAGCACATGATTCTGTCCGACCCCTCCGAAAGTAACGTCGCCACGGCAAAGGAATTGCTGAGGCCGGATGATTACCCAGGTACCAGACTCTCATTCCACCAGAAGACGGGCGAGGACTCCTTCCTTGAGCCCGGGTCCGTCGACATGGCCATCGCCTGCGAGTGTCTCCACTTCACGGACATCGACAAGGCCATCGCCAGTATCCACGCGAGCCTCCGGCCGGGCGGGACCGTGGCGTCCGTCTTCTACGGGGTCCTGAACGCCCGCATACCCGACAATGAGCGCGCTGATGCGGCGTGGAAGGCATTCGGCCAGTCGCACTTTCAGCGGGTCCTCGACGAGAAGATGGAGACGGTACTTACGCGTATCAGGGTCTCTCAGGTTGGGCTGGGCCTAAATTTTGTGCCGCTGGACAAGGACCTGTGGCAGGATGTCAAGAGGACATTTGTTAATGTGCCTGATGGGCAGGCCGAGTGGCCCATGGAGGTGGGCATGCCGAAGGATGCGAGGCCCCACGGGAGGTCTAGGATCGACATCGAGTATGACAGTTTGGAATGGCGGAACGACCCGGATGGGTGGGCTATTAGGAATTGCACCACGGAGAGAATTAAGAAGATGATGTTGTCGTTGCTCCTGCAGTACGGCGACAAAGACTGGCAGAGTGAAGAATGGAGCGAGTTTGAAGCCGCCGTGAGTGACGGCGGCGGTACATTCCATTTCGTTTTCCCCGCCACCATGATTTTAGCCAGGAAGAAGTGATGGTTTATAACTGAGATAGCTTCGAAAGTTTCGCTAAATGAATCTAGATTGCCGACCGCGGCGGCCTCCTGAATTACTATCTAGTTGCAAGCACACAATGTGCACAACCCAAGCTCACGCGTGTGCCTCTGATTGATTATGGACATGCATAGGCATGCTTACTGTGACCCAAAGGCTTTCTGACTCACCCATGCCCCATATTCTAAAATTCAATGCAACTGATCTACCCCGATGCGTGTTTTTGCTTTATTAGTTGCAGCCGCTTCTGATCTTGACGCTAGGTACCCTTCAGGACACACCTGTTCAGCAACTTTTTTCCATTGCCTGAATTGCAGAGCGAATGCAGGATGCGCGTCTTGCCGCTGCTGAACAACTTCCTCCTCGGTGTACATCCATGGCTTGCCTAAAGCAGTGAAGTGAATTATAGGTGTATATTCGTACAGCTCCTCAAGGTGGTTGTATATGTTACTGTCCTCCGAAGTGGCTAAAGACGTTTGATCGTCGATTCGAGAGTGGGTCATCGGCTCTGTCGGCCGCCTCAAACGCTTGGGTTTTTTGACAGGATTGTCCGACTGGATGTGGCTGGAATTCTGTCTGTCCTCTGGATGGTACCAATTTGGCAGGTCCCAGGCCTCCCAGTGGCTGTTCAACGTCACATATTCGCCACTGAGGACCGTCGCGGTGTCTCCCAGCACGTCGTTCAAGATGTCCATGTCCACCTTCGGTTCCGCTCCACCAAAGTCGTCATCACCGGTCGGCAACGTCTTGTTGACTTTATCCCAAAGCCGATCACTCAGGTTGATCAACATGAAGGCGCTCGAGAACACGGCCTCCTCTGTCGGCAGCCAGTAAGCTCGGGGTGCAGCGAGGTCCACCGGAGGTATATCAGAAAAGAGATTGTCAAAATGTTTCAGGATCAGCTGGTCGCTATCGAAGAGGATAACTCGCTTCAGGCTCGGGTCCAGCGTGTGCATCTTGAAGACGACCAGCTTCAGGAGACAGTCTTCGTAATAGTGGCCGTGCTGCAGTGGTAACTTTGGCGTCATTTCTACATGTGTCGTCACGCCGGCGCTCGCGAAAGCATCGATGTAGGCTTTCGACACTTTCTCAGAGGCGAGGACATGGATTGGGACGGTGCTACCCAAGTTTCGCAGTTGGTGAATGTTGACAAGCGCAGAGCAGGCGTACGGGATTGACGTTGCGTAAAACACATATGCAAAACCAGCTTCCTCTGCTTCCTTCCTCGAGAGAGGTGGGGCATGTTTCCGCAGGTCATTGATCTTGCTCACATAATAGATTCTGAGCAAGTTGTGGTAGAAAAGAATCGTGAGCAAGGCCACAGCGGTAAGCGTCCAAGCCTTGCCCCGTATCTTGACCATGGCTTTGCAGGAACTGTGATGGGGGTGTTTGATGAGGTGCGTGGTCAATCTGTAAACTCGAATTACCTGAGAGGAGGGGTCGAAGGGGCTGGGGCTACGTTTTGTTATCCCTTGCTGGCTGAGCCGGTGTCTGAGACAGGCTGGGCTGCCAGGCTGCTAGCCCAGCTAGCGAACGAGCTGCGGAATGAGCCATCGAAATTGTGGTCCGCCTCGAGATCTCAGTCGCGGAATGGCGCCTAGCTCTTGAGTCCGGAGGAAACTAATCCAGGCTGGATGCGTAACGGAGACGAGCCGATCCCTCGAGTTCAGCGCGGTCACCACACTACGCGTTTTGGACTGTCAAAAATTTCACTCCGGCCTTTGTGGTTTGATTTCGCACCGTTGATAACCGTTGTCATACTTTTCAAACGGGAAACACATCTTTATCGCTCAGCGCTGACTATCATGAACTGTTTCGCAAGTACATCGTGCCTCTGCACGAGAAGAATAACTGACATTGTAGAAAATTGACATTCATCCTGACGTATCTTTTCTGGGCCGGCCCAATTTCATATCAAACTCAAGACCGTACTCCTTAGAGAGAGAAGTCAGGAATAACATTTGATCATCTCCAGCAAAATCGCATTGACTTCCCTAGCGTGAGTGACGCTTAAGAAATGACTGCCCCCAACAAGCACCGTGACTCTGCTTGAAGGCGAAGCGATGAACAGCTTTATCTGCTCACGTGCCAGCGTATCCGGCCAAATTGCATCTTTTGTTCCCTTGTGCAGCCATTGGTCGTCAGCGGTGATGAAATTGCATCCCGGGACAGGACATGCCTGGACGCTCTGCGGATCATCGCACAAGCTGAGGGAAACTCACATGCAGCCAATGGACCGGACATTTCACATCCGATAGCCTCGAGAGAAGCCCATCTCTCTCAACCAGGCACAAGATCGCCATTCTGGCCTTTTTGCGTCCTTCGTCGCCACTGTACAGCCTCCTCCAGGTATCGAACCAGAATTGCAACCCCTCCGGTGTGCTGCCATCCCCGTATGCCAGGGCCGGAACGTTTCTACACCAGTCCTCGTCAATGACGAAGTCGGGTGTCGGTGTAGTGCTAGACCAGCGCTCCAAGTATGGCGTGCAGACAGCATGAGCGTCCCAGGAGCCTTTTCTTCTGGTTTCTTCTGATTCGTCGTCCATAGATGTCCCAATTGGCACGATCCCTTGAATCTGTTGAAGGCTGTGCTTGAGCTTTGAGACATCTCAAAAGAACGGGGCAAAAATCAAGAGACAGGGCAGCTCACCCTGTCGGGGGCCAAAATGGCCATCCGTGCAACTATGAATCCGCCCTGACTAGTCCCCGTAGCAAATGCCCTCTCGACACCGAGCTTGTCCATCACCTGCAAAGCCATGATCGCCGTATCCCAATAGGTGAAATACTCGGTAGAGCATGATGTGGCGCCATGGCCGAGGGGCTCGATGGCCAGGAGATGCGCCGTGCTCGTGAGCTCCTCGTCTTCGAATTGTGGTCGCCAGAATGCGACGGTCGTGTGCAAGGCGTTGATTAGCACGCACGTGGGCTTGCTGCTGTCCAACGTGTCTGCAGTCCCCGATCCTGAGATGGCGTATCCTACTTCGATGCCGCCGAGGTGAGAGACCCTGACGGTTTGTGTAGCCGCCATGATGGAAAGTGTTTCGGCGGGCCGTGCGATTGTCGTGGGAGAAGCGGTAAAAATGGCACTCAGTAGCACTGCGATAGAACACCGATGTCGTTTTTATACTGTGGCAGTGTAAGGGAAATACGAACTGTGAGCGGTCTAATTTGCACCTAATAGCTGCGCGCTGCTCGAGTAGGAGTGTGGCAGCACGAGGTCGATTTTGGCGTCTGCATGGGTATTACACATCGATTGGAGGGTGGGTTGTCATCCACGCTTCGTGTCTACATTTGTATGGATTCGTGAACCACCAGCGCGAGCACGCCAAATACAGAGGAGTGTCATCCGACAGACCAATGCCGAGTGAACGGCGACGGTGTGAACTTATGTAGACAACAGCTGCTTACCGCCAATACCACCATGTGCTTGGCCGTCCGGAACCGAGCCAGGTTTCTTGCAATGAGCTATCCAGATGATAGGAATGGTAACAGGACACGTAGAAAGGTTTATTTTGGTCCACTCATGTAACTTTCCGCAACACCAAAACAACTCTATGGCCAATCGTTCACATGTAACTCGCAATTGGATGTGACAAACAGACTTTGGGAATACCCTGGTAACGCCAAGCTAAAACCTAAGATCCCGGACCACCCACTTTGGATACCTCCCCATTTTTGCCTCTAGAGCTTTCTTATTCGACCTCGGAACCCTCATTAATATCTCCGGTAGTGTAGTGGATCATCATACGACCGTCTGCCAGTGTCTCTGGGAATGTATCGGTAGCCATCATATCGACGGCGGCCTTCATCTTCTCGACGACGAGCATCGTAGTCCCGCTGGCGAGCATCATAGTCTCTCTGGCGAGCTTCGTCTTCTAAACGGCGAGCTTCAGCTTCTAGGCGGCGAGCTTCAGCCTCTCGCTGACGAAGGTCATCATCTCGACGGCGAGCTTCGTCCTCTCGACGGCGAGCATCAGTCTCCCTCTCGAGACGTTCCCTGAACTTCCTCTCAAAATCAGCCTGCGACCTGCTCGCCTGCTCTTGCCTTTCCCTCTCTTCCGCTTTTGCCTTTTCAACGGCCCTTCTGGCTACTTCCTCTTCGTGCTGGCGTGCACGTTCCCTCTGTCGTTCTTCCTCGTCCCTCTTTCGCTCGTCTTCCCTCCGGCGCCGATCGACCTCATTTTCGATCCTGGCCTTGGCCTCTCGATCTGCTTGCTCCTTCCTCTGCCGGTTTGTCATCTCCCTCAGCTCTATCTCATTCTTGAGCCTCGCTTCCAACGCTTCTCGCTCCTCCCGCTGCCTTCTCTCATCTTCTTCCTCTTGCCTCTGGGTCTCTAGTAATTTAGACCTAGCTTCATCAGCGATCCTCCTGTCGTGCTCCTGTTGCTTCTGTCGTGCAGCCCGTTCCTCGTCTTGACGCTTTCTGGTCTCTGCCTCATGCTTTGCGATCTCCGCCTCGACCTTTTCTTTAATCTTCCGCTTCTCTCTTTCTTCTTCCTCTATTCGCTCATCTTCACGACGCTGCTCATCAGCTATGTCTTTCTCACGTCTCCGCATCTCCCTTTCAACGCCGTCCCTGACAGCGGCGTCGTGTTTGCGCTGTCGGTGCCACCTTTCCTCTCGGCGCCTCATATAAGCCTGGTGGTCCGCGAGTCTTTTCTGTTCTGCTTGTTGGAGTTCAAGCTTTCTCTTCTCAATTTCGAGGTCTTTTTGATCGTTAGAGGCCGTCGAGTTAGTATTCTGACTATCACAAAACATCGCTACTGAATAACAAAAGCCATGATGATATACTCACCTTCGGGACAGGTCCATGGATAGTTATGGCAAGAAGTTCCCTGCCGCGGGGCCTGACGAAAGCAGTTCGAGACTTTGCATTTCCCGTGCTGGAAACAGAATTTGTGGGTGGGACTTCTTTCCTTGGGGCAGAATCCACACAGGGTATCGCAAGGAACTTGACAAGTATGTTCCTGACAGTATAGTGACGTAACTTTCACATACCCGACGGTTCCATATACATGCTTTCTGTTGCATCCATGAGCTCGGCACCGTTCTTTACAGCCCATGATGGGCCTGTAGATGTTTGGCGCAGTGGATAGGAGTTGGGAGCTTGTATATGGCGCAATCTCTCAAGTTGAGACTAATGGGACTGGCCGCGGAGGACTAGGCTCAGTTGCTCAAGGAGACAAGCTTGGTAACAAGCCAACTAGGCGTTGCCGCTTGGGCCCAATGCAGCACGTTCGAGATGTTTTGCAGGAAAAGTCGACGGGGTGGCTGTTTGTTGAGAGAGGATCGGCCAGTCACTGGCCCCACGCCCGGCTTGATATATAGCACTAGGCATCAGCTGAGCAAAATATGCCAACGATTAGAAATTTAGGTGCGACCATCCCATTCATTCTCCATCGTGGCTTTGACCGGAACTGTGTCCAGATGATTCCAGGGTGCGCATGCAACAGGCAGGCCGCAAGCGCTCAGCATGTGGGCGGAAACTACGGACAAGGGTGGTAGGTGGTAGTACACCTTCAACACTTTGAAACTTGCTAAATGTAACAAGCACACCGCCATCCTAGTTACAGATCCACTTCCGTGATGTGGTATGGTGGGCTGAGCGGTGGGCTGAGCTTGCGGCCTGTTCAGGAGGGCCATCGGGAAAATACGCGATGGAGGTGGAAAGGAGAGCGTGCGTCGGCTACTCCGACAGCAGTATGTTCACCGAGGAATATGAACACTTCCTCGTGATCAGGCTGTCAAAAAGACCTGAGTTCCTGCGGTGTGGGGCCAAAGCCTCCGCCGAGGGCGAGGCGGAGTTGGGCTTGTGGACGCCGAGGACTGAGTGTGGGAGAGATGGGGGAGTGGAAAATGCCACAGGATTCCTGCCATATTTAGAATGTCCAATTTAAGGCAACTAGGCATAAAGGCAAGTTGGTAGCCTTTTCTACACTTCATGTGTATGTTTCGCGGACCATCCGGCTGCCTGGGTACGACGGCAAAAACGGGCTGAAGTAGTTAGGGGCGTAAGACAGCACAACTGGCAAGTGGTGGTCTGAGATGAAATGGTTCCTGATGATGAGATCTCAGACACATCCTACTCATATATTTCAGGTATGGGTCCAACACACGTTGGGGTTGATGGATTGAATGTTTGGGGGGAGGATGCGCATTTGAGTAAGCAAAGCGGCGTGTATTCCTTAGACGGGAACTGTAGGATTGATTACCGCGCGCGTGCTCAATCACAAGCAACAAATTGTGCAAGACAAGAAGGCAGAGCTGAAAGTGCTAGTCTATCTCTTGTGTCACCCAAACTCGACAAAGCTGAGAAGCGTCAGCCACGCTGGCCGAGGTTGCGACAAAATTGGGGGTCAAATCATTTGGATGCGCTGACACACCTCCACGCATCTCTTGCAGCCCAGCCTGCTGGTAACCGGAGTTCCTGTTGGTAGCCTGAAATGCATGCGCCAAACAAGCCGCACCCGCCAAAGGAGGTCATTCGTGCTCTTATGCAGGCTGGACACACTGCCCCAACATGTGGTATCACGCCTTTAGCCAGGAATAGACAAGTAAACGGCACAGAGCTGTAGACCACGTGTGCGATGCATGCACGAAAGGCCCGGCAAGAATATCAGGACACGCCGTCCTGGCATCGCAGATTCCAATTCTGTTCATCAGTCATGTAGTCATAGCAGATCACTGGCGACCGGTTGGGGATCTTGACGCAACTGCGCAGCCCATTTTTAGTCCGGATGACCGAGAGCCTGCTTAAACCCTTGCTCCCTTGTGACGCCCAGCCAGCCTTCCCCAGCTCCAGTGCGCCTTCGGGTCTGCCAACAAGCCTCTCATATTCTCCAGATCCTTCTGCTTCGCGCCACCTTGCCACCCCAAAGCTTTCAGTGCCCTCTGCGCGAACTTCCTCGCATTGTGCTCATCAGCAAACAGGGCAAAATTTAGCGCAGCCCTCCTGTAGGCATACCCGATATACACGTCCAGTCGCTCCAGCTCGTAAAGCGCCACTAGATCGCTCCCAGTTTGAGCCATCAGGTCACCGGCCGGAAAACTTTTAGCCGGGTGATCCAGAATGTCTTCCAGCACCTTGATGCGCTCGACTCGAGCATCAGACGCTTCGGCTCCGGCAGGAGGGAGCTGGCATTGCTTGCAAGTGCAGTTGAAGTTCCAAAGTGCGTTCAGACGAGTCTGTCGGTGCCGAAAGGGAAGTGTCACGTCGATGTAGCTCAAGCTGAGCCCCTCCCCAGCATCAATGTCCCGGACGGCGGTGGTTATGTGAGTCATACCGCGGAAGTGATACGCAAGACTAAGTCCAGCCACGTGTGAGTTCTGGTCTATCTTCAGAGGGAGATACAATACTGACTTTGGCCTGCAGTCATGATTGATAAGAGCCTGCTCTGGAAAGGCACCGAAGTATCTGACGGCATCATCGTCTCGCCCCGTGTGAATCTCAAAGCCGTTGCGGTCGATGACAGTAGTAACGTCATCCCCAACCTGTGATAGAAACTCGCTCCTGGCCTCAGGTGGTAGATTCTCCAGGACCATTTCGTACAAGTGTCTTCGCCTGTCGGGTGCAAGTTGTAGATGTGCGTGGATAGGCAGCGCCAGGATAGCATCTTCAGCTATGACGCCTTCTCCTTTGTAGATCTTCCTGTTCGTGATCAAGCCTCGACCCTTCCCAGGGATTTCGACAACGCGATATGGAGAAGGCTCCGGAAGAGGCCGGTTGTTCGGCACGATGTGGAAGTACTCTTCCAGGCCTTGTGCAGTCTCCGGTGTGGTGCACGAAACGACCCAGGAGTGCTTCGACGCGGCTCGGTTAGAGTACACGCAGTAGTCTCCCTGACAGTCGAGAGGCCCATCCCATGAGCTGAAAGTTGATAGACTGCGATGGCTGTAGATGCTCGCAGCCTTGCTCGTGCTTGCGCACACAGGCGGCCACGACACCACCAGTGGACTTGGTGAGCATGTCTGATGGGCTCCGAGGCTTTGGCCCACCACAACAGAAGCCAAGGATGTCAGTCCTGCAAATTGACGGGTTGTCAGAATCACCATCTCTCAACTCTGATGTGCCACTCTGCGAACGGCGCTCTGCTTGGGAAGTCCAGACTCACAGACTGACATGCTCATCGTGCCGGAGGACTGTCTTCGGAGCTAGGACTGACATAAGTCGCACGACGAAACCTTTAACATGTGCCAAACCTCCTTGACAGGCTCCGGCTAGATCAGGTTTCTTGGAACTCGAGACACCTGGGCAGTCAGGTCGACAACTTCTCTCACGTTACGCATTGCGGCTGTGCAGCTTTTGTCTGCAGGCTGGGTGAAGTCGTTCAGCACATATCTTCATTCTTTGAGAACAATAATACAGCAAAGCATGTGAGGTTGGGTCGAGTCGGACTGCAACGCTTCCATGGGCGAGGTGACAGTGTTGTTGACCAGTGGGGCCAAAGAAGCATCCCTGCAGCAGTGCTTGGAGGGTGGGGGTTGGACGCGCCAGGGTGTCTCTCAGCTGCCCCGTTCCCCGGAGCTTGCCTGGCAGGTGGGACGTCATCCTAAAACCCTTGGACCGTCAAGCGCGTGCAAGTCGCGAGACCCTTCAACTGATATACGACGTCGCCATTACAAACTTCCAAAATACCCAATACGAAAGATCCGACATGCCGCCTGATCGTCCTCGAGCAAGCCTTACAGGCCGCATTGAGAACTCGCGCTTCGTCGACTACGTATGGCGCGCGTTCCGCTCGGCCGCATACCCCATCCAAGGCATCTGGTATTTCTCGAAGCAGCGCAAATTCTGGCCGCTCTGGGCTGGACGTCTGTTGCCCTTATCGCTGGTGTCACTGACTGTCTACCTGATTCTATTCTTATTTGCCTACCTCCCACAAGTTGCTTTTCTAGCTATTTGGCAAGGCAGAGGCGCGTGGTTTAGCGCCGCGATTTTGACCCTGGGAGAAGGGCTGGTGCTTATTCAGGCCCTATTTGAGGGCTTCTTTGTGGACGAGGCACGGGTAGACGTCTTCGACGTGAGTTCTCCTTCCTATGAAGAGATAACTACCGGATCACACCTAATCTTTCGTCTTCGCAGACTACCCTGATCGATCATGACCTTGTTGACCTCGTTGCGCCCCATCGTCTACTGTTTCCCGATGCCCCCAATTCCGTCAAGATGTTAGGAAAGCCGACGTCGCGAGCTGAATACACGCCATGGAGCTTCAAGCAGATATTTGGGCTTGTCGTCTGCCTACCGCTCACATTTATTCCGATCGTCGGCGCCCCGGCCTACATCATCATCACGGGGACGCGGCTGGGAAAGCTAAGCCACCACAGGTGGTTCAAGCTCCGAGGGTTGAGCAGAAGAGAGAGGAAAGAGGAGGCAAAGAAGTACTCCTGGGACTATGTATGGTTCGGGACCATGGCTATGATCTTGGAACTCATTCCGCTGCTGAGCTTCTTCTTCTTGTTGACGACCACGGCAGGGTGTGGCCTGTGGGTTTCGAAACTGGAGGGCAAGACGAGGGTTCGCCCGAGTGAAGAAGGGGCCAGGGCAGAGGAAGGGCGGGCTGCGCCGACGGAGTCGAGCGGGCGGGCTGGTGCTGTGGAGGAAGAGCGCGACGAACCTCCGCCACCGTACTCGGATGATCCGATCTAAGTGACCCACGTACGTGGGTGAGTTGAGTCTTTGTTATTATCCGAGACAAATTCCACAACTGCTGTCAGATATCTAGTTTCGAGTCTCCGAGACTCGTCCAATGCTGTGAACGGGCAAGCAACCTTGGTAGTACGTCCGTCTTGTTCCTTCATGCCATTCTCGAGGCTGCCTAGGTAGGCTCCTTCCTGAGGGAGAGCCGCCATGTTGGACAGTGTGACGCAAGCACACGGCTCGAATAAGTGATGAAAGGGGGCTCGTGGAACATCCTGGTTGCTACACCTCAGGAAATGCCACATTGAGCAGCTGTGGCAGGTCGAGCTCTATCATGTTTGGCAAATGTCCCCTTTTCATGCCACCAATTTACCGACACGATGGACGGTGCAAGTTATCCAGCAGCTTGCAATACGAGCGCAAGGAACAGCATGGCACGGCGAAAGGAAATGCGAGGTGCAGCAATGATTTCAACAGGGAGGCAGCGACGGAAGCGAGATCACTAAGCGGCTCAAGACACTGTCAATATCATTGGCATTGTGGCATCCGAAGTCTCACCGCACCAGAACTAATGTGCCCTTGACGAGAAGGAGCACAGAGGTAACGCTGGAATCATGAGACCCTTTGTCGCGGACAAGCCCTCTCCAGCGTCCCTTCCATCTGCAGCGCTCTCTCCAATCCGCAGCTCGAGACGGCATGACCTTCGCTGACGTCGAGATTCTCGGCTGGGCTCTGGTATCGAACCTGCCGAGATGGTTTGAGTGGTATGGGCGCGCAGGTGGGAAAGGGAAGGAAGGAGCAGATGGCAGCAGCCGGACCCTATCGCGGCTCTGGCATATACATGAGCCTGCCTGGATGGGAAGAAACGCTCCTTCCTTTTCAACACCTACCACTTCCCTTCCCTTTCCTTCCCTCATCAGTTGAGCATCCCCTTCAAGGTGCCTCGTCCCTCTCTTCTCCTACCTTTGTCCGTTCTTTCGCCAATCTTCCTCCGTTCTCTTCCACACACTCAACTCTCCCTACTCTCTAACCTCCTTCACCTCTTCGTCTTTCCCGCAGACACGGCGGCGACACCGTCCATTGTCCTTCGTTTGCCAGCAGTGAGCAGTCTGGTTCTCACCTTTGGCACATCTGCATCTTGACGGCCTTTCAATCTTTGTCTGCCCCGGTCGATCTTCCTTCTGCCGCGCTCCTCCTCAACATAGAAAGTACCCTGAGCCGTGACGACGAACAGCATGCGTATCAGAGCGTCGATGGGCCCTCTCGTGGCCCTGGCCTCGCTGCCACTTGCAGCTGCCTTGCCACTTGAGTAAGTTTTCTTGAAGTGGTTCGCTTGGCCGTTCTTGCAGATCCTTCATGCCATTGCGAACCCACCCACTATGCCAATTGAGCAGATGCTGACTGCTCTTTTCCTCCAGCGACAACACAACTTGTGCTGCCGAGACGGTTTTCATCACCGTCGGAGCACCTGCACCTACCATTGCGTTCGGCACCACTGTCATGAGCATGGTCAGCACCGAGACCGTCGCCGTGTCCACTGTCACCGTCTACCCTGAGTCTGTCACTACTGGGTTCTCTGCCACCGCATACCCAGTTCCTACCGAGACCACTTCGGGAACCGGTTCGTCCTCAGGTAAGTCAACCTTGGCGTCCCGTCCGGCCCCTGGCCTTTGTTCTTCACCTCCCAAAGTCTTACTGCTAACGACTTTTATCTCTCACAGAGTCGGAGGTTGCAACTGCCCCTGGTAGTATCGTCACCACGCAGATTTTCACCATCCCGGTTGGCCCAGCAGGCTCTCCGTACACTGGGACTGTCACTCTCACTGAGCCATGCCCTGCCTCTGGTTGTGGCACAACTGTCTCGGTCCCTGCTAGTGCTCCAACTACTGCCGTCCCGGGTCTGACAACCTACTACTTGACGACAACAATCACTTCGGGGTACAGTCCTCAGGTCGTTGAGACCAGCACGTACACCGTGATTGAGACAGCTCCCACGTCGAGCTCCAGTCACCCTTTGGTCACTGCCAGCTTTACCCTCACAGTCGGAACCGCAACGGCTACTGAGACCACTTCGATTTCGGGATCAGCAGAGTCGACTTCTACGCCTGTGGCCTCAGCAGAGCCTCCACCAGGATCTGCTCCTAGCTCATCACTTGCGACTTTCTCCTCTTCCGTCCTCACGTCGGCTCCTTCCCCTGCGTCTCCCTCTGTCTTCACAGTGACCCTTCCTGGCCTTCCGGGATCATCGCCTCAGGTGATTACCATCACGGCAGCCACTCCAGTTACTGGGGGCCCATCCACCGGAGGTTCATCGGCCGAGGGTTCATCCACCGGGACTCCAGCAGTCATCACTGAGACCACCACCCTGTACTCCGGAACAACTGAGATCCCAGGACCCCCACCGTCGCCAGTGGTTACCTCTGTCATTTTCACCTACACAGTTTCGAGAGGGGCCGTTCCCGTCGCCACTCTGACTGAGTCGACAGAGTTCACCTACACTGCATCAGCAGGAGCAGTCGGCACATCGTTCACCACTGTGGCAACTGTGACCACATTAAGCACTGAGACTGTGTTGGCGTCAACTGGTAATGCTTCCACTCCTTCCCAGTCTGAAACTCTCTGCCTGGGGCTCTCTTCCTAATGCATTTCAGGTGTTTCGCCCGGCCCGTCTTTGACGACGATCACGACTGCACTGCCGCCCACATTGTCGAGCAGTGCCTCGGGTATTCCGTCTTCTGCACCGTTCGCCAACAGCACTGCCAGCCCCAGTGGGATTCCAGGTAGCGTTTCGACTGTCTTTGTCAGTGGAACAACCGCTGCTACTAGCGTCATCGTACCTCTCAACTCCACTACTTTCGTCGCCCCGTTCCCTACTGGCAATGCGTCCTCACCTTCAATCTCTGGTACCACGGCTCCTTCAGGAGTGATCACGGGCAGCCTCACGACCGTCGTTACCAATGAGACAACTTCTGAGACAAGCGTCCCCGCCAGCTCTACCACCGTTGTCGCACCGCTGCCTTCTGGCAACGAATCCTCCACTTCCGTCCCAATCAGTGCCATTTCATCTGCTGGTGCTATCACGGGTGTTACGACTATAAGCATCAGCGGATCTGCCGCCGCGACAAGCCTGATCATCATCGCCAACTCTACCACTGTCTTCGCTCCCCTGCCATCCGGAGATACCTCCTTGCCACCACTGCCAGGATCTCCAACTACATCGCCTCCTTTCCCAACAGACAATGGTACAACTCCTGCGCCGCCGCCATCTGGCACTGGTATCAGTTCTCCAGTCCCGACCAACGCGACCGCGTCGACTGCCACCAGTATCGTCGTGTCACTGAACTCTACCACCTTGGAGCTGCCGCTTCCGACAAATGCGACAGCTCCTGCACCTGGTAATAGCACCGTACCCACTCCATTCCCAGGCAATGGAACTTCGGCACCAGCTACCGTTCCTCCATCTTCCACGGGCAACGGTACAGCACCTACCGCTCCTCCTGGCCCTTCTGAGAGCGGTGCAGCCCCGTCATCTTTCAACGGCACTGCTCCACCTTCTACAGGCAATGCGACAGCTCCTACTGCTTCTCCTGGCCCTTCCGAGAGTGGCGCAGCTCCGACATCTGCCAATGCTACTGGTCCTGCCTCGCCTCCCGCGAACGTGACCAACACTGCAAACGGAACTGCCCCTGTCCCTTCTGGGCCAGGTACTACTGCACCAGCTAACACGACGGTTCCCCCTATCCTGCCAACGGGCGAACCATCGTCCCCGGCCAACTCCAGCCTGCCTGCTGGTCCCGCAGCAAATGCCACAAGCGGTCCGCTGCCCACCTCAGCGCCGCCGGCGAACACAACCGCGCCGCTCAACGTCACAAGCCCTGCTCCCACTTCGGGCCCGACTGCACCGCCTCAAGGTGGCCAAGGTGGTCAAGGCGGCCAAGGTGGTCAAGGTGGCTCTTCTTCTAGTGCTCCGCCTCAAGGTGGTCAGGGTGGTCAAGGCGGTCAGGGTGGTCCTTCTTCAACTGCCCCCCCTCAGGGTGGACAGGGTGGACAGGGTGGCCAAGGTGGCCCTTCTTCCAGTGCTCCTCCTCAAGGTGGACAAGGTGGCCAAGGCGGACAAGGCGGCTCTTCTTCCAGTGTTCCGCCTCAAGGTGGACAGGGTGGACAAGGTGGACAAGGAGGTCCTTCGTCAACTGCTCCCCCTCAAGGTGGCCAAGGCGGTCAGGGTGGTCAGGGTGGTCAGGGTGGACAAGGAGGTCCTTCTTCCAGTGCTCCCCCTCAGGGTGGTCAAGGCGGTCAAGGTGGTCCTCCTTCTTCGACTGCTCCCCCTCAAGGTGGCCAGGGCGGTCAAGGTGGTCAAGGTGGACAAGGTGGACAAGGAGGTCCTTCTTCTAATGCTCCTCAAGGCGCACCATCTCAAGGCGGTTCTTCTCAGGGAGAGCCTCCTCAGGGTCCCCCACCTCATGCTCCTCTCCAGGGCGCTCCTCTCCAGTCCCACGCCCCGCCGGATTCAGTTCCACCGCCACCTGAGGGTTCTCAGCCAGGACCTGCGCAGCCTGATCTGGCTCAATCGGCTTCAGCTCAACCTGACCTGGGTCAGTCCATTCAAGCCCACTTTAGCGAAGGACGGTCGACTCTTTCATCAGTCAAGGCTCGGTCAGAGGCAACAGAAGCGGCGACACCCTCTTGTGTTGACCTTGTCGCCCAGAATAGCATGATTCTTGATGTGAGTGCCGCTTGAATTATCATGCTTAATATCTTGCTGACCACCAACACAGTTCGACGATCTTCCTGGTCTTCACTTGGCGCCCGGCACCGACCCCATGGACATCGCCCCTGATCCCGTGTACAGCCCTTACCGCCACTTTACCTGGTCTGAGGGCATCAAGATTATCCCTGGCTCAGCTGCGCCCTACAAGCCGTCTTCTGGAGATCTGATGCTCCAGGTTCCAAACGTTGCGGGCGGTGATCAGTTGGCGAAGATTAGCGTCGGGGACCTTCAAGGCCACCCATGCTTCCGCTTTGACTTCAGCGGTATGCGGGCTGGATGCGCGTCCAAGAAAGCCAACTGCATTTTCAACATCACTGGTCTTTCGTGGGACGCCGATGCTCAGACCGAGGTGGCCGTGGGATCCCAAATTTCCAGCACGCGAGCTTGCTCTCGTCAAAAGAACTGCAAACTTGGCTCCATTGTCGCAGATACGACGGCTGGGCTATACAACCTCACGTCTCTTCTCATAGACGTCACCGCACATAATCAGCCACAGAAATGGTGGGCAGACGACTTGGCGATAACCTGGACTGACACTTCTTGCGGTGCTGCCATCTGCCGCTCCCATGTGCGAGACACATATCCGAAGCGTGGTCTTGGTCAGGGAATGACTCAAATCGTCAAGGTCATCCATCCATGACCAACCATAATACCGAACCAGCGTGGTGTGCTGGTATTCATGCCATCTTAGGGTCCATGGACGGCGGCTTCTCTTGCTCATTGTCATAACCAGACATAATTGTTGCTCATCTCGATGTTTTGGGAGCCATCTCTTTTGAGAGGTTGTTTACACGCTGTGTAAAAGATTGTTCGGTTGTTCTTCATCTCACGATAATGTATTTTGGAAGCAAAATCCGGAGAGTAATTGTACTGGGAGGTTATGGGCAGCAAATCGCTTCATGTTCCAAGCTGGTGATGATGAACCTTGCTCTGTAAGAGTTCCGAGCTTTGCGTCCGGTCAGAACTTACTGTCATAGAGACCCAATTAATTATTATTAATGACCCGATTCAAATCGTCCATTGACACAATTCTCTCCAGCTCCAGCTTGTATCTAGACGAGATGCATGCCGACTTCCTGCCAGGGCTGGTCGAACGCGCCGAGGTCGGCCTCATCGGCTGTCGGCAAGTCTCCGCATCATCGGGACGGGCTGTCGTTGCCGGGAATAACACATAACCGCCCAACACACGATGGTCCGCCTACGCCCTTCCCCAGAAAGTCATGAGAGTCCCTGGGCTTTCAAAGCATTGAGTTTGTCATAACTAGCCCGAAAACCTGGGGCAGGACTTTTCGCCCCACACAACAAGAGAGCTAACCATGGCTATCGATCGGGAATTCTTGCCCGAAGAATAGGAGCTAGTAAGGATTAAATAGCTGTCATTGTCCAGCTAACAGATACCCTTCACCTTTTATCAACATGAGTCAACGGCAGACCATTCTTGCTTTCTTTTTACCGAGCATAGACATTGTATTCGAGTAACGATCCTTTTGGTTTAATGCTGCGCTGTTTTGTTACATCAGAACCAGCTACCCACCGTCAACGAGGATGAAGCTTTGGCGGTCTGTTCTTTAAGATTTTTTCCTTGACTTCTCCTGCTTCATTTCGTCGGTGACCCTGGGAAAAGCTAGACGCTCGACCTCCCATCGAGCCAAGACACCGTTGTGATACGGCATCACCAACTGAAGTCCAGGTTTTGGCCGCCAACGAGAATGGCCCGCTCCCAATCGACAAGCAGCGGTAGTACCGACCTTGATCCATCGACTAGCACCGAGGAGAAGGGCAGGGATTCCGTAGATGGAGCAAAAGGGTACGCAGAGGCTGACGAGCTTCCGGGAGGCGACCCGGAGAAGCAACCTGCTGGGCTCCGACGGGTGGCGACGCGAGTCTCCAACACCCAAGCCGTGCCTGGCGTGCAGCTGGACGAGAGCGATTTCGAAGACGGCGGCAGCGACCACCACGCACAGAGCGCCCATGAGGACCGTGGTGGCGGTGGCAGCGGTGTCCTTGGCCTTGCTGAACGCGTCCTCAGCCGTACGACGAGCAAGTCGAGCTTCAACCCTGGACCTCCACCGGATGGTGGGCTGAGAGCCTGGACGGTTGTGGCGACTGGCCACCTGGTTATCATGAACACGTGGGGGTATATCAATTCGTTTGGTGTGTTCCAGACGTACTATGCTACTGAGTTGGGCCTCCCACCTGCTACTATTTCCTGGATCGGCTCTATTCAAGTCTTTCTCTTGTTCTTCATTGGCACTTTTACTGGACGAATCACAGATGCAGGAGTGAGTGACACCTCCGGCTTACACCGACTTTGTACTACCTCAGCTGCTCTTGTGTTTGGTCAGCTCAGCCTGCCGTCAGCCTGGGGTATACGTTCCGGTGGACAGAGTCGAAGAGACAGTTTAGAAGATTACTTTGCTTCTTTCCATCCGGTCCAAATCCCAGAATGACTGACTCGAGCTTTCTTAGTACTTCCACGAGGTATTCCTCCTCGGAACTGCTTTCCAGCTGCTGGGCATCTTCACCACATCAGTCTGCACCAAGTACTGGCAGCTCTTCCTAGCCCAGGGCATATGTATGGGTCTTGGTAATGGTTGTCTCTTCTGTCCCACGGTGGCAACTGTGTCGACTTATTTCAGTAAGAAGAGGGGGCTAGCTATTGGCATGACGGCGTGTGGGAGCGCGACAGGTGGTCTGATTTTCCCTGCGATGGCGAGGCAGCTATTACCTGCGGCAGGGTTTCCTTGGACTATCAGGGCGATTGGCTTCATCCAGCTTACGAGCCTGGTGGTTGCCAACATTGGGCTGAAGCGCAGGATCCCGCCTAGAAAAGCAGGGGCACTGGTCGAATGGGCTGCCTTCAAGGAGCTGGAGTATACCTTCTACGCGGCTGGAAGCTTCACTGTGAGTTTGCCACGTTCTTGGATTCGTGGGCCTAGGACAAGATTGCTTATTCGGATCCCCAATGCTAACACGATACAATTTGCAGTGCTTCCTCGGCGTCTACTTTGCCTTCTACTACCTAGCCTCATACTCACGCGATATAATTGGCCTCTCCTACGTTGAGTCGCTCAACCTCCTCCTCCTCTTGAACGGAATCGGGATAATCGGTCGTCTGGTCCCAAATTACCTTGCTGACCGCTGGGGCGCCATCAACATCTTCGTGCCGACAGCGATCATCGCGGGCGTGTGCCAGCTCACCTGGATAGCCGTGACCGACCCCCCGGGTCTCTACGCGTGGGCCGTCTTCTTCGGGATCGCCGCGGGCGGGATCCAGTCCCTCTTCCCCGCTGGACTGAGCAGCCTGACGACGGACCTGCGCAAGTCGGGCACGCGGATGGGCATGGTCTTCACCATTGTCAGCTTCGCCACGCTGACGGGCCCGCCGATCGCGGGGGCTATCATCAGCAGCTGTGGGGGGCAGTACTATGGCGCGCAGGCCTTTGCGGGGTGCGCGATGATTGTGGGTGGGGGGTTTATGGCGGCGGCTAAGGTTGTGAAGCAGAGGAAGGTTGGGGGTGGGTGGAAGACTAAAGTTTAGGTGTTTGTATATACCTGAAGACATCAATGTACATCTCCGTGCGTCGTTCATAACATGAAACCATTTGTGAGCATCACCTTTCGTAGCCTTTCTCTTCTGCGTTCCATATGTCTTCTCCCGTCCTTGAGTTCGATAGACTTTCCACCATAACGGAACGTCTGCGAAGGAGTCAATGTGTAGTCCAGCCATCTGGTATTACTGAAGTGTTTGCAGGACTAGGTCGCGTGTTTGGTGCCTTCGGAAGAATAGAGCCTGGCTTTGATTTCAGGTAGTAAATAGACCATGAGGGCTTACACCGGAAAATGCCTCGCCATGGAATTAGAGCCACTCGGAGGAAGTTTTGCATTGCGATTCAGCATAAACGCTTTTAAAAACATTTCCCTTCACATGTGAACCCTGCGCAGCATCGCCACACGACATTTTCCACATGACCTAGGTAGGCTGTAATACATTGCCCACATACCTCCTCCATTTACTTCGGCCCTTGAAGGAACAGACCAAAGACACCCAAAAGCTTGTCCAACACGGTCGGGTCTCCAGCCGCCAGGTCGTCTAGAATCTTCCTGCGCCCCGTCTCACCCTCGCTGGACGTTTTGACCACGCTTGATTCGTCGTCCTTCGCATCCACGCCCGCCTTGTACACCTTGGACACACCGCCATTGCCAGCGGTATATGGTGAGAATGGCTCCTTGCCGTAGGCGAAAGCGAGGAAATCTCCAGACATCTGGTCCGAGCTGGCCTTTTGGCCTGGGCTGAGGAACTCGTTGTAGTTGCCCAGCAGGATTGCAATGTCCAGCGCATGCGTGGCCTTGCCCTGCCACTGGCCGGGCCATGGGTTGGGCATGTTGAAATGGGTGAGGAAGGACTTCGTTCCGAGCCTGGAACCGGCCGCAGCCCATCCCTCCGCCGTGGCCTTCGCGGGCTGGGCGAAACCGATGTCGTTCAGGAAGTTCAGGACTGGGACCCTGTCCGTATTGGACTCGTTGATGCCGTAGCCATCCAAAATGGTCTTGACTTTGGACGGGTCATCTGCGAAGACGGTTTTCAGGCTGTTCTCGAGAGATGTCGCCAGGTTGTCGGTTCTGTGCGCCAGAGCCGTCAGTCCGATGATCATGCCATCGAATTGCCCATCTCCTAGCAGGATGGATTTGCAATAGTCGATACCGGGGAATTCCTTCTCCAATGAGCTTGTGTCGGCCAGCGAAGCGTAGGACGTCTTGGCACGGACGACGTCTCCGTCGTGTGCTGCGGACAAGGGAACGGGCAGATGACCAAGTTTAGCCGAGAGCTCCTCGGCGGGGATCTTGAGGAGTGACTTGACTTGGTCAGCTGGCGACTGGCTTTCGATACCGAGGATTTTGGTCGCGACGCTGTAGGCGATTTCCGTGACTTCCAAGGGTATGGGCTGGATAAGTGGGCTGCCACCATATGCGGCCAACCGGCTGAACAGAGGTTCAGAAGACTGAAGATGGTAGAAGCCGGATGCTGACGGCGATGTGAGCTGTTGGATCTTCGCAGGTTCGCATAGCACATTTCATGATGGACCTACCAGCGCCAGCACTGCTGCATAAAAGAGTGACTTTCGCAGGATCTCCCCCGAAGCCTGAGATGTTCATCTGGACCCAGCGCAACCCGAGTTTCTGGTCATCAAGCCCATTGTTGGGCTTGAACCCCGCGTCTTTCAAGGCTGATGAGGCCAGGAAGCCAAAGGGGCCCAGACGATAGCTGGTGGTTATTACATCAGTACCATCGTTCAAGGGCGCTGCCTCATGGACTTGTACTCACTTGATTCCAACGGCAACGACAGGGCTGTCGAGCTTGACACTTCGCTCAACCAGGCGAGCAAGGTCCCACTGCGGCCAGCTTGCGCTCCCCGTAGCAAACCCGCCGCCGTGCAAGAAGACGACGACGGGCAGCGGCTCCGCCCTCGTGCCTCTGGCGTCGAGAGACGGCGCCGATACGTTCAGGGTCAGACAATCGGTGTCGCTGAATCTGTACTCGGGGTGCGGCAGGCTGTGCTGCAGCAGCAGGTGCTCATTGTCAACGTTCTTGGGGTCAGCAACCGGCAGAGGGCTACCACGATGTCAGCCCAAGGCGTGTGACAAAGGGAACGAATATGAACGGATTGTCGTTGTCTCACCCCGACTCTGTTGCCTGGATCGGGCTCTTGTACGTCTCGACCAACTTGCCCCTGGCAAACCGGTTCTCTAGCGTTGCGTACTGGATGCCGAGGTACTGCTCGACGTGGGCCTGTGCCTTTGGCTGCACACCGTGGATTTGACCCACGACAGGGTGTTCGAGAATCGTTGATGCCATGTTTCTGTCTATTTTTGGTCGATGAAAACTGCTTGAATATCTCAGCCGGGGACTGGGGAACACTCCAAGTGAAATGGCCGGACCACGTGGGACATATATAAATGCGACAAAAAATGGGGGGAACGATTTCCCTCCCCACGGCATCTGGCTCTTGGGGCGGGTCACGGAGGAAGCGGGGATACGGAGTAGCTGAGTGCTCCGGAGCTCCGGCACGTGGGACGGCCAGGGACCCTTCCGACAACAGCTATTGTGATATATCGCTGATAGTGCCTGCCACGATTTGGAAATCCTAGAGCTATGCATCTGTTATTTAGTGGCCAAATCATTGGGCCTCGTTCAGGGCCCTTTCGGTCGTCGCGCTGCCCAACCACAGCAGCATTGTCTCGGCCGAACAAGATAGACTAGCCCAAGCTCGGAATACCACAGGCCCCGCGGTCAGTTCCGGTCCGTGGAACATATCTGCGCCAGCACTGCGCCAGCACTGCGCCAGCAGCCACGGAAAGAGAGGTCCCAGGGGCTTGCTTCCCAGGCCTGGGCAGAAAGAGCAGGGCGATTTGTCCACAGCTCGGCAGTCTGGCCTTGGAATTTTCTCGGAAAAGCTGTCAAGCTCTGCTAAGCACAAGCACCCCTTTTCAGGAATCCGACCTACCCAGGGCAAGCCGGGTAGGTGTCTATCCAGTTCCCTGCATCGGTCAAGTCATTTGTGGGTCCAAATTTATTCGATGCTCTGTACTGTGCAACAAAGCTATAGAATACTCACGTCTATATGCATCTAGTCCTCCATGGTCCTTGCTTGAAATAAGCTTGCAAGATATGCTTGTAGGAATTTCAAGATTAACTTCTTTCCCCGAAAAGGCCCCCTCGCTATACACCACACAGAATCCTTCGGTATCACTTTAGCGATGTGTAACTTACTTGCAACTTCATTGATGGGCATGCTGCCTTCTAGGTAGGCGGCAGGCTAGGCCTTTGTAAGTGAAGGCTGGAGGTTGTAAAAAGTGCGGTGGAGGGTTGGCATTTCATTATCATAAAATTCGGGCCCAAAGCGTAGTTACAAAACCGTCCGTAGATATATTGACAAGAATATCAGCCCCCTACAATTTCCGCCTTCTCATTTCATGCCCCTATGCTTGCAGCAGCAATTTCTGCTTGCTTCGCCAGAATACCAGTGGTGCTCACGATGCTTTCCGGCCTGGTGAAACCCTCCTCATAGGGCAGTCTTTCTTCCTCTGCATCGTCACAAGTCAGCTCAATGGTCATGCATTTTGTGAGAGCGTGGCAAGAACCAGACTTACGGAACATGACCTTCACCCACTCCGTCACAGCAGTCGATGATGAGCCATTGTTGAAGACCGACAAGTACAGGGCAGACTCGATCAAGCTGAAGTTGACACCGCTTGACGTCAAGTTGAATTCTGGGTTCTCCTTTGACGCCGCTGCCAGGCGGGCTGCCCGAGCACGGGCTGCAGTCTTGACGTCGATGGTGTCCTCGGTGAAAAAGGAGGCTACTGTGCCCCAGATGGTCGCGTTGAAGCTGTGGTTGTCGCCAAAGTAGATGTCCGCACGGCTCAGACTGCCGTCATGTTCGATGACTATATTCGTGATCATTTGTGAGTGGTATGCTCGCGTGAGAGTTGGGGGAAAGACGAGGTGTAACATACTACCATGTCTGTTGAGATCATCCAAGTTGAAAGATGAGTTGTCACCTGTTGTGGATGTCTCCAGGGCCTTGGTGCCGACAAGAAGTGTTGCCGATGGGTCCAAGTTGATTCCGTTGGTGAAGCCCGTCAAGAGATCTTGGAGCGTGATCGCCAGACCGTCACGAGGGAGGTATCCATGGTTCGCTAGAGTGTTAACCATAGGGCAAGGGCTTCGTCCTGATCAAAAAACAGTCAGTAAATGCGAAATCCTCAACTTTGTATCATTGCACATAGATCTTTAGGGGGTGACAATCAAGGGGATCAGGGCTGCGAGATCATGATTAACTTATCGACGTACGGTCAGTTGCTGACGGTGCTTGCCAGGCATAGTCACCATCAGCCAGAACGCTGGAAACCAACGACGCAACGAACAAGAGAGACGACGTGGGAATCATTTTGTTAGGATAATGAAGGACAACAAGCTTGGAGAGTGCATCACTCTCACCTGTGCAGACCGCACGGAATAGCGCAACCTTTTGAAGGACTCATCCCCTTGACCTGCATCACAGGCCATGCTCTTGTTGCGCACAGCCCGTGGAGCCTAGGATTGATGGACAGCAGAGTTGCATCCCGCTATGATCTGCGGAGCGTCTCCGAAGCTGTGGCTTGCTGCGACCTGCCAGTGCTGGATCATCCGTCATCACAATATGCCTCCTCTCTGATTGGCGGTCTTGGTGGTGTCGTATCCGCAGCCGGGCCACGCCAACCCAAAGCGACTGCGTCCTCCGAGATCACAGTCCCATCGTATCATACGGGCCCGGTCAGGGATGCCGAGGTATGTCTGCTCCTGGCAAGGATTGTTTCCAATTCATTACTCAGTCAACTGCCACCGCGCTACAGAACCTTTCTCAATGTGGCTTGACATCAAACCGGTCTCCTCAATGTCAAGGGGGCATTTGCAGAATTCCTTGGTTGGATGCCTCCGATGCGACGCACTAGGACCATAGTGGGCTGGAAGTCCTTTAGAGAGGAAGAATTGGAATTATGCTCCGCCCGACAGTGCAACCGGTAATGTGAGGAAATGTCTCCCTTTGAAAACTCGTATAGCGGACTTAGCCGTAGTCTTCGCGGCGATATCAATGAATAAACAGGTTGAGTGGGCGGAATTTGGAATCTTGTGGGCACGCTCCGAAATCTGAAATTGTGACCACTCAGAATCTTCAGATCCACTGCGCAACACGTTCCAGAGTTGCCGTCAAAATTAAATCTGGACAATGATAAACGTCGCGGGTTCCATTATGATCTCTATTTTAAAAGTCTATCATCAACCACTCTATGAATGTATGCTTCCTCATTGAGCATCTGATACAGAGGCCAATTGTTAAATTATATCTGACCACATTCAATGGACTACCGGGTTGTATTGTCAAGGCGGTGGAATAATGTTGATTCAACTGTGCTTTCGAAAACAGCCGGATCGTGGTGAAAGAGTCCAACCCGTTCTATTTCGTAGATGATCTCATGCGTGATTCCAGGCAGATTCCCAGCAACTAATTAAGCTTATACTACAGCGGCGGGGTTCCCCTGCAAAGTCACAGCCAAATTCGGGTCCGCCGTGGGCTCGCTTCCCTGGACCTGCTTCCTCTGCTGGACATCTCTTTTCTCAAGCCACCGCATCAACAACGCGGTCGAGATAAGAACCACTCCGAAGGTTGCAGCAGCAATAAACCCGGCCCGAAACTCCGGCCCCATCGACGTGCGCCATGCTGCATCAGTGTACCAAATCTGGTTGACGTACGAAAAGATATTCGAGAACGCGGTCAAGAACCCTCGCATCTCATGATCTTCCGGCATCAGGTCAGGGAACCACGAGTAGTAGATACCCGGAACACCAGCTGACATCCACGAGATGTAGAATGTGAAGTACTTGAGCCCCAGAGGTACGTCCCAGATTGCAAGGACTATACATCCAAAGATGGTCCCGCCTTGCATGACCAAGATTGCTTGCCATCTTCGGCCTCGGAGAAGAGGTGAGTCGGAAAGCATGCCCGCGAGGACCTGGGTTACAACAGCCACTGCCGCCTGTCCGGTCGGCCAGACGTTGATCTGGTAGACCGAGTACCCCTTGGACTTCAAATACAAGGCGTAGAAGGGTTGTTGGATGGGGAAACTCGACTGCACAAAGAAATAGCCGAATGACAATACCCAGAACTGCCAGGAAGTTACAATGCGGAAAATTTTCTTCTTGCTCCATGCGGATGCGCCTAGCGGCTTGTAGCCCTCGTTGAGGAGTCTTCTTCGTGCGAATTCGGCTTCTTCTGGTTTGATGTAGAACGCTCGGGTGTTCTCTGGGAAATCAGGGTTGAAGAAATAACCAAGGACACCAATGGGGAGACTGATCACGCCGCACTGGGATATCGTCTGATTAGTGCAACTTCCTAAAGTCTTGAACGATTGGCACAGAGATAATCCACCATCCCTGAGGGACTCACAATCATAAACAGCCACTGCCAACCAGCGCGGCCCATCTTACCATTCAGACCATCATACGCACCAGCCTGGAGGTACCCAGAGAACATCTGTGAGAGGGTAGCGGTAGAGTAGAACAAAGTGACCCGCTTGCCTCGCTCGCTCTTGGTGTACCAACTAGCTATGAGGTAGATGATGGTAGGGAAGAATGCGCCCTCGCACAGCCCGACCAAGAATCGGATCGCGTAGAGCTGGGGAATGGTCTTCACGGAGGCCGCACAGAAGGTGAAGACAGCCCAGAGGATCTCGAGCGTGGAGACTATGTACGACGGCCGGATTTTTGTGACGAGGATCACGGCTGGAATTTGTGATATCACGTAGCCGGCCGTGAAGACGTTGGACGCGTATGTGAGCTCGTTGCCGTGCATTCCTAGGGCTTCTTTCATCCCTGAGACGTACGCGTTGCTAATATTCGCTTGGTCCCTGTTGGAAGTCTAATATCAGTCACTGATACCTTCCATGAATGTCATTCCTGGCTTTCGGTTCACAGGTTTGGAAGACTCACAGGTTTTTGCAGAAGTACCCCAGACAAGTGTAAGTCAGTAAGAAGAAGTCAAGTTTCAAAAGGAACTTTTTCTCATAGGCTGGCTTGTCCGGATCGTCCCAAATAAAGCGTTGAAAAGTTCGCCAGAAAGAGCCTCGTCGCCGTTGTGCCCCATCAACAGAGTCATTTTGGTCATCTGCCGTCTTTTCTGAGAGGTTTTGGAACCTAGGCTCGGCCTTAGTCTCTGTTGAATCCGACATTGTGTATGTGCCAGAAAGACTTGCCAAAATACCAAGTGACCCCAGTAACGTCTTTTGGTGGCCTTTGAGCGACTAAGAGAAGCTGGCGTTCGACAACAGGCTTTCTAGGCGCCTATCAACCTTGGCGGCAATTCGAAATGCGAAGACCTGGTTTATATTCGAAGTAATTGCTTCAGCTGTAGAATTCAGCGATATCCAGTGGGCATCACCGGATGGCGCCATCCCTAGGCGATATGAGCCATTCGCCTGCTTATCATCCACAGACACTCCTTGTGGAAAGCCGGCCTGCGGTATCAGACATGATATCGGGTCTGAAGGCATGCATTTTTGTATCAATGGGCATATCTGATGTTAATAATCCATTTTCTCGGGGCCAGAGCCAATAAAATGCCTGGCACCAGCGGGGTTGGAGTGGTAGCAATCGGTGGTGCATATGACGAGATCCACGCTACTCCTAGTTATGGATGAGAGACTGCAGATGCTCTAGACACCCAACTGATCTTGATAGATCTTTGCTTACCAAAACATCACGGAGGATCGTAAGTTACGGCACAGAGTCTCCCACGCGGACAATACCTTCTCAAGTTTATAGTTGGCTAGAAAACAAATGAACCCTCGGCGAGAAGAAAGGCATAACCAGCGCATATCATCAACTAAAAAGTATGACTTTAAAATCAACTCAATGAACATCAAGGAGATTTCAAAGCGGGATTTTCGAACGTCTTTAGATGTAACTATGAACAGCCTACAATTTGTAGCTCGTAGGTCATCGCTTTGAGGCCCCGACACTGCTGCGTCAGATGGTAGGTATGATTGGCAGGATACCCGCTCTCCAATAGTTAAGTGCAGATATTCTCTCATGGGTTAACCAGTGCGTCAGGGCCAGGAAAATGATTTTGGTCGCTTTCACGTGAGTTGATAGATTATCGCGTATGACAAGTGAAGCAATCCGAAGACAGCGATGCCGACTTGCGCCGTCTGGCCCCCATTCAATCCACTTTGCACTCCCCGGCCTCGTCTAATTCATCAGACATTCGGCTGCGACGATTGAAATAATCCTTGTGACTCTACACTCAACAGCAGAAAATAAGGTCATCGCCATGCAGCCAGGGTATCGAATCCTCAGAGGTGTTGACGCGGTACGCGAACGAGGAATGTGGATTTCAGGCCATCTTTCGCTTTCGAGAACCGGGAGGGGAGGTGTTGCCGCACTGTTGAATCACCGGCGTTGACAGAGAAGTCAAACCCTGATTGTCGATCCAAAGTGTCAGGAAATTGCTTCCAGACGAAATACATGCAGGACGCCTGATACAAGTATTGTTTACTTCGAGGTAAGTCAGGGTCTGCACATTCGGCCCACCCCCTGATTCGGCCTACCAAAACGGTCCTTCTCGCCACACCACCCCTTTAATTAAAGTTACTCTAAATCATTATCACTACCTATAATAATGCATTTCTTTGCATTTATAGTATCTTTAAAAGCGTTTATTTCTACTAAGTTATCCTTAATTACGCCGGTATTAATTTATACCTTATATATATGCTTAATTTTAATAAATATAAAGTTTAGGCTTATTTTAATCTTTCTTTTCTTTTAAGGTATTATAGCTATTAATTTATCTTTAAGAACTTAATTTTCTTATAAAAGCATTATTAATTATTAATCTTTCTTATTATATTTTTTTAAACCTTTTTAAAAAGTAATTATTAAGTTATAATTAAGTATTTTTATAAGTTATAATTAATAAAAGCAATTTGCATTTCTTAAGATACTTTAAGAATTAAAAAAACTCTTTTTTATAGCTTAATAAGTATTAAAGTAATTAATTTAAGTTTTTTAATTCTTATGGCATTATTAAAAATAGGTATAAATATTATTTTATTAAAGTTTTTAAGTATAATTATATTTATTAATGGTTTAGCTATATTAATTAGCTATAAATTAATTCCTTGCTATTTAAAAAGTATATGCTTTTCTTTAAATATTATAAATCTTGCCTTTTAATAGCAATAAAGAAATAATTGCTTCTTAATATAAATATTATTAATATAAAGGTTTAAAAGACTTACTTTTTTTTATATATTACCTTAAGGCTAAAAAATACCCTTAAATTAAGAAGTTGTAGTATATATAAGGTATATAACGATAAATAAAGATAATAAATCTTATATAAAAAGCATTTTTATATAAACTTTAAAGTATAATGGCTTTTATGCCTATTTATTATTAATAAATACTACTTTTTAAGGGTATTTAGCTTTATTTAAGGAATAAAGATTTTTTATAGCTATTTAAGTATTATAGTATTATTTATTTAATTATTTAATATTGCTATAAACTTTTAATTTTTATAATTCTTAAAGGTTTTAAATTACTGCTATTAAACTAACTTTCCTTTAAAGATAATAAGGAAAGGGTATAATTTACTTATTATAAAAATATATTTAAGGAAAGAGGTTTATATATATAACTTATAGCTTTTTTAAGTAATAACCTTCCTTTCTTTAGGTTTTAAAATAATGCTATTTTTCCTTTTACTCTTAGCTATACCCTTTTTATTAACATTATAATAATTTTTAAGTAAATATTTATAATTATTAATAGCTAAAAAAGGTTAAATTATTCCTTAATTATGTTTATTTTTACTTTATTTGCTTAGCTTAAAGTTATTTAATAGCTTTATATGCTTTAAATCTTAAAATTTTTAATAAAAAAAGCTCTTAGCTAGTATTTATTAAAGGGTAGTTAACGTTTTTAAGAAGTGGTTACTTAGGCTATAAAAGACTTTATTTTAAAATATATTATTAGCAGCCTTAATATTACTTAATTAATTACTTAATTAAATAGGTATATTTCTTAGGTTTATAATAACTTTATTTAAGATTTTAAGGCATTTAAATAACTTTAAATATTATAATAATGATTATAAAGTATAATCCTTAAAATGCCTTAATATAAAGAGGCCTTTTAAATATTAACGCTAGCTTAAATTACCTTAAGTGCTATACTTATATCTTTTTTTATATATAGCTTTATAATTAATGAATAATAATATGTTGAAAATTTAAAAAGAAGAGAAAATTCCATCGTAAAGAAAATGCATGATATATAATGGGGTGGACCTAACGTGCATACGGGTGTGGAGTGGGCCGAATCAGGGGGTGGGCCGAATGTGCAGACCCTGACTTACATGGGAGAGCCACGAAAATCTCCTATTATCTTTGGGGCTCTTTTCGGGCACAGAGTCATGCCTATCTGGATCCTTTGTGGTTCCTTGAAGGCGTATTACATAGCAACTCTCGGTTGTTGGGTGGCGACCAAGAACAATATACTGAGTAATTCTGTGTTCATTTCAATCTCGGAGATGCCAAGTTAAATCCATTGCCTGGCGTTCTCCTGAATTCGTGCCTCGTGCTGGCCCTTGCACCCTGGAAATACCTTCTCATACAACGCTTTTATTGTTCCATCATGTCTTCCCCATGATCTGCCCTGACTGGTCTGCCCGGGCATAGATCTATCGCAGGGCCAGTGAACACGCTTGAAGGGAGTGTCAGCATGGTGCAACGCTCCACCCGATGTGGCCTATCCCAGTGAACACGCAATGTAGAAGCGCGTGTTGCGGACATCTAGTAGAATGGTATTCAACTGCGGCAGACTCGGTTAAAGAATTATTCCGGATGATTTTGCCATTTTAACTCTCTATTCTCCTCTCGAGCCAAATCGGTCTCACCACTCATACGGAGGCCGGTGGGTGGAGGCTTTGCCTATTCTTCAGCAATGATATATTTACGTTGCTCTCGGGCGACAACAACAGGCTCGGGCCCGATCCATTTTTGTCAGTGCTACCTCTCATCGGAAGTCTGTGCACGATGCTACTGCTGCTGCCCCTGAAAATGACCAAATCACCTGGGCACGACGATGAAAGTGCACCAAGGTCTATTATTGGAACCCGACCCCGGACATGCGGGACTCGGGGACGAAGTGTGGTATATTGTCCGTCAACTAAGGCTGTCCGCTGGCTGGGCACTTGGCTGGGCTTGAACTGCGGGTAAAACGCTGCGGACGGAGGGACGGTTGCTTGGGAACGCAGCAGTTTTGACTTATTTCACGGCATATTACTTTGCTTCTTGTGCTGTTCGGTCTGTTTGTATTCCTCCAGCTCTTGATATTGACGGGCAGGAAGGGTGTTAGCTTGAGATTATCGTGAAAAGAGGCACAAAGGATGCCGCGCAATACGCCGAGAAAAGCACACAGGCGGTCACTGGGGTTGTCAGTCTTCTCGGCAAATATTCGGATCTCAATCTGCGGGTCGTTAATCTTTGGGAGAAGAAGCAGGCCGAGATAACCGAGATACCACGCCTGCGGGTCCACGGCGACAATCTTGGGGCTGGACTTGGAGGATTCCCGTAAAATCGGATGGTTCCAGCCACTAGATTCTGCAGTCCGAACAGACCAGTTCAGGAGAAGCACACCGTGACCCCTAATCGAGAATAGCAGCTGTCACGGTTCACAGAGGACGTGATGGGATTAATGGGATTCTTCCGTCTGACCACCTTGAGTCTTGACTTCACCACAAGCTCGAGCGGGCCGAGACGCGACGATGGCTAGTTGACCGGTTGACGCCGACGTTGCTGGGATGGTCCCTTTCTGTCGAGTGTCTGTTGTCGATTGCTATGGTCAAGTTGGGAGGGTGGTATGGTTCTCCTAGGTATGTCCTTGGCGCTCTGATTCGTGCATAAAATCGAGTGTGGAGGTTTGAATTGTCACGCAACAAATGTCCCTTCCATGCCTCCACATAACAGCACCCCACCTTTCCCCTTCCACGAGAAGGAACAGGCCTTGTCTCCTGTATATACATCAGTCATATCAACGTAGCAACTCTACCGTGATCACCGACCTCCCCATTTCCACCAACATTAAGCAGCGACAAGGAGGACACCGGGCAGCGAACAGTTTTGAATTCGCGCCTGTATCTCGAGTGGCAATCCCGTTCTCGTCCCCACCCTCCACTGTAGTAGCTTCCTCTCCGGCATCACTAATTCCTCCCGCGGCCCTGAACTGCCGGCTTTAGCCCTGCGGCCGACGAGGACGAGGGAGGGCCAGAAAAGGCAATTACACTAATGCATCTCTGCAGTGCTTCTCACCACACGCATAGCGATCTATCTTTGGCTGCATAGTAGGCGGCCGCCCCTCTACTTTGTTATCTGGCGCCGATTGGACGTTGAGCACGTGGAGGCAGGGGGCACGTAGGGCTCGACGGTCTGGATCGCCTGCGGGGTCGGAGTGGGAAGGCAAAAGGGCCAGAAGGGCAGAAGGGCGAGTACGACGTTGTGTGAGTGGTGTTGTATTGTGGAAAAAGTTGTTCTGTCGTTGTTGGATTGGGTGAATCGGACTTGGAGGGCCACCTTAACTTATGCCTTATTACTGGTGGCACTGGGTGCTACATCGGTTGAGTATGGCATTTTCGCATTCGTTGCTGATCCGCAACGGGGGAGACACTGCATTCCGCTGCAGTTACATGGTCTACCTTGTGTTCAAGTGACAGCCTTCTCCTGCTGGCCCCCATATCTCGTCCTGCATGCGGCGTTGCAGTGTCCGTCAGCACTAGGGCTCTGCTCGATGTTGCCAGCAAACAAAGACCGAGACTGCGACTCTCAACGTGCAAAAGGTCCTTCCTGCATAACCAGTCTTTCGATCTGGACAGCGTCAGCAGGGAAACCTTGGCGGGCAAAATGTGGTCTGATTTTGTGATTATTTGTTGCATTGTTTGTGATCCTGAGGATGGCCGTTGAGCCTTGTGGATGGTGATCGCGAGGGGGATAGGGGGACACAGAGCAGACACCAAGACTAGATAAATTCCACTGATCTTCTCGGCCCCCAACGGTTTTGGCTTCCTCTCCTGTCGCTTGATCTGTCCATCTCCTTTCGGCAATACCAGTTGTCAAGAAGTTTCAATATGCGCTTCACGTCTTTCCTGCCGGCGGCTGCTGCCGCCCTGATGTTCGGTGTGGCTTCGGCAACAGATCCGGCGTGGGACGAGCCACCTCCATGTGCTGTAAGTGTTGATCTCTGCGGGCCCTGCCGATGCAACTCCCCGTCCTTCCGTGCGCCACCCGAGACAAGCGTGGAATATCATGAGCTAACGAGAGCCTCGCCGCCCAAATAGGTGAACTGCACCATGACCGTGCTGGGCAGTGGCGCCACCACCTGCTCGCCGACAGACACAGCCTGCCTCTGCGTCGACAACAGCTACCAGGCCAAGGTTGCAGCATGCGTACAGTCGACCTGCACGGTCAAGGAGAGCCTGGTCGCCAAACGCCTGGGCGAGCGCCAGTGCGGCGTCCCGCCCCGGCCCCAGCAGAACGACGTTGCCTCCTTGACGGTCCTCTTTACAATCACATTCTTCCTGGTCATAGTGCGGCTCACGGTCAAGTTCCTCGGCCATGGCGGCGGCTGGGGCATCGACGACTGGCTGATGCTGATGGCATTCGTGAGTTCCGCCGCCCACCACTTTGCTGCGCGCAAAGCTAATATAACAAACGTAGTCATTCTCCATTGCCCTCTACGGTGTGCACCTCTGGCGTATATATGACCTTGGGCTGGGCAAAGACACGTGGGAGGTGCCCTTTGCCAACATCACCAGGATATTGGTGGCCTTCTTCGCCAACGAGATGCTCTACATCGTGCACATCTCGGCCACCAAGCTCTCGGCGTGCTTCTTCTTCGTGCGCATCTTCGACGCCTCGCCCAACTTCCGTCGCTTCGCGTACCCGGTCATCGGGCTCAACATCCTCATCATGGTCGTCTTCGTCTTCATCATCATCTTCCAGTGCAAGCCGATCCACCTCGCCTGGACCGGCTGGGCTAAAGAGGAGCCCGGCCACTGTCTTGACATCTACAAGCTCGTCCTGGGCAACGGCATCATCAACCTTTTCATGGACGCCGTCATAATCGGCCTTCCGATCTATGAGACGTCTAAGCTTCAGCTCTCCAAGACCAAGAAGTTCGGAATTGCTCTTATGTTCGGGATGGGATTTGCGTACGTACCTCTCACTCTCTCTTTCTCTGCCTCTGGCATCCCAGCCCCGATGTACCTATGCACCACATACTGAGCCACCCATCCAGGCTCACAATCGTCGGAATCGTACGCTGCGTCACCTTCTGGCGCACGCTCCTCAGCAAACCCGACCATAAACCTCATGCCCCTCGCCTACTGGTCCTGCGCCGAGACGCTGGTCGCCATCATGTGCGCGTGCCTCCCCGACAGCCGCTTCTTCTTCTCGCGCCTCGTCCCCAAGTTCTACAAGACCTTGGCCTCGTCCATCCACCCCAAGTCCTCCGACAGGGCCTCCAGCGCGACGCCCGGCTCGTACCGGACGCTGAGCAATATCAGCGGCTCAAAGGGCTCAAATGGCTCCTCGCAGAAGCCTTTGCAGAGGGAGAGCAAGAGGCGGCCCCGGAAGGAGGGCGACGAGGAGGAGATGACTGGCTTCAGCGCCACGAAATCTACGGTCACGGCGTCCACTGTGTCTCTGTAAGGTCTTGAGATGAAAATGCATGTCGGCATGAGGTAAAAAGGGACGAGGTTGTATTATAATAATGTATACAAAAGACGAACACATCAGGCAACATGTGGAGCTTGTAATAGAGGAATCTTTGGACATGGTATCTCGACTTGGCTACAAATCTTGGGGCTTGCGGCTGCACTAGGAGTTCTGTCTTCGGTATCGATTTACTTCTTTAAATTACAGACGAGCTTTCAACTTACCTTTCGACTCAGTCCAATTGCCGTTGATTTACTCTGGCAAGTCCTCCTGCTTCAAGTTGCAGCTTCCCGGGGAAAGCACATGCTCAAGCAAAGTGCCAGCCTGCACATGTCTCCTGTCGATTAGGAAACTTCTGGTTCCATTCATCTTCCACAAGGTCATCATAGCCATTATTAGAAATACAGTAGTGTGTTTTTAGGCCCTTGACGCGATAAGCCGCAGCTTTGCGCAACGACAATGGTGCCTATCGGATTTCCAGTGAACTAGTGTCTAAGTTCGTTAACAGCCATCGGGATTGTGCGAATTTCAACATTTATTATCTCCGACTTGGGTCTTCCTTCGAGCCCCGCCAAGACAGCCGTAATCCGAAGTCCGCGTGCCAAATGGGTCGACACGACTGCCCTGAGGCTGATGACTGACGCGTCAAAACTTCACAGGTTCAATCAAGGTAGTAAGAAGCTCTGGCTCAGCCCGATAGTGGAAACCTGGGATTTGTATAAATGTCCGGCGAGCACAAAAGACATCAAGATGGTTCAAATGACCCGTTCCACATCTCGTACACGCACTTCAGCATCTCACTGTTCTTTCAGGCCCTCATAATTCATAATCTTTCAACACTGTAACAACCATGGTTGGCATTCGTGATGTATTCCCGCCAAAGCCAAGCTTCACGGAGCAGAACCTCGGGAGCCAGGCCGGAAAGGTAATTGATTCCCCAGTCTTCCTGCCAACAAAACCAATTCCAACTGACAGTCACCAGGTATTCCTAATCACAGGCGCAAACTCAGGCGTCGGCTTCGAGCTCGCCAAGCTCCTCTACCAGAAGAACGGCACCGTCTACATCGCCGCCCGGTCCGAGGGCAGGATCAAGGCCGCCATCGAGAGCATAAAGCAGGAGTTCCCCTCCAGCACCGGCCGCCTCGCCAGCGTCGTCGTCGACCTGTCGGACCTGCGCACGGTCAGGCCCGCGGCCCAGGACTTCCTGGAGAGGGAGGACAGGCTCGACGTGCTCTTCCACAACGCCGGCGTGATGCTGACGTCCAATGATGCGAAGGGCGCGCAGGGCCACGAGCTGCGCATGGCCACCAACTGCCTCGGGCCTCAGCTGCTGACGGACTTGTTGGCGCCGCTGCTGGTGCGGACCGCGCGAGCTCAGCCGGCGCGGAAAGACGCGGTCAGGGTCGTGTGGGTGTCGTCGATGGTCAATGCGAGTGCGCCGAAGGGGGGCATCGTCTGGGACGAGGCGGTGAATAAGCCGAAGGTCCTGCCTGGGGGTATGGACCAGTACATGCAGACCAAGGTTGGGGATGTGTTCTTGGCTCATGAGTGGGGTCAGCGTCTTGGTTCTGATGGAATTGTGAGCGTGGTAAGTGTTGACTGGTCCTGTTCAACTTGGGTCTATGAAGGTCAATTACTGACAAAGTTGTAGAGCTCGCATCCCGGGCTCGTGAGGACTGAGCTACAGCGTGACAATAAGGCGATGCAGACAATGATGGTTAGTGCGGTGTCGTGTTTTGGTTTGCTGCAGAATAACTGACGGTTCATCAGGGAATCATCTTCAAGCCCACCAAGTTCGGCGCCTACACGGAGCTGTTTGCTGGTTTCTCCCCAGAAGTCACAGTCGAGAAGAATGGATCCTTCCTGATCCCATGGGGGCGCTTCAGCTCGCTTCGAGATGACATTGCTGCAGGCACCAGGCCTAAGGGGCAAGATGGAACTGGGCTCTCGAAGAAGTTCTGGGATTACTGTGAGTCGGACGTTGGCTCGTTCAAAGAAACTTGAGTACGGAGAAGAGGGAGCAAGTTGACTTTCATGATTTCTGTAATTGTTTAGCATATAGAATAAGCGTCTGAATTCAGCATTCATGTCAAGTGTTCTGTGTAATGAGTCACATTGACGTACGGGGTTCTGGCCAACGTGTCGTCACACAGCCTCCTCTACATCTGTATCACAAGGTATGTGTGGCAGATGCGCCACAACTGCCTCCAGGGAGCACTCGGCTATGAGTCAATCTTCCATCCAAACATTGAACCAGGCAACCTCATTTCCCAACACACATCCCACACGTTCTTGTAAGGGCAAGCTCCGACCACCGTACCAACACAAACACATTCCTGCGTAGTGTAGAGGTCAGCACACCAGCTTGTCACCTAGATGATGCCTTCGCTGGTAACCCCGGTTCGAATCCGGGCGTGGGAGTTCTTTTTGCTCCTGTATTCTTGGTGGCAGTCAGCTTGAGCCAGTGGTTGAGGAGGCGGTTCAGTTTTCCTTCCACTCGATGGTTGTGTGCCACTGCTCAGACCGCCATCTTACAGAATCGTGTAACGAACTCTAGGTTCTCCGAAAAAGATTTTGAAATGATATGAGACTACCGTTGGACGAATGTGAATAAACTTCCTGGGTATCACGCTTGCTGATCAATGTTCTGTCGCTAATCTTGGGCATCGGGATATTGCTGATCCGTCGAGAAGTTGGGCTGACCCCGCGGGCCCGCGGCATACCGAAACCGTTTCTGCAAACACTTTTGCTTCTGAACACGGCACCGCTAGACAAGATCAGAAGGATTCGGTAATGGTCCCATGTCAACTCCTGAATTCCACATAAGCGAGCATGTTATGGGATGAGAGGATGCATGAATCTGCGCACGGCCGCCGTAACGGGAATAGCAAGTGATGGAAAAAGGATGACAACCTCCTCATTCCGGATCTCCGTTAACCTCCCAACCAATATAAAATCGCAACATCCATTCACACAAGACCTTTGGTCCTACTGAAATACATGCAGGACAACCCGGGGTGATCACAGCAATACAGCTATGCCTCATCATAATCGAGTTTACCATGGTGATCCACTCGCCGCCACCGGATTCTGGGGCGCTCCCTCAAGCAGGGCAAAGTGAGTCGCTCCTGTTCCCAGCATCTCCAAACTGAGCTTACTCCTTGTCAAAATGCCCTCCAATCTGAACTGACATGATGTTCTAGCTTTTGCGAGGAAGACTACGCTGTCACCAAGTATATCGCGGAATTCGTCAACACTTTAAGCAACCTCGCGTACGGTATGTGCCACTTCCTACTACCAGTCTATCCTTTCCCTTCTGGTTCCATGGAGCTAATCTGAATGTCAAGTCTATTACGCGTTGAAAGCATCATGCCGTCTCGGTCAGAAGGGGAGATACTTCGGCATGGACGCCCTGGCATTCTCGTTGCTCTTGGTGGGAATATTCTCCCTCGTTTTCCACGCCACATTGCATCAGGAAACACAGTTCCTGGATGACATGTCGATGTTTTTGCTCGGCACGGCTCTTCTACATCCGCTCTACACGACAGGCTTCAAGCCGTCTGCCCGGAGAGCTATCACGACAACCTTGGTCTCCGTCGTGGTGGGAGTTTCTGCGGTGTATCATCAGAAGAAGGATATTCTCATCCATCTCATTGCATTCGCCTTGATGGAGAATCTTATCTGGCCTAGATTACTGTATCTCATATACTTTCATGAACGGCCTACGGTAGATAGATTAAGGCTCGCCAGACAATTTTGGGCAGCTGTTGGGTTCATGGTGCTGGCGATCGTGGTGTGGCTTATTGATCTGGAGCTTTGCTACCCGTTGAGAGACCTTCGCGGAGTTGTGGGTTCCCCCTGGGCATACCTGTTTGAACTGCACGGGTGGTGGCATATCTTCACCGCAGTGGCAGCCTCGAAGTTCATCGCTCTGGTACGGGAGGTCTGTCCATAAATTGCAGTGCACGATGCCTATTTGGACTTGGGATTGTGTGGGGCCCTGATCGGGGAACTGTGGCTGGGCGTGCTAGGCAGCAGGGAGCTCATGGTGTAACGTCCCCGGCCCCGATTCCGCCCCCCCCCCCCATTCCGGCCGCCCGCCACACACACATGCCTTCTCATCAACGTTGATTACCCGCCACCATAATAACCAATCCCTTTTCCATTGGTGTTAACGCTTTAAAAAAAAGCGTTGCTTTCCTTTAACACCCTTTTAACCTTAATTTAAGCATAATAAATAGCCTTAATATTAATAAAAACCGCATTAAGGTTAATTTAAACCTTTCTTTTTATAATTCTTTTATTAACTTTAATTTAAGCTTTTAATTATTAATTTTTATAAGCTTTTTAAAAAATGCTTATAATATAAGGCTTATATATTTCTTATAAGTAAAATAAATTATTAAACTTTATATCTTTTATAATTACTTAAAGGGTTTTAAAAATAAATTTTAATTATTAAAAAAGAGTTTTTAATATAAAAGATTATTTAATAAAGCTTTTTATATTATTAAGTTTTAATAATTTATACTTAATTTAATGGTTTTTAAAGATATAATAACTTTTAAATACTTTATATTTAAATATTAGCTAAAGATTTATTATTTTCTATCTTAAATATATATTTAATTTTATAAATACTTTTTTATACCATATAATAATAATAAAGAAACCTTATTTTGCTATTATGAAAAGGAAGTTATATTACCTTATTAAATATAAATATTTTAAAAATATTATCTTTAATAAAGAAAATATTAATATATTAAGGAGCTATAATATATAAAAAGTATATATAAGTAAAAAAACTATATATATTTAATATAAGAAATATTTTTATATAAAGCTAATAATTATATATATATAATGCTTATTAATTATAAAAAAGTATTATTTAAAAGGATTTAAAGGGGTAATTTAAGGAATAAATAATTTTTAAGTTATTTAATAATAATTCTTTTCTTTATTTATCCCTTTTTTATTATTATAAATTATTAATTATTATAATTCTTAAGGGTAATAAAAAATTATTATTTATTTATATTTAATTCCTTAAAAATAATCAAGAAATTATAGAATTTACTTAAAATAAATATATATTTTTTAAATAAGGTTTAAGCTTTTAAATTTAAGTTTTTTCATAAAAAAGGTTATTATTTAAATAATTAAAAGTAAGGATATTTTAAGCAATCCTTTATTAACCCCCCTTTATTAACATTTTAATAATAAGTTAATTAAATAAATTTAATAATAAGCAAATAAAAAAAGTTAAATTAAAATTTAATATTTTTTTAATAATTAATTAAAAATAAATAACCTTTATATATTAACTTTTTTAGGCTTTAAAAAATAAAATAATAAAAAAGAAAGGCTTTTAATTAATTTCTTTTAAAGGAAGCGTAATCTTTATTTAAGGAAATTATTTAAGCTTTTAAAACCCTTATTTTATATTATATTAATGCCAGCCTTAAATTATTTTAATTAATTATAAATAAAGTTAATTAATCTTTTTAATAATTAAAAAAGAGTTTTTAAGGGTTTGCAATAATATAATAACTTAGAGTATTATTAAGGTAATTAAATAATTTAATATAAAGAATATATTATATTTTAAAGGCTTATTAAATTAATATTCCATCTTTAATTATAATAAAGGCATTAAATATATTATCTTTATAATATAGCTTTATATTAAATTAATCAATATTTAAGAGAAGTTTAATAATTAAAAGAAAATTTCTTGCAAAGATATTAAGGAGAATATATAGGGGGGGCAAACGCGTTCATGCGCGTACGCGGGTGTGGGGCGGCCGGGATCAGGGGGGGCCGGAATCGGGGCCGGGGACGTTATCAATGAATAGCGGGCTTCTCGCAGGCAGCCGCAGAGGCATTTCTGTAAGTCAAACGTGTCTACCTTCTTTTGCAAGAAATCCATCGCGACTTCACGATTGCAAGAACCATTGACGTGTGTGCAATCCCTCATGGCCGACAGAAAAGGCTGCACCTCGGACTCGGCACCATCGCCAGCAGCAGTGGATTCTGGAACGGTCGACGTTTTCCTCCTCTGCTACTTGCCGTCGCCGTTGTTCCACGCACATTGGGCTCTATTCGTCCCTGACCAAGCAAGGCCGCAGTGTGGAACTGTGCTTAATGTTCGAGGCGATCCTCTTAATGGCTTTGTGCATGAATTCGAGAGGGGATACATCCCAAGTGAGGACCCGGAGAAACCACCAACGGTGCTGAAGCTGGGAACGATAGCGGAGCGGCTCATCAAGCCCGAGAGAATTGCACCAAATGGCAAAGATTTGGCTGCATATAATCGACTGGAACGGCTGGCGCTCTCGATCGACGCACCTGGACGAAGCCTTGGCCGGGGAGCTTCGAAAGATGTGAGTTCAAGTTCGATTCGCATCTCTTCGGAAATTTCGGAACATCTCGTTCACATTTTCCATGAGCTGATGTAGATTCTTACTGATTGGGTTACACTCTGGACAGGGCCGCGTGCGTGTGGAAATCCGGGACTGTCAGTGGTGGGTTCGTCAGTTGGTGTCATCCATGATCGAGCAGGAGATGGTCTCTAGTGACGCTCAGCGGGTGCTAGACGAAGCACCTCAGCACTGAGTCATGGCAGGTCTAGACCTCATGAGTGACAGCCGCTCGGGCACTGCGTTGCATGCAGCAGTCTGCATTTTGGTCTACAACTAGCATGCACATCGGCCCGGGCCTTGGGAGACATTGGCATCAGTCGCCGAAATGGCCGCTAGTCTTCGGCGACATGCTCTGCCGCGTGTCTGACCGGACTTTTTTCGCTTGTTGGGCTGAGGGACCGACGACTAGGTTGGTCAGGCTTGTCGTCGGGCATGTGCTCCGGAGCATGTGTCTTGGGCGGCCGCGGTGAAACGTCATCTCGATCAACCAGGAATATCCCAGCAAGTTGCATTCGGCCTCGGTAGGAAGCTCAAATCGCGCAACGAAAGGACAGACTCGTAGCGTGGTGGTTGGGCATCACGCAGTGCCGAGGACCTAACTTCGATATCGGACCAGTGCTGTCGTTCGTCCACGGCGGCATATTTGTGTTTGTTCTCCAGAGAGAAATTCTAATGATTTTCGAGCCTGTGACATTACCGCCTCAGGGTGCTTGGCATGTCGCCCGACTCAACGTCTGGAAGAACTCAAAACTTGTCCGCGTACGGATTTAGATCGCCCGTTCGCGTGGTTTGACAATTTCCCGCAGCTCCCAGAGTCTTCCTCTGATTCTTCTCTCTCACAACTTCACGTTGAACCAAATGCAGCTATCTCCATGAAGTCATCTGAGAAATTGCTAGCGTCATGCCGGTGCTGGTACCAGATAAGGTCAATATGAATTACGCTAACATGATTGAGGAGGCAAGCCTCAAAGTGAGTCGTCGGACAGTCTGGAGAGGAGTGTGAAGAGGGACGCATTGTGGGCATGTCCGAAGTCGCTAACCATGGTAGAAAACTTTCATTGTAGCGACACTTGTCTCCACGCTCGTTGGAACATTTGCAGCCTCACACAATCTTTATGAGCGATTAAGCGGAGGGCAGAAGAAAAAGGATGCGGGCCAGGACGACGAAATCAAGAAGCTGAAGGGGGAGCTCGAGCAGATGAAAGGCGCCGGAAAGAAACCAGACGAGCTCGAAAAGAACTTGAACACCTCTGGGCCGATGATTAAACAGGAGTATGATGTCGGCTATGACAGGCTCGGTCGGCGGTTCGCCGTCGGCGACAGTAAGTGACAGCGCTGATCTCTCATGCGAGCGCGAACCCAATCTCCCGGCGTTGAATGAAACACTGCCATCGCAATGCAACCGAGACGGGATGAACCTCGCGCTACACGCGGGCAACCTGCTAACAGTTGAATAGTGATCACGGAGAACGAGCTGCAAAAGCAGATTATTCTGCTCCAGCAAACCGTGAGTAAGTGACGTACAAGATACAGTGTCCCAATTCCCCAGTGTGGTTCTCATGGGGGAGGGTCAGAACAAGGCCTCTGATATCTCACGGAATTTTTCGCCTCTGCACCTATCATCGCTTCCTCTGCACAAACGAAATCCGTGAATAGTTGTTGACAATTCGCCAGTTGGCGTCCTCGAGGACGCACTTTATAGCGGGCGACAAATCGATCGCGCCGGCGTGGACAAACTCGTGTATGCCTCAAGAGCAGCGCGAAATGGGTCCCTGGACGCATTACAGGGCCAGTATCAGAGACTCCTGCAGTCTGCACCACCACCAAGAACACCAAAAACCACAGAGGCGGAAGTAATCGAACTGAGCTCCCGGGGCTCATCACCCCGGCGTCCCCCTCCCCCGAGAGCCTTGATGCCACCGCCGAGATCAAAAACACCAGCGCCCCCGCCGCCACGATCATCTTCGAAGATGAGAAATGCCAACGACTTCTTCTGCAGGTACAGCATCGACCTGCAGCGCTCGCCGAAGATGCCACTGGCACGCTCCTTCGACCCGGGGCGAGAAAGCCGTTGCCCAGCGTGCAAGATCCGGATACCGGTTGACTCGGACGACATGTGGGACGTCGACTTCCCCATAAAAGGAAAGCTGCCACCGGCCCCGGCGCACCCGCGCGCACCGAGCCCCGGGGTGCAGGGGTCATCATCGAAAGGGCCTCCTGACAAGAAATCAAAGCCGCCGGCAGGAAATGGGACCGCGTTGTCCCGCGGCCGCAGCAGGACGGGCAAGGAGGTCGTGGCGGTGACGGAGCAGTCGGGCAAGAAGCTCACGTTCCGCGTCCCCGCGAGGTTCGTGGTCAAGTGCCACACGCCGCTGGGGGAGTACGCGTGTGGGCTTTGCGCTGGGCCGCGAGGGGATTCTGCGGTTGTTGTCTTGTGCGAGACGCCTGAGGGCTTGGTGGATCATATTGCGAAGGAGCATAAGACTGCTGATATTGAGAAGGACGTTGACATTATTGCGGATTCCTGAGTGTAAGGGATTAGCTGTACTATCATTCACTGGACGAGATGGCAATTTTTAATTTGTCAAGTCCGATAAGCCTTGTCATGGATCAAATACAAACAACCAGAGAAGCTGGTGTATAAAAGTTACTTCTTGACACAGGTGCTGTGGAAACGATATCGACCCAGCAAGAATTGCGAATCAAAGGGGCCAGTGCAAGTAGTGGACAGAACTCGAGGTTTGGGAATTTGCAATACAAATCAAAATGTTACTGCAGCCCTCATTCTGTGTACTAGAATCTCACTGGAATCTCAAGAGTGTCACACCTGGTTCTGGTGCAAAAAAAAAAATGTCAAAAAGCTTCAAGTATCTTGATCTGTGCAGGGGTCGAACCTGCAATCTCCTGATTTCGAATATCTCATGAGCAGATCACGAGTCGTAGTCAGACGCCTTGCCATTGGGCCAACAGACCTTGTTAAGGTTGCAAGTGTCATGTAAAATCATGTTTCGGGATTGTGATGGTTCCGGAGGCTTGACCCGGTGTCCCGAGGAGGTGGGTGTGGAGACATGGGCATCAGAGATTTCACAAGAGCTCTCCTTGGGATAATGATGTCAGTGTGGACTGTAATTTTCGGAAGCGCTGACCGGAATTGCCCAGTATGGTTGGGAAAGAACTAGTGTAGGTAACCCAGGATGGTAGTATATCACCGAGTCTTAGTTATCGTGCACCAAAGACTAGGCAAGACGGCAAGGTCCTGATAGTGGGCTAACACCGGCAGGATCTCCAGAGTTTGGCGGACACATGCACTGACGGGCTCTGGGTGCTGCTCCTGTAATCGAGTCACCACCATTGCATATGTTGGATTTCATTTGTGAGCCTGGGAGTTCTGTCATTTTATTCTTTCACTGCCGGTGGTGGATGTGGAAACCTCATCCACTTCAGGGGCAATAAATACCGAGGCTCACTCCGCATCACCAAAATGCAACCACTACATTTGTGCCCCGGGACAAAAGACCCCCTTGCATCCCAAATTGGGTTGACCTGGAGACTTCAGCGTCCGTTCAGCAGCCCACAGTTATTACTATCCACAGCACTTCCCAAGCTATGGGTATCACTGGGCATGGTCTGCTCTTGACCGCGTGCTAAGGCTCGCGGGCGTCAAGTAGATTAACACGGAGCCTGACGGCCCGACTTTAGCGGGCCAGCCTGGATTTTCCGTCCAGTCGGCAACTGTAGATCTCTTCTAGAAGGCTTGCTCTTTTCAGATTGATCAGATCACGTCCACCTCCGTCCGGCTTTCAAGTGACTTGTATGGGTCCTTGGTCTTGCCGTGGAGCCGGCCTCAGGGCAATTCTGAAGGTAGAGCAAACATGTCATATATAAGGCACTGTATTCAGATGCTCTTGTAGGAGTAGGTTCGCCTAGACAAGCCGAATTGCTTCAATACACTCTTTTCAAGTGCTTGACCATTGCAAGACAAGCGAATTCTCGACAGTAATTGAATCCTGCGAAAATGCTTCTTCCCGTTGTTCTGGTCTCCGCGCTGGCAACAGTGGCAGCTGCGCACCAGAACCTCCACCAGTTCTGGGTCAACGACGTCTCCCCAGGCTACGAGATCGGCATCCGCAAAGCCCCCAGCAACAATCCCGTCACCGACGTGACCAGCAACGACATCACCTGCAACGTCAACGGCAACAAGGTCCCCTCGGGGGTGACAACCATTGCCGCCAAGGCCGGCGACACCATAAAGGTCCAGTGGGACTCGTCCACGCACCCTGGCCCCATCACCCACATGCTGTTCGGGCCGGTTTCCGACGCTTCTCAGGCCACCGGGGTGGGCTCGTGGGTCAAGATTGACGAGCAGGACTACGTGGGCGGGAAGTGGGCGAACGAGATCATGGAGGCGGTGAACATGACGCACGAGTTCAAGCTGCCGGCAAAGCTCGCGAGTGGTGACTACTTGGTATGCATACCATATAAACCCAACCAAGGCCCATTGTAGACACGAGGTTCTGATGGGCTAACCGGTATACAGGTCCGAAGCGAGATGCTGGCCCTCCACGGCTCGCAGACGCAGGGCGGCGCTCAGTTCTACATCGGCTGCATGCAACTGCGCATCTCTGGAAGCTCGGGAAGCTGCAGCCCCAGCATCAAGCTCCCGGGCGCATACAAGGCTACCGATAGCGACATCTACATCCCCAATTTCTATAACGGCTTCGACCCGACGACGTACAAGGCCCCAGGAGGCGCAGTGGCAACATGCTCATAGTACTCGGAAAATATCCAGGTCCACACACTTCTTCAACGGGAAGGGCCGGAGCGTCTCAGGGGCGAAGAGATCATGTTATAGGCTTCTGGACTTCGCGCGGTAGTGGGTGAAATGTGTTTGCGGTTGGCATGACATGTCCTCTTCGGCAATTGTGCGACGGCCTCTGTCTGATATAGGAGTAGTGCAGTATTGACCGAATTCAACTTAAATCATAAAGCCTTGTAAGCAGTCCATCCAAACCTGAATTCCCTGGCACCAACCAGCAGTACCTCTGAGAAATCGACAACAATTTTCTCATACCAGCCGTGTGTCAAATCTCAAACAGCACCTCTGCACATCTCAGGACTTTTTGAAGAGAGCCAGATTGAGTCCTGGTGGGCGCATATTTGAGAGACAGTGCTATCTTCTGATTTTTCTTCTGACTCAACCGTCTTTTGGTGTGAAAGCTGTCATCATGACCAAGGGCTCTTGTAAGATACACTTACAGTATAAGAGCGGAATTCAGCTGTGCAGTGACCACAGACCAAACTTCCAACCTGGTCAGAATACAAACATACTGATCTTGACGACCCGGCCTCGCCAGCTGTGAGAAATCAAATTGTTGAACAAGATGCCGCTCATCAGACACACTACCGATGAATGTAGCCAAGACTATGTATTCCGGTATCGTAGTGTGAGTCCCCGAACAAGGTTCATCGGTTCTCTCCACCTGGTCCAAAGTTTGGGGTCATGTGGTCATGTGGTCATGTGGTCATGTGGTCATGTGGTCCTGATTAGTTTTGTCTGCATTGTCATGGTGGTGCCTGTTGTCAAATCCGGGAGCACTGCGGCTGTGAATGTCGCTGTCCTCCCTGCCATGAACAGCCGTGCCAACCCCCGTCTGTGGGAGCAAAGACTACAAGTTGGCACCTTAATATACCGGCTATATGCGATTTGAAAAGATTATTGTAGAGCTTATCCAAAGAATGCTGCCATACTGTAGTCGAGGGAGCATTTCAACGTATAGGAATGAGCTGATAGGAGGACGGATTCAGCCCCGACAACAACGACAGGGATAGGGCTTACTGGACTACAACTCGGCCGGGATTATGCACAAGGGCTGTGAGATGAAATCTCAGGGAGGACGTCTTTTGGCGGGCCCAGAAAGAGAGCATGTGAGCACATAGGAGCCGCACCCATCGCTGTCTGTGAAACAGAGAATATAGTCGCACGGTATATCAAAGCCACGGCTGTAGCCGATCCTCAATCAATTAACCTTCAGGGAGAGCTCAAACTTTCCGCCCCCCCACACCAGGTTTGTCTTGGGAGGACACCACGGCTGCCGCTATTTCTGCAGGATCCGCACGATGTACCGCTAGGGGGCGCCCACGGAAGCACAATACCACCACGGCAGTCTGCGGGTTCTAAAAACAGTTCCTTTGAAACAGCTGCCTGGAATGCAGGCTTCTTACTCAGCCGCCTCCCGGGCCAAACAGAGCGATTCGAGCTTGCGAGTGGGCTTGCCCACCGGGAAGATCCAGACTTTCGCGTGGATCCTTCGACGCGAGCTGAGTACGCTAGCCGGGGGGGCGGTAGATTGTGCCTAGTACTGTATCGAAAGCCACCTATTTCACTCAACCCCCATCATCAGAAGCAAGTCATGGGCACTCGAGCCATATAGAATGGCAAGGATGAAGGATGGGGGGGCTGCATTAGGAAATGGGAAGAGATAAGTAAAGAGATGACCCCGGGCAAACATTTTGAAGTTCTCGTGCGGTCTCTTCTACCGGCCCAGCTTCGAGCGTTTGTACTGTAGAGGACACACAAAGGTTTCTCGGCAGGTGCTCAACTAGTCAATTGAAGCTGAAGATGGCCACCCAGTATCAGCAGCCCCAAGGGCAATACTACCCACCCCAGCAAGGCATCGAAAAGGGACACACAATGGGAGCACCGCCTCAGGGGATGGGATACAACCCGAACCAACAACAATTCGCATATGGGAACGGGCACAACCCTGCTGGCTACGGCCATGCGCCGCAATCAGCCGTCTATTCGCAGCCCCAATCCGGCGCATCGTCGGGAACCAGGCGGAGCTCGTGCTTCGCCCTGATGGCTGCGCTTCTCATCCTCATCGCCGCGGTCATCGGGCTGAGCGCCGGCCTGGGAGTGAGCCAGAGGAACCTGCACAACGCGCAGGCAGACCTCGCGAGGGCAACAGGATCGTGAGTGCCCGCCCCACGTCTCGGCCGAACAGTTTACAGCTTTCGCCTTCCTCGGGCTGCATGGCTGACTAACACGGCAAACAGGCCAGCAGCAACAACCGTCTTCGTGACGGCCAAGCCGACATCAACACCAACGGCAACATCATCCTCCTCCTCGGCCTCGGCCACGCCGGACACCTCCAACATCACCTGCCCGGGGTCCAACAACACGCTGTACACGGCCGACGCCGACAACAACTCGAAGCAGTTCCAGCAGTACTGCGGCATCGACTTCTCGGGCGACCAGGCCGTCGACGTGGGCAGCGTCAAGGTCACGAGCATGGGCGCGTGCATGGACGCCTGTGCCTCGCAGTCCAACTGCACGGGAGCGGGGTGGGGCTACCTCGAGGGCGACAACGGCACCGAGCACAGCTGCTGGATGAAGGCGAACCTGACGGAGCCCCACAACGCCACGGCCGAGTGGGCGTTTGCCATCCTGCTGGGCGGCAACGGGTCGGACCCGGCACCGCAGAGGAGGAGGCGCGGCGGGGGCTCGGGGTGGTGGTTCTGGGGGGCGTAAAGTTGTGGAGGTCCCGGGAGATGCGGGAGTCCTGGGGGGGGGGGGTTAGCGGTTGATTGCGCAGCCCTTCCAAAGTTTGCGTAGGCGTGTTGTATGCCTTCATGTACGGCATGGAAGAATCGATTGAATTGGGATTCATAGTAAACACGCTCTCGGAAACTCATGCCGTTTTAGGTCTGCTTCTTCCTCAGGACTGTACCATACAGGACCCAGTTGACGGATACATGTGAGGATATCTGCCTGTCTGCTGTGTATGGACTATACGAGGATCCGTGTCTCTTCTGTGAATCCCTTCACTAGGCATTCGCTCCCTTTCCCGCCCCCTCCCCCTCTCGCTGCCCACGTCGTACGAGTTAGCCACAATGCATGTCTCTCCCCAAACGGCCAGCCACCAATCTTCTGCAAACAAATGATTGGGAGCTCCTAAATGCCCCATCGTTGTGATATCGCACTGGCAACTGCTTTTGCGCGCCACAGATTCTAATCCAGAACTTGAAGACATTGGATTCGATGTTGAAAACTCCTGCAATCCTGCTTCTGTATCTCTCGTGACCGCCAGATGCTTCTCCATTTCTGGTGGTCATGCAAGAGTCATCAGGACAAGGCGGTGACACCAATTTTCAAAACACCCGAGTAGACTTGAAAAAAAAAAAAAAAAAAAAAAAAAAGAACTCAATCCATCTTTGAGTTTCTCAGTATGCGACCTCGCAGGCATTATATTCCTAAAGAGTTCCCTAATGTTTTCATGCCTTCCGTGGTCTGGTTCAACATTATATGCCTCATTTTCTACAACTCTGCCGCTTAAACTCTGGTCAAAGCTCATCTTCAACAAGAATTCTTGAAGTCCAGTCTTCAGCTTCTGGTGTCTGCTTTTCGAAGCCAGTTGGGGGTTGAGCGATTCTCTTGACACCTTCCATGATTTGGTCCCAGAAGGCCTCACACATGGAATAGTCCACTACTCCGGTGTCCAGACCATCGTTGATGTTCACTCCGTAACTGTCTCCCATGTTCCATTCGGGCCACCGACTTTGGTCCCCAGGATTCCCCGTCGCAGCCATATTCGTCCAGAGTGTCGACATTGTCGACGCAAGTTCCTTCTCCTGGCCACTGAGATGGCATTTTCCATCCGGTGGTGGCATATATGTTGTCAAGTTAAACACAAAGGGAAGCTCAGCTGTGTGAGTAGGTCCGAGTAGCCGCAGGATAGGTTTCACGTCTGGGATCATATGATACCAGGCACAAGAGGGCGTATGGCCGAAGCTGTATGTCCAAGCAGGTACGCCGTTCCTGGCTGCTCCCTTCAGTCCCCGGTGCGCGGCACATCGGTAGGAGTAAGCTGTCAGGACTGTCATCATTGCGGCATATCCCGGCACTCCTGTTCGCGCGAATTTGGACAGGCTGTATGTCTGGTTCACAACCGGGGCGAGCGGGCCGAAATTGAATATGAGGAATTCGTTGTATGTTGACTGGTTGAGCTTGGTGACTCGCGGCCCATATCTGGACAAGAGAGACAAGCTACCCTCTTGGGTATTCGAGCCAAATATGGACGGAACGCGGACACCTGCGCCTCCTGGATTGGTAGGAATGAGGCCCCCATCTACTAACGGGCCCCAACCTGGACCTGTTCCGTTGTGCTCCAGGAGAGTGCTTGCACCGGGGGTTAAACTGCTTGGCATCCTCAGGTGGGCTCTTTTGAGGGAGGGAACAGGAGCAGAGCGCAAGCAAGACATCTAGTTTTCAATGTTAGTGTAAAGACAGCGATCGTTCGCACAGTCACACCTCGGGTAGGTGACCTACGTCGATCTTTTTACAACCCAGCTGTTCGGCAAAGCTGCGATGCCATGCCTCTGCCTGGGCAACGGTGGCGTAGTCGCGCCCACCACCAGATTGCAAGGCCGCTGCTCTCATGAGTTTTGGGGCATTTTCCATTGTTGCAATAACGAATGCATTAGAAGCACCAGCCGATTGCCCGAACAGTAGGACCCTGTTCTTCACCGCATGTCAGCAACAGAATAGCACAAAACCTGAATAGCTGCTCTCCAAGGGTACCAGAGTGGTCCGGGCTTGTATTGACATACTGGATCCCCACCAAAATTAGCAATGTTTTCTTGGACCCATCGCAACGCCAAGATCTGATCCATAATGCCAAAGTTGCCGTAGAGGCCAAGGTCCGGGAGTGCAAGGAAGCCCAAAGGGCCTACACGATAGTTGATGGACACCACAATCGAATCTGTTGCTGAGTAGCAGCCATCGTAAGTCGGATTAGAGATGCCGCCCGCCTCGTCACTCCCGCCGAATATCCAGACCTTCACCGGCAGTCCGGAAGCTGGAGTTGCACCCGCTGGTTTCCAAACATCGACGAACAAACTAGCCGAGTTAGTGAACGTCTTTTTTCAGGATGGCACGCGCGCTTCAGCTAACCAATCCTCGTCCTGCGGGCCCTTTTCCACGAAGCTTGTGCCGAACTGAGGGCACGCGGGCGCGGCGACGGTACCATCCAATACCCCATCGTAGGCGTCGGTATGGGACACCGGCGGTGCAAAGCGAAGGTCTCCTACTGGGGGCTTTGCATAAGGGATTGAGAAGAAATGGTCCACGTCCGTCTCGCGACACCGGCCTCCCCGTACGGTCCCGTTGAGTGTATCAATTTGAATAGAAGGATGTGTAACCGGAACTGTTGCTGTCTCTCCTGTAGCTCCGGTCAGACCCAACAGGCACGACACAGCCAGAAGGCCGAGCAGTGTCCGCCTGTTGGTGGCATGCACAAGTCTCGAGCTCATGGCGTAGTGTCTCGGACCTCATGAAGAGCGAGGAAAAGTCCAGCGACGGGCCCCTGCTGGCGGTGCTGGCGGAGCTGGGCCTGCTGCTGCCGAGGAGGAAGCTCTGCCTGGGCGAGAGCGGCGAGGGGGGGATTGGTGAGGCTGGGCTTTTTGGGCAGCTGCACTTGTTGTTGGTCGCCCGCAGGCTCTCGGGGTTGAATCCTTCGGCAGGGTCGAAGACTGGCTGACCCGGTAGCCTGGAGCGCAGGGGGCAGGGGGTCGCCCTCGGGTCCGGGCTGGTTTGTTGTGTATGGCTGTGACCAGGGTCGCTGGCGGGCTTTGGGGAAATCCGGAGCGGAGCTGGGACTGCGCATCTGTGGGAGAAGATGGCTTCGTCGGCCATGGTGTCGCTTCTCTGGTCGTCTTGCTCAAAGGAGTGGACTGACGTTGACGCCGAGTGTGTTGCTGCTGTTCGCATTTCCAAATGGGCCCCGGTGACTTTGCTGCTGCCGGGAACGAGTTCGATATATCTCTGGGCGTGCAGGTGCTGACGGAGAAGTTCGTTGCAGTGCTGACGGGGGCGCGTCGGCAGTCGGGTGTGGCTGACTGTCAGCTTCCAAACAAAAGGCGAGAGGCGCGGGTAATCTGGGAATGTGGAGAGTCACAACCCGAAGCTGAGGGAGGGAAGGGGGCAATTATGGTCGATGTCCATGTGAGGGTAGGCTGAGCTTTCAGCTGCAACGCAGCTTGTGCTATGTGCTACTTCGAAGGGCCGGACGGAGCATCAGGAATATTCGGGAGCTTAAATTAAACTCGGTGTCCGCAGCTGCGTGGCATGGGAATGCGTGCGTGTGCAGCCCCAAAGGTCCGGCCCCCCTGCGAACCATTAAGCCAACCGCTACCCTCCGCACTGCGCCGCACGCCCCCCCGAGATCCTCTTGGGCCATTTGCAGCGGGGGGAGCCATGGCCGACTATTTTTACGCTTGCTACAACTGGGACGTGCCTCTTCCATCCGGGCCTCGACAGGTCGAGCGACAGGTCGAGACCTCAACAACTACGCATCCATCGCGGGCGAGACCGGCCTCTCACTGGGATCTGCGGCCAGGATGGAGGCAACGCCTTCATAAAAGTTTCTTGGCCATATCTGTGAGGGTGTTGGCCATCAAAGGCATCATCTCGGAGGTGTATGCGAAACGGAATCGTGTTCTCGTAGACGATGGTCTGTTGTTCGACCTGGAGATTCTGTTCACTCAAATCACAGCACACTGACCAGGTGACTTGAGACAATCTAGATGCCAGGGAATCACAACACCCATGAGAAGAGCTGCTCTCAAGGATGGTCTCGACGCATGGTTCGGGAGACAGTACTCCCTTTCGGGACCTTGTCAAGAAGTACGGCAGAACAGAGTACATGTTCCCGTTTGCAGGAGGATTCGGTATCTCGGGAAAGAAGGCAGGAGTTGCACACTGCTGAAGATGACGCAGAGTGGACTGGCCGTGGAGGAGATGACGTTCGCCGGCCGGCGCTTTCGGGATCTTCCACTGGGCATAGTACAGCTGTCGAATAAAAGTTTTCAATTATTTTGCATTGCCGATGGCGACCGAGATTTGAGCCAACCACATCGAGATTGGCCAGAACTGCAAAGGCGACAAGGGAAGGAGCTCCGTTCGGGTCGGATGTCCGAACCGAGGGTAGCGGCCCTGGGTTAATCAAATCAATAGGAGTCGTCGTCATCTGCTGAATGTACTCTGCCACTGGGGAAACCAAGTGAGACATGATGAGCCATAATCATGGTCCAAAAGATTATGGTCGTACGGTCTACTAGATAGCCCGGAAACAACATGACCTCCATTCGCATTCGGCGCCTCCTGCGGAGTTTTTGTATCACATGTTTCGTATCAAAAGGAGGTAGAAAGTATTATCACATTGGTGGCATGGTATGGGGGTGAATAAAATGGTTTCAAATCGGGTCACTCGATACCAGCTGGCTCCTTACCTGCTGTCACATGTGATGTGGTTTTCGTCCTGCACAGCTTCACTGAGATGCGCTTACGGGGAAGAAGATCTGCCTTGGGAAAATTCGGTGGCAGCTGGTGGCCCACATGAGGCTCTTGCTCAGAGCAAACGAACAGGCTTGTGACGAGATTTCAGCCCAGACACTCAACAAGCAGGCTTGTCAAGCCAGAATGGAGAATTCCTCAGATCTGTCCATTGTTCCAAAGATCATCCTTCTGCTTCAGATTGGGAACGAAAATTTCGTCACCAGACCACCACTCTTCCTCCATCGCTTGCTCCTTCTGAGCCTTCTCCTGGGCCTCCTCCTCCGCCTTCGTGGGCTCCTTGACCTTCTTGGTCTTCTTTCGAGGGGCCGTCTCCTTGTCTGAGCTGGCCTCGGACGTCTTCTGTTCACCTGGCTGGTTGTCAATTTGCTGGTCCGAGATGGATGGCTGAGGTGCCTCACCTGGCACAAACTCGGGGGCATGGGCCGCATGAGGAGGGAGGGTACCTGAAGCCAAGCGCGGCTGAGGCGAGACGTCGCTCGAGTCCTGGTTGGACCCGGCCTTGCGGGGAGACTTCTTCTTCATCGACACCATTTCGTTTGTGATTGATGCAAGCTGAGAGGGTTTTGTCCGTGTCAATGATCAGGTGAGCGATGATGTCGCAGGTGATTTGCAGTGCTCACAGATATGGAAAAGTCCAGGTCGAGACCGTGACTTTTTATAAGACTCTGTTCTGACCGTTTGCTGCGACGTTTGCTGAAAGGGCTCAATGTCTTCCATGTGTGGATGACAGCGTCTGCAATTGTGCATTGTGACTGGTAAATTTCATCTGATCTATGAGTAAGTCTGAGTTCGTGTACTACGGTCTCAAAAGGTTGAACAATGGACAATAGATCGCTGGTCGGCAAACAAGACAAAGTGCCTGGATACAATCAGGCAATAGAGCATACACACCTAGACTTACAGCAAGTCTTTGTGTAATAGTCTTTGTACACTCAATCTATACAGGCACAATTCGTTGTAATGACAGTTCATAATATGAACTAGAGAATTATGCAACGGTTGCACCAGCTATCTATGCAGCTTTGTTCCTCATCTCATTTTTGTTGATTCCTGCATGCCAGTTGAGATCAGGCCGTATTACCTTGAGCTAGAAAATTCGCTCATTTTGAGTCAAGGCTTCATCGCTATTTCTCGTTATTCTCTCTATCCGCAGGAGTATGACGTTGACTCAACATTTCGACTCCAAGTAACAGTGTTATGTCTCAGGAATCTCAAGAATGCGAGTGTTTCGCGGTATCCCCGCAAGATTCTGAGTAGATGTAGTGATGAGAGAACGATACCACAATCGCAAGGTAGCACCGGCAAGGGATCATGGTATCGAACATGATTGACGTGTTTTCTTGTCACCAACTTTAGCAGACACTCCACAAACATAACGCGTATTTTATTGTATGCTTATGAAGGGCCTCGAGTCCATGGAAGATATGTGAACCGGGTATGATGAGAGATACAGATGAGAGGGGAGCGGGCGATCCAATTATACGAACCTCCCTCAAAGCGATGGCTCATTCAAGGTCATTTGTAAGGGGCGTTCAAGATATCTGGTCTGCTCCAGCTTCTCTTTCTTCGCGAAACGAGAGGACGATCAGACAGGGAGGCAGGGAACGCATCCGGAGACGTTCTCAAATATGCACCTCGACGGATCTAAAGAGTGCAAGGTTGTCGCAATGGAGCTAATGCCTGAAGGAAGCTCCCATCTCGGAGATCCAGTACCATCCTGTGCGAGCTGTTCCTCGGTCTGATAGTTCAGTTGGAATAGGCCTATTCATGTCACACGCTTCCCGGCCTTATGAAGGCTGCCTTACTCACCAAGCATGGGGAACCGCCCCGAGTGACAAATGGTAAACCCTCCCGGTTCGCCCGGAAAACCCGTTGCCATGAAATAAAATTTGCGGGACGGGATACGGAGGCAAGTTTGGCGATTTAGTTTCAAATTGGACGGGGGGTTCCCGGAGGTTGAAGGATTTCATTAACCTTGGGAGACGCCACACACACACACACACCTGCCCCGGAGGGCGACGGACGCGGGCCGCAACGCATGATAACCGCCAGGACCACAGGTGTGAAGCGTTGATGTGATGGATGTGCATCCGGAATGCTGTCACACACCCGTTTCACCAACACCGGCCACCAAATCGTATCTCGGGAGAGGCCACTCACAACCGCCGCACTGGGTAACCTGGGCAGTCACACCGCGGACCTGTCGAATTGCCTCTCATTTCTCCGCTCGAAATGTCCGCGTAGTAAGATTCGAGTGGAGGGCAGGGAGATGGGGCCGGAAAGTCTAAGTCGCTAAGCAGGATGGGCATAGGCTGGCCCCGAAAAGGCCGACCGAGCCAGTGATGGTTCGCGCCAATAGCGTGTCTTGCACACGCCTTTGTTCGATGATACGCTGAGAGGTGGATCCTGCGACAGGGTCCGCCTGGTCGAGCTGGGCGACTCGTGCCTGGACGGCAGGATGGTAAGCTTTGGGGGAGAAATTTGGACCATGTCAAGATCAGGGGTCCTCTGGGGGGCCAGATGCAAGCCCGCCAAGCCATTCGACGCCGAGTCTCCTCTTCTAACCAACGAGTCCTCGCTTCCTACCTTCTTTTGTCGTGTAGCCGAGGAACTCAGTGTCTTCTGCTCATCCGTTGCCAATTGATGTTTTCCAGGTGAAATGCAGCGGGGACGTCCAGCGTGAATCGTCCGGACTGCTTGATGCAGCATCTTCCACCGTGATTGTTACTGTGTTCGAGATTCGGCACGATCTCCGACTCGACCGATCTTCCAAGCCTTGGGACCCATCTTGTCCCGCTCCGCCCCGGCCCCTCAGCACCACGTTGTCCCGGTCCGTGGGCCGATCCCAGAGAACAGACCCCTCGGACGTCCACTTCCTATTTTCAGCCTAGGAAGATGGGTGTCGACGCTGAGGAGCTGATCCTAAATCCTTTCCAGGAAGTGATCGACCGAGGAAAGGAAGCCGTCACCAATGCGGAAAATGCAGCAGATGAGGATGCTGAGGTCTCGCGGCTCATGGCGAAGGCCGGAGTCGCAGTCGTCAAGGAAGGCGAGCGGGCCTTGAAGAGGCTGCAGCCTCTTTGGGACGGCCAGGTCGAAAAGTACGGCGATGCATTCAAGGAGTGTCTGAGCCAGAATGCCGCAATAGAGGAGAAGCGGCGCAAGCTGGAGGATCTCCTGTACGACTTCGAGGACTACGCCGAGCCAGACACGTTCGAATCGGAACGGTTCACCGAGCTTCAGGCGGCTACCAAATCGCTCGCCATGGATGTAATCGATGCCATCAAGAAGATGAAGCTTGACACACCCATCACTCCGCCCTACTCGCCGCCGTCGCCCTCCAAGTTCCCGCCTCTTCCTCCTCTGCCCCCTCTGCCCCTGAAGAGTCCATCACGGATAGGAAACGGGGCACGATCTCCGAGACCACCAACACCACCAGGGAGGAAAGGAGGCCGCACACCAACGCCGTTACTCGCCCCTCTGCCACCGTCTGCCACGCCCTCTCCAGACCGCACCGAACAAAGCACACCTGTGCCGCCGCCCGATCCATCAGAGGCGGCAGTCCCAGTATCCCGCGTCAGGCTCCCACCTGGCAGGCGTGATCTTGGAAGAGTGAACACTGGCTCACAACGCAGCCTGAGGAGCAATGGTACAGCACATTCACGGGCGTCCAGTGCGTTCAGCGTCGGGTCACTGCCTCCGCCGGCATACACAGCTGATGGCGAGGCGCCTCCTGTCCCTCAAATCACACATCACAACATGACTGAGCGGCCTCAGAGCCGAGCATCATCGGCTCTGGGATCACATAACGCCCAAGCGCCGCAGAGCCCAACCCACGCCCGTCAGCCCAGCCTGCCGACGACAGACACCAGCAGCATCCCCGAGATACCCGATTTCCCAGTGCCACAGCCACAGCCACAGACCGGGACGAGGACGACCGCGTGGGTGAGCGACCAAGCCGGAGGGACGTCGAACCCAAGGTACCACGGGCACCGGCCGCCCTCGCGGTACGAGCCGCACTCCCTGCAGGCGATCCAGAACCTCCAGCAGACGACCATCCCGGAGGACCAGGCCGTGACCGCGAGCATGCCCTCCAGGAGGGCAGGCCACTCCTTCATAAACTTCGACACGCCACTGACGCCCATCATATCGGAGCTGGGCAGGTTCGGCGTCGACTCCCCACCCGGCGACTCCAGCCCGTCTGCCGGCCCCAACAGCCCCGAGACATCGCGCAGCGCGACCCTGAGCCACGCTACGAGCATGTCGTCGATCCAGACCGGCTCCGCCCACACGAGACCCAGCAACGGCGGCAGGACACCAATCACGCCCGGCGACAACGCCCAGCACAAGCCCTCCTTCTCGCCCATAACCCTCCCACCAGCCGCCCTCGAGGGCCCCGAGAGCCACAGCCGGCTGCCCGACGCCGCGGTGGCGCAGGCGTCCGCCACCTCCGCCTCAGAGGACTGGGCGACCCGCACCGTCCTCTCCGTCTCAGACCGCGCGTCGACCGCCAACTTCTCCTCGGCCTCACACCCCCGCGAGGCGGACACGGCCATCGGCCCGCGCAGCAGCCTCTACCTGCTCCGGGGGTTCTGCGCCGGCGCGCAGCAGTTCCGGTCCTCGGGCCACGAGGACGGCGTGCGCAGGCTGGCGGGCCACGTGGCGGGGCAGTCGACGGCGACGGCGCGGTGCTCGTCCTGCTCCTACGGCCACGCGTGGTCGGAGCTGGACCTCGACGTGCGCGACCGCATGCCGCGCGCGACCTTCCCTCGGGAGGGCGGGCTGCTCTTCCGCATCCGCCTGCTGTACAAGTCGCACCTCGGCGCCCCGCGGCCCAGCGAGGCCTTCTACGGGTGCCTGTTCTGCGCGCAGGTGGGCCGCGTCGTGCGCGAGGGGGACGCCACCGTCTTCAGGGGCTCCGACGAGCTCCTCCGCCACCTGGCGTCCCATCCGCAGCCGCTGCCCGATGTTCCTGGGCTGACGGTGCTGTATGGCAAGGAGATACTCGCCACGGACCCGCGGGTCAACGATTTCGACGTGTGGCTCACCGAGCCGCCGCAGCCAGGAGGGATCCCGCCCGAGGTGGAGGCCGAGGTCGCCAGGCTGCCCGTCGCGACGGCCGTCAAGGGCCACGTGCAGCGGTACGGGGAGAAGAAGCTACCCAAGCCGGACGGGAAGGGCTCCGAGAGCCTGCTCCAATTCTTCGAGGGCGCACGGATCATTGGGGTCGAGTACCCGGGCAAACACGTGGGGAAATGGTGTACAGGGTGGCACGATGGGACATGGGGTTACTTCCCGGCTAAGAGCATCGAACTGGAGAAGCCGAAGCCAGGCAGGCTCGACGCGCCGCCACTCCTACATGGCATGGGCGGGAACGGGGTGGTCGTGGTGGCCAAGTGGAAGTGGGATCCTAGTGCGGCTGCGAAAGAGGGCTGGCTCGGGTTCGACAAGGGCGAGAAACTGACAAACGTGGGGTGGCCGGTCGACGCGGGCAAGGAGGCGTGGTGCTGGAGCGGGTCGACCTCGAAAGGGAAGTTCGGGGTGTTCCCCAAGAGCCACATAGATGAATCCTCCCTGAGGGACGACGCCAGCTCACCGGCCCCCGGAGGTGGTGGTGGCAAGTCGAAGAGGAAAGAGGGCGGTGGCAGGTCTGGGGGGAAGCTGTTCGGCGTAAGGCGAAGGCATAGTACGACTTCAAGTATGAGTGGTGGTTCGGGGGTTATCGAGATTATATAACTGCCAATGGTAGATTATAGACCAGAATAACGCACCGGTCATAGACGTGCCGGATTGAGACATCTCTGGTCGAAGATGGAAGCTCTGACGATGATTTACAACTTTCTGTCCATGCACTGTCGAACAGAGATTCCCTCTTCACCCAACTGACTCCATGCTTACAATGGAGGCAAGTGCATCAAATGCGGTGTGATACAAGTGGACTGGCCACCTTCTGAACAAGCCAACGGAAACCATGCGTATGGATCTGTCTTGCCATGAGTTAGCGCTAGAGTGACAGAGCGCCATGGTCGGACGTACCTTTGCTCAATCGCCTTTGAAGCCCAGAGAAGTCGGTGGCCGAGGACACGGTAGAACGATGTCTGTTCACGGGCGCCACATAAACCCATCTCAGGGATGGTATTGCTTCAGAAACACAATTGCTGTGTTATAGCTGGGTCAAACATATAGTTCCATTCATTTCCCATGGCACAAGGGCCTCCCATAAAAGGAACACAACATAACGCCATGCTCATGCAACCCTAGCCCACCCTCGGTCTACCTCCCCCAACACTGCCTGGGTATTTGTGATAAATCCATTCCCACCGTCTCTTCCGGTCTCAATTTCACAATCTCCGCCTTACATCCACTCTACAGCGTCTCAATACTGCAGAAGCTTATCGCTCGACTCCGCATGGACCTGGGCCGTCTGGAACGAGCAGTGCTGGTCTCTGATTGAGATGACCTCGTACGTACCCTCCTGGCTAGCCTTGACCACCTTCGAGAAGTCGTAGCTTATGTCAGACCGTGTCTCAAGGACCTGACTCCGCTGGCCCTTCTTGGCGTTGGTGCTTCGCGTGTAGACGAACTCAAACGGCGGCGAGCCAGTGAACTCGAAGAGAATGTTCACCTCTCCGCCCTCATGGATAGATGCCCGGGATGTCTTTCCCTTGGAGATCTTGACGGACGGCATCGGATGGATGACCTTGGTGATGTTGACGTTGGAGTTGCACTCGGACGCCCGGTCGCTGATCGACGTGATAGCGAAGGTGCCGGGGTACTCGGCCAAACGGCGGAAGCTGGTAGTCGGGGACTTGGCTTTGCGTTGCGAGCCATCAAAGTTGTACCATACCTCGAACGGCGGCGTGCCGGACAGTGTGTATCCGATGCGCTCACCCACGCAGTAGTCCTGCCTTCCTTCAAGCTCGTAGATGGTTGGTGCGTCGTAAAGTTGAACCTGCACAGCTGGACCACTGGTATCATAAATCCGTCGGCACCCGTGGGCATCACCGACCTGGCGGATGCGGACAGATTGGCCGCCCAGCTTGAGATACTGCCGGGGAATTCGGACGTCGAACTTATTTGTCGGAATAGATGGGATGCGGTAGGTCTCCAGGCCTGCGCCGGATTGATGCTTGATCTCTATCTCCAATGAGAACGGAGCAGTGCCCGTGAGTTCGACGGGGATAGTCTCTTCGATATCTTGGTCCGCCATGCAGGATTTGTATGTTTGTCCGGGTTTTGTGAAGGACGCAGAGGGCCTGGGGTTAACCGTCTGGTGCAAGGTGACGGGATTGAGCTTCTTGTTGTCGACGTAAACGCTATCCTGTACCCCGGTGAACTTGTATGCGTATAGGCCCGACTTCGATGTGTCCATCTGTATCGAGGCCTTGCCGAGAGCCGCATCGACGGTCTTTTTGTGCGGCGAGGACACACCGCCGACGTCAGGCTTGTGCTTAACTTCATACTCCACGTGGAACGGTGGCGAGCCTAGACAAGGTTAGATATTCAACAAGTACATTCACAAAGGGTATAGAATGGAGTGTGGTTTGGGGGCCGCGTCTTGCAAACTTACCCTTGAGAGCAATCTCAAAGCCGTCAATGTCTCCCTCGCATACTTCGTTTTTGGAATAGACGAATTCACGGTCTAGGTTTATGCTTGGGGTGAGCACCAGGCCAAGCTCTGGCCGAGGAAGCCAGTCGACTTCGAATTGCGCCGCTCTTGGGTCGACAAGTCCGGGACACTTGTTATCCGATACATCAACGATCTCGTAGACTCCACGTCTGTCGACAGTCAAGAAATCATTGCCAGACTTGAGCTTCCGCTTCTTCAATGGGGCTGCGTCGCCGTCGTCCAAGTTCTTGAAGTAGACATCCCAAGGTCCCTCTCCGCTCAAACGCACAGGAAGCTTGACCTTGGCCTCCTCGAGGGTTCTGGTCCTGAACTTGCCGTCCAGTTGGCCAAACGCTCCTCGGGGCCGCTGGCGTCGGACAGAAATCTTCATCTCATCCTGCAAGAAAGCGCGGCAGCCTGAAGTGTCCGTAATAGCAATCAGGGCAACTGAATATTCTCCACCCTGTGACAGTGGCGGTGTCCGGAGCTTGACGTGCTTGTCCTGGATATCCGAGATCTTGTGTTGTCTTCTCCTGCCATCGTGGACGAGTTCCCATTCCAGCGTGAAAGGTGCTTCACCTTGTAGTACCACGTCGACCTCGACTTCCTCCTCCAGGCAAGCGTTGACAACTTCGGAAGGCTTGCGAATACTGGCTGAGGCCACAGGCTTGACTGTGGTTTCCAGGGTCATGCCTGGTCCGCTGAGCTGTTGCTGAGGGTACACTTTATCACTGATGTACTCAAAGACATACTTGTGTGTCCCTGCGACAGTGGGTATGAACTCCTCTTGGTGCCTCATACTATTGGCTTTGAAGCTCCTCCTCTCGGGAGATCCGTTGTGAATCGCCTTGTAGTAGACTGTGAACGGCGGAGTTCCGACGAAGTCGAAATCCACAGAAACACCAATCGAGTTGCCTGCACATTTGTCTGGAATGTCGCTGGAACGCAGCACGAGGCTCGGTTCGAGCGGATTCAACAGGAGGCAGGACGACGGCTCTTGCACCTCACCCTCACAAACGCCAGCCGAGACGGATTTGAGTGTGTACAGTCCAGGTGCCGAGACACTTGGCACATCATCCGCCTTCTTTGCATGGTAGGTACCCAAAGTCGCTGCCTCGCCGTGATCGCCATTCTTCGTAAGGGTGTCGATAGGCGAAAAGAGCCAGGTGAGAGAGTGTTTGGAGTTCTTCTTCTCATCTGCAATCTCATATTTGACAGGCAGGCTCGTAGACTTTCCTTTGGCAACCTTGAGGGGATGGCGCATGTTGCAATCGAAAAGGCTCACTGTCGGCCGGTCCTTGACGCTGAACTGCTGTACTAGGTGTTTCGGTTTCGGTTTCATCTCTGGGTCTTCTGCTGGCGAGGCGTACTTAACGATGTTGCCAAAAGCATCTTGAACCTCATCCACAGAGTACTGCCACTCTCCCCCAGAGTTCATGGACTCGTTCAAGCCCACTGTCACTATCTGAGCTCGAGCCCACGTGACGTATGAGTCGTCATCGGGAAGAACCAGGGCCGATGACCTGCTCGAGCCCATCAGTGGAGACGAGAAGCCTTCCGGCTGCAAACTTTGAAAGTGGAAGCTGTGGTCTTTGCCGTTGATCATCTGGCTGTAGACAATCTTCAGTGGTGGCGTACCCTCCACCTGCAGCGACAAGTCAGACAGATCGCCGAGGCAGCGATCAGAGGATGGAGACGGCAAGACGCGAGCCTTCGGACATGGAACAACATAGGTGTTCCCAGTCAGGCGCTGCACCTCCAATTTGTACTCGTCCAGAACCCTCCCTAGCCTGTAGACACCGGGCTTTTTAACCGGGTAGTCGAATTGAACGTCGGGTTCATCTGGATTATCCGCTCGTCTCTTGGCCATCTTGGTGATTGTCCGGATCTGGTCTTTGCCGAGCTTCAGGGTCTCTTGGACGCTCGTCTCTAGATCAACGCGGATGACCTCAACTTCGACCGGGACTGTCTCGTTAAACAGCATAGGCAGCGTGATCGTGGGCTGGGAGTCTCCTAGGCAAAAGGCCTTGCCGTCGGGGTTGAGGACGGCGGAGCTAAAAGATGTTAGCTACATCATCGTTGCCCACAAAATGCGTTATACATACCCTTCAGGCAAAATATTGATGATTTGTTTACCCAAGATCACAGACGCATTGTGCAAGACGTGGGCTGGCTGGACGTAATGCTCGGAAATGGCCAGCTCTCGATCGTAGAAGACTTTCAGGAAAGCAAGAAGCGCAGCCGTGAAGCCAGCCTAGCGAAGTCAGCGAAGAGGTCGGAGGGCTGGGGCTCGCGGGTGCGTACCGTGATGTTGAACATCAAAATGAAGTTAAAAACGGCATGCCCGAAGAACAGGACGAGACAAGCAGGCTGTGTCAGCTCTAGCCATGGTATTCTGAGCTCAGGAAGGCCCATAACGAATATGAGGTCGATGACGTTCCATTTGAGGAACAGCCAGACCGAGCTGGACTCGTCCTCCATCAAGCCGACCCAGTCGTAGAGCTTCCAGGCCACGAGGGCCATGTAGAACCCGAGGGCATAGAAGCGTTGTGTAGGCGCATCGAGGACGGTAAGGGGTATCACTGGGTTGCTCTGGGGTTGTTGTCGTCGTCCTTGATTCTCGGGGGCCGGCGGCAGGGGATTCGCGGGTGGCCCTCTGTTGGGCGGCGCTCGATCGGGGGTTCCGTCTGGTGTTGGAGGAGCTCTGCCTCGGACTTTCGTGGCAGGGGTGGCGGGGAACGCCCCCGTGACCCGTTCTGGTGTTGCATTCATAGCATTACTGTCGAGGGAAGCAAAGTCGTTCTGTGTCGGTCGCAGACGGTGGTGGTCGTGGTAGTCGTGGTAGTCGTGGTAAGCTCTCGGCGGCCGATATCTGCGAAGCTGGTCAGGGAACGAGTTGCGACAAGGCAGACGAGTAGGGCAAAGCAAGACGGACCTTTCCTGCTAGGTCATCATATCGCAAGTCGAAAACGGTTCGAGCCAGAGAGAGCTTCCAGGCCTGTTCGATTGAGGGAAGCGGTGCTTTGTGGGCGTGTCCAGAAGTCTTGGTTGGCAACCAGTCCCGCGACGTCAACAGAGGGCAGGGCAGTTGACGCGCCTTGAAAAAAAGAACGACCTGTTCAGGCATGGCACGGCGGGTTGTTAGGAGCAGGGATGTAGCTGTACAGTGGGCCTGGACCCTCCCCCTGCTTCGAGACCACCCTGCCACCTCAATGATTGGCTTAGATGCAATGCTGCATGTGCATGTACCAAGGCACCACTAAGCATTCCACTTCATTCAAGCTTCCTCTGCCTGCCACACCTCCTCTCATGCCAACAATAGTCTACTGTTGATTCCTTTCTGGTGGATATGTGCTGCTTTGTGGAAAGGGAATGACTGGTAGAATTGTCTTTCAGCCAAGACCAATGATGCACTGAATCTCTAGCCTGGCCATCCATGCTGTGGCTTGAACCTCCTCAAGTTCTGCCATCACTGCAGCAGCAATCCACAGATCGGCTGTAGCACCTTCTCTTCCCGCACTCATCCGGCTATATGAACATCACACTGTCAAGTTGTCATGCAAAAGTCATTGTCAAGATGAGGCAACACCTTTTCGGAATATCACATTGCAGTCCCTATCGATAAGTGAGCCTGGAGCCTTGGGCAGGCAGGTATTCCCTTTCAAGAAACTGCATCACAGTGCCTTCATTGTCTGTCATTGGGCAGCCTGAGAAGCAGCCTGAGGCGCAGCTGAGAACCTCCCACTTTCGCCCAACTCGGCTGCCAACAACCAAAAGTAAGGCACAATATTTCGGGAATATCACCAACATAGAGGCCTAATCAACCTCCCGTGAATTTCTACCTGTACCGAGTGCCTAATACCTACATCCTTCCGACAACTTGGAAGCCTGTCTTCTCATCCCCGACCCAATACAGCCAATCATATCTGCAAACATGGCCCCGAAGCGATCAAGTCCCTCCTCTTCGGGTGATACCCTGCCAGATCAGAAGAGAACTCGACCTCAGCGGGGTGCTGCGACCAAAGCATCCACCATTATCTCTCACGCTGCTCGAACTGAGAGCACTCTTGAACACAACCTCAGCATCCCTCCCGAGGACCTGTTGCATGAGACCTTGGCTCCCCTTAGGGAAGTGGAGCAGAACCAGTGGAAAGCATGGGTGGAGATTGAATCTGACCCTGTAAGCCCCGATCACAGCCGTTTGCTTGATTATGGTGTTCACGATCACTAACACACCGCAGGCCTTTTTCAACGGTTTGCTTCGCGACCTAGGCGCACAAGATATTAAGGTGACGGAGCTATTCTCAGTGGACGAGGTTGACTTCCTCCCACAGCCTGTGCTAGGCTTCGTCCTGTTGTGCAAGTATGCGGGGGAGGATGACGAAGACACCGAGGAAGTACCGAATTCACTCTGGTTCGCAAATCAGACCATGGCAAACGGATGCGCCACTGTGGCCCTACTCAACATCCTCATGAACTCACCAGAGGTCGAGCTGGGGGAGAAACTGAGCGAGTTCAAGAGGACAACACAAGACCTCTCGTCCGTCCTACGGGGCTACCGACTCGAGTCCGATGCAAGCATGCGGACCATCCACAACGCCTACGCCCGGCGCCTCGAGCTCCTTAACGCGGACCTCCTCCTCTCGAACGAGTACGACGAGTGTAAGGGCGTGCCCAAGGCCGAAGAGCCTCCCAAGAACCGCGGCAAGCGCAAAACCAAGGCCCAGAAGCGTCCCACCCCCAAGAAGAAGAGGACCGACGACGCATGTCACTACAAGGCCTTCGTTCCCTTGGATGGCAAGGTCTGGATCCTGGACGGCCTGGAGTGGAATCCCGTGTGCCTGGGTGAGGCGTCACCCGATGCCTGGATCCCCCTCGCCATCGAGGAGCTCGTCAAGAAGCTGGCCGTTGCCGGTGACCTCTCGAGCATCCTCGCCATCTCCCAGAGCCCCACCGTCGCGCTGCGGAAGGAGCTCGCCGCCAACATCAAGACCCTATCGGCAGCGCGCGCTGCAATCCCGGATGACGCCAGGCCCGAGCCGGCGGAGGGCCGTTTCTACCTTGAGGACTTTAACGAAGTCCAGCTGCGGCACTACGGTGTTTCGTGGGCGATGCTTGACGAGACCGAGCCGGACGAGTCGCGATTGACGAGTGCTGACGGCTCTTCGAAACTCGAGCTTGTGCGGCATCTCGAAACTGAGCAGGCCAGGATTAAGAGCGAGTACAACCAGGAGATGGGTCTCATCCACGAGGTTGAGGAGAGCTGCACTGGCCGGAAGAAGAACTACATGCCGCTCGCCAACAAGTGGGTTGAGAAACTCTCCAAGATGGGTGTACTCGAGAGGCTGCTGGATGAGTCCAAATGATGGGTAAAGGACAAAAGTACTTTTCCACATAGGTACGTGGGCCAGAGATTATATGGATATGGAAGCGATCCAGGGAAGTAGAGACATGGCCGGTTTGGAGGTGCTCAGTATTCAGTGCCAGCAGAGCATATCCACCCAAACAGAGCTTAATGGAGTGATATCTACCAGCATTTGGTCAATGTCGTGCATGTATTGCTAGGGAAAGAGCTAACTCTCAGATTGCGGTCAGGAGGTGCTGTCACACGAGGCAATCTACGAGGTTTTTAAGCCTGACAATATGGTACTGACTGGCCAAATATGTATTGATTCCAAATCAGAGAGCTTGTACAAGTCAACCAGTGCTTTCACAAGAGCAAACCTACAAACACAAATACCTAGACTCCCACCATATTCAGGTATGAATCATTTTTACAAGAGGCAGCAGCATACGATAATAGAGACGCATCAAGTCTTGAAGATATGTTAAATAAATAAGTAATTTCTGTCTATTTGCCACCTTTCCTCTGCATGTACAGACAGCACTTTTCTCCCTCCTCTAATACAGTCATGGCAATTTGCTCCGCTACAGCATCACAGAACACTACAAGTCTGTTGCTCTATTCCGCATGTGGCATGCAATCTTCTACATAGTGACTCATGATGAATCTTGCCGATATCAAGGGCCAAATATTCATTATATAAATCGTTCTATTTCCACACTGCTTTATACTACATGAGTGAGTGAAAATTTCTATTCCGAGCAGCACAGTGTCCTCTGATTTCACTCCAGGCCATCTACAAACAAGTCTCAGTGGCTAGAAACGGTTTTCTCGTTGTGTGGCATCTCGCAGGTACTCCATGGATGCTAGATGTGGTTCGGATCAAACGCGAGGTCCTAGAAGGGCAGCTTCCTTTCTTACTGCATAGACTATTTCTGTTCTTTGAGTTGCTCTACTGAGCTAGTGGGACAAGAGACAGGGAATATCACAGGATATTCTAGTGATTTTCGCTGTGTTAGGCTTCAGACAGATATTATTCAATCTTCTGTGAACCAGCATCGTGTTAGAAGCCACTGTTTTCCACCAAAGTCTCAGTGACAGGCCATGACTAGTCTCCGGGACCATTCGTGCTGACGCCGTCAAGCTTGACACCAGGCCAGTCCAGCAAGGTCGAAGCCATCTCCAGTTTGGTAGTGCCACGTACTTCATTTGCTTTGTACTTGTTCAATCCGCTTGAGCCACCTGCATCTGTCCGTGCCCGTGAGACACCCTAATGGGCTTATATGCACTTCCACTTGGTTGGAATATTTCTGAGTAGATGATTACTCCTCATGCGGCGAGAACAGCACCCAGTTTCTTGAGAAATACGCTTGAGGGCACACTCTGAAGATTCAGACCTGCAGACGTTGGTCATGTCACAAGTGAGACTTAGTAGACCACTTATTAAAGGCTCAGTAGTCCATATGATTACTTCTCTTGCACGTACCGCTCATGTTCTGCGGTGTAAGCAGTATTGTCCTGGCGACTGTGGGTTGAAAGGATAATGCCACGGAGTGAATATAGGAGACACTATCACAAGACGTGCATACGCAACGTCATCATATAAATCCGGTGAATCCATTTGACTAGCACCGAAACTTGGTGCCACCATATCATTCAAACTTTTCTATCAGTGCCTGAGATCATTCATAATCACATCAAAGTCACTTGGCTGTGAGAAACTACTTAAGAGAAATTTCCAGGCCCGATCCTCTATTTTCCTCCTACCTTCGACATCCAACAACCTTCTTCCTCTGACATACCAAGTCCTTTTTACTACCGAAGACAAGTTCGACTTTGCATATATACCACACTCGATCTTCCACGAGAGGGACTTTTGTCATAAGAAACATCATGGCATCCAGTGAGGATTGGGGCTGGGGCTATGAGGAGCCCACTGAGGAATGGGGTTTAGGCTATGATGAGCCCACAACACTTGGTCCTGCTCAGACCGAAACTACCACCAAGGCTTCCACCAAGGTTCACCGGTAAGTCTATGGCTTTAACAAAGACATCGCCTCCCTTATCACTTACCCTCACAGCATTCCTGATGCTCTGATACTGACAAAGATGCCACCAGCAACAAGCCAGCTGTCCAACCTTGGCAGACATGCTCAAAGAAGGACATTGAGCCTTACCGGAAGTACAAGATACTGTACGGTGAGCGCAAGTTCGCTCAGGAATTCGTGAGTCTCAACAGACAACACCTTTATGCCGCCCTCTCGTAAGCAGGAAGACTGACCATCCATCATAGACGAAGCAGAATCTCAGCTTCACGGACGATCTGCCCACGGAAATTCGTCTCCGTATCTACGATTTCCTCTTCCCCATCCCAGGTGACCAATTTGAGTTCTGGGCCCCGCAGGAGAAGACCAGAGGAAAGGAGAAGTGGCAGAACCTGTTCCGCAAGTACGCCTCGAACAAGAAAGCCATGCGGATCATGCGCCTGAGCAAGAAGATCCGCGAGGAGGTAGCTGACTACTTCTACGGACGCTTCAACATGCGGTTCAGCGACTCGAGCGGATTTCTCGTCATGACAATGTTCAACCACAGCATCAGGTTCTTGAACTGCAGCTTCATCAACCACATCACGGTCAGGATGCCCTGCGGTTACCTGTCCAGCTGCAGACTGAGGAGGTGGGATCGCTTCACCTGTATCCAGAGATCCCGAGGCATGCGCATCCCTTTCATCGGGCGCCGAGCGAAGCAGCGCAGCCAAGGAGGCACAGAAGCCGAGTGCAATCACGACATCACCGTGCGCAGGGGCTTCCGTCAGCTCCGCGATATGGCTGGCCTCAAGCTCCTGGAGATCCTCGTCCCATGGGACTATCTCCCTCCGGAGACGGCCGTGTACGACGACAGCTGGCAGTCCACGGTCGTACCCTGCGACTGTGAAGAGTTCCAGGGCCTGAGTTCGGAAGACCAGATCCGCCACCGCTTCGAGGAGCACTGCTACGACTCCGAGTACTGGGAATTGCTCGCGACTCTGAAGCAGCAGACCAGCTCGGACGACCTGACCATCGCTTTGGTCTACGATTACAACTCCGCGAGAAGAGGTCGTCCTTTCGAAGACTATGAAAACGATGGTGACTACGTCCGCAGCAATCTACGCGGGGGAAGATGGGTGGCCGCATACGCCGCAATCAAGGGCTACGAATTCGGTTATGCCAGGCCGGCGGAGAAGGGCGTCTTCAAGGTGCGATACGACGAGGACACCGTGATGTCGAAGTCTCTCGAGCTGCTGAAGGATGACCCCCTTGAGTATGACCCACTGCTTGAGCCTCCGGAGCTTTCCGGTTGAGGCTGCATGAGAGACCAACGCTGCTGATTGGGACCGAGGGGAGCACAGCTGTGCGGCTATGCCGGGGCGACTGTTTGGCCGTGGAGAGATCCCATTGACCGGGGGACGGGGCGTGAAGATCGGGCCACAGTCCTGGGTCTGGTGTTTTTTTTCTTTTTTCTTGGAGCAGGGCGCAATAGATATTAATATGCCAAACGGAGAATAGACTGAGTTTCCCTGGAAAGGTGTAAAGACATCGCATTCAGACAACGTAACAGCGTTTCTCGGAGTCGCAACAGGTGAAGCCAGAGGAGCCGCATATCTGAATCCAGTGTATTATATTCAATGATGCTCTGACAGGAACCATATTGAACCACGGTGACAAAATTCAATAAGCTCTGTCTCTAATGTCTCCCAAGGTGCATCAGCACGGTCGCAAAGATGGAGGAACGGAGGACTAGGAGACGTGACGTCGTGTTTTACATGACCTGCCTGGGCCGCAATAGGCTCCCGGAATTGCACTCATACTGGCCGAAACCGATGCTCCAGTCTGAAGACCACGCGCAGCACAGCTCATCGAATAGGACAGGCACCATGGACACCCAAAACATCACAGTATACGCAACAGAAGCTTCAAAAGCTCAAAGCTCAACTTAGTCATTCGCAAATGTGGGTACCTAAGCAAACTCCGATGGGGGGTCTTCGCCTCGGCTCACTGCTGACGTCATCCCGTTCTCCACCCGGAGGGACACGCAGTCGCTCATTGGCCAGATGCAAGGTACCAGCCGCGAGCTGCTCGCGTAAAGTCGCGGTGCGCGTCTCCCTCGGGGCTGGCTCTCCAACAGCTTCCCATCTTCGATGAGGGGCAGACCGTGAAACCTACCACCCCCTTCTTCCACACCTCCTTCCACCACCACCCCTCCGATGCAACCACCTCTGTCGCGCTCAGACAAGACCACCATTCCAATGTTTTTCTGACTGGTCCAAATTGGCGTCGTCGATTCGTTCAATTCTTTCTTTCTTTCCATCCATCCTAAATGCAGATTCGTACAATTTCAAAAAAACGCGTGATATGACAGGGGCATGATCGGTGGAAGCCGTGTCCGTGCAATCAGCTGATGTCGTGCTGCTCGTCGGATCTTCTTGCGACGAGAAGACAGGTTGGTTGCATCCGGGCCGGAAATAATTACTCAATTCTGGGGGCAGGTCGGAAAGAAACATGGATGACGGAGGGCTTGCAGGTATTTTCGTGGCCCTGGGTTGGGTTCCGGGGGGCTTTGTTGGAGCCCAGGTATCATGTACATAGGAAAGGGGACGGCCGCTATAGCGGCAGGTATTTGGTGGAGGAGTCGTAGAAGAGGACAATACGAGAGATCCTAAATGCCCGAAGCCCAGAGGCTCCGATCATGGCTGGTCAAAAGCTCCGAGCCGTCTCCTCGCCACGGTTCGGGGAGTCCTGGCCGATCCAATGCCGTTGGGAGTCTTCCAGGTCTTCTGCGCCGGACTGGGCGTGAAGGTGAGGTAATCGGCAAAGTCAAAGCCCTGGCCTGGCGTGTGGGGGAACAAAGGATTGTTCAGGTTGGGCGTCGACATGGCCTGTGGCGTGAAGCCAAGATGCTTCGGGGGCGGCGTGGACGGTGGCTCCATCTGACTCCTGGGGGGCAGATTGGCCGGAGTCGGTGACGACTTCATGTATAGTAGCAGCTGTGCACCTTCGTCTCTTGACTCAAAGTTCGGCCCGTCCTTCCCAACAGAATTGTTCGGGGGGAGGCGCCGGTTGCGCATTGGGGGTGTACTGGGCGGGGATGACCTCGAGCCATTAACTTGGAAGGAATGGGCAGGTAGGAGGTCTTCATCATCCTCGTCGGGGGCGGTGAAGTTGGGTGAAGCAAGGCTGCGGCCGAGATCCGTCGATGACTGGAAGAAGGACACGTCGGGGCCAGTCGAGGTTTTGAAGTGTGTTTGGCGGCGTTGCTTGATGGGCGACGATTTTGCAAGCTGGTGGTTGTCACTCCACGATACGTGGTTTGAGAAGGACTTGTGGGCTGTGGGGGAGACTCTGTAACGCTTGGTGGGACTGGAGGACAGGTTGACATCGACGTCGAAGCTGGAGATGTATGTGCGTTTGCGGTGGCCGGTACTGCCGTTGCTGGAGCCGATGGCATCAGAGAACAAGGGTGCTTTTAGCGGAGAGCTCATCAGGGCTCTTGTGGGGTATGGCAGGTCGGATGCACTGGACGAGGAGTCGGATAGGATTTCGCCGTCGGCAATGCGTCTGCGGCGGATGGCAGCCTTTCGCTGGCGAAGCTCTTCCTCGATCTTGGGCTCGATAACGTCCAGTGACAGGTCTTCCCAGCCTCGCTTGGCCTTGAATTGTGCCAGTGCCAGGCGGCTCTGGAGCTGGCGGGCCATCTGCGAGGGAGGATGGGCCCATGGTCAGCGGCTACTGATGCTTGGACACGAGATGCCCATGCCCAGGTTGACAAACGAAGGGATGGAGGGCTCCCGGAGACAAGAAAGGCCGTGGAGAACGCCGCTGGCGGCAGCGGCAGCAGAGACTTACCTTGCCCACCTCGGTTCTCTTGAGGACCTTGTCGGCCACAGCCTCGGGCTGCTGGGTCGACGCCGATGACATGCTTATCGATCTCGACATGATGTTTGAGGGAGGCTGGTCTGATGGTCGTCAAAGTGGGTTGTTCTCAGCCAAAGACCAGGTCGAGAAGTGGGAATCGGGGTAAGAAGTTTCTTGGTGGTGCCAATGAGACGACGGCTCGGTAAAAATGGCCGGGCGCCTAGTGGTTGATGTACTGTCGCTGCACGGTACTGCCGCTGCACTTTTGCAACTCGAGCGTCCGCCCCTCCGAGGCAAGACCTTGGCTTGGGTCGGGGACAGGGCTGGGTAGACGCTTCGCACCAGAGATGGTGAAAGGAGAATCACGATGGGCCAAGGATGGGAAAGAAAAACCACAGAGCCCGGAATGAGGATTATGCCGTATCAGCAGGGAGTCGACGGGCTGAGTGAGAGGAGCACGAGGAGGAGAGGGCCAGGAAGGCCAGGAAGGTGAGCTGGTGCTGCTGGCGCCCAGGCATTCCGTTCCAGTTGCCCAGGTGCACCTGGGCAGTTGGGGGACGAAACCAGGCTGAGGTATCAGTTCACCAACTAACTCTGGTTAGTGTGGTCCGACCGCCATGCCTGGTAGTGCTTGCATGGCCGGCGATTGGCACCAGCAGAAGCGTCAATTCCCCCAGACAGGCCAGGAGATCCAGGAGGAAGACGGGAGTTGCTTGCTCGACACTTATTAATCTTTGCCCTGCGGCGCAGCTGCAGCTAGAGCAGCCCGGTGCGAGTGCGTGATCCACTCATCCCTGCTCGCTAGTCTTCCTGTTTGGGCCGACTCGACACCAACACAAAGGTAGAGCCAAGGGGCACAGGCATCTTGCTGCACCGTTCACCGTGCCCAGATGCGTCGAGAGCCTTCCGGTTTCCGATGTTTCCAATCAGTTCTGGCAAGCTCCAGCTACCATCCTCTGCTCTGTATCTAATTACATGTGTTATTCTATTGTTCCGGCCTTGTTAAATGGATTGAATGCGCTCGCAGATCTTCACTGGTTAAGACAGACTCGAGGCCAACAACCCCACAACAAAACCTGGAATGCAAGGCTCGGCTCTTGAGTCAATGAACACTGAGCATGTTGGACAGCCAGCCAGGGCGAGACTGCCAACGGTTTGATCGATCATCGCCATCAGCCGCAAGCATCTTGTACGGTAATGGATTCAATTGCTTCCGGGCGGGATCCAGCTGCGCATTCGTGACGCTGTGACGGTCCGGTCGGCAGCTGTCGGGTTGCCTGACACTCGATGTTGCTGTTTCAGCAACAGCCAGGACAGACGGATGCACAGTAGATGGGTGGACCCGCGAAGCTTTTCGTGTCTCTGATGGTGACATCTGGCTCATGGCTGGCGCCTACTTCTGTCATATCCGTAGCTGCACATATATGCATGGCATTTCCCAGAAAGCCGGTCCAAAACTATTGGCAAACGCTGGTGCGATGTGACTTTCAATTAAACCCCCTGCCACCCGCCAGCGAAGAGTGACTGGCCAGGTCGGTCCTCGGGCGCTTCGTGGAATTCCAAGCTACGCAACCCCCTTGCGACACTCACATTGGCCAGTCCTTTTAGATTCTCAAGCTCCCCTGTGTCGAGCGGGCCTGGGGATCCCAGATTACTCCGCGCTGTGGATCCCTCGATCGAGATATCGGAGGCTTTCCTCGTCTTCTTTGAGTAGTCCGCGCAATGCTATATTTCTGCTATGTTATATCTCTACAATACCATAGTTCATTAAGCATCCCAAATACGGGCAGTACATCGTGTGCCCGCCTGCCTATTACATGTTGCGATTAAGTATTGAGGCTCTAACCAGCATGTTCGCAGAGCAGGTTCGCGGATGCATCATCCCAAGTGGATTGAGATGTCGGCCAGCGATCACCTCGTATGGGAAGGATGGGTCGAGAGTCGCACCGTTGGTAGCAACGCACATCACCCCGAATAGATCCCACAGCCTCCGTCCAGGTGGTGGCATGTGGAGTGTGCACCAAGTTCGACCTGCATCAGAACGGGTCCGGCCGAGCCTGTGCTGACGGGGAAATGACGGCAATAAGACCGACACCTATTGCTTGGTGAAAGACACGGTCCATGTGTGCAATGGTGCAGCGTTGTCTCAGTGCTCTTTCGACAAAACCGAGGACGTCGACGAGATGGTTCACCTATATTGAGCCAGGCCTCCCTCGGTGCGGCCGCGTTGCTTGTCTGGCGAGATGCAACGTCCTCATCATGTGCAGATCAGGCCAAGCGAGGCAGGGCGGGCGTGGGAGGATCGGATCTGGTGGGCCGAGCCAGCTTGGCCGAGCCAGCCCAAGTTGGGGGGGAACGAGCCGACGCCGATCTGGCCATGTCCGCTAGACTGCAGAGGCTTGCATCCAAGCTGTGATACACTCGATGGTCAGGGGATGTTGTGTGACTGCGGTAATATCCCCACGACTTACAAGATCTCACGTAGAGATTCCACTCGGTGGTCACGGACCGGGCGCCCACAGCATGCTGCATCCAGGCCAACGGTACGCCTGCACGGGGAGGATAGGCCGGGCAATGCCGAGGTGACTCGTGGGAGGCTGCTTGTGCCGTGGTTCTTCTCTTATATTAAGGGCTCCGGAGGAATTGAGAAGCACATACTATAGTAACAGTAAACTTGTAAAGGTGGGTCAGCTGGCATTGCCTGGGTTGCACACTGCTATAGTCCACACGGAGACTCGGCAGGTTGGCTTCTCGTATTCTGTCTGCATGCATTCATCGGTTTCGTTCAAAACGCCCAACTCGCCCAAGCTGCTGATAGCTCCCCACCGAGCCTGGGGCGCACTGACGACCTGGCCGCGCTAAGAGATACACGGCCGATGGCGCAACGGCAGGCGCAGAGGGGGGTAACTCGGTAGCGGGCAGCTTGTCGCTGCCCTTTGGGTTCCGGTTCCACTGAGACGGGACGACTCTCCTTCGTTCTCGAGCGAGTCGTCCACCTCTCCACGAGCCGAGGCCTGGCGTCTGGCCGCTGCACGTTGCACGGTAGATTGGAGGGAGTCAAGAGCTGAGTCGTTCACAGAAAAATGTTTCCATCCCATGCATGCCGTGTTCAGGGCGCGGTGCTGTGCAGACATAGACACAGCTTGGGATGCTGAAACAGGCCCCATCGGCATGTCAATTGAGTGTCAAGCTTGAGAAACGGCAGGGGTCAGTCAGGAAACAGACGAGCGGCCAGGGCTCGGCCACCCCTGTCTTCGTCACCGTGGCACAGCATCGGCCGGGCATTACACGAGCTGTCAGAGGCTGCTTTCTGCTTCAACAACTCAACAGCCAACAGACTGCAGGCTGCACACGTGGGCGATATCAGGTCAAGCTTTCGTATTGATGGGACTCGGTGCTGCTCGGTGCTGCTCGGTGCTGCTCTCAAGGCTTGAAACATATTTCCATCTCTAATCTCCCTGGAATGCGGCCTGCCATCCTCCTCTTCCCTCCCCCGGTCTGATCTGGCCTGTTCTTGCCTGGCCCGGTCAAGTCGAAGTCACATCAAGTCAAGTCTGTCCGCGCGTGCACACGGAAACTTGGAACTGCTTCCCACTTTCCCTGATAGGAGACAAGAGACCACCATTTGCTGCACTGGTCTGTGTCCGTCTATCTGTCCGTCTTGTGCCGTCCCGTCCAGTCAGCAAGCATTCGCTTCACCCCACCGATCAAGCAATCATCCACCAGCGCAAGTCAACCCATCTTGTGCTCTTCACAATTGCAGTCTGAAAGAACCTTGAAATTCAGGAGAGGACGACTGGTGGTGATCAGATGTTGTAAACCACCGTCCAACTGCACCCAACCGACCTGCACTGCTGGCTGGCCCTTACCTCGTCCTGTTTGTTTTGGTCCAACGTCAGCTCAGCGGCACTGCATCGCCGCTTCGCATCGCATCCTCACCGTCTGTCTGTATGCTTGTCTGCCTGTCTGTCGATTTACCTCATTCCCTCCTGCGGCTCCTGCTTCCTCCAGCCTCTCTCTCTCGTTTTCAAGACCAATCCGAGACTTGCTATCAGTCAGTCAGTCAATCAGCCTCCTTTCTCTGAATCAAGATCATCCGGACAACCCCTGACCGTATCTTCCCAGGCAATCAAGACCAGCAGGGCCGGACGGACTGCAATCAGTGCTCGGCCGGGTCCCAAGCCCAGCCCCCCATCCTCTTTCCATCTTAGAACCTGGCCCCTTCTGTGCTTCTGCGCCGGACTATTTCCGTTGGCCCATAGCGCCCTTCTGTTTGGCTTCCTTTGGCCTTGCGAGCGTTCGTTGTCCCAATATCGCCGAAATTTCGAAACGGCCCGACGTCATCAAAGAGCAATCCACCCTCTTCAGCGAGATACCACTGATCCACGCTGAGCTCGTGCAGAGTGGGAACCTGAAGCCCGTCCGTCGCCCATCCATCCCACTGGTTCCTCCTTCCCTGCACTGCCTTTTTTCCCGCCCAATCGCCTCAGACGAATCCGTTTATTAAAAGCAGTCCAGCCACAACGTCGACATCCACATCCGTCGCAACTCTACGGCATCTCAAGCAAGGAATCCTGGCCAGCCCACTCTGCCCACCCTGCCAACCCTGCACTTCCGGCCAATTCAACTGGGACCTGAGCTCATTGCGTATCTATTCCACGCCCCCCTTGATTTTCACGAGCTTTCTTTTCCATGGTGGGAGGCCACACTTTCTTTGCCTCCTAGCAACAACCCCCCTCTTTTCGACCATCCTCACATGTTGGACCTTGCCTAGTCCCACGACAATCCCGCTCACCTCACTCTTTTGGCCGGCCCTCCCGAACCTGTACGCCGCCATCCTGGGCAATTCATAGCTTGCCTTATCCCAACGAGAAAGCAGTTGGGCGATCGCATAAAACCAATTCCGACGTATCCTGCGTACAATCAAGCAAACAAACATAGGGCCCGATTCTTCTCGCCGACCCTTGCGCTGATCCGCCTCGCGGCAAATTCGCCTTGAGCCTGCCCCAGCCGTTATGGCACCGAGCCTGTTGACCCTCAAGTCTATCAGACGACGATCAAAGGCCAGCTTCAAGACCGAGAAGTCCGCCACAGATGCCAACGATACTTCGAGTGATGCAAGCAACGGCCAGACCCCCACGACCGGCTCATTGACACCTCCTTCGATTGCACCGTCCGTGGCAGGCCAGTCGGATCCCTCCCTGAACCATCAGCTCTCTAGAGAGAAGCTCCATGGCGACTTATTGACCCCACCAGTCCCTCCGATTCCCCAGTTCCGACCACCACTGCGGTCGGCTACCAATGGGTCCAACCGGAATAGCGTGTCGGGCATGACGGGCCTGGGATCGCCGTCGATGGGAGGACGGGGACCGTACCCACAACTGCCTGTGTCGCCTTACGCGCCCCAGATTGATAATGTTAGACATGGAGCATGGGTGAGTTCCGGCACTTCCAGTACTTCTTTTTGACGCGTTGCAGAACTCCAGCATTCATGGTAGGGTCTGTCGGACAGTTGATGGCTTTCTGAGCCGCAATTGGGGCTGCTTCGTTACGCAAAAGATACTCCACTTTGCGCTTTCGATCTTGCGGTATTTGGCTAATGTTGTCAACTTCTATAGGTCTCTCAGAAAGTTCTTATCATCACGGGCGTCGTACCTGGGCCGGGCGGGCGGTCCATCGATGGTGAGGTCACAGTTTCGCGAATAGACGACGACTACCCAGCAGTCTCTTGGCCGGTGCACGACTGTCAATTCAAGGCACTGGTCTATCTGCAGTCAGGTCTGAACAGGCTGCGCTTCGACTTTGCAAGTCCCAAACTTCCGCACAGCAATACAACAAACCCGATCCACTCTACGCAACTCACCGTCAATGTGATGCCTGTGTCCAATTCTCCGCCATTGCAGTTGGCTATACTACTGGCAAAGGACTCGCCAGGTACTTTCGATGCACCGCCGGCACGGGCCGAGCGAGAAGGGAACAATTTGGAGGTAGCTACCCGGAAGTTCCGCATGGCTGCTTATTTATGGCAGGCATACACGGCTGAGCAGATGTTCCGCAACAAGTTTGGTCGCCGCACTTTCAGGTTTGAAGAGGAGTGGACACAGGGCACGACTTGCGCCAGAGACCACGAAACCGGGCGCATGCGCAACGAGGCTCGAATCCACGTTATCCGGATGAATAAGACGCTGGCTGAGATCCGGGACATGAACATTGCGCAGCAAAATCAGAACGCTGCGGACCAGGGCGGGCTATTCCCGATCGCAGCTGAGGCTGTAAGGAAGTACTTCAACCTGAAGCCAGGACAACAGCAGTATGTTTCTTGCATGTTCTTGGACAGCCAATGGGACCCTAAGGAGAAGATCATCCGGGGCCATGCTGCGCTTGGTAGCTCCAGCGGAGACTTGAAGTTGGCCATCTTTGGATCGCACAGTCTGCACAGCTACCCAACGATGCTGGAGGAGGTCGTCCCCGCTTTCACCGACTGCACCCCCACAGACACGAAGTTCGTCGCCAACGACTGCAATGAGGCTGGCAGCTCCTGGGAGAACGCCAATATTGGAATTGGTGCGCATCTGCACGAGACGGGCCACCTTTTCGGCTGCCCACACCAAGCCAATGGTGTGATGCTCCGAGATTACGTCTACCTGCACCGGTCGTTTGTGACCCACGAGGCTTATTGCACCCGAACAAAATCCAAGGGCGGATCTGTCGCCCAGGCAGACGAGTGCACATGGCATCGCCTTGACCTTCTACGCTTCCGGGGCCATCCGTGCTTCTCGCTCCCTAACGACCCGCCGCGACACCCCGACGACTCCGTGCAAGCCTGGCCTATGGAGGACGGCAAGGTGGCGATAACAGCGCCATCCGGCATATCCTTTATTGAGATCTACGGCGACGGAGATGACTTGTGCACAACGTGGATGGAATGCCCCACTGAAGGTGAACAAATAAAGCGACAACTCGTGGTTACCGAAGAAGACCTTCGGAAACGCCTCCCCGAGAACAAGCGCAAGGGCAAGATAAGGCTGGCCGTGAAGTCCCAGAGCGGCGGCGATCTGGAGATCGAGGACGTGCGGGTCCTATGCGGCAAGGAGAGTAAGCTGACCGTCGGCAACCCTGTGACGGGATGGACGGCATACCGTAGCAAGAAGTTCGGGATGAGCCAGATGGACGGAACTCAGCCGATTGAATTTGTGTTTACGAGCGCCACAAAGCAGGAGAGGGTGCTCAGTCGAATTGTGTTTTACCATGGCGCTGCATTGGATGGCGTGGAGTTCATCTATGATGATGATTCAAGGCAAGTCTTTGGAAAGGTTGGTGGCAACGTGCAAGTCGGGGTGTTCGATCTCGGTAAGTTCAGGATCCCTGCTCAACACCCTCGCGCTGGGAGACTTGAGCACGCGTTAACATCGGAATGTAAAGATATTCGTAAGGGCGAGTACATTTCAGGCTTCCACATCCGATCCGGTTTCTGGGTCGATGGCATCCAGGTTCTGACGAGTCTGGGCAACCGTTCACCATTTTTTGGAAACGCCCATGGAGGAGACATGTGAGTGAAACCAAAAAGCTCATCTGCTGGTCCAGGAAAGATGAACTAACATCACCGTTCTAAGGCACACGCTCATTCCTCCTTACGGATACAACATCTGCGGCGTGTGGGGATCATGCGCCCAGTGGATTGATGGCTTTGGTGTCATTATCCGGAAGTAATAAGCAGCGAGACTGCCAGACAGGCAGATGGCTCTGTATGGGACACATATAGTCCCAAAGAACGGTGACCCGGCATCTGAGAGACGACACGGGTACGCACGCACATATTGGTCAAAGCGACCACGCCCTTTGCCACGAGCGGCCGGGGCAATACCTTGACGAAACTGCATTTACAGACGGTGGTACACGACAACATTCTGGCAAGAGGCAACAGTTCGTACAATTTTTTAATTGCTAATCAGCATGGAACCTCGGTCAATGCCGAGGCTGGCGTTGTTCTCTCCTTCAAAATCACCCAATACCCGCGCCATGGACTTGGACATGACAGGTCTCCTCAGACCATGTGGCTTCAATGCGTTCAGCACAAGTAGAGGTGCGGAACTGCATGCTTTTATTTTATAGCTTGATCTCTTCTGGAGGCGGGCGAGGTATGGCGTGTTGGTTTGTGCATTTGTATTGAATATGTGAACACCTGTTCCGGTCGGTCGGTTGGTTGGCGGGCAGGGCAGGGCATGGCATTTTCCGATTCTCGGATTTTGAGGATAATCACGTTGGTCGCAACACATGCGTCGTCCTCTGCGCCACACAGATTGAGGGGCGACGGACAGACGGATGAGATAGTATACAATACATGAATCAACTCACATATCTCTTCCGTGATTCTTGATGTGTCAATCGCCTTTGTGCTCAGCCTTCTGTTTCTGCTTCGGATCCGACGCCAGACGGGACAGGACTCGGCCGAGATGTGGGCACCCGCATTGGGTAGTCTGTAACCGCCTATGCGTACTGCATAGACTTGTTATGTATCCAGTGTATCAAGCATTGCATACCAGCTTTTCCGAGCAACCCCAAAGTCGAATTGATTCTCTGACTAAAACCTCGGCCCTGCTAATGACTGCCGTTCCCCGCCCCGGGGGCTGGCGTGATTGGGACTCCCGGTCCGTTCTGGTTGGCCACCCGACCGTTGACGTGCTTTGGCCGCGGATCTCGTCATGGAAGAGCACGCTCGGGTGCAGCACCCAAAACTTGTTCACTATTACCCATCCGGAAGATGTCCCATCTGCACTGCAAGCAGCGTGATAATGAAATGCCTGCAGGCTGGCTGGGTCCTATTCCCACATCCCATCCCACCCCACGCCGCCCCGGCACTCGCTGCTCAGTCCTGGTGGGGGAAGGAGGGAGATATGTGGTGAACTCTCTCGGAAGTCGTCGACTTTCTTCTCGCCCACCCACTCATCACTACCCCCATGGTAACACTGGCTCCTCTCCTCCCCCCTCCCCTTGCTACTATCCCTACCCGCCCACCATGTGCGCTTCTCCTCCCCATGCATGAGAGTTCTCGCCCCGAGACCCGCCAGGGAACGAGTTTCCCTGAAGAGCTCCCCTCATGACCCGCATTGCGTGCTCGCGGGCTAGCAGTGATATCTCGGTGTATTACGTCTCCCCCCTGGTTGGCCTGTGCGAAAGCTTTTTTATCTCTCTTGTTTCTCGTCTACCCCTGGACCGATGGCTTGGTAGAATATAATAAGTAAGCCAAGACAGCCTGACCTAGCGCAACGTTGATGCGAATCGACACCCTGCGAACCGGCTACTTGGGACGTCTAGCTTATTCTAGCTTGAGCCGCATCTCTTGGTCACTCTTGGTATTTATTTGTTTCATTTTGTTTTATTATTCAAATACCACACCTGAGAAAGACCGATTCCCGAGATGTCCTCCGCCAAGGATCTCAGGATAGAGAAGGACGGGGAGGTCGTCTCCTCCGCGCCCGCGGCGGAGGCGGGCACGATGGGGTCGGCGTCCGTGGACCACGGCGTCGAGTCCAGCTCGGACGAGTCGCTCGACGACAGCTACCAGGTGTTCAAGGCGACCGAGGACCTTCAGGTCGACCCGGCCGAGGCGAAGCGCGTGGTGCGAAAAATCGACTGGAGGGTGGTGCCTGTGCTGTTCATCACATATATGCTACAGTACCTCGACAAGAGTGAGTTTTCGGGACGAGGAAAAAGGCCCCTTTTGTGCGGACTCTTAGCCTTTGAGGGTGCATGCTGACACTTCTCTTTCCCGGATAGATTCCCTGAACTTTGCCAGCGTATATGGTCTTAAGAAGGGGACAGACTTGCACGGGCAGGATTACTCGTGGCTAGGTTCGTCTCTCCCGTCCGCCGACTGATTCATTGCTGTACATACTCACACACCTCCCTCCACAGGATCGATATTCTACTTTGGCTACCTCGTCGCGCAGTTCCCGTCGTCGTTCGCGCTCCAGGCCTTCCCTATCGGCAAGTTCGTCAGCATCATTACCGTGCTATGGGGAGCGATCCTGATGACGACGCCGGCGTGCACGTCTTTCGCCGGCATCGCAACGAACCGGTTCCTGCTGGGGTTCTTCGAGGCGGCCATCAACCCGGCCTTCGTGCTAATCATGAGCATCTGGTACACGTCCGAGGAGCAGCCGCTGCGGCTTGAGGCGTACTACTGCACCAACGGCATCGCGACCATGTTCGGCGGCCTCATCGGCTACGCGGTGGGTCATATCACGACGGGCATCGCGCGCTGGATGTATGTCTTCATCATCTTCGGCTCGCTCAGCGTCTTCTGGGGCTTCGTCAGCCTGATCGTGCTGCCGGACCTCCCGTCGATGGCCAGGTTCCTCGACGAGCGCGAGAAGGCTATTGCCGTCGACCGCGTCGCGCGCAACAGACAGGGTGTCAAGAACCGCCACTTCCGCAAGTACCAGGCCGTACAGTGCATCGAGGACCCAAAGACGTGGATCTTGTTTGTGCTTGCTGTCGCTGCGCAGGTGCCCAACGCCGCCATCACCAGCTTTACCAGCATCATCATCAACAGCTTCGGATTCGACACCCTCGGCTCGCAGTACCTGCAGATCCCCGGCGGTGCGGTCCAGTTCCTGGCGCTCATCATTGGCGGCTGGGTATGCACCAAGTGGCCGCAGAGCCGGTGCATCACCATGATCGTGGCCAACACCATCTGTATCATCGGGGCGGCCTTGCTGGTCGGCCTGCCGGATAACAACAAGGTGAGATCCCCGCCAACCCTCTGCGAAGGACGGTAGACATGAATAGTGAGTACTGACCATGGTGTTTGTTGTGTAGTGGGGACGCCTGGTGGCACTCTGGCTGTGCTACTTCCAAGGGCTGGGATTCAGCATGTCTCTGACGATGATATCGTCCAACATCGCGGGCAGCACCAAGAAGCAGCTCACCGCCGCCATATTGTTCACCGGCTATTGCGTTGGCAACATCATCGGGCCACAGACCTTTATAGACAGTGAAGCTCGTGAGTCCCCGCTGCTGTTGATACGCCCTCATCCTCCAGAGATGACTCTCGCGAGTGGACAATGACAGCGCAGCACGGCTAACCGACCGTTCTCCTACCGCAGCTGGATACCACAGCGCGTATATCGCCATGCTTGTCGGGTACACGATCAAGCTGCTGGCCGTGGTGGTGCTGTACATTTACATGTGGCGGGTCAACAAGGCGAGAGACGCGGCAGGGCACACCGACGACCGGGCGGCGATCGAGAGGGGAATGCACGACGAGACTGAGCTGGACAATCCCGGGTTCAGGTACTCGCTCTGATGTACTGGCTGGCGTAACATTGACATAGGTATAAACATAGATTTTCTGATGTGTATATATTTAGTTTAAAAAAGGTGGTAGGATTTCACACAGATGAGTTGTGGCCACCAATGACGGCCCTCAGGAGTTGACGTTGGCCATCCTTTGTTTTTCTCTTTGAGTGAGCTTAGTGCTGGCAGAGGCGCCATCATAGGAATCGGACGTCCGGCTCGTGCGACATTGCTCATGTTGCTGGCAATGTTGCTTGCATACCCAGGGCAGCAGCGAGACAACGTGCGGTAGTATACGTCTCTGTGACGTGGTGTTGAGTTGTTAGTGCGACGGCACTGCAGCTAAGGTCTGGAAGGTCTGGAGCTGCAAGCTGTGACTTCAGGCAGGGGAGGCTGGACCCTGGGCGGGGCCCCTCTCTGGTGGGTGGGTGACGATCTAGGCCCGAAACAGGGCGGCCAGCATACGAAATGACGGCATTGGCGCCCTCGCAGGCCAAGAAAAGCTTCAACCGCACTTGGCTGCTCTACTCTGCTGCCCGGTGCCCACTCAACCTCAACCGCCGTGCAGCGCGATAATATCTGCACAAACCACTCCAGTACCACCACCGCGCCACCACCTTAGGACACCTCCCAACCCTCGAACCTGCTTGATAATTCTCTCCTCCATCCATTTCACACAACAAAAACAAAGCTGCCCGGCAGAGTCTTCACTCCACACCGTAAGAGCACTCCCTGCCTCTTCGCACACCGACTGCATCGCCCACCACAAGCGCCGCCGCCATGTCAAAGAGAACCTCGTCCGCCGCCACCAACGGCGGTGCCCAAAAGGCCGGGCAAGTGTCGTGTACGTTCCTGTCCCCAGCATCCCTCTCCCCACCTAGGCAGACAAAGCAGAAACGAAGCGCTGACATCTTCGCCCCCGCGACCCCAGCTTATGACAAGCAGAAGGACCTCCTCTCATCCGAGACGGGCCACTTCTCCCTGATCCGGGCCATGCACCTGGCAGACCTGATCACGGAGATGAATGGTACGAGGTGCCCAAGCCCGCTGTGACGCATCCAGCACCAGCTGACCTAGATTCCTCTTTCTCAGGCTTCTGCGGCATCATGTCCGTCTTCTCCTCCCTGCGATACTGCCTCCAGGACGACTATTCGCGCGGCAACATCTACGCCGCCCTCGCCTTCCTGCCCTTCGGCTTGTTCTTCGACTTTATGGACGGCAAGGTCGCGCGCTGGAGGAAGAAGAGCAGCATGATGGGCCAGGAGCTCGACAGTCTGGCGGACCTGGTACGTTTCCACTCTGGGATATTTATATACACATATAACTACATATACACCTACCCACCCAACCATCCCACCCCCCGTAAAAAAAGGCCGCTGACAGGTTACTTCTCCCCTCCTACAGATCTCCTTCGGCCTCGCCCCGGCCGTGGTCGCCTTCTCGATCGGCATGCGCACGACGCTCGACCACGTGTGCCTGGCCTTCTTCGTGCTGTGCGGCCTGACGCGGCTGGCGCGCTTCAACGTCACGGCGACGGCGATCCCCAAGGACGCCTCGGGCAAGGCGCACTACTTCGAGGGCACGCCCATCCCCACCAGCCTCGGGCTCGACGCCGTCATGGCCTACTGGGTCTCGCAGGGCTGGGTCCACGACGCCATCCCCGGCGGCCTGTGGTTCGCCGACACCCCCTTCGCCGTCCACCCCGTCGTCGCCGTCTTCATGCTGCACGGCTGCCTCATGACCAGCAAGACCATTCACGTCCCCAAGCCGTAAGACATCGGGACGATTTGCGCCGACTTTGGGGCTGGCCTGGCGTGTTTGAAAACGACAGATGGGCTGCTGCTGCTGCTGCTATTACTCCTGGCCGTGTGAGGGTTTTCAGGCCTGATATTGACGCTGCTTTTTTCTTTTTCTTCTCTCTCCCGCGGTAGCACTGTACGGAGTCATGCGTCGATTGGGGCCAGAACGGAGAATTCTATCTATATGGATTGTTTCTAAACGGGCAACTTGTTGATGATACCTTTTTGCTAGCATGGTGGGAGAAACGAGGGTTCAGAAAACAACAAATAAATATGGCCCGAGGCAAAGATGGGCCCCAATTGAAAAATTCTCTATTCAATTTTCTCATGTTTTTATCTTCTTAACTCCTCGTGCGTCGCGACTCCCACATCTACCGCTTACTCCCCCTCCTTCTTGGTCTGCACGGGTAGCTCCTTGGCCGCGGGGAACGGGTTGTAAGTGGCGCGCTCGTCCCTGAGCTTGCCGATCTTCTCGGCGGCCTCGTCGAGCCCCACGGGCGTGCCGCGCGACTGGGTGTCGGTGTCGTCGCGGTAGCGGATGTTGACCTGGCGGTTGCGCATCTCCTCGTCGCCGACGACGAGGACGAAGTTGTACTGCGCGAGCTGGGCGCGGCGGATCTTCTTGGGCAGCGTCTCGCCGCTCGTGTCGACGTCGACGTACATGCGCATGCGCGTCTTGAACAGCTTCCGCACCTCCTCGGCGTACCCGTAGAAGCCCTTGCCCACCGGGATCACCATGATCTGCCGCGGCGACAGCCATAGCGGCCACTTGCCGCCGTAGTGCTCGCACAGGATCGCCGCGAACCGCTCCACCGACCCGGCCATGGCGCGGTGGATGATCACTGGCCGCGCGCACCCGGGGCTCAGCGGCTTCTTGGTCGCCCTCTTGACCTCCTTGTCGGCGTTCTCCTCCGCCGCCGCTGGCGTCGGCGCCGCCTTCGGGGCCTCCTTCTCCTTCTCCTCCTTTGCCTTGGCAGTGGCGTTGACGCCCTCGGCCGTCATGTACTCGAGCGAGAAGTTCTCGGGCTGAACAAAGTCCAGCTGGGCCGTGGCGCACTGCCATTCTCTGCCCAGGCTGTCGACGACCTTGATGTCGATCTTGGGCCCGTAGAAGGCACCATCGCCGGGGTTCAGCTCCCACGAGGCTCCGATCTTTTGGGTAAAGTCGTCCAGCGCTTCCTTGAGGGCTGCCTCTGCCTTGTCCCAGGTGGCGATCTCGCCCATGTAGTCTTCTGGCCTTGTGGAGAGCTTCAGTTTGAAAGACATGCCCAGCAGTCCGTAGAATTCCTTCAGGAAGTCGAAACAGTCGTCCATTTCCTGCTTGATCTGGTCCTGCCGGCAGAAGATGTGCGCGTCGTCCTGCTGGAATCTCCGCACACGTGTCAGACCGGACAGCGCTCCGGACGCCTCATTTCGGTGCAGGACACCGAAGTCCGCGAGACGTAGAGGTAGCTCCCTGTGTGAGCGTTCGCGGTTGTCGAACATCAGACAGTGAGCCGGGCAGTTCATTGGCTTTAGGCCAAACTCCTCCTTGTCCACCTTCTGGATGAACATATCGTCCTTGTAGTGCGCCCAGTGGCCGGACTGCTTCCACAGGTCCGCGTTGTACATGTTGGGGGTGATGACCTCGTCATAGTCTCTCTTCCAGTACTGCTCCTTCAAAAACTCGACAATCTTGTTGAATATACGGGCACCATGGGGCAGCCAGAATGCCGATCCAGGGCTGACACCGTCGAAGAAGAACAGTTCCTGGTCCCTTCCAATCTTCCGGTGGTCTCTCTTGGCGGCCTCCTCAAGCAGCTTCTTGTGCTCGGCCATCTTCTTCTTGTCAGGGAAACTGACACCGTAAACACGCTGGAGGGAGTCGTTCTCTTGGTTGCCCAAGAAGTAACTGGCCGAGTTCTTGAGGATAGAGAAGGCTTCTATCCTTCCAGTGTCGGGCACGTGGGGTCCTCGGCAGAGATCGATAAGCGGTCCATTCCTATATACAGTGGTGAACGTTCCGTCGGCAATCTTGTCCTTGATGATGTGTTGCTAGAAAATTTACAATTAGCCTCAACTGCGCGTGCGACACAACGGTCGAGAGTCCGTACCTTGTACTTGTTGTATTTGAACATCTCCAAGAGCTCCTCCTTGGACATGACCAGGCGCTCAAACTTCTGCTTCTCCTTGGCGATCTTGCTCACGATCGTCTCAAGCGGCTTCCAGTCCGAGTTCTGGACGGCCGCGCCGTCGGGGAGGGCCATCTCGTAGTAGAAGCCCGTGTCGATAGGGGGTCCTATGCACAGCGAGCACCCGAATCGCCTCTCGCAGGCCTCGCCTAGCACGTGGGCTGAGCTGTGCCAGAAGACGGTCTTGCCGACGGGGTGGTCGAAATCCAGGAGCTCGAGGGCGCAGCTGGCCTCGAGCGGGCGGTCGAGGTCCCACAGTTTCTCGTCGTTCTTATCTAGCCTCGCGACCACGGTGCGCTTGTACAGAGAGTTGGAGATGCCCTTGGCGATCTCGCCGGGTGTGGTCTCCCAGGATGTGCCGTCAATGACCTTTCCGTCGGGCATGGTGATCTTGATGGGCTCGCGGGGCTGCTTGGCGGCCTGCTCGTCCTGCTTGGCCTTGAGGCGGTCGAAGAGGTCGAGCCTGTCCTGCAAGAAGGAGGGAGGAGGCTGCATCTCCAAGGGACCCGAGTCCTCGGCCTTGGGAGCGGCAGCCTTCTTCTCCTTCTTGGGAGCCTTCTGCTTCGGTGGTGGTGCTGCGGCGTCCGCCATGGTCGCGTCGTTGGTGGTTCAAGCCTGTGACTGTACGGCGGGCGGGTTCGAAGAGTTGTGGGACTTTGAACGGTGCACGAATGCCTTCCGCCTCACTTGTTATACCTGTGATACTAGGTAAGTGAGGGAGTCAGCGAGGGCAGTGCTGGGCATGGGCTTGTCTTCCCGGTGACTCACACGTCGAGGTCGTAAATGTAAGGTGGGCGTTGCAGTTTCGAAAATGGTGCGTGTCTCCAATTTCAACTGCAGCACATTGCACCTGGCCAGACGGTAGGAATTGAAGGTTCTGCCCCGCGAAGATCGACCCCTCCACTCAATTCATTCCAAGCCCAAGGCCCAAGTGCCAGGGGTCAGGGTCCTACTGTAGTACAGTGCTACTGTGCCTCCTGCGATGCACGCAGGTACCTCGGTCGGTGATTGCCTGGGTGTGCGCCTGACATGTTCTCAGGAAGAAGCGAGGCGGACTGTCCAAAAGACCAATATGACCCTTTCTATAACATTTTATCGACTCAGAATCCAAGAAAATACTATACAGATCTATACAGTGCCTCACGGCTTGCGGCCGTTCAGCTCAACGGTCTCATACCGGCCTCTAGCCCCCCTGCCCCCCGTCCGTGCTTGCCAGCACTCCACAACGGATGCAATCACGCCCATCACCTTTCGTCTGAACAACACAACAAACAGCACAACTGCCAGAAAGATGAAGGGCGTGCTCGTCGATACGCCCATGTCCCGGCTTAGGTCCTCGAACGCTTGTTCAATGATGTCTTCCACCGCTTGCCCTCTCGTGAACTCCAGGCCCATCAACATAATTATGCACGCCGTCCAGCCGGTGAACGCCCTGCTATGCCGCCCCTTGCCAGTCTTGTCGTCGTACTGCTCCCAGGCGAACCCAGTTTGCTGGTAGTTCCTGTACACCGTCTTGACAACTCGGTCCCTGAGTTCAGCCCCGAGGGTCAGGGCCCGCTCCTGCACAGCTGTCGGGGGCCTCTGGTGGCCCTCGAGGCCAACGGCTCTCAAGCGCTGGACGGCCAGCACGTTGATGTTCATCCAGACCGCCCCACGCCAGTAATCCTCGTCTTTCCTGTAGCCGTGGTCCTCAGAGCTGAGGCTTCGCAGGCCTTGCCGCGAGTACAGCTTATGGGGATCTGACAACAGGTCCAGCACCGCCGGGAGGTGCGGGTGGTCTGCCTTCATGAGCCCCATGAGCAGCGGAAACAGTGAGACATAGCCCTGGTGGCACACATGTTGGAACTGCGCACTGTCATCGTGTCCCACGATCGTTGCGTCACAGTAGGCGTTCTCATTCTCGTTCCAGTGCAGCACGTCCATGTTGTGCTGCACCGCCTCCATCTGTTCCCGGTGGACATCCGCAGCGTTCTTGTCGCCGAGTGCCTGTGCCGCCTGCATCAGAGCGCGCGACGACGCACCGACCCACGCGAGCGCATCGACGTGCAGCTCGCCTGGGTGGGGTGGGTTCGCCCTGGGATAGTCGTCGAGCCCGCTCGTCAGCGTGTGCTTTGGGGTCCTGCCACGCCAGCGGTAACTCTCGACCATTACGTGGTTGTCGGGCCGAGGCCAGGCGTTCAGGTCGCCGGCTTGCGTGCGGCGGAACCACGAGAAATGCCGGTCGAAGAGGGGATACAGCTCTTTGATCAGAGCCTTTCCTGCCTCGTCGCTGGCGAGATATTTCGACGGATGGCCAAAGTAGCTGGACGGTCTCGTCACTTTCTTGAGGATAGCGGGCAGGACCAGCGCCAGCATTGTGGGAGGATTAGCATGGTGGAGATACTGTGTCTGGAACTGAGGTGGCACCTTATTGCGTGCTTCGGGCCCAAGTATCTGTTCGCGGGCGATCCATCCCTCAGCGTTCATCTGCTTGAACCAGCTCCTGACCACGGAGACGGCCAGGTCGAGGTCCCATTCGATGACGGGCAGCAGGTGGAAGCCCTCGTCCCAGAGGAAACCCCTTGGGAAAACAGATCTCGAGGGTGTAAACGAGAGGAGTGATGACGGTTCTGTTGTGGTGACCGAGGCACGGCCCATAGCCGCTTTTTCTTTCATCCAGAAATCGGGGTCTGTCTCCTCAAACTCTGGTTCCTTCGCGGCAACCTTGCTGTCCCCGTGGAAGAAACCCAGGCCACCCAAGAGGTTTGACAGTAGTCCCTGAGCGAAGACTGCGTACTTGTCTTCATGGAAAACAGAAGACCGGGGGAACACCTTGTCCACTTGTGAAGGGAACGACTTGCGCAGCTCGTCCAGTCTCGTGACGTTTGCTAGCGGAATCGGTCAGCATGAATGCATCCAGTGTCTTCCACAATTTACCTACGAGAGTTGCGGTAGTTGAACGTTGCTGAGAAGGCGCCAATGAAATTGTAGTGCACAAAGTGCATGTTGCCGTCGCCTGTATTGCTGGATGGCACAACCTTCCTGTCGTCATCTGAGTCGTCGTTCTTGAGTAGATCAGTGAAGACAGCTGTGCGGGCTCCTGATTAGTATGCGCTTCCAAGTCCCCTTTGCTGGCTGGCCCACTTACATTTAGCCTGCCAAATTCTGTCCTCGGGAACATCGGTGCTCTTGACAGCGGTACGGTGGATGATGTTCTCCCTGCTGTCCGTGCTGATGACGAGGTCAAAAGGCCCCAGCTTTGGATCCTGGCCATGACAAGACGCGCCGAACGCCAGCGAGTGACCAGTCCCCTTGTTCAGATGTTCGCAGTAAAGGCTCTTGCCCTTGCTTGTTGAGCCAGCCATGCCTTCGAGGGCAACATGGAAGATGAGGGTTGTCTTGGTGGGGGCAGGAGCACCTGGCCGCGGGGTGCCGGTGACTCTGACGGACCAGCCCTGGCCATCTTCGCTCTTGACGAATTCAGTAGTGAGATCGATCTGAAGCTCCTGGTCGTGGATGAGCTGAGAGCCACCGATCCGTGGGTCATAGGTTGTCCAGCCATATCCTCTCACCCCGTCCTCCTGCTCACAAGTGTCCCGTAATGCTGTGTAACATGATGTGAGCACTGCGTACTTGATGGCCAGTGTGGTTTGTTGGGGGTCACATACTATCAACAAGTCGGATGCGGTCATCCCCGCCTGCCCAGATGAGCCCCATGAGAAGAGTCTTGGGTATTTGTGGCCGGACACCAAAGTATAAATTTGGTCTGTAGGGACCCCATGTCTGCCAGTCAAGCTTATTGTTGCTGTCGCCGATCAGGGCGGAAGAGACGAGCCATGCGTTGAGCAGAGTGCCAACGGCCAGCAGGCGCATCAGAATGAGACCCATGGTGCTACCGCTACCGTTATAGCGAGAGCATGTGCATGGGCATTGGTGTGAGGCAATTGTGCACAGGGAACCAAGAAAGCCGGGTCAAGTGGAACCACAACATCAACGAAGATATACAAGCAGACAGACTGTGCTGGTGGGCAGCGCACAGCACAACAATATACGGTGGGATGAATGAATGAATATTTTTGATGAGAGAATCCGGATCTCTGATCCCAGATTATGATGACCAGGCTATCGACCAGCCCCGTAGCACTTGGACGCCGGCTGCATGGTCCTTCATTCGTACGGTACAGCTAGCCCGGCAGCCTGCTGTGCCACAAGCAGCTGGGAAAGCGCAGATCGAAGGAGGAAGGCCTTGCAATTGGACTACTGCACCAAGACGGCCAAACGAAACGGCCAGCCGCCCCCGCGGCTCAAATGCCTGCTTTGGCTGCCAAGTCGCAGCGGATAATCAGCACCAAGGAGGGGGTCCCCGGACCCTTCGCCCCCCCCCCAACAACGCCCCCAGGCTTCCAGGCTTGTTCCAAGGTCGGAGACAGTGGACACCTTCTGTCTTGTCGGCTTCGGTATCGGGCGCGAAAAGTCCCACCGGACCCCTGTCGAGTCAGGTACTGACGACATTGAATCGCTCGACCTAGCCGCAACCAGCGGCAACTATTGGTGATTTGAACTACAATTGCGATTGGCCTCGACACCAGAGCGAAAAAAAAAAAAACATCAAATCAGCCCTTCTTTATTGTCGCAACCTTTCAAATATGGGGTGATCCCCCAAACCGCAGCTTCCGATCCCCTTCTCCACTCGCGACTAGGCGGTCCAGACCGGGGAAATACATCTTTGGCTCCGCTCTGGGAGAATTGCGATGGCAACCCTCGACAGCGTCCCCGACGAAATCATCCGCCACATCCTCCACTACGTCTCCCCCGAGGACTGCTGCGCAAACATACAGCTGGTCTCCACGAGGTTCAATCGTCTCACCAACGAGGCACTTCTGTGGAGGTACTACTGCCTGGCCTCCTTCCGCTACTGGGACCACTCGCAGAATCTCGACGGCAAGCTCTCCCTGAGGGCCTCGCAGACTGCCTGGAAGAAGCTCTGGACGAAGCGCAAGAGGCGGAACCTGGAAGTAGCTCAGCTGCTTGACGATGTCATCTCAACCAAGGTCGGCCGGCTGCAGAAGATCGGCCAGATATGCAAGTTCGGCTACGATGCGAAAGACTTTCTCGTGAGGCAGGCCCAGATCGACGACTCCGCCGCCGACGTCCTCGCCCGGCGATACTATGCGAACACGGCCCTGGCCAGTATACACCGGAGCATCGCAGTCCACGAGTGGTCCCAGTACCAGCGCGCACCCCTGGCCGCCCAGGGCCTCGACCGCGCCCTCGCCGCCTTCGACATGTTCTTTGTTCGCGGAGAGGACGACGACATCGACGACACGTGCGCCGAGCTCGACCGACTAGCCGCCACCTTCCTCGAGGAGCAACAAAACCCCAAGAAGCTCTGCGCACGCGACAAGGCGCTCGCCCTGCTGAAATGGGTCCGCAACAGGAACCTGGTCGGCATGGACGAGCCTGACGAGAACTATCGCAACCTGCGGAACTGCCTCATCGGGCACGCCCTACATGATGACAGACACCCCTCCCTCCCCATCATATCTGCTGCGATCTACGCCTCCCTGGCTGAGAGGGTCGGCCTGCGCGCGGTATGCTGCGCCTTCCCAAGCCATGTGCATGCCATGGTTTTGGCACCAGCCGGGCAGGATCTCAACGGGAAGGCATCGTCTGCCCCCGTCAAGGATGTGGACAGGATGTTCCTGGATCCATACGGTTCGAGCGAGGAGATACAGTTCGACGACTTGCGGTCGCGACTGGTGGAGCTAGACTGGATCAACGGCAGGGAGGCCTTCCTGGTCGCCGCGCCTGTTCCCGTGATGGTGCAGCGGGTCTCTAGGAGTCTGGCGGCGACGTTCGGCACATTTTGGACCACGAGACAGGAAGACTTGGCGGCATTATACGGCCGTCCCGCTTCCAAGCTGACTGTGGAAAGCGCTGCGTACGCGGCGCGGTGGGCCAACCTGCTGATGACCCCCGTGAGCAACTTCCAGTGGGACAGCACGCTCGACCAGTTCCTCAACCAGCTCGCGCAGCAGTTCCCAGAGGACGGCTGGATGGTTGAGGAGTACATACTACCACTGTACACCATCTATACGCAGTCTGTCCAGCCGCGCATCAGGTTCACGTGGGAGAACGTCCCCGAGATGCTCGGGATTATCCGCAACATGGACAACAGGCAGCCAACAGTCAACCGGCGATACACCCAGGAGATCCATCAGAACGTGTGGTACTCGGTCGGGCAGGTGTTCCGGCACAAGAGATATGGCTACGTTGGTATCATCAACGGATGGGGCGAGAGAGGCACCCAGTCACTGCCTATGCCGCACAACATGTCGTTCGAGGAGGCCATGGACGACATGGGGGACTCCGGGACGGATAGCGACACGGTCAGGCAACGGCTCCGAAAGAAGACTTTCTACACCTGCCTGTGAGTTCTGATCATTGCAGCCCACTGTCGTGGACAGCTGACTGACAAACCCCATTATGACAGCAAGCATGATCACGACCGCCACGTCGTCGCGCAGGACAGGATCGAGATCGTGCGCGACCCGAGGCTCATCCCCGACGCCCTGATGCAGATGGCCGGGAAGTTTTTCAAGCGGTTCGACCGCAAGACGTGCACGTTTGTGTCTAACATCAAGGAGTACTTCCCCGATGACTAATTGTGGGGTTTGGCATGGTATCACTACGGGAGTTTGCATCAAGCGGATGAACCTTTCTTCTTTTTCACTTCTTCTTTTTTCCAGTCATACATACCCTAGACTCTGAATGATGATTATTCACAGCCGCTTCATCCCTGATATGGCAATAGAAGAGAGAAGGGAAAACGGGCCGTATTGTAATAAGTTTGTCCACGGTTGAGATTGCTTCTCAATGCCAGTGGCCCCAATTTAGACCCACCGGGTCTAATTTCCATGACTGTGACTGTCCAGATCTGTTCTTGTCCCTTCTCCGTGCCGAATCAGTCGCATGTCCTTCCGACTTCCTGTCTCGGAAGTTCAAACGCTGTAGATGAGACAGTGCTCGATGGCCTTGTGCGCTCCTGCGGTTTGTTGCGGCGAGGGCTCACGCTGGGCTCAGTCACGCCATGTCCCTCGCCTCTAACATCGCCACAAGGTCGCTCTGATTTTTCTCGCGTTCCCCTCAATCAAGCTCAAAATGTCTTCACGTGCTCATCGGTCTCTAGCTCATCTCCCCAGTCTCAATTGCTTCGAGCACAAAGAGCAACGGACTGTGTGCACTCCGGAGGTGGTTAACACAGCGCGCGCACACGGAACCCCGAAGAGACAGATAAAGGAGCCTCCCCAGCGGAAGAAAGCAACTTCCTCCCTGCAATCCCAGCTCCCCATGGTCTTAGGCCATGGGGAAGGGGGCAGGATGCTGTTAGCAACTGCTTGAATTGGGTATATAATCTGCCCAAAAAGCCACTCTGGACCAATCAGAATTTGCCAGTATGGCCGAGGTAAGACTTTGTTCAGACTCCCTGAAACCGTCCAAATACGCGCGCTCACACTACCCCGAAAAGTGGTCTAAGGCGGCAGATTTAAGCAATTAACACTCTGCTATCCGAAAGGATGCGTGCGTTCGAACCGCACTGCTGGCATCCAACCTTTTGTTTTGGAGTTTAATGCTTCTATTTTTGTTCCTTGACTTTTCTTTTTCAACACACTGGTGCTTCCAGAATTTGGAACGTCCTCCCCTGCTTCGCTTCACCCACCCATCACCAGAGTGCCCAGCCAAGTCCCCCGGGCGTCTGGCATTGGGTTGCGAGATGGGCCACGAATAGCCCTTTAGCACATCTGAGGATGTTTGAGCTCGCATTGTTTCGATTATGCTGAAGCTAGAACACAAGCTACTTATTGCTCCAAGGTTTTGTGATCTACTCGATAGGCAGACACGGCAGGAAGCTTGGGTTCGACGTGAAGGAAAACCAAGGCGCCGGGCTCTCTTCGCCTACGATCCCGTGGCCCCCGCCGAGACGGCCGGCGGCGAATCGGGCCAACAGGGCGGCCTGCCCGCCTCCACGATCTATGCGGCCCAGCTCTGGAGAACCTGGCCGGCGCAGGATTTAATAGGAGCCATTATGAAAAGCGAACGCGTGGTGAAGTTGTATCTGCCCAGCGGGGAACCCAGTCCCCTGTGCTTGCTTGCTTGCGCGCCCATGGGGGCCTTCACATCCACATCCACCGCCCGCGTCTTAGCCGCACGCGGGCTACTTTCTAGCTGCTGGAGAGCTCTGGTTTCAGCTCCGCCGCGCCTGGTGGGCGCTATTGTGCCGTTGCTCGCCTGCGGTAGTCCTTGCCCTAGAGCTTGTTGCTTGTGCGCGGTGGTCTTTGTCTGAACCCGAGCTCAGCCCCTAGGCCGCCACTTGCCACGGTGCTCCTACGATTCCTCCGAACTTGAGGCCTCTCGGGCATCGCGGGGGCTCACTGCCTCGGCAAACAAGGTTGCTGCTATTCAGGAGTCAGTACGTCCTGGGCGGTCCTGGGCGGTCCTGGGCGGTGATTCTCTGCTATCGTGTAGGTTCATGGTGACCAGGGAGCCTCGCCCACAACAAACGCTCCCTTCGAACACCACTCCGAAACCTTAAACGTTGATGGTGATATGTGGGAATGTGGCCGAGTGGTGGACGAAGAGTCAGTCACATGGAGCATCCAGGATGCGCCCCCCTTGCGGTGATTGACAAGCTAGCCATTGAAGCCCGCCACGAATCCTGTCGACGAAGCTGTCGATGCCCTGTCGTAACCCGGAGCTACACACAGCAGAGATAGCATTGTAAACATGGCGACGCAAGCTGTGACAAGCAGGATCGTCCTTGCAGTATGTCTGTCATATTGGAACTCTCGGCACATAGTGTCTCGGGCCGAGCGATTTCAGCTCCTAGGGCGGAAAGTCAACGCGCGCGGGATGTGTCAGTGGGCTGCCCGAATTATCTCGGGCTTTGGAGCGGAAGGCTCCGAGTTTCCCTTCAGGGACGGCGTTAGAGACGTGTGTGGCGTTGAGAGCACACAGACAGCACCCAGAGAGAAAGAGAAAGGCGGCCCTGAGACGGGTAGTAGCCCGAGCTCTGTCACTGCTGGTTGGGGTCGAACGAGCGGATACGACCTTGGCTTCACACGAGCCAACCCTCCATCCAGCGCATTACAGTACTGAGAGGAAGATCGTCGTCATTAGTGTATGAAAGACGGTTCCTCCCTGGCCAGTGCCACCGTTGTAGAGCAGACTCATCAGGCAGGCAGGAAGCAAGCAAGCAAGCAGGCCCGCGAAATCTCGGGCTGAGACAACGAACATCATACGCTGGATGAACCCTGCGGGCCATGTGTCCTGCTGGAAGGAAATGAGCTTCTGTCGGTGGCCCCGGGCCCGAAGGAGATTTGAAGTCTCCGAACCAAGATCTACCGCATGGACGAGTGTCTGAGGCTCTTGCTGGGCGCGCGACTTCACCGTATGTTTGTCCAGGGCATGAGAAGCTTAAGTCAATGGAAGCAGGGTGCCCACCAAGGCCCGGCTCGAGAGGCTCAGCGTTCCGGGAAGGGGGTAGCGGTGGTAATAAGGTAACAAAGGCAAGCAAGGCAATGAAGGCTAGGGAAAGGGAGCTCAAACGAGCCCTTGCGCGGCAGCAGCAGCCATCCCAAGTACCGCCAGGGCAGTGAGAGATCTCTAGGTCTAGATCCCTCTGGACCACCTGGAGGGCGAACGGGTCCCATGCCGGGAAGGCACGCTTGGGCGGGCTGCGATTCGCTTAAGCTTTGCAAGTCAGGGACCTTGGGTGTTTCCATGGACAGGTCTAGACCACCAGGGGGAAAACGTGGGGAGCATACAAGATGGCAGCCATATCGCTGTCGCCGGCTGTTTGGGCGAGGTGACAGGTTTTGGGACCCTCCCGCGGCTGCTGCTGCTGCTGCTGCTGCTACTTCTGAGGAAGGCTGACAGGACAAACCTGCGTCAGGAGGTGACTGATGGGTCTAGATAGGGCAGCGCGAGCGGGCCGCCCTCTGCGAGAGTGCGCACACGCAAAAGTCACCAACACGCACGTGCCACTTTGTCCTCAGGTGCTCCTGCAAGAAATCACGGTAGGGGTAAATGCCACCGCTTTATTAACCGGGCACGGGTGATGCCACTTCCTGGCGGAGGGTGAGGGCATTCCCGGTATTTGGTTAGAGTTCACAAATGGCAGTGACGAACGCCCAATAAGGACACACACCGCCGAGGCAGTACAGTCTCGGATGCAGTGGGAGCTTAGGCACGGAGGACAGCAGAGGTGCTCCCGCGGCCGCAATCTGCACGCTGTAGGGGCCAGTCAGCCATGCCAGTCTGTCATTTGACAGTGCCCACTGGCCAGAAATGTGACGAGATCAGGAAGGCTGCCTCGACTACTCGGCTCGGATCCCGTCCAGCTGAGACCCGTCCAGCGTGCTGTACTACCGTCTAACCTTTGGCGTCTACGTACCTAACATCCAGATACTGTGCGGGCTGGCGGGTGCTGCTGGGGACGACTAGATAGCGAAACCGAGACCACGGGGGAAATGAGAGACAGAGAGAGGCCGCACAAAGCGCAGACAAACCAGACAATACGCATCGCCAATGCTCGATGAGCGAATTGGTCCCAACAGGACCGGAGCTGGCTACGTAACAGGGCAGGGTGCACAGAGTGGAGCCCAGACGGGCAGCAGATTGATCAAAGAGCCTGGAGAAGGGGAGAGCAGGAGGCAGAGGAGGAGAAGGAGGAGGGCGATGGAAGACGGGAGGCCACTATCTGGTGATCGTCGTCAATCTCCCCCTAATGAGGGACGATGAGCCAAGTTCAAGGTAAGAAGATCCTTTAACCCACCCCCACCGCCTCCATCAACTCCTCGGACTCTGACCTTTTTCTCTCCTGCGGCCCTGCCTTCTTTCCTCGTCTTGCCGCCTTCCGTCTGTGTGTCTCTGGCTGTGTGTCTGCGGGTCTGCGGGTCTGTGTCTGTCTGTCTGTCGTCCAAAAACACTCTTGCATATGCCCACACACGGGCTGACCCAAGAGTCAGTGATCTCACCACCAGAAATAAAAGATAGAAACAAATCCAGCCTTCACCCTTGCAGCTCGAGGCCAGGGCATTGAGCGGTTTGATGCTCGTTCGACCTGCTCGAGTCGTTGGCGGTTGTTTTGAGTTCTTGGGCAGTTTCGGGGCTGATGAGGCACCTACCCCATCGGGCAAGCCCCCGAGCCACCAGTCTCGCACTAGTACCCTTGGGGTCGGGGGCCCCATTCTCCGCGGCTACCCGACCAGCTGTGCGTGCACCTGCCTCCACGCTGGTGGCGGGCACCTTCCTTGAGGCCCTATGCTGGGCTCTTCCCTGTCGTCGTCTGTGAGTGCCACTGGGTGGATGACGAAGTGGGCGGGCTCGCGGGTGGGCATGTGGGCTGCTGCTGCAGTCATCAGCGGCAAGAATGACAGGCCTGCCTGGCCTGCAGGCAAGAGGCAACAAGACTAATGACCGTAGACTGGTGGTTTAAGATACGGTGCGTTGGCTGCCGTGCAGCCGGGACAGTAGGTTACCTCCTTTGGCATGCGGAATTTGCAGCGTTTTGCATGTACCTCGCTCCTACTGCATCATGTATGATGTGATTGATGTACCACACACAGTCTGCCTCTGCTCCTGCCTCTGGTTCCTTTGGCCGCCTGCCAATCAGCCCCAATCCCTATCCCATTCTGATCCTGATCTCTCCCACCCCGGGCCCCCTTCCCCCCTTCCCAATCAGCAGCCAAGCACCCCAGCACCAAGCCACCCAGCAAAGCAACCAAGCAAGCAGTGCGAGGAGCAAAGTGCCAAAGCAACAAGCAACTGGGCAGTGACTTGACCAGGCCTTGTTCGTCACTTTCTCTTCCTCGCCTCTCCTTGACCTTGACTTTGACTTGGGGACCTGACCTACCTACCCTTGGCTTGGTCTGTATGATTTTATCCGACCTCGTCTGATTTGGCTCTGCGATTCGATTCGAGCGACCAGCGTCCGCCCTGCCCTACTCTAAATCCCCATTGGGACCATGCCGCGCTGGGCAGAGTCACTCTCCTCGGGTCTCACCTTGCCTTGGCTTGCCAATTCTTTGCATCTGCATCCGCACCTGCACCTGCACCTTCCAGCCCTCCTAACAAATTGAGTTGCGTCTCTCGTATCCATACTGTTAGATTATAGCCTGCTAGACCCCTCTGCCACCACGTCCTCTCCAGCACGAGGCACCAAAAAAAGCTCTTCTCTGGCCTCGAGCAGTCGACACATTCCTGACAGTTCCACTGGGCCCAACCTAAAATCGAACCGGTCTCCTCTAGAATCCAGCCCACGAGTGCCTCGACATTCTGTCTCGCCTGCTCGATAAAGACGCACGCACGTACGCCCGCCCACTCGCTCGCTCGCTCACACAAGCAACGCACGCCCGCACTGCCCGTCACAACGCCCGCGATCCCGCCCAAACGTCCGCGGCCAACTTCCCCGCTGCAGCGGCTGGCCCCTTCGATTACGTACGCCCAACCCACCACCACCTGAAATCGGGCTCAACAACAACGCTCATCACCCCCGAATATCGCAAATTGACCTCGCGCGCGCGCGCACATCGCATACTGCACAGGTCCACCGCCCGCGCTCCGGCCCCGGCGATTGCCATCCGAACTCAACAGTCTTGTCTGTCCGGGCTATGGTCTAAGGGACAGGGTCGGCGGGATCTCGACAACCTGCCTTTAAAGAAGGGCTACTACATTTCACACACCTGAGGCTCCCCTACGCTGGCATCGACATGCCGCCCGAAGGTGACATGGCTGCGCAGACGGGAGGAAGTAATTCCAGCGACTTTGTGAGTCCAGTCCAGAGCCCCGTCCCCTTCCAACCCCTCATCTGCTCCATATCGCAGACCCAGCCGCAAGCTCCGGCGCTGACATCGCCAACAGGTTCGCAAACTCTACAAGTATGCCCTGCCCCTTCCATATCGCAACGCGCCAGAGCTGACCCGGAATAAAGGATGCTGGAAGACCCCCAATACGCATCGGTGGTTCGATGGGGAAATGAGGGAGACAGTTTCGTTGTCCTTGAGGTACGACCCAACATTCGCCTAATATGTGGTAGACAGGATGCTAAGCAAGATGCGGTGAGCAGAACGAGAAGTTTACAAAAACGATATTGCCGAAGCACTTCAAGCACAGCAACTTTGCCAGCTTTGTTCGCCAATTAAACAAATATGACTTCCATAAAGTCAGACAAAACGAAGAGAACGGCCAGTCTCCATATGGTCCACAGGTAGGTGCCACCGCCCTGTGTGGTTCCGGAAGAATTTCCTTGGCTCACATCGTCACTGCAGGCCTGGGAGTTCAAGCACCCTGAATTCCGCATGGATCAGAAGCACAACCTCGACAACATCCGTCGAAAGGCGCCGGCACCAAGAAAGGCGCAGCCTACCGAGGAAGCTTTTCCAGCTAACCAGCAAGTCGCGCTCCTGAGCGAGACCCTGAATGCGACTCAGCATCAGGTCCAGCAGCTGCAGGAGAACTACTTCACTCTGGCCCAGTCCAACAAGGTACTGATAGATGAAATAACATCCCTCAAGAAAACCCTGAATATGACAACTCAGGTCAATCATGAGCTGCTCAACCACCTTACTAGTCTCGATGAACGTAGGCGCAACAGCCGGCACTCGGCGCATTCGAACCATTCCGGCCAGGCATCGGCCAACTTCCACAACGGCACCTTGGGCGTTCTTCCAGATGGCAACGACGAGCCTTCCGCCGAGCTGCGCAGGGCGCGAGAGCTTATGACTGGCATCGAGCCAGACCCCGTCGCAGACCGCGCATTCCATCGATTATCCATGGCCTGGCAGACACAAACGCCTCCGGACTCCGCGAGCTCTCAGGTTGCCATGTACCCTCAGCCCAGCTCCGCTGCTACTGCCGCCGCAGCAATGCCGGCCGCCATGATGCACAACCCCTTCGTCGAGGACCCGCGGCACCTGGTGTATCCCGTGGGACAGACAGTCGGTATCGATCCCTTCCATCCAGATCATATTCAACACGTTCCCTATTTTGTTAATCAGAGCGGTCCCTCAGAGCCACCAGCACAAATAACACCTCCGCCAGGCAAAGAAATGGACACGTCGTTGTGGGGCCCCAAGAAACCACGAATCTTCCTCGTCGAGGATGATAAAACCTGCTCCCGGATAGGCTCCAAGTTCTTGTCCCAAGTTGAGTGCTCCGTCGAGGTAGCAGTAAGCGATTCCCCTACCCCAAACCGCGGGTTTGACAACAGATTAAAAGAATCGCAACTGACAATGCCCGCAGAGAGACGGCGAGGAAGCATCCAATAAGATCAATAATGATCCCGAACGGTTCGACCTCATCTTCATGGACATCATCATGCCCAATTGCGATGGAATCTCGGCGACGGTTTATATCAGGGCTGTGAACTCCCAGGTCCCCATCATTGCGATGACGTCCAATATCCGACAAGAGGACATATCGAGCTATTACAGCTGGGGTAAGCACTCGCTTGCCCGTTCTGTTGTGGCCAAGCAGACTGATCTGACAATGCGACAGGAATGAATGGAGTGCTTGCAAAACCTTTTACCAAGGACGGGATGATCAGGATCCTGAAGCAGCATCTTCGACACCTGCTGAAGAACCCTGCCGCCGCAGACGTGGAGCCCAATGGAGTCGCCCCCGTGCCAGTGCCTTCGGGCTCGACGCCCTCATATTCAGGTATGCCTTCCGGAACCATGTCGACGGCTGGGAGTACCGTCAAGTTCGAATCCGGAACCCCAATCCAGTCTCCAGCAACAACGGGCTCGTGGCACTCGCCTGGCCAACAATTAGCTCACGCGTCACCAAACCTAGATGCCGGAGGATACATGACAGCCGGTGGCGGCGTCAGCGGGCCCCAGATGGTCCTGACACCCGGGGGTATGCATCGGGGCGGGTTCCCTCCGCAGGTCGGCACGCCGCCCATCCAACGAATGCCCGATAACATGGGCGACGAGCGGCCGGAGAAAAGACAACGAATGTATGGGCCCGGGCCCGGTGGTTATATGCAACAATAACGACGATTTGCTCGAATTCGAATCCTTTCCTGGTATAGAAACCGGCGCAGCGCGCTGTACAGACTGGCCGCTGGGGAAATCCGGCCGGTCATTGTGAGACAGGCAACAAGTCTTCGTGGTGTCGCATAGAATTGTCGGTTCGGGTATTCGCGTCTGCCCCCCAATCTGTGGGTTAAAAGATACCATCCGTCTTGAGTGCTGTCCCCGGGCACTCCTGTTTCTCGAGAAGCTGGTTTTCGGTGTGGTTTTCATTTTCGGTGGGGATCTTGATCATCTTGGCGAATAAACGGTAGCCAAACGCATATGATATAACGGAGTTGAACGGTTGGCCAGGACCGACGGCGTTTCTCGGGGCTTCTTCACTTCATCGTTTCTTCTTCGCTTCGCTCATCCTCACCATGCCCTTCGTTCGATCGTTAAGATGGCGCGATGGTCCATTCGTCGCCCTCTTATTGCATGTTGCTGTATGGCTAGTAGTAGTGTTTGGGGCGGAGACATTCGTGAGGATGCCCTCCTCCCCAGTGACGAGTCGAGGTGAGGCGTGCAACGTTGGTGTCTTCCTCTTTTTGGAGAGGAGACATGAGCATATATGTACTTACGTATGCACGGTATCTTTTGATGGTTAAGGGAAGATGAGAACAGAAAAGAAAACCCCTCTCGGCGGCAAAAAATTGGTGATGGGAAAAGGGTTGTTGACAGGTGCTTTTCCTCCTTATCTTTTTGGCGAGCTCTGGGATAAATAATGAGAAATGTCAAATTGGATCGAAGTGCATATGAAAGGTTGACTGTTCTCGCCGGGCTGCCGTCGGTCTTGTGACTGCTGCTGCCGCCGAGTGATCGCACTCTGTTGTCCTGATGGCTTCAGGCTTGCGCGCCTCGCGAGGCCTTCATCGTCCAAATCGATCGTAGGTTGGATGGTGTTTGTATCTGTCGTTTCTCTGTTTCTCTGTTTCTCGTCCCAGTGTCGAGCTCACGAACGGCCACGTAGGAGTGAGTGTATGCATGCCGAGCTGCCAGACTTGGGTTCCTTCTCATCGTGTTCCTCGAGTGTGTCGATTCCTCATGTTGGGGGCGCTTGAGCCAACGCGGCACGGTAGTGACTGGATGGCTGGTGAGCTGTGAGTGCCGATCTTGTCTCGTGAGTCCCTCGATCGCGTCGTGTTCCTAGGTCGGACTCAGCTCGAGGGAAGTCTACACCGCGAGTGAGTGAGTGAGTGTGTGTATGGTTGGCATGGCTGGCTGCCATGTCGGTCTCCTCATCCAGTTTCTCGGACAAATCTCATCGTCGAAAAGTGCAAGGGAAGTCACAAGGTGCTGAGTAGTATGTAGATGGCGAGCTGCGAGACCGGATCCTCGTCGAGTTGCCCGGGCGTGTCACTCAAGCTGGACCTGTCGTACCAGAGAACGAAAGCTCGGGACAGCTGGGACTTCCGCGTGAAGCTGACGGGGACGAGGCGGGACGATGGATGGTGTAGGCCACGTGGGATCTGATAATCGCTGGATATGTATGTGCTGGTGGTCGAGTGTGACTGTCAACCGGCCCTGTTGTTGTGTTGCTGTCATGGCGGTGGTGGAATACTGTCGACCCGAGGAAGCTAGCTGGTAAGCTGGACGAGACAGGACAAGGAAGGGGGAGAGGACGGTGGTGATGAAGGCGGGATGCATGAGTGGATCTATATGTCGCGCTGGTTTTGCCAACAGCCGCAGGGCCAACCAACCAAGCCACCCCCCACCCTCTCTGCCTCCCTGGGACCTGTGTTGCTTGGGCCTTGGGAGATCCGGAGCTCCTTCCGGAACCCTTTGGGGCCCCCTAGTGGTCTAGATGATCTAGTGACTGCCGGGGAGGAAGAAAGTCTAAGCCCCACAAGGATCGGGGAGATGCTGGTTCTGGCACCTTCCTTCGCCTGGGGAGATAGTCGTAGCCCTGTCGTCCATGGGTGAGGCTGCAGTGCCACCCCCCGAGTGAGCGAGCGAGTGACACCCGAGCACCAGGAAGGGATCTCTGGCCCGAGCGGAGCGGAGGCAGGGGGACGGGGTGAAGGGCTGGGGTGGGTAGGTGCTGCCCATGGGGCTGGGCTTGCCCGTCAACACCGGGAGGGTTGCCGGAACAAGCAGCCGGTGGGTAGTCGAGCGCGGAGGGACAGACAGGCGGACTGCTGAGGGTTGGGATGAAGGTTCTGGGGCAGGAGAGGACAAGGAGGAGAGTGAGTGTAGAAAGGGAAAGCAGCGCAGAGTCAGTCAGCCAGGTCAGCACGGGATGATGATAGGGTCCGCCGGCGGAGCCCTGCCCTCCCCCAAGGGCCCCCGGTGAGAACCAGAGGGGTGAGGCAAACCTCACAAAGTTTCACTGCATTGGCAGCTAGGACGGAGTGGGAGCAAGGCGGGCTGGCTTATTAAATATGAGTGAGTGTGTACCTGAGAGTGTTCCGGACCACGCCCCCTCCCCTCCATTCGCATCTCTGCTTTGCTGATGGTTACATTGGACCAACAAATGGGACCGTCACGTCTCGCCCGAGTGCCGTGGGCTAGACCCCCAGGTGAATCCAGAGATGCCAGTGAACCAGCCAGCAAAAGACAAAATCGGCCTGGGCCTGTCAAGACCGGCGCCGTTGGAGCTAGGATGGTCTGGGGGAAGCAGGTGGTCATAAGTGCGCCTCATTATCCCGCCGCTAGGCACAAACGGAGCAAGGGACCAGATCTGGACCCTCTGGGAGGTGCTCGAGGTGGTAGTAGCGGGAGAATAGGAAACGGTAGGCACTCGTAGGCTGGCAGGCTGGGCTTCCAGACCTCTGGCTCCTGTCGCGCCTTCTGTGTTTGTGTGTCTTTCTACCCGTCCGGTCCCAGGTGGATTGTCGAATCAGGAGGGGACGTTGCGCCGGCAAGGAGGCCATGACCAGGGCCCAGACTGTCATGGACCCTCTTGGGATCGCTCCGCACCCTGCGGCTTGACTCTGCATGGATGATGCGGCTTCCCGTCGCGCGCAAGCACCTCTCTGGATTCTTGTTCCTGCAACCTGCTCCTCCGTCTCAGCATGGCTGAGTGGCTGGCATCCGGGGGAGGGAAGTTACGTGGAGAGACAGAGAGACACGGCCGAGTCTAGGCGCACAATCTAGTCCAGACCATATGTACCTAGGTCGTCTAATGTCCATACTACAGTGGTAGTACACGCCTGCGTGCCTACCTAGTAGATAGGAGGCGGTCCCATAAGGCAGGAAGAGACGGACGGGCGAGTGGCCCATGTACCAATCGAACTGGAATGATACCCCGGGACGGGAGTCACTAGCCGACACACGACGCTATGCCCCAGTCTCGGCTATTACTGACTGACAGACGGACGGGGCAGAGTGGCAGATAAGGCGGGTTTGAAACTCGACTCTATAGTGCTCGATCCGACCTAGACCAGCCGAGCCCAAGGGCGGAGGTGCTGACCTGACGAGCGCCGCCGCGGGATCCCTGCCGCAACTGCTCGTGTAAGCGTGCGAGCGGGTGGATCGCCGACGACTGGACGAGACAAGGATGGCCGCAGGGTCTGGAAGAGTCCATGAGTTACAGACCCGAGATCCAGACTGTCAGGTCAGGTCAGCTCCTGCTCTTTTGCACACCCTGTGGGCTTGTCTGCGAATGCCGGGTGAGACTGTTTGTTGACCACGGACATTCGAGCCCGCGTATTCTCTCCATCGAGCCGGAGCACTGCAGGTGAAGACATACGTTTCTGTCTCGCCGAGATGGCATGTTGATCTACCATCGTCAACACCCACCCGAGCCAGATGTCAGATCACACGTTCCGTTCCAAAGTCTATACTGTTGGTACTGATGGGATGTTGTGACTCGACAACAGTACCTAGCTATTTCGCGCCAGGCAATCTTGATGCCTGCGCTAGGATGGGGGCAGACTGAGACATCGCACAATTATTCCCGAGACATCCAGGAGAAGGTCGCATTCCCGTGGTACTGCGTTGACACGATCAAAGATAGGCTTTGTGCTCCTCATCATCGCCAGGGATGGTGCAGGTCGCCGTGCATGCCCTGATCCAACGCAACGCGATGCAAGCATGCATGCTGCCCAGGCAGAACAGGTGATGATGGAATTGCCGGGAGGGTTACTTCTTCCAACTGTAGAGGTCGGTCGTGGCTCATCACCATCCGGCGCTGATGAAATAATTAACAAAATCCATGAAGGAGGAGGGGCCCGCGGTTGAGGGCCTTGACGGCTCTTGCGAGGCTCAGAAATGCGATCCCGCCGTGATTGGCCCATAGCTCTCTGACCCCTGCCATGGCGGGACGGCGGCCTGCCCCGCCTACTTTTTTGCCCTCCCTTTTTTGGGCGTTGAGTCACTCGGGGCTGCAAGGGAACACACGCACGCTCTGCAGCTTCCAGACCATGACGTGCATCTTGACTTGATTTCCGCCAGCCCTCGCTGATCCGTCCCTACCTCCGATACAACAACCACCTCTACCGCCCCCAGGTCGCCCGTCATGTCCCAGAAAGGCGGCAAAGCGCCGCAGCCAAGGGCAAGAAGCCCGGTGCCAAGGCTGGAGCAGACGAGAAGCGCGAGGATGCCCTCCAAGCAGTCGTGAGTATGCTAAAGGCATTCTTGTCTCGGATGCCTCGCTGACGCCTCCATCAGATCCTGGCAGACTACTTCCAGGACAGATTCATGCCATTTACCCACGAGAAGCCGAGAGTGAGCAGCACCAACCCCATTCTGTTGTTCTTGCGCGCCGTCCGCCCAAGCTGACCACGGCCCCGCTCTGCAGTGCCTCCTGCCCCTGGCCAACACCCCCCTGATCGAGTACACACTCGAGTTCTTGGACATGAACGGGGTAGAGGATGTCATCGTTTACACCGGAAATCACACAGACCAGATCGAGAGCTACATAAACGAGCACCCCCGATGGAGCCCCACCAGCAAGATGAACCCTTTCACGTCCCTCGACTTCATACGAGTATCGGACGCCAGCTCCGTCGGCGACTTCCTCCGTGACCTGGACGGGCGGGGCTTGGTTTCGGGTGACTTCATCCTGGTCCATGGTGACTGTGTTGCAAACATCCAGTTGGATGCCGCTCTGGCAGCCCACAAGGCCAGGCGTGAGGCAAACCGGGACAATATCATGACTGTCGTGCTCAGATCCGGTGGCGTGAGCGAGCACCGCGCCAAGCCCAAGGGCTTCACGCCCATCTTTGCCGTCGAATCAAATACGAGCCGATGTCTGCATTACGAGGAGATGAACCCCCTGCAGAGTGACCATTACGCCATCCTGGACCCAGCAATTTTCGAACATGACGCATTAGAAATCCGAACCGATCTCATCGACCCCGGCATCGACATCTGTACACCCGACGTGCTAGCCCTGTGGTCAGAAAGCTTTGACTACGAGCTTCCCCGGAAGAACTTTCTGCACGGCGTCTTGAAGGACTGGGAGCTCAACGGCAAACTCATATACACCCACATCGTGGATGACGGCTACGCTGCAAGAGCCAGCAGTCTACAAATGTACGAATCCATCACGCGAGACGTTCTGGGCGGATGGACTTTCCCTCTTGTGCCCGACTCAAATCTGGTGTCGGGCCACTCATATGTCATGACCAAAGGAGGCGTGAGCCGAGAGAAAGGAGTCAAACTCGAATCGGATACGTTCGCCTCCAAGTCGGTGTTTGGTAGTAGGGTCACCGTTTCCAGTGGCAGCAGAGTAACCAACAGCGTTGTCGGAAGGCGATGCTTCATCGGCAAGAATGTCACCATTGAGGACAGCTACATATGGGACGACGCGACGATTGAGGACGGTACGACCGTAACGCGTTCTATTATCGGCGAGTCAGTTACTGTGGGCAAGAACTGCAAGATTGGTGCGGGATCAATAATATCGAACGGCGTCACCATCAGCGATGGCATCTCGATCTCCCCATCAACAGTACTGTCGGTCATCACGCACGAGAAGAAGCCTGTAAAGAGTGACACCAAGCTTCTCGGGCCGAAGGGCAGGGGAGCCATTTACAGATACGAGGACGAGGATGAGGATGAGGACGACATCGACCCCTCAGACCCGTCACAACTCCAGAAACCCCTCATCTACTCGATCGAGAAGTTCAACATCTCCACATCGTCCGTCTCCACCCTCTCCTCAGAAATCGAATCCGACTCGGAGGACGACGAGCCGGCCGCCGCAGCAGACCCCATCCAACGCCAACGTCTTTCATCCTTCGCCTCTGACGACTCCGGGTCAGGCCACAGCAAGGCGGCCTTCCACAAGGAGGCCGTCAACGGGCTCCTCGACGCCCTCCGCGGCGAGGAGAACGACTTCGACGGCGCCAAGCTCGAGTTCATGGGCCTGCGCCTCAGCCAGGACGCGTCGGACACCTCGGTGCGGCGGGCGGTGGCGGCGGCGTTCGTGCGGCGGGCCGCGGAGCTCCTTCAGCCCGGGCACGGCGGGCCGCTGGAGCCGTCCAAGGCGGCGGAGCAGGCGGTCGCCTCTAAGACCGGCACGGCCAAGTTCCTCCGCGAGGTGGGCGTGGGCGGCGGCAGCGTGGCTGAGCAGGTCGAGTTCGTGCTGGCGCTGCAGAAGGCGCTCGTGGGCCACAGCGAGGTCGAGACGCCGCGCGCGGGCACGCTGCTCGCCGTCATGCTGCAGCAGATGTACAACGAGGACGTCGTCGAAGAGGACGGCATCCTGGCGTGGTGGGCCGACGGGCGCGCCGCCGACGGCGAGAGCATGTCCGTCGTCCGGGGCAGGTGCAAGGTCCTCGTGGACTGGCTGGAGGAGGCGGATAGTGAGGACGACGATGATGATGGGGACGACAGCGACTAGGAGACACTGCCCTCGACATGATTCAGGGAGGGGATGGATCGCACTCCTCGGTTCCATTACGGGGGAAGCCGTTGCAATTATTGAATTATTGCACGCCTTAGACAGACATCGCAGCAGTCTCACATGACTTGGAATTCAAGCTGCAATCACCACGAAAGTCGCATCCTCTCAGGAATGAGGCCACGCTTGGACTGGAACACAGGATCAAGTGCTATCGCGCAAGGAAGAAGAGAAGAAGTAGAAGGGCATGGAGAGTCGACTTTAGGGTTACTTCCATGCGTCGAAATGGGCTACGAGCACCCTAGCTTCCTGGCAATGATACTTCTGACTCGATGCTTATATTGTACAGTAGATGGTTGTGTGTCTCTGCGCCGACAAGCATTCCGCATCCCGCGGCGGAGCCAGCCAAACAACCTCCTCGCTCTGACCTCCTCCAAGAAAAGAGCGTATCTAGTTCGATTCCTCCGTTCCTGTCCTCCTCTTTCTTAACCGCCGGTGACTCCTCTGAGCTGGCTCCGCTCTCCCACTCTGCTCATGAAGAGCGAAGGAACCACGCCACCGTCGCTGCCGTCCGCCCGGCCGGACAGAACGGATGTAAACATACATGCGCGTATGCGTATATAAACGTACATAGGAGTTTCTCAGCAGTACTTCTAAGCCAATGTTCATAGACTGGTACCTGTACAGGGTAGGTCGTACAGGGCGCCCCAGGCATGGGCGTCCGCTCAGTAGAAGCCCAGCAGGTCCGCCGCCTCGGGGACGTTGTCGAGCATGTTGTCGACGTGTCTGGACGCCCAGGAAGCACGGCTCCACGGGGCCTTCGGGTATCGCGAGGGCGGGGCAAGGGGCAAGGCAGGCCGAGCGGCACTGGAGTCTATGACCTCGACGCGCTCTACACGAGTCACCTTGACCGCGGTCAGGATATTGGTGTCCCTGTTGCCCTCATGGGGGATTTCGATGGGAGATTGTTGTTGTTGGGGTTCGCTCTCCTTGTTCTCATCTCCATGGATGGTTGGAACTCCGACTTGCCGCTGCTAGTAGTAGTTTTGCAAGTTCTCGGGCCCGCCTCCTCCGGATCCGCCACCGCTGGGCCTCGACGAACCACTGAATTCGCGCGTGCCGACGTCGTCCAGGGAGCGGTAGTGGTTACCTCGCCCTCCGCGACCTCCGCGGCCGCGTGCACCGCCCCGTCCGCCCTTGGGACCCTGTCCCCCGCGATAGCCGCCGCCACCGCCACGGAATTGGCCGAATGCCGTTCGGCCTTTTCCACCGCCGTGGTTGTTGTTATTGTTGTTGTTGTTGTTGTTGAAATGCTCCCTGCGTTGGTTGAAGTGGCCGCCTCCCCGGTCACTTGGAGAATCGTCGCCGGCGTACTTCCTCTTGGATGTCTTATTGGGGAACAGGCTCTCGTAGGCATTCTCACTAGGGTCCTCGGGCTCGATCCTCAAAAGCACCTTCTCGTTGACGGTCGTCTCGAACTCGAAGGCCTTGTCGGGCGGCACAGGTTGCCAGTTCTTGATCTTGGCAGCATCAATGGGTTTGGCGCCTTTTCGCAGTGCTAGGACCACGAGCGGGCTGGGATTGTCGGTATGGAATTTTGCGGTGCTGGGCACAGGCCTCAAGCACGCAGCCCATATGCTATTCTCATGGCAGGCTGTCCCTGTGACCACCCACTTCATCTTGCTGCCCATACCGCCTACCTTCTCCAGAATGCTAGCCGGACAAGGCCGCGGGCAGATCATGATGTTGTTGGCGTGGTATTTCAGGTCCTGGGCCGGCACTCCCAGGGGGATCTGCGCCAGAGTAAGCAGCCTCTTGGTATCTGCCTGATCGATCATGTACCCCGTGAAGAAGACCGTCTTCTTCATGACTAGCTTCTCGCGCGCCTTCGTCCGGCTCATCGCTGTGTCGTTGTGGTCATTGATCAGCTTCTGCACCTCGGCAATCTCCACCACCGGATCGAGATTCGTGGACATATCTGCGACCTCGATGACCTCGGCGAGTATGGGGCTCCTCGCAGCCCCCGGCCCAGCGATCTGCAGTCTCTTGTTGTACTCCTGAAAGAAGTCCCGGAAGTCCCTGACGTGCTTCACACGGTCCTCGTAGATCCTGATCTCTTCGGCGGTCTTATACGTCTCCATGAGATTCCGCAGGAAGACCTGCTTGAAGTGCATTGTGGAGTTGAACCGCTCGTTGTTGGGGCCGACGGCGGGCTTGAGCGAAACCATATCGAAATCCAGACCTCTCGACGCGGCGATGCGCTTGACCAACTCGCCAAAGCCAGACTCGGACCGGCCCGTCAGCAGCACGCACAGCGCGTCCTTCTGCCTTATGCTCAGCTTCACGAGCTCCACAATCTTCTCGTTCCACCAGCCGTCCCAGGCGCGCGGCTCCTCCTTCTCGATGCCCTCGCCTGTTGCCTCGAGGATGCGCGAGTCGTGCCACCATCCGCCGTTGGCGAAGGCGTCCTGATTGGAGAGGAGACCTATTGTCATTCCATTCCATAGCTTCTGGTTGGGTAAGGGGGTCTTGAACACTGCGACGCGGCCGGATATCTGGTCAGTGCTGACGCTGGTGGACTCAACGGGTTGCGTGGACCGAAGGTCGCAGGTGAGACTTACGTGTGTTGTCGAAATCGTAGACGTGTAGCGACCTGATCTCTTCAACGGGGGGCAGCTGGTTTGCAGAGACGGACCACCTGCTCATGGAGGTCGGGTTCAATGGCGCCTGCTGGCCATGCTGGGCCAGGGCGCCAGGGCCATAGTTTGGGGCCATGGGAGGCTGTGGTGGAACTGACAACTTCTTCGAGACAATGCGAAGCCTTCGAAGCCGGGCGGCCAGCATGTGAGGAGCGATTAACAGAGTGTTGGGATTGTTGAAGCTTGTTCGACAGCCGACTTCAACGCCAGTGGAACATGGCAGTATGTAGTCTAGTGTAGCGCGCGTATCTGCGAATTGGCGATGAGGTTGTTGATCAAGGGTCGCGGGGTTGTGGCAGGGTTCTGAAAAGTTACTGTGGACCGACGTCAGTTATCGAGCTTACTCAAGGTGCTGAAGGCTCCCTGCAGGAACTCGATGTCCTAGCGCGAGCTACAGTAGCCTGACTGCCCCAGAAGCTGTTCAGCACGTACACCGTGCACTCCCTGCTACCCCAGATTACTACCTCAACCAAAGAGGATTTCCGTGACTGGATCCACCTCTATCCCATTACACATGCTGGCGCGTTGGCATCTACCATATGTCTGCAAATGCAGCTGTCACAGGCTTGGGCTGGCATGTGGAGCTTCGTCTTCCTCAGCGTGGATTTTCATCTCCAAGCACATTGCCCTCGGTGTTTAACATTTCTTGTCTTGACGCCAATATCTAAGCCGGGCCCCCCCCCCCCCCCCGCCCGAAGAACTGGTAATAGCTGTGGCCAATAGACCCATCTGACCATGCGTCGAGTCCGTCTTGTAAATCTCACGCAAGCACTGCCCAAGGATGCTTTTAGTTCGAAATTCTGTATACATAATTGGACCTATATAAGTGCGCGGTGTATGCTATCTGTATATTGCACACATCCTGATCCGTAGCCACTCCCCTCGGTCTCAGCTTAGCCCTGCGCTCTCGTCACATTACTGATCAGCCTCCACAGAGTCGGATCAGACCCGTCGATCTGCCACTCCTGGATCAGCCCACCGGGGGACAGAGAGTATGCCCGTAAGTCATAATCAAGAGCTAGGGCCGTCGCATTCACCTCCGCTGGCGCCAGCCCCGTCTGCCACGGCCCGCCCAGGGACTTCTGCCAGTGCAGGACGACGGTACCGTTCTGGAAAAGGATTGTGATGAGGGTATGGCCCAGGCCGCCCTCGCTGTCGACGTTGCCGGTCTCGCTTGCGTACGCCACGACGGCCACATCGGGCGGCGTGACTTGATCGCCCAGCGATGCCTCAAAGCTACCTGGAGTTTGTGGGTCAGATATGCTGCGTCGGCACTCACACCAGTGTGTGAGTCGGAAGGGAGCACGTAGAGCATGCGGCCATACCGTTCGTCCACGTCCCATTCACGAATATGTACTCCTCCAACTGGTGGCTCACGTCGTAGTACATCCGCATCCCGCTCGGCTCCACCCCGGGGCCTGGTGAGAACCTCGTCACGGCGAGACTGGAGTTCATCTCCAGCTGCGGCAGCCGCAGCTCAGGCACCTCGTCACCCGAGAGGTTTGTCACATTCCATATCATCCAGTTCTGGACCGGGCTCGACGCGAGCATCAAGTCGTTGTTGGCACCCTGGTAGAGCAGCCGGCTGTGCTGCGAGCACCTGTCCGCCGCGCACTGGTCGCGGTACGCGGCCAGCTGCGAGCCCCTCGCGAAGCCTGTGGTGAATATGACCTGGTATGTCTGCAGACCCTCCTGATGCCATAGCAGGTCCTTGGAGGGGTCCGTCTGCGGCACGCTCCACGTCCAGATCTGGTAAGGTACGTTGGACATCGACATGAAGTACAGGTCGACCCAGAAGTGCGGCAGGTCGTCTCGGTCTACTGCGTCCGGAGCTACGGCGGTGAGCGGCGTGCCAGCCCTGGGGAAGACGGACGATCCGCCGTCAGTCATGGATTGCGAGACGTTCTCGAACGTCCAGCCCACATCTGAGTTGTTCCACCGCGCGCGCATGATGGCCAAGGACCCGGAGAGCTGGAAGAAGACCGACTTGTCTGTCGTGTTGCCCTCGTTCTGGAAGGCGACTGCGGCAAGCTTTGACGTGCCGAGGATGTCGTACTGGCCTGGGTTTGTGTCCTTTTCATCTTCTTGCCGACGCCCGAGGAGGACGCCGAGGACAGTGGCCACCACCACGATGACGACGAATATCACGACCACCAGCAGAACGTTCCGGACCGTCTTGGACATCCGTCTCCATAATGTTCCTACTCCCCTCGGGACTAGACCACTATGCCTGGCGTTTGGTGCGGCGACGACTTCGGTCGCCACCGACTTGTCCGTCGTGTCGAGGCTGTGGGCATCTGGCCAGGTGATGTTCGTACTGATGACCTGGGGGACAATGACGGAGGACGTCTCGCTGAAATGCCTCTCACGTGCGACCGTGGGACTGTCGAGCTCGATCGGGCTGAAGCATTCCTTCTCCCGCGTGTCGTCATCATCCACGTGCCGGGGCACACCGAGGCTCTGTGTGTTCTCGCTTTTTGGGGAACCTGGGGAGGATTCCCGTCGGCTTTCTTCCCGAATTTGGTTGCTCATCCCGTATGGCAAGAGCAGAAAGTAATAGAGAACTTTGCACGCTGTGTGGGGTGAAGAGAACGCCGTGAAGACCAATATGGCCCAGGAACAGGGCAAGGTCCATCGCTGCGCCTAGATGCGGCCGCGCAGCCCAGCCCACAGGGCTGTTGATCAGGAGTCCAATAGTGCTTCTTGCCGGATCCTACCAGCCACGCTGGATAAGTAAGTCGTTTTCAACTGGCTCAACGAAAAGACCGCAGAGAGGTGGGGGTGCCCGGGTGTCGAAGTGAGGCTGAGGATGGGGCCAAACTGCTTATTGCAGAGACACGACGCAGATTGGACAGTCTCATTGGACTCTGCAGGAAGGAAGGCGCCTCACCTCTAAGTACCTAGTCGGTAGCTCTAGGCAGCATCCCAGGAATTTGGCTGCAGGATATTTAGATACGTCTCCCGGAAACTCGCCCGACTTGCACGTTGTACGGGCTATCCGGTGGATGGTTCTGGTTAATGTGAAGGGTCAATTTGTCAACCAAGGGCAACCAAGGCTCGAGTATCCAACCCTCCAAACCTCATAGTGAAAATTGGCCCTCTGTGATTCTACCTCTACGGAAAGTCTCGCAGAAATGGCCCAACTGCCCTCGTTGTCTATCTATAGGGTGATCATATCCCGATTTCTCAACTCGCTGAATGACACAGTGAAGGTCATCGCTGCGTCGGGTCTAGCAAAACTGCTTGTTCAAGGTGCGGAGGCTCCCCGAAACCACGCAATGCACGGCCATACGAAATATTGATGCTGAGTGTTATGTCTGGCAGTGTGAGTACAGTACATCAGTTTGAGGCGATTGCGAGCACAAAAGCCAGCACAGCAAACCCGGGCATGTGAAGTTTGCACGATCGATGAGTATCGGTCTGTCACTCCACTTCGGGGATGCAAGGTGTAGAAAGTCTCGAGACAACACACTAGAAGAGGTTATCCCGCAGGAGGACATTCAACAGGAGACTATTCAACAAGAGGCTGTCTTACAGCAGGTCACCCTATAGTGGGCTGTACCATGGTAGGTTATCCCATGGTAGGTTATCCTATGGTAGGCTACCCTATGGTAGATTATGCCATAGTAGGTTGTCCTATAGTAGATTGTAGCACGACGAGTGTGATCAAGGATGCAACTTGGATTTACCCAGGGGGGGAGAAAAACCTCCTGGCACTGGCCTTGATCCAGCCAGCGAACACAAGCTAGGAAAATTCCCCGGATTGGACCCTGAAATTCATGCGAACGACCCCGGATAAGGGTAACCTTGGTCGCCGTGCCAGATCAAATCTGATATGATGTCGTATGTGAGTTCCCGACCATCAGGGGTATGCAGACAGCTTGACTATTTCCTGCAATTTGCAACAGCCGATCCATTGTGTGTTTACCACGTTACAGACCTTGACATTAGTGCCGGGGCTGTGCATGTTAGAGGGAGAGCCCGAGGTTACTGCCGTGGCGCTGAGGAAGTGAGGTCGACGATAGTGACCCACCCACGGCTGTCACCAGTGGCGCAAAAAGGGCTTAGTGCGAACACCTCCGGGCAGCAACAGGCCAGGAATCATCAGCAAGCTACGTCATAGCCGCGCCTGTCTGGGATACCACTGTACACAAAGCTACAATAACCTTGACTGATTGTCGGGCTGAAAGTTGCAAAGGGGAGCGATCGACAGCAGGGGCTGGAACTTTGCTCGAGTCTATTCCGTAGCACATATTTGGTTCGACAAGGTAGGCTGCGGAGGTAAGAAGATGAGAAGGTAGGAAGTCGCCGTAAAAGAGGTTGTCCAAAGAGAGTACATGCGTAGAGCACAGTACTGAGTATTTCACATGCCAGCACTCGGGAACCCTGTGGATTACACCACACAGCACATGGACCCATCAACGCAGCACATGTTGGGTGGAGCTTAGATGCTGAGGTGTCGGCCGCCGTCGCTGAGAGAGGGCCCAGGATTCGCCAATGACCCAGCAAAGCTACCGTGGAGCTGGTGAACCGTAGCGTCGGGAGCCCCGTCCTGGGAACAGTCCTGTAACCCCCCCCCCCAAGAATTCGACATCGGAGACTTTTGGATCCCTGCCGGGTGTTGAGGCCGCGAGCCTTGGAAGGGGTCCAGTCTGGGCCAGTTTGGGGTAGCTTCACCCACACCAACTGACACCACAAAGCCTGACATTCCTTCCCACCAAGGGTCCTTCCAAGATTGTTGCGGTGGTGCCATCTAATCTAGCCATGTCCTGCGTGGCATGGGCCGTAGATACCGAATGTGGACGGGTATTTATGTACCTAAGTAGATTCCCTTGTGCTGCTGCGTCACTGCCCAGAGGTGGACGATTCATAACTCCTTCCTCCCTCTCCGCTTCCGTACGACCTCTGTCCTGTCGAGCTCCGGAATCCACAACCGTCAAAACGCCCAGCTTCAGCTTCAGCATCAGCTGCATCTGGCTCTTGCAGCAATACCCCTCCCTCCTGACCGAGACAACCGCCAGACCAAGCTCCTAATCAACAAAGGCCAAAGCCCAAATCATAACAGTCGCCCGTGTGACGTGCTACCACCTAAAAGGATATTAGCACTGACCAAAGCGGCTGACACAGCGGTGCTGGCGTAGCAGCGTACCAGAAACGACCGACCACACAGGAGACAGTAGCAGCTGCTGCTAGCTACGTCAACGAGCATCATTCTGTTTCGCGCTGGAGAGTCGAGCCTCGGGCACAGCACCATGGCTGCCAATCCCCCACATACCAGTGGCCCTCACCTGCCCTCGGCCTCGGCCTCTGCTGTCAACGGGACGACCAGCTATGACTATTCGAGCAACACTTATTACCACCAGCCCGCACCAGTGCCTGCTAGCCACGGCGCCCTTTTGGATCAACCTTCGTCATCGACGCAGGACCACGGCGATCCCTATTCTACGTCGCACAGCCGCCATCCCCAGTTTCCCGACCACCAGGAAAACGAGCAGACCCTCTCCAACACCCTCGCGAATTCGCACCATCACGCTATTATCGACCACCTCATCGCGCCCGCTCCTACCAGATTCGGCGGCGGGCCCAAGTTTACCGAGGAATGGGATGCTAGCCAGCGCGGAAGCTCCATCATCAACGGTCCTGTCCCCCGTCGCAACAACACCATGGCGGGCAGCATACAGCGCTCCAACTCCTTCTCCGGCTCCACCACTGGCAGCGCCCTCGGCGGGCTGGATGGCCACAGCAGCGTCCAGCTGTCGCGGAACAACACCCTCAAGAAGAGGTCTTCGCTGCGAAGGGCTAGCAGTATGAGGAGGTCTGGCAGCCGTCGGAGCATGAAGGCCGGCAGTGTCAGGAGCCTGGCGCTGCAGAGCAACCCGGATGAGGATGAGCTGCACAGCGCCTTCCACTGTCCAGTGCCCACCAAGGGCAATCCGACTGAAGCCCTTGCCAACCGCTTCCAAGGTACGTATTTCCCGATCGATTCCAGCGATCCCGAACCACGAAGCTGAACCTCGCTCTCCACAGAATGGCGCAAGGTCCTAAAGGACTTGATCACCTACTTCAAAGAGATCCAGACTCACTATGAATCAAAGTCCAAATCGCTAGTGAAGCTTGCCAACGTTTTGAACAATGTGCATATGCCGCCAGGGTTCCTGTCCTCCGGCGGCCTCGACGATGCAGTGCAGGTCTTGCGCAACTACAACTCACAGGCCATAATTGAAGCAAACAAAGCCCGCGAAATCGAGGAGGATGTCATCTTGGCTCTGACGGGGCTGAGAAGCGATCTGCAACTTAAAATAAAGGAAATCAAAGGTCTATCGGGCGACTTCAAGAACTCGGTTGAGAAGGAGATGGACGCAACGGCCCGCGTTGTCAGCACCCTCCAGGAAGTACTCGGCAAGACCGATCTTGACTCTGCCTTGACGACCGGCAAGGAGGACCCGTACCTTCTGCGCCTGGCCGTGGATAGGCAGCTTGAGAGGCAGCTCGATGAGGAGAACTACTTACACCAGGTGAGAACACCCGGAATGCGGCCCCAACCTATATACTAAGTCAATGCAGGCCTATCTGAATCTGGAAAACTCTGGCCGCGAGCTTGAGTCTATTGTCGTTGGGGAGATTCAAAAGTCTTATAACGCCTACGCCGGCATCATGAAGCGGGAAGGTAACGACCCCGTGCACCGCCCCCTACACTCAGACCTCCCCTTTTCAGCTCTTCGTCCTCCAGACCCCCATGGCCTTGGCCCCTAGGATTTCACTGATCAATTTAATTTAGCTGAGGCTGCCTGGAATGCTATCGAGGAGCTCCGTGTAGGACCCGTTGCCATGCCCAAGGACCACGAATGGGCCAGCTTTGTGAAGAAGGACGACCAATTCGTGGATCCAAATATTCCCATCCGGTCCTCACAATTCATACACTATCCTGGAAAAGATCACTATGCTTGCCAGGAGATTAGGGCCGGTCTTCTCGAACGGAAGACGAAGTACCTCAAGAGCTATAGTGCTGGGTGGCAAGTATAGCCCTTTTCAAGACTGATGCACCTTTACTGACTCCACGTCTAGGTACGTGCTCTCTCCAACTCATCTTCATGAGTTCAAATCTGCGGACAAGACACAGTCTCCTGTCATGTCTCTCTACCTCCCGGAACAGAAATTGGGGTCCCGCTCGCAGGTCGGTGGAAGCTCGCCGAAGTTCATCCTGAAGGGCCGACAGACCGGCGGCGTTCATAGGGGACACTCGTGGGTCTTCCGTGCCGAGAGCTTCGACACCATGTTGGCTTGGTACGAGGACATCAAGGCCCTCACCGAGAAGACCCCCCAGGAACGGTCCGAGTTCGTCCGTGGCCACTCGAGAAGCTTCAGCCGATCCTCATCGCGACGATCGGTGTCCAGTGACGGAGTTGTCGACGAGGACGACGAGGAACCGTACTCGGCACACAATTCCGCAGCGGCGCTCGGCCAGCCGGGCTCAGCATACCAGCAAGACGTACCGAGACGTCCCTCTCCAGGTGGGCGATTTCCGTCAGATCTCCAGGTCACCGCACAACGAGGCTTACAGGCTCCCCTCTCGCCCTCTAGCTCAAGCTCGCAGGGCTTCAACGATAGGCAGCAACGACCAAGGAACGACCGCGATATTGTAGCTGCGGCAGGAGCCCTACCAGGAAGCAGCTTTGAACAGCATTACCCGTCCGCGACAGCGGCGCCAAGGGAGCCGGGATTCGATTATGGCAGTGCTGTTCACGCTCCGATTGAGCAGACCCACGCCCGTGCCGCTGAGGCCAGCCAGGAGGCCCGAGAGGATGGCATAAACCCATACACAAACGAGTCAGTTCAGAACCAAGGTGGATATGTGCTCTACGATCACCAGCCAGCCACGAACACTGCCAGACAGGCACATAGCGATGATACCAAGACCGAAGCTTTGAGGATGCGGAGGAAGAGCAGCCATGAGGCCAATTGGTTGGGCGGGGGCCCTGTGGAGGCTGCTGCCATCCCAGTCGTTGCCGACAGAAACAACCGGCAACCCAATGACCGAAGTGGTGGCATCAATAACACAGGTGTTTGTATGGATGGCACCTTGAACAACGACCAGGCTATCTCGGCGCATGAATATCAGTACTTTAACTTGAAAAAGCTCCCACAAACAACGATCGCGCCCATGCCATCGGAGCACACGCACAACACGGCGGAACACCTGAACAGACCGGCACCTAGCGAGAGGACGGAGAGCGACGCCACGCTTAGTAGCCAGGTCACGGTGCCGACCATCTCGAACCTACACATCCCAGGCGAGTATCCGAAAGCGTCCGCGAATTAGACCAGAAAAGTGGCTTGATGGAGTTTGGCATACTGCGGAATGGGCATGGGACGGGAAGACGGGGAATTATACACGATGGGTTGGTGGAATTGGGGGGTCTTCTGTTCTGGAGTTGTCTAAATACCCGTTGCGCTTTCAGGTCTCCTTGGTCTTGCTGTCTTTTCAGCTTTCGCTTTCTCTCTGTCTCTCACACTCACTCGCTCTCACTTCCTTTACCTCATCTATAAACACGTATGTATAGCCTGCTCGACTGTGGGTTTTGCTTGAAACCTTGATATGAAATAAGAAGAATGTCTATCATCAACCCCCTTCTGGACTATTGGGGCTCAGTGTTCTTGTATTGTGCTAGGGAGATTTGGGGGGGTGGGGGCGCGCTTGTGGCAACGAGTACGGCCCCTGGCCCAGCGCACGCCGTGGGACGTAGGAGCCTGTCTCCGCGGGCTAATTATTGAAAAGGGTCCGGAGATTCGCACCTGTTAAAACGAAGGGTACACCGGTCCATCGCGGGCACTAAACCACATGAGAATTCGCACACCTAGCACCTAACAGCCACACCCAATTTACATACATAATACTCATATGGGTATTAGGTGTGTATATGTATAGGTGTGTATGTGTGTAGGTGTTGAGTGTGTGGGTGTGTGAATCAGGCCTGGGTGATGCGCTCTGATTACCTATAGCTTTGGCGCGAGTTGATGTATCGGTGCACCCTCCGCTTTTGCAGGTGCGAATCTCCATTTTCATCGAAAAAAGATGGTCACAGGCAGACAGGCAGACAAGAACTACAGCTTCACCCATGGGATTCCTCGATTTAGAATGCTCGTCGCATATGTTTCCCTGTCTTATACCTCATTAAACCTGAAAGTATTCCGTGCCCTGCCTTGGGACTTTCCCCCGTCCTGACCCGCCCATCGACCCGCCTGCCTCTCCGTGACACTCACCTCCCTGTCCAGTCCGTGATGCCTCAGTCGGCATGGGCGCAGACAGAGAAGGAGGAGAAAGGCGGAAATTAGAGGAACAACAAAACAACCAGCCCTGTCCGAAGCTATGTATGCGCCGTTTCCCTTGTGCTATGCCATGGTATTGGAAGAAATAAATAGAAAAATGTAGTGGCTGGTTTGATTACTACGCTCGGCACGACGGCCCACCTGGCACAAGGCATCTCATCTTGAGTGCCTCATCAGAACATCAAAGGAGCCTCTCGTCATTACGACGCCTGCGCAGAGGACGCTGCTGCCGGGGTCGGAGGCGGCGCCTCTGCGACTCTCAGCCTCGTCCTACGAGGAGGCGGCGTCTTGGGCGGAAGCTTCTTTGCAGGCGCGCCGCCATTGCTGGCGCTGTTGCTGTTGATGTTGTTACTGGTGCTGTTGTTGCCGCTGCCGTTGACCAGCACCTCAGGCAGGACGGGCGTGGTAGGCTTGCCGTGCCTGTGCCTCGGCACCGCGGGCAGGACCTTCTTAGGTTTCGGCGCCGCCTCCGTCCCTGTCCCTGCCGCTGGCGCCGGTGCGGCCCCCGTCAGCTCCTGTTTTACCTCCTCCGCTGCATCCTTGGCGTCGGCCGCGGCGGGCCTGGTCCGGCTGGGCGTCTTGACCCCGGGCTTCTCCATGACGGCGGCGACGTCGACGACGCTGACGTTGCTCTGTGTCTGGGAGTGCGATAGGCTAATTCCCAGGAACTTGCGGGCGACCTCGCCCTCGGCGCTCTCGCCCAGCCACTTGACCTTGGACACGCGGTCGACCAGGCGCAGGGTGGTCTCGTCGGCGGGGGCGAAGTGGAGGCTGCCCTCGCCGCTGAGAATGGACAGAACCTTGAGGATCTCCTCGCGCTTGTAGTGCGGCGGGTGGCTCAGCTGGGTGTGCGCCAGGAGGGGGTACAGCACACGCAGGTAGGTGTGGCGCAGCGACATGGACTCGTCTGGGAGATCGAGGAGGTTGCGGATGATGACGTCCAGGAGGACGCGCAGGTCGTTGGTGTAGAAGTACTCGTAGGTGCCCTTGGTCGTGAACAGGAGGTAGAGCAGCTTCAGTATCAGGAGCTGCAGCGACGTCTCCGTCTCCCTGTTCAGCAGGAGGATGATGTTCTCGCCGAACGTCCTGAAGCTGGGGCCGTGGAGGCTGAGTATCTTGATGACCCGATTCGTTATGGGGACCGCCGGCGTGGAAGCATCGACGGCGGCGGTAGTAGCGGCGACCATGTACTGCTCATTCATGACCAACAGCACCCGTATGATTGGGTAGTGATATGGGTCGTTCACGTCGTCCGAGAGGCCCTCGATCAGCTGGAACATATAGGTGACGAAGTCGTCGTCGACACACAGCAGGTCGTCGAGGCGCAGGCGCTCGATGCGCGCCATCTCGTACATGAGCTCCAGCAGCAGCCGGTGCAGCCTCCTGTCATCATCCCTGCGGCTCTTGATCAGCTCTACCAGCTTGGGGAAACATCCCTCGTCTATCATGGACTTGAAGGTGGTCTCGTCGGATCGGCCGTCGAGCAGCAGGAAGTTGGCGATGACGTTGAGGGAGCTCGGGTCGTCCTCCTGGAGCAGGCTATACATGATCTGGGTGCGGACGTATTCCTGGTTCGCGCAGAAGATCTGGCTTTCGATGAGCATCTGGGAGCAGGTGGCAACGTCATCCTCGCTGTGGAGGAAGGTGTCGCGGCAGGTAGAGACGAGGTAGAGCCAGGACCGCAGGGAGTCGTCGATGGTCTCGTGCGAGTCGCATTGTGCCACCGATACGATTTCTCGGAGCTCTACAACCCTCAGAATGGTCAGCCGTCAGCGTCACTTGACTGCCTGGGTGATGCGATCACCGTCGCGCGAAGGCGGGAGTGCGAACTGGAGGGTGGACTGACCGTCCCAGAACTGCTCTTCTGTCTCCACGGACACTTCAATGTCCGCCATGATGAAGGTAGGAAGCCGCGAGCTTTCGCACTATCATCACGAAGCAGCCGAGTCGCACGACGACGGGCGCGGTGTCGTAAGAACAAAGAGAGTAAGAAAAATGGCGGGTTTTGGCTCGGGACTGGTGGCAGCGCAAAGAATGCCCGGGTTGGATATTTCTGGGGGTTGTTTTGTTCTGGGGGGGTTGGAAACGTCCCGAGGTCGGGTGTGCAGCAGATACGAACAAAGTTGGAGATTCAATTTAGTCTGAGTTGACCGCACCTGCAGGCGAGGCAGCGCGTGGGACCGCCAACACCGCCCAGCCTGACATCCAGCCCACCTGCAAGTCCAGTCAGTGGGCACCGCGCAGGAGCCAAGTGTGGGGAAAAGGAGTCGTTGCATACGGACCCCGCCGCGACGCATCCCGGTTTGGCAGCCGTTTTGAGTATGTGTGGCCAAGCTCTGCCGTTCTCGAGCCATCTCGACCACTGACCCTGATGGCATTCCGAAACAGACTATCCCTCATGGAGGGTGGTTTCTGGTGTGGTTTATTATGCCGTTCCTCCCTACACACATACATGCACAACATGGATAGGAAGGGCCGTCTACTGTATTGCACATTGGACGATCGGCATGGTTGATTCAAAGGAGTTCTTTGACTTCTGTCAGCCACCCAGTCTGCCAGTCAGCCAGCCCGCCCGTTGGCCCTCGCCCCGTCAGCCAAGACCGCCAGACGATAGATAGACTCCAAGCGTGACAAGCACGGTGGCAAAGCTTGTCGTTGGTAGATGTATGTCTTGTTTAGAAATGCCTGGGTAGTCCCACAAACCAATTCGCCGCCCGAATGCACCCTGATGCTTCCAAAACTAAGATGTGATGTTCGGTACCCAAACGCCGAGCTGTGAGGAACTTCTGCTGGACCACCCCCCGAAATACCCCGATCAAGCCTTCGCATGTCCTCCGACTCTGATCTCGCCGTCAGACCCGCCGGAGGCAGTGTTGGTCGTATGTGCCTCGCGGAGAATGCAGACACGACCAACGCCTGGCGGTCATCGGCTCAGCCGTGCCGATGCTTACTGTGTCGATGACAGCTAATGCACTGCTCCTGTTCCATCCGGCGTCGATCTTGTGACCTCCAACCACGTGAGGGGGCAGCGGGCTCAGCAATAAAGCTGTTCGAGGCAAGCCCTCTCGGCAGCCGGGGTCCACAAGCCGCCTCCCACGGATGCAACCGACGTCGTGTGCAAGCCGAGCGGCGTGGGGTCCATGGGCATCCCCGCATCTTCACCCAACCCGTGACCAACCAGGCCGTAGGACTGTGACTGAGAGCCAGCAGGACCCTATCTCTGCCTCTCGCTCTCGTCCAGCGCAAAGTCGGTCGCCGAGTCCGGGTCGACGCTCTTGAGCAGCAGCACGAGCCGGTACGCGCTGTTGCCGTTGAGGTAGTACCTGTGCAGCTTCTTGGACCGGAGGAAGCCTAGGCGCTCGTACAAGCGCATGGCGGGGATGTTGGTCTCCTCGGTCTCGAGGACGACCTCGTCGGCGTTTCTCTCTGCCATTGCATCGATGGCCTTCTTGACCAGCGCCGTGGCCACGCCCTGGCCTCGGAAGGACGAGGAGACGGCGAGCATGGCTATGTAACCCCGGCGCGTGGGCGGCGAGTGTGACGAGTGGGTCTCCAGCTTGCAGACTATCACGCCTATGAGGGACGAGTCCTCGGGGTTGAGCGCCTGGTCAGGGGTCAGCGCCGGTGTGGCCACGTTGGGCATGAGGTGCGGTGCGTTGCCGTGGTCCGGCGAGGAGGGAGAGGCTGTCAAGTATTTCTTACCATGAAGCAAAGGTGGCCCCATTGGTACAGAAAGTACCGGTAGACATAGATGCTGTAGGGCTCGCTCAGGTCCTTTGAGATGAGGGCGCGTATGGAGGGCAGGTACTGGGCCTCGAGACGGTGGGCGTACTGGATGTACTTGAGCTCTGACGGGAGGCTCATCTTGGGCCTGGAGATGCTTTTTACGGCGGGGACAAGAATGATTACAAGAGACGACAGCAGGTAAAAAGAGAGGAGCGAAATCATAAGCGCAGCACCGAGACGTGCCTCCAAAGGATCATTGTGCGAGGGCGGGAGGCAGTGAGCAGGTTGAAGAGTGGCAGCCCCGTGCCGGCGGGCGGGTATGAAGTGGGCGGAATGGGCAGGTTAATGTTACGGGCACGGGTGCGTCAAAGGTGGTGAGAGGTGGCCGGCTCCGTTTGCACCGTCAAGGCTGGCCAGCTTCTGGAAACCGTTACGCTAGGCTATCGCCAGGTGCGGAGACGGTCCTGCTCACACTGATCTGGAAGTGATGTCGCGGAGGGAAGAGAGAGGGAAAAATTCAGCAGCCGACCCAGGCCCAATAATGGCTGTCAGCCAGCTCGCAGCTGATAGACTAGGTGGGACGGACTGACTGACTGACTATGTGAGCTTTCACATGCTTGAAATATGAAGTGCTAGACTGCCCTGCTGGACCGCGTGCAGCGCAGAGTGTCGCAGTCGACTGCACACCCTGGACTGCCTGGGTGAGACAAGACAGGGATTAGAGATCTAAAGGGGTAGTAGAACGGCAGACGGGGCTTCCTTCAGCCAGCCAGCCAGCCTGCCAGCCCACGCCCAGCCAGACCAGCCAGAGCTCCTGGGGCCCTGCAGGCTACCCGGCCCCGAGGTTAGCCTCCGACGCCGCTACTGCGCAGCACCCATGACGTCGATCTCGGCCAAAATTAAACCTCGCGCAAACAAGAGGGAAGCGGGAAGGAGACGCCATATAGATTAGATCTATGCCCTCGCCCAGGCTGACCCTATTCTTTTACAAGAAGAAAACAAGTCCCGAGACAGGGCTGACACTAGCTCCAAGACGTACCACCCGCCAGCAGCGAGCCCAGAGCTCACCGGCAGCTCAGGGGACCCGCAGCCCCTCCGCCGCACCGCACAAAGCACCGCACAGCCAGCGCACACAAAGCGACCGCCCTTCGACGAGCCCCAGCAAGCCCAGCCCAGCCGGCACAGCCAGCCGAAGCCATGGCCTCGGAATTGCGCCGCCGAGTCGCCCTCAAGGGAGACGGCACTCCACCCGGGTCGCCCATCTCGGTCACACCCGAGCGCGACGACAGCCCCATCCGGCCCGGCGACAAGGTCAAGGTCGTCCACCACAGCCAGAAGACGCGCAAGAGGAGGACCGGCGCCATCTTCCTGCTCGGCAGCCTGTTCGGTCTCATCGCTGCCGGCTTCTTCGCCAAGAGCAACGACCTGATAGACTTCCCTGAGATCGGTGACCTGAGCGTCGACAGCCTGCTGGATGTCCTACCCGCAGGTCTGGTCAAGGATGTGCGCGACCTGGTGGTATGTTGATCAAATCCCCCAGGCTCTCCTATCTGTGCTGCATGGGCATCTATCTGAACCATTTGTTGTCTCAACGAATAGAAAGGAGAGCGCGACCTGGTGGATTCCTACGATGCCTTCTCCGTCGGCATGAAGGTGCGGTCCGAGGGCCTCGAGGCCCACCATCCTATGATTATGATCCCCGGCGTCATCTCGACCGGGCTTGAGTCGTGGGGCACCGCTAACGCCTCTCGCCCCTACTTCCGCAAACGCCTGTGGGGGTCATGGACCATGATGAAGGCTCTGGTGATGGAGAAGGACAACTGGAAGAAGCACATCATGCTGGACAAGAAGACGGGGCTGGACCCGCCAAACGTCAAGCTGCGCGCCGCCCAGGGCTTCGATGCCACCGACTTCTTCATCACGGGCTACTGGATCTGGAGCAAGATATACGAGAACCTCGCCTCGCTAGGCTACGATCCCACCAACTCCTTCACTGCAGCCTACGACTGGCGCCTGTCGTACCAGAACCTCGAGGTGAGGGACCAGTACTTCACACGGCTCAAGCTCTACGTCGAGGCTGCGACGCTGGGCCAGAACCGCAAGGTGGTGCTCGTGTCGCACAGCATGGGCAGTCAGGTTCTCTTCTATTTCTTCCACTGGGTCGCATCTGAGCAGGGCGGTCGCGGCGGCGACTCCTGGGTTGAGGACCACGTCGAGGCCTGGATCAACGTCAGCGGTTGCATGCTAGGGGCACTGAAGGACATACCGGCAGTACTCTCTGGGGAGATGAAGGACACTGCCCAGCTTGTGAGTCGAAACCCAGGATTCCCGACTTCCCAAAAAGATACTGACTGCAAATGCTGGAGAATGCCTTTGCCGTCTATGGCCTGGAAAAATTCCTGAGCAGGGAAGAGAGGGCGGAAATGTTCCGCGCAATGCCAGGCATCTCCTCGATGCTCCCCATCGGGGGCGACGCCGTCTGGGGTAATCTTTCAGGGGCTCCAGACGATCTGCCCGGCCAGGAGAATTCGTTCGGTTCCTTCCTGAACTTCCGTCAGGGCGTCAACTGGACCGTCCCGGAAAAGAACATGACGGTCGACGGGACGATGCGCTACCTCCTGAACTCGACCGAGGACTGGTATCAAGACCAGATCCGCAGCAGCTACTCGCACGGGATCGCGCGCACGATCAAGGAGGTCGAGGAGAACGAGCACGACCCCAGGAAGTGGATCAACCCGCTGGAGACGCGCCTGCCGCTCGCCCCCAGCCTCAAGGTCTACTGCTTCTACGGCGTCGGGAAGCCGACCGAGCGGGCTTATTACTATAGAACCCCAGAGGCGACATCGAACCTCAACATCACGATCGACACGGGGCTCATACACGGGGTCATCGACCACGGCGTCATTATGGGTGAGGGCGATGGGACAGTGAACCTGCTGAGCTCTGGTTTCATGTGCAACAAGGGCTGGCACATGAAGCGGTACAACCCTTCCGGGGTCAAGGTCACGGTGGTCGAGATGCCGCACGAGCCGGACAGGTTCAACCCGCGGGGCGGGCCGAACACGGCGGACCACGTCGACATCCTCGGCAGGGCGACGCTTAACGAGCTTATCTTGAGGGTGGCCGCCGGGAGGGGGAACACCATCAACAACTACGTCGTGAGCAACATTTCACAGTATGCGGAGAGGGTCCAGGTATTTGAAGACGAGAATTAATCAGGCGGACTTCCGAGTTCGCCGCGTTTTCTTTTCTGTATTTGCATGTGGCGTGGTCTAGACATGGAAGGCGTCGTGGGGCGTATCTAGACAGAGGGGGTCTCGCGGTTGTAGACTCACGCGGCATGTATTATGCGTAACGTATACCCACTCCTATCTGGAGACATGAGATATAATTTGGCTTCGGCGCAATGACAATGAAATTCGCGGAACGACTCAATTTCTCGCGCTTCTTCCGTGACATGAACGCTCAACTTGTCAACCAGCGATATCAAGCAACAGTTACAGCAAGGGTATCACACAGCTCGAAATCCCATCTCGCTTGGGAGTCGCAAAATAACCAGATCGCGAAAGAGCACTGACAATATCACCGGCATTATCAGAATTCCCACCCCTCCTCTTCCACCTCGTCGTCGCCTTTGCTCACTGGCTTCATCTTCGTCGGTGACTTGCCCTCCTTCTCCTTGAGGTACCCGAAGACATCTCTCGAGCTATAGAGCGACGACCTCACCCCCCAAGGATTGCCGGAACCTATTCCCAGGTACGTGAACGCATCTGTGTTCCCAATTAGCGAACGGGCCCTTCTCGCACATTCATACACACGCGGAGGTAAAGAGTAGGAAAGGAAAGGAAAGGGGGGGGGGGCAAAACACCCACCGGCCTTGTAGTAGATAGGCTTCCCGGACGCGCGGTCCCGCACGAGCTCCAGCTGCCGCAGGCGGTGCAGCACGCGGGCGATGTCGTCCCTGTCGCGGAAGTCGTACGTGTAGATGCACACCAGGCGCTCCCTGGCCGACCCGCGCTCCTCGCGCGGCGCCACCTTGGCCGCGATCCCGAGCTCGTTGCGCGCCGTCGCCGTCGCCACCCGCTCCCAGACCTCGTTGACGCGGGTCGGCTCGACGAAGAGCATCCACTGCGGGCGGACCGGCGCGTTAGCGGTGCATGCACCAGTAGGACGTAAAGGGGGCCAATGGATTTTGAGGGATTGGGGGGCGGGGGGTGGGTGGGCTAGAACTTGCCTTGCCTGTCCTGACCTTCAACGCCCTCGCCAACATCAGGATGTCGTTGACGCACCCCTCCCTCTCCGCCGTGACCTGCCTGCTCATCGCGGCGCTCACGCGCCCGCCGCCGCCCCTCTTCTTCTCGTCCACGGTCCGCAGAAAGTCCCCGAACAGCTCCAGCCGCTCGCCCCCGCCCTCGATGAAGGTGCTCAGCTGGGCGCCTGACTCGGCGGGCGCCTCCCCGCCGCCAGCGCCCCCCTCGCGCGGGATGAACGGGTTGGCGACGTAGATCCAGGGGATGTCGGGTGTCACGTCCGTCGTGGCGGGCGGGAGGCGCGACAGGAAGGCGGCCATGGTCTCGTTTAGCTGCTTGGCTGACAACTGGCCCTCGTAGGGGTTGTGCAGCTTCGGCGCTGCTGCTGCGGGTGTCATGGCTGCCGATGATGGCGACGAGGCCGAGTTCTTCTTACGTCCCGGGTGCACCGTGTCATGCTCATCAATGTCACGCCAGTAATCCTGCACGTCGAAGTCTTTTGCTCTGGATCCCAGGGCTGCGACTTCCTCTTCGTCTCCTGTTGAGGGTGTTAGTGGGTTGGGCTCTGTTTGTTGGTGTGTGAGATGGTGTGGACGGCGCTTACCGTAGAAGTCGGAGTCTGAGTCCATCTTATAACGGAGCGGCCGGCGACGAGGGAACTGGTATTTCTCACTTTTGAATGATCAAATGAAATGATAGAAAGAACATGACAATCGACAATAGCGAGAGACGAGTCTCGAAACAACAGACGCGTTCGACGTGCACTGCAGGACGTCACTGAGCCAGGGTTGCAGCTGCCCTCGAAGTCGATATCGACGACCCCTGGAACCCTTGCACATAGCAGGCCATTTACCCCAGCTATTTCCCCCTCGACCTGAGCCACATTGATTCCTTGTCGCAAACTGGCAAGATATAGTCCAAGGTTGCATTTCTATTTCGAGTCTTGAACTAAGACTCAAAATACATTAGGGCCTCTTAGGCCGCCGGCAAAATGGCCGACGGGGGTGAGAAGATCAATTCCTTCCAATCCATGATACTTGACCTCCCACCCAGCTGCGTCGAGATCTGTCCTCGTTATCCCTCGCATTTTCTGGTGGGTACATATTACCTTGAGACGAGCGAAGCAGAAGCGAAGGATACGGAGAAGGACAACGACGGGGCCGATGTCGAGGTTGAGGCAAGGCAGGCCCAGAGCAAGTCAGGGAGCATCATCGTGTTCGAGCTCAAGGATGGACAGGCGCATGTCTCTCAGTTATAATTATCATCAAGGAAGCATGCTAATGGCTCTTACAGGCACATAAAACAGACAGTTCCTCAGCCTTCTGCGGTCTTTGACCTGCACTTTGCGCCACAGGCAGACCGGGGAGATATTTGTGCCGCGGTCTCTAGCACCGGCACCATATCCTTCTTCAGACTGATCCCAGACCCACCAACATCAACCGAGAGGACAGAAGATGGGCAATATCTCCAGGCTCTGAGTGTCCTCAGGATCCCACGGCTGCCCGAGGATGACTCGTTCACCTACTTCATCTGGCACCCAGAAACCCCAGGCCTCATGGCCATCACCACCTCCACGGGGAAAGTGATCCTCGCCCGCGTGCAGAGCGACTACAAGAAGATCAAGAGACTCGGCACCATCCTCAAGCACGAGGCGGAGGCCTGGTGCGTCGCCTTCTCACCGCTCTCACGTCGAGCACTCAGCTCAGAGGTAACGCTCTCGACGGTGTTCTCGGGCGGCGACGACTTCAAGCTACTGCTCCGCACCCACATCACGAGCACAGACACTCAAGAAGTCAAGCCTTCAGACCCAGAACCCGCCGCGTCCTCCGGCTCCGACTTCGAGTCCGAGCAGGATTCCGCGCCGCCCCGCGATAGCCAGGTCATCCGCCACGACGCGGGCGTGACGGCTATCCTGCCGCTGCCCCTCAGGACCTCGGACGGATGCGACATCGTTGTGACGGGCAGCTACAGCGACCATATCTCGGTGTGGGGCGTCTTTCCTCCCTACAAATACCACGGCGTCTCGGTGCTCAGAAAGCTGCTGAAGAGGAGGGACCTCGGCGGCGGCGTGTGGCGGCTCAAGGCCATCGAGGAGCTTAGCGATTACCCCGCGCACAGCTGGACGGTGACTCTCTTGGTGTCGTGCATGCACGCCGGCGCGAGGGTCGTCCGCCTCGAGGGCAACCCCGCCGCCGTCAACAGCATCGAGGTGCTCTGGCGCTTCGAGGAGCACGAGAGTATGAACTACGGGAGCGACTACACGTGGGTCGACCGGCGCGAATTCTTCGGCGAGGGGGAGGGGAGGAAGATCGTGTGTGTTTCGACCAGTTTCTACGATAAGAAGCTTTGCCTGTGGACGTTTTGAGCACCCGATAGGGAGGTGAGGCGGTCCGACGGAAGCATGCAATGCAGCTGTGTTGATGCATGGAGGAGTTGAGGATGACGTTTCGACTTTGGTACCAAAACACACAAAGAGAGGCAAAAAGGGTACTACATCATGTCCATTGTTTTCTTGTGGTACAGTAATCAATGGCGGATACGGCGCGGTAGGAAAACTGGCCACGCATTGCATCTCATCTGCGAGGCGCACAGCGAAGAATTCCAGGTGTTGATGGACCATTCGGTATCTTTGACAAAAGTTCAACCACCAGAAACGAAAACAAAGCATTGGGTTTCCCCATTCTACATGTTCGCGTGTCATCTGTTACCCAGTCAAGCGCGTCGGACCTCAGCATTTTCTTACAATCATCCAGGCCGAAGTTTATATGGACAAACCACCATGTATCCACGCCCTTGTTGCAAAAAAGAAATCAAGATAGACGAGAGCCCCGGGAACTGAACCCAGCCCATGTTGTCTCTGTTAGCCATGCCACCCCTTGGTGGCCCCCATGCAGCGGACGGGTGGTCACAAAGGACCATGCAGAAACACCAATGCTACCACTACACCAGACTCCCAGTGACATGTTCAACAATGAAGATGCATGAGACGCGTAACAAACGGCCTGCCGCCCACCCTGCTACGCACCTAGTCAACCTCAGCGGTCCTTGCTAGTTTGCTGGCAGCATTCTGAAAAATTTGAAAGCAAGTGTCTGTGGAAAGAGCACAGTGCAGAAAAAAAAAAGCAGGAGAGAGGGGGGGCGGGATGTAGTCTAGATTGTAGGTGACACATTTATTTGAGATCTATGATATCTTTGACAGTGAAAGAGAAAAGGCGTCTTCAAAGTGGCCCCATGGTTGGGAAGCAATATAAAGCTCGCTCGCTCGCTCACTCCCCAGCCTTCTTCTTCTCCGTTCCCTCCGTACCCGGCCGCCCCAGCACAGCGACAGTGCCGACAAGCCACGCGGGCCACCAGACGCCCCAGACGACAACGCTCGTGTACATGCTCCAAACGTGCCACCCGAATGCCGCCTCGCGCAGCACCTCGCCCAGGCCCGACCACGCGGACCAGTAGGCGCTCCACAGCGCCAGCACCGCCGTGGGCGCCAGCAGATGGAGCAGCAGCGCCGAAGCCCACCTCGCCTCAGGTAGCGAGGGCCACGGCCGCACGAACGAAAGCGGCACCGAGAGGAGCCCCACCATCAGCGAGAGCGAGAAGTTGAGCGTCGCCAGCGTGGAGAGGAACATGCCCAGCAGGAGCAGAGAGAAGGATTGCATCAGCGCGTACTGTTGCGCCGTGGGGCGGAATTTGGTTGTTAGGAGGTGGGAGGCGACGTGTGGGAGGGCGGCGTTGAGGATTGTGAAGAGGATGAAGACTGGGGTGTGCATCTGGGAGTCGTCAGTTCTGTTTGTCTGGATATATATATGGAGAGTGTAGCGAAACTTACGCCCTCAAGTAGGTTGTTAAAGATGTAAAATGGGACGACTCCCAGAAACTGACTCCCAGCGACAAGAACCAAAGGTAGAAGCAGGTCCCTCTCTGTAGCCGGCGTTAAGATAGCATCGGCCGGGCCCTTTGCGTCTGTCGCCCCCTTCTCCTTCACGGTAGTCTCTGCCGGCTTTTCGACCTCACCGGCCTGGCCGCTCTTCACCCATAGCGCAATCGATATGATGGTAAAGTTGGCCGCGACCAGCATGGCGCTCGGCAGGTAGGTGCCGATGCTGACGAAGCGGTCCTTGTGCATGAGCAGGTAGAAGAAGAAGCTCTGGTGCAGGTGCTCGAGCAGGTTGTTGAGGGAGCGGAAGGTGCCCTCGACGACGCGGCCCATGGCCATCTCGTCCTGCCAGCCCTCGCCGTAGGGCCGGAGGGTGACGGCGTCGACGTGGTAGGGGATGAAGCAGCTGTGCGGGCCGGACGCCATGCCGAGCCCCTGCTTCATCATGCCGCGCAGCATGGTGCGCAGCCTGTCGTCGTACGAGTCGCCGTGCGACCACATCTCCTGGATCGACACGCCGATGCCCATCTGCCCGCCGGCGATGTTGACGACGCTGTTGATGAGGTCGAGGTTGGGCAGCTGCCCGTTGATGCCGTCGTACACGACGTGCACCGAGTGGAAGCGGTGCTCCTGCGTGTAGTCGAGCACGATGGCGCCCTGCAGCGCCCCGGACTTCATGGGCAGCGGGTCGATGCGCCGCGTGTCGTGGGCGTCGTGGTACGCGTCCACCCACGCCTGCGGGCCCGCCAGGCTGTCGGGTGGCACCACGAGGATGATGTCCTTGGACCACAGTGACCACCGCCGGAAGTATCGCGCCAGGGTCAGAAGCAGCGCAACCCCCCGCTTGTTGAGTTCGCCCCGGGCGTTCTCCCACGCGGCGACCAGCACGATGGCCTCGGTGGCGTCGCCCCTCGGCGCCTGCAGGATGGCGTAGACGTTCTCGCCGGCGTACGTGTTCCCCGAGCTTGAGTACGTGAAGTTCTGCCGGCCGACCTTGAGCCCCACCGCCTTGAAGATGCCCTCGAGCCCGTCGTTGACCTCGATGTTGCTCCGTCCCACGAGCCCGTCCACCTCGTGCTTGTACGCCCGGAAGACGTTCTGGTCGCTGCCGCCAAAGTACGTGTGCACCTGGCCCGGCAGCAGGGCATTCTCGGAGATGTAGGTCCGCCGCGAGTAGTCGTTCTGCGGGAGCATGAGCAGCCATGCGACGCCGACGACGATGCAGAGTAGGGATATGTAGGGCGGCAGCTTGAGGAGGCGCGGGTCCCGTCGGAGGCGCAGGGCGCCGGCTGAAGCATAGATGTCAGTCATGAGGAAGGGAATACTGGCAGCCTGTATGGGAAGACGTTCGGAGGGCGGGACGGGTTAGAACTTACATAGGAGCCGCGACATCTTGTCGAGCTCTGGCTGCCGTGGGCGTTCAGGGGAGAACGGTGTTCGAAAAGGAGAGTGGTGCTGGCAGCAGGTGTCCCTTCAGACGCCTGCAAGCCAATGAATTACCCAGCGGAGTCACAGCTAAAAGTTCAAGGATCCATGGAGTCAGAGCACAACTTCACTCCCCAGAACCGGCTTTCTGATGTAGCAATTGCCGCGTCCTGCTGTGGTTTTGATGGTGCAGTTGATGACGGAGACTCCAAGGAGCTTAGCTGGCTCGTAGCTATCAATTGCATAACAGACCCGATACATGCATATCACAGCCGGCGCTTGACGAAGAGCTTGGCCGACATTTATCTATGAAATTCCAGGTCATTGATACGGAAATCAATACTGGGACATTCGGAATATCCAGTCCTGATTTAATTAGGCAAATGAGTAAATGGCTCTGCGAGCTACCACAAAGTAAAGACTCCGGCGAGACCGTAATATTTCCCGACCAGGAACGCCAGCAAATCCCTTCCCTTGTCCGCCGTAACATGCACCACCGCACCGCGCCCATGATGTAAGTGCTCTTTTCGCCAAAAAAGAAGGAATCCAAGCGAGCCAACGCTTGTGTCACCTAAGGGCCCAGCCTCTGCCCAGCACCCCCGGTACCAACAACCCCCAACGGCACGCCCTGCGACGCCCCGCCGCCCGCACCGGCCGTGGGCAGCACGCCGAAGCGCCCGTACGTCTTCTGGTCGACGCTCACGTAGCGCGGCAGCCTCTGCAGCAGCTTGAGGCGGGCCTCGACCCAGCGCAGCGCCTTCTCGGGCGGCGACAGGAACTTGAGGTAGCCCAGCCCGCACACGTAGCCGACGGCGAGCCCGGCCACGTGACCCAGCAGGCTCGTGCTGGGGACGAGCGCCGCGATGATCAGGACCAGGATCAGCGGCGTCGCCCACGTCGGGATGTTGTACGTCGCGATGGTGAAGTGCGGGTTCGTCCGGTACGTGCGCATCGCCTCCGCGCCCAGCAGCAGGAAGAACCACACGCTCGCGCCCATGACGCCGTTGTTCGAGTGCAGGATCGCCTTTTCGATGAGGACGTAGAGGAATGCCGGGAGGGTCGAGAAGGCTGTGGGGTTTGTCGTCGTGGTCAGCTTACTCCCGGGCAAGATTTAGAAGGGGGGTGGGAATCAGGTGAGTCTCACGTCCAAAGAAGAGCGCCAAGCTTGTCAATGTCCCATATTCGCTCTCGAATCGCTCCAGGAGAGGCGTCAGGGCGAAGACGTTCATAATCATGTGCAGGAAGTTGAGGTGTATCAGCGGGTACGTGTTGGTCCGGTATACTGCCCGTGGCTGTCAGCTCTCGCGTTACGTGCATATACGTCCAATTTCCTCCGCGGACCCATTGTCCTTTGGTCCGATGATTCCTGTGGACGGAAGCACTCACAGCTGGTCAATCCGACCTCATCCGGCACCAGCGCCCCCCACGCCTGGATGTCCCATCTCGACCCCAGTACCACGCCTGCGGCCCACGTGGCCACGAGTATGAATACGGTAAGCCTGGTGAAGAGAGGCAGCTTGTAAACGTATGATTTTGCGCGCCCGGCGCTGAAGGACTGGATGGTCGGTGTCGACATCGCAATGACTTCGCGGGGGACCGGCCGGAAAGATGTTGCTCGGAGGAAGAGATGAAGTGGGTTGCGCACGTGTCCCGGGTCTGCCGACGTTATAGTCCAGTGGGGTCCGAGTCTAAGTTCTCTTGAGCTGAGATACCCAGTCCGTGGTCATCTTGCGAGCGGTATTTCCGCTCGAAGTGTCCCAATGGTGTTGCTGGCGCAGGAGTAATTGACACGACTTGAGCATCGGGAAATTGAATCGCATGCTGGCGGCCTGTCGCAAATAGATGCCACCCCGGGCAGGGGTGTATATCTTATCGGGCGGCCCCGCTAAATGTCTATCGCAATGACCATCGTGCAATGGAAATATGCCACTAACCAGGAAATACCACGTCTTTACAAACTGCTGTTCACGTGTCACCGGCTTTGATGCTTGAGCTGATTCTGAACATTTATAATGATTCCATTTGTACAACTTAAAGAAAATGCGACGTTGCCTGTCCGGGTGATGTAAAGTTCCAAAACCGATGAGCTCCATAACCCGAGAACCCCTCCGCCGAAAACAAGCCAGTATGGTATTTAAAGTATCGTCTTCTTCGTCTCTTGTCCTTCCCACACCCCATTTTGGCCCTGTTTTGGACCGTGGCTGATCGTACTTATCGCCTTATATCTTGACACAGTCGAGTGGGTGCCTAAGCACCCGTATAAAGGTGTTATATTTATTTGTTGGCCTTGGCCATGGTGTTAAGAGCACTGCCGTTCTTGAACCACTCGATCTGGCCAGCGTTGAAGGTGTGCGACAGCTTGACCTCGAATGGCTTGCCGTCCTTGGGCTTGACGACCATGGTCAGAGGCTTGCCAACCTCGAGCTCGGTGGCCTTGAGGTCAACCTACAGAAACACAATTAGTATAATTTTTTGCACGATCCATTCCGGTGAAAACTTACCTTGGCATCCGTGGGGATCTTGTCGTAGTCCTCAGGGTTGGAGAAGGTCAATGGCAGCATGCCTTGCTTCTTCAGGTTGGTCTCGTGGATACGGGCGAAGGATCGGGTAATGATGGCAACTCCACCAAGGTGACGGGGCTCCAGAGCAGCGTGCTCACGAGAAGAACCCTCACCGTAGTTCCAGTCACCGATGACAACCCACTTGATACCCTTGGCCTTGTAGTCACGGGCAACAGCTGGCACGGCATCCCATGAGCCGTTGGTAAAGTTCTGAATCTTGTTGGCCTCGCCGTTGGCGGCGTTCATGGCACCAATCAGCATGTTGTTGGAGATGTTGTCCAAGTGGCCACGGTACTTCAGCCAAGGGCCAGCCATAGAGATGTGGTCGGTGGTGGTCTTGCCCTGGGTCTTGATCAGGATAGGGGCATCAACGTAGTCCTTGCCGTCCCATTCGTTGAAAGGCTCGAGGACCTGGAGACGGTCCGAGGAAGGAGAAACCTGAACGGTGACGGTGGATCGGTCGGCGGGAGGGGCCTGGTAGGTGTCCATGCCCGGGTCGTATCCCCTTGTGGGAAGACCATCACCGGTGGGAGCCTTCAGCGTGAACTCGTTGCCATCCTTGTCCTTGAGCTTGTCGGTCAGAGGGTTGAAGGACAGCGATCCAGCAACAGTCATGGCGACGACCAGGTCAGGAGAAGTCACGAAAGAGTGAGTGGCAGGGTTGCCATCGTTTCGGCCGGTGAAGTTTCGGTTGTAGGAGGAGATGATCGAGTTGGCATCGCCCTTCTTGACGTCACGGCGATCCCATTGACCAATGCAAGGACCACAGGCGTTGGCCAGGACAACACCGCCGTACTCCTCGAAAGTCTCCAACTGACCGTCGCGGGCAATGGTGGCACGGATCTGCTCGGAGCCAGGGGTGACGAAGAAGGCAGACTTGGCCTTCAGACCGTGGGCCATGGCATCCTGAGCGATAGAGGCAGCGCGGGACATGTCCTCGTAAGAGGAGTTGGTGCAAGATCCGATCAGACCGACCTTGAGCTCCTCGGGCCAGTTGTTGGCCTTGACAGCCTCGCTGAACTTGGAGATGGGAGTGGCCAGATCGGGGGTGAAGGGACCGTTGATGTGAGGCTCGAGCTCGGACAGGTTGATCTCGATCAGCTGGTCGTACTCGGCGCCCTCGTCCTCGCGCAGATCCTTGGCGTAGACGCGGGAGAAGTCACCAATGTCCTTGCGCTTGGTGGCTGCGAGGTAGTCGTACATGCGGTCGTTGAAGGGGAAGACTGAAGTTGTCGCACCGATCTCCGCACTAAGGCATCCAACGTTAGCTGTCAGAAAATGTAAAATCAGGAATATTTCCGGAAATATTCACCCCATATTGCACACTGTAGCCATTCCTGTTGCAGAAACGCTATCGACACCGGGACCTAAATGACGAATCAAAACGATTAGTGATGTTGGAACAAGATAGAAACCGAGTTTAAGTGGTGGAAAGCTGGAAAAAATGTTGGACAGGCATAAAAATTGTTGAAGAACAGGCGCAAAAATGTTGGTGATCCGGCAAAATGTTGTTGAGTTGACGCAGTAGCAACGGACGTCGTCCAAAAATGTTGTGTCGTAGATGGGTTAGGATGTCGGGATATCAGAGATACCCAGCGAATCCAGGAAGGCCACACGGTCACGACGCTTGTTGGTGTTGTAGTGGCGATCCAACTTGCTCTTGTCGGGGCACGCTGCGTCGCAGAAGGTGCAGTAGAACTTCTTCTCCGCCACGGCTTTTGCGTTGGTTTTCTTCTTCGTCGCCGCAAACTTGACACGATCTCTGGTGAGAGCGTATTTGTCCTTGACGACTGGTTGCCGTGGTAGTCCTGCAAGCTCACGATGCGCCTGAGAATTGTTATGACGCTCCAACTTCGACTTGTCGGCGAAACCCTTGTTACAGAAGGCGCAGTGAAATTTCTTCTCCGCCACGTTCTTGGCCCGATGTCTCTTGATGTTCGCCTTGATCCTATCGGGATTCTTCTTTCTGAGTTTTCGCATGACTGCGGCACCTTTGGCATTAAAGGCCTCGGGATCCTTGGCCTTGATCTTCTGGTGGGATTTCTGTTTGAGCAGCTTTTGTCGATGTTCCATTTCGGCTTCAAAGATTACTCGCTCCTCAGGAGTGAGATCATGCTTGCCGGGAATGGCTTCGCTCAGAGCGATATGGGAACAGAGACCATCGTACTCGAAGGCCTCGACAGGCCACAGCAGCATCTGAGGCATGGAGTAGTCCTTTTTCGTGTCGTATGCCCAGAACATGAAGGAGAAGGCAGCCTCAAGTGCGATGAAGACAGCTCGAAACATTGGTCTCTGAGCAGCAGATGGAAGAGGTGCCCAGCACAAGCAGAACTTGTGGGTGATGTTGCATCCTTGAGCCAAGGCTCTCCGAACATTGCGGGAGAGCTGCTCCTCGGTCTCGTAGTGTTGAAGACGTACCCGAGCACCCTATGCTTTTGTGCCAGTTCCGACGTAGATCTTGGCACGACAATCCTGCTTCTCAAGTATCACCAAGTACATAACCCAGATCAACTTGAGACGGTGTTGAAGAATCTTGTTGCTGCGAAAAACCATCCGCTTCAGATCTTTGACGGTTGGAGGAGTGCTCTTGGTGAGGACCTTGAGAAGACCAGGCGCGAAATACAGAGGCAAGGAGGCGGCAAGGTGCTTGAGGACAGCCTTGGTGGGGGTGGTACTTCTCGTAGTGAGGATTCTTGCGACGAGGATTGATCGTCGACAGGGCACAGCCAGGTCATGTGCAGGACCAGACTGAGGAGGAAGGGCGAGCTCTTGGGGAAATCCATCTTGGGGGCAGAGGCGCAGGAGTTGGAGGAGCACCGCTCAAGGCAGCGTCGTGTTCTTGTGGTGCAAATTGTCGTACTCCCGTGGTGCTGTTGGACGGCGTCCAAAGATGGCCCAGTATGGATGATCCACGGTGATGAAGGGGTTCCAGATGCGGCCGTCGTAGATGATCCACGGTGATGGAGGGGTTCCAGAGAAGGTGAACAAGGTTGGGGGAGTTCAACAAAAGAAAATTTTGCTCCTTGAGCAGGCAGTCATGGGTGAGGGAGGAAGGAGGTACTCATGGGGAAGGAAGGAACCGTTGAAGCCGAAGAAGGAAGTTGCGCCTACCACTGTTGTGTGTTAGCAATCTGATACGGAAACTAAGCCATGCATTTTGGGAAAAAATCCCAGGCATGACAGACGAGGAATTGTGAAAATCTAACATACAAATACTCGGTAATACTTCCCTGTAAAAGTGTTAGCAGCCAATTCTGAAGCAGTGGTTAAGAAACTGGACATACAGTGCCACCCTTGACGGTGAGGATACCAGCAACCTTGAGAATGATATCTGTAGAACTGTTAGAACACCACACCACAGACAGCGAAGGGGGGCCAACTCACCCTTTGGCGAAGTCCAACCATTCAATTTGCCGGTCAGCTTGACACCGATGATCTTGGGGGCCTTAAGCTCCCAGGGCAGGTTGGCCATAACGTCGACGGCGTCGGCACCACCAACACCAATAGCGCACATGCCAAGACCACCAGCGTTGGGGGTGTGAGAGTCAGTACCGATGAGGAGACCACCAGGGAAAGCGTAGTTCTCGAGCAGAATCTGGTGGATAATACCAGAGCCGGGCTTCCAGAAACCGATGTTGTACTTGGCGCAGGCGGAGGAAAGGAAGTTGTAGACCTCCTCGTTGATGCTGACGGCGCGATCCAAATCCTTCTCACCACCGATCTGGGCCTCGATCAAGTGGTCGCAGTGGACGGTGGAGGGATTTGCCACGGAGGGCATACCGGCGGACATGAACTGGAGGATGGCCATTTGTGCGGTGGCATCCTGGCAGGCGACACGGTCTGGCCTCAGCTTGAGGTAGGAGCTGCCACGGTTGATGTCCTGGCCTTCTGGGTCGTCCAGATGGGAGTACAGGATCTTCTCTGCGTATGTGAGGGGTCGGTTCAGCCTGCTGCGGACAATGGCAAGGTTCTCAGACATCTTCTTGTAGTTGATGAAGTTGCCCTCTTCCCAGTTGTTCTGCTTGACCTGTTCACATGCGAGGTTGACGTCAGCGGCAGCTTGGAAACACACACACAAGAGCACGGGCGTGCGGAAGCGAAGCCAAGCTCAGCTTCACCTCGCGCGCCAGTGGGAGGACGAGGAACGCACCTTGCGGTCAAGAGGAGAGTCTGTGACGGTGGCCATGCATCGTCGCAGGCCCAGGGAGCCGAGGGCGGCACGGCTCCGGGCGACGTGGCCCAAAACCTGACGGGAGGCCAACATTGTGTGTGGTGGTCCCTTTGGCTGGGGGGAGGCGTGTGTGTAGAATCAACGATCTGAGTGGAGAGTGGAGAGGTCACACGAATGGAGCTCTCTTGATTAGAAAGAAGGCATTGAACTGCCACCTGAGTCTTGGAGAGGGGGGACAGGAATTGATCGTGACTGTGGAGGAGTGAAAACGTGGAAGGAAGAGCAGCGGGTGAAAAGTGTGAGAGGAGCAACGAGGTTTTAGATGGCAACCTTGGAAACTCCCCCGTGGCCGGTGGCCCGTGGCTCTCCTCGCCCTCGGCGCAGAGGCGGGACTGGCATTGGCACTGGGCGCTAGAGCAACCCGCACGCAAAGCTGGCACCCCTGCCACCTCACCTCCAGCCCCACCGAGGTTCGTCTCCCCCAGTTTTACGTCCTGGGCATAGCCGGGCCAGCCAATCATGCGCGTTTGATTTTCAAATGCTCGGAGGCAAGGATCCTCAGAAGGTTGTGTAGCCAAAACGTCACAAGGATGCGGCCGGTGTACAGCCGGGCTGCCGCTCGGAAGAGGATACGTATTTTCGACCGGACATGTGCAACGTCGACGACCGCCACGACCGTTAAAGACGGATGTATTACAATCACCTGCTGCCGAGTACATAGGGGAGAATATTCTCCGACCTTTCGAGTCACCGGGGCTAGGTCTACCTTATCTAGTAGGTGGTTGTCGCATCCACCTGTCCAGAGCATGCACATGCGTGGGACTGTGTCTTGTCAAGCTCGAGGCATGTGCTTGTCTCCTTCAGATCTGGCTACTGGCAGGTACAAGAGTCGAAGAGTAGGATATTCTCTTCTAGACAACCTCCCATAAGACACCTTCCATTGGAATAACCTACCGTGGGATAACCTGCTATGGGATAACCTGCTATGGGATGACCTCCACTGGAATAATCGACGATAGGATAACCTCCTGTGGGATAACCTCCCTGTAGTAATCTTCACCAGCTAATGTCTGGCAGTGGGATAACCTCCATTGACAGTTCGAATCATCGCAATGGGATATTATCGACATTCACTGGCCGGTGTAGCCTATAGGACCTGCAGTGCTAGAAATGCCTCACAGGGACATGGCGTCGGCGTCGGGCGTGTTGTCGACTGCGCTACCGGTGCCTCCGTGGGGCCCAGCCCATCCATCCGGCCGCCCACCAGCCGCACCGAGCTCTGTTGCATCGACCTGTAGGTCACCCTCGGCTGCTGAATCAGGCCCCGTTGACTGGCCAAAGCTCTCAGCCGCATCCGGAAAACTGGGGATGCCCTCATGCTGATTTGATCTCGACCTTACAAAATGCTGTAGATAGCCCTTGGCCAAATATATACCAAATGTAATTTCGTAAACACAATGCCGGACCGACAGGCATATCGGAGCAGAATAGTCGCAGTCCCAATCTGTAACGCGGCGGTGCGGCAAAATCAAACCCTTTGATGAAAATTTTCAACGGCCTGCAGACCAGCCTAGACGGCCTGGAGCCTTGCAGGCGGGTGGATGGGGGCGTGGTCATTCCCAAGGTTGCAGTGGCCCATCCGGCGCCCCAGAACCTGGAGAGCCCTTGTGGAGGAGCGCGCTTTTTTGGGAAGCTCCTGTGGGTCCTGGCGACTCCCACTGGGGCCGCGACGCCTCGGTCTACGAGAATCCGCGTCGGCTAAGAAAGGCGTTAAGCCGCGAGCTCGACGACAACCTCGTTTTTCGGCCCAAAGCCGACTCGGGTCGTGGCAATGCGCACGCGACCGCCGTCGGATCTCATCTCTGATACATAGCACGAACCCTCGTGTCGCCATCAGGGGGCACTGCTGCTGATTATCCGACAAATTTTATGCGGAATCCTTCATTCAACTGCAGTCTTTCCCTGCAGGAACCCTGCGCAATTGTGTGGTTGGAATAGCCTTTCGGCGTTGCAGCTTCTAATCGCAGTTGCTTGGGACACCTCGCAGCCCCTGCTCACATTCACATTGGCGTCTGGTTAATTGTAATTTGAGGTTGGAATAGGGTGACAACACCGAGAGCAGCAATATGCTTGTGTCGAGCAGATAGAATAATAGCCTGAGATGTGTGGTTGCGCTTGTTTGCACCACCCTGTCCCTTTAGGCTAAAAAATCACCATCGGGAATTTTCAACTCACTCTCATCAAAACTTTCTCACACCGTACAATCAAATCGCATGTGAAAACGCCACGCCCACAAGGCCACCACAGACACTCCATATTCAGAGCATATCCAAACCTCATTTCCAAGTCCCACCCCAAGCTCTCCAATCAATCAAAATGGGTGTCCAAAACAAGCGGACGCTGACAAAGACCCGGCGGTACAGAAGGTGAGCAAGCAGCCCTTGACCAAAATCGTCCATGAGCCAGCACTGACTGACCCGAAACCAGGGATGTCGACCAGATAAAGGCCGATCTGCTATCGCCCAAGCACCTCAAGCAGTACAAGGACACCAAGCTGGTCGAGGACCTGCCCGCCCTGGGCAAGCACTACTGCGTCGAGTGCGCAAAGTGGTACGAGGCCGAGTCGGCCCTCGTCGCCCACAGGCGCGGAAAGCCTCACAAGCGGAGGTGAGTTTTGCCTGCCTCTCTCTCATCCTGTCGCCATCATAACTGTGCATGTGTATTGACGTCTTGTCTGTAGGGTCAAGCAGCTGAAGGAGGAGCCGTACACGCAGAAGGAGGCCGAGGCCGCCACGGGCCTGTGGACCGACAACAAGGGCCCTGGGAAGCCCAAGACCGACGACGTCGACATGTCCTGATCTCCCGCGGGTGGACGGATTGGTTGCTTATCTTCTTATCCGATGGTCCCCTCTCCTGGTCCTCCGTCTCCAAGCTCAGCAAATCTGCTCTACTATACCCGCTCCGCGATTGGAGGGCAGGGGATTCATACCGGTAACAGGCTCCGAAGTTTAGGCCTAGTGCCTCAGTTGGTGCATAATCAGGCCAGCGATCCGAGGACATGAGGAACTTTGTCGATGACATGAATTGCGAGGTATCGCTACGAGCCTCTACGGTCACACCTGAGGGCCAGCTCCATCCATGTCGCATACCATGGTCCTGCTCTCGGTCTTCCGAACACAGGGATATTCGGCTTTCTATCAGCACAGCTCCAGAGAATGATTGATGAAAGGCATACAGCGAGTCGAGGGTGGCCTCAAGGATGGCCACAGGGTAGGACGCTGTGACGAAGAACAGGACGACGCCGCTCGGAACGCAGGGCGTGCGTCAGTAATACAAGATCATTTCCAAGACATGCTATCGTGTGAAATTCTTATGGTGACGCTCTGACGATGACACCTGACGAGTATGCACGGGTTGGTGGCTGATGGTTTTTACCAGCGCATGCCCACTTGTCCAAACCTGGGCTGTGACCTCCAGCCATGGAACCGGATTCCACGACCTCGCTTTTTTGTGATCTCAAAATCTAGAAAGGCCAAACCCTGGGTTTCCAGTGGCAGTTCATGCGGCACAAGTGCTTCTCTTGCTTGAGTGTATCAGATTTGGCTACTTTGGCCTCTGCTCTGTTGAGGTAGTGCCTCCAATATTCCACAGCTTCTCGGTACTTTGTACAGACATTTCTCGCCCTCGACTTTTGTGCGAGACTTGAGCGTAGATATGTCCAGCGGGATGAAGACGCTGCTCCGTATTGCCCTCAATCCAAAGATCATCGCCGGGGTCATCATTAGGGCATTACAGAGGCCCATATTAGTACAGTATTCCCCTATTTGTTATTTCGCCATACTGAAACAGATACGCTCGACATGATTCCCTTCTTCATCAATTTGGTGATTTTAGCGGTTCAGCACATATGCTCATTCTCTCTAGCCTCCACATCCTGCTCCCTTTTCGAGGCTGCATTATGTCGAAATCTCTCACGGGTGTTGCGGTTCTTCGCGCAAGTCAGAGATATGGGCACACCCCGAGTCGAGAAGGCTATTCATTCCTTCTATTTCGATGTCTTCAGATGGACCAGGCATAGATAGTCGAGGTCTAGCCCGGGAGTGGGCAGAAACAGGAAGCAGTCCTCGCTCGCTGATCTTGACGGGCTCAACGCTCGTGCTGTTGGCAACTGAGTGCGGTCATGTCGTTTTGTCCTTCCACTTCCTGGAAGCTGTGCAGTGACTGTGGAGGACAGAAGTCAGCATCAGGGATGTATCTGAAAGACTTAGATATTTGATGGAGGTTGTTTGTTCTCTCGCTGGCTTTCTCCTATGGGGTTGGAAATATGAAATCGGTCCTCAGATCCCAGCTTCGCAGAGGCAAGCATACTCACATGAAGTACGGGGTCGATACACTCTAAAATCAGGTTTGTGCCCGCGAGTGACAGTTACAGGTGGGCTTTTGGGTTGTGTGAGGGTTCGAGGTTGATTTGTGTCATGAGGGCGTGCGGCGATGTCTCTTACTTGGACAGAAGTGGCTTCGTCTGGTCATTCTCGAGGGATGAGTGGCAGATGAGATATCAGGCAAATCCTCCCAGGGTTCCCAAGCAGAGAGCCCTGCAGGCACGTAGGTCTAGACGTGAGTTCTCCCCCACATAATTCACTCATATGCCCATGGTGGGCCAGCCGTTCCAAACGCTTGAGCTGATGGGGAGTGACTGGCTGCCTGCCAGCTGCCAGCTGCCTCCCCCCCCCCGACCTGCCCGCCAACAACTGCCTCAACATCAGACGACCGCAGCTTAAATACCAACGCCTCGACAGACTCGCAATCGATTCGAATCGACCGCCTGAGTGGTGGAACGGTTATAGCGTCGTGCTTAGCACTCGTGAACCGGACCCGCAGGTTAGGTTTACCTACATTGTGACAAGGCTCGACACCCTCGGCGGCACCGGTTCGAATCCCCTCGGCGAGACAACTTGCTACCTGATGCGTTCGGGAGTATCGAGGTTCAGCCTCCAGGCTTGGTGTTGATGACTTGACGGTTCTTTTTTTTGGGCATCCCTCAGCTTCAAAAGTCCTCTGCAGCTGGGGATATCAAACATGGCTTCCTCAAGACCAACTTTGCGTACTTCTCTTCAGCCTTCATAAGCTCTCAAGACGGCCACGATAGTCGTCTGTTCCTTATGTCTCGAGATGGAGCATATTTAAATGACCACTGGGGTTGGAACCAAGAAGCCTTAGTCGACTCCTCGACCCATTCACCTCTTGCCTTCTCCGAGAACTTGAAGCAGTGTGCAACCAGACATCTCTAGTTCAGCTTGACAATTGATTGCGACAAAACAGCATTGGAGACCAACAAAGCTTGGAGCTTGTTTTTCATGGGGTCCAAGCTACGCCAGTCAGCGTTTTCTGAATGAAGAAGGTTGGAAGGGCTCATTTTGCTTGACTTTGCCTAAAGCTGCTACAAAATCGATTCGCTAATTCAAACCAGATGCTAAGGTTCTTCCTCAGTCAACAATCAGCTTGGTCAGAAGCTTCCCCTGGTTCTGGCCACTGAAGAGCCGCATCCAGATCTCAGGCTGCTCCTCAATCCTCGCCTCCACAATGGTCTCCCCGTGGTCCAACTTGATCCTCCCATCTACAGCAGCACCGATGAGCTCTTCAAGCATCTGAGGCACCTTGTCCATATAGTCCAACATGATAAAACCCCTCAGCGTGATCCTCATAGAAATAACCTCGAACCAATTCCTCAACTCCATCGGCTTGTCCTGGGAATTGTACGACGCAACATTCCCACAAACAGCGACGTTTCCGAACTTCTTAACCCGCGTCAGCACCGCATCCAGCACGAACCCGCCCACGTTGTCAAAGTACACATCCACCTCGTCCGGCGTGGCGGCCTTCAGCTCCTCGTGGAAGATCGGGCTGTTGTAGTTGATGCACTCGTGAGCGCCGAGCTCGTCCCTGACCCACGCGCACTTCTCATCCGACCCCGCGATACCAACCACCCTCCCCGCCTTGAGGAGCTTGACGGCGATCTGGACCGCCATCGACCCCGTCGCCCCGGCTGCTGCCGAGATGACGATTGTCTGCCCCGGCTTGGCCTCGCCCGCGAAGTACAGCCCGACGTAGGCCGTCATGCCGGATGCGCCGAACGCGCCCAGGTAGTGCGTCACTGGGAACCCATTGGGAAGAGGGGCCAGGGGCTGGCATACCGCCGCCTCCAGTACCACATACTCACTCCAGATACCGAGGTGGCTTTGTGTAAGATGCGACGTCAGTCAAATCTGACCTTGAGGGTCTTAGCTGGTCCTTCTTGCCTCTGGAGCAATACGAGGAGGGGAGAGAAACGGGGGCTGACGAACAAGTTCACAACCAGATCACCCGGCTTATAGGAAGAAGACTCAGACTCTACAATCTCAGCCAAGACACCGCAGCGCATGGGACAGCCGACAGGCACATTGGGCACATAATGCCGCTCCTGGGCCACTGTGCTGCCAATGACTTCAAGTCGGCATTGTCAGCGAGACGCCTGGTAAGCAGCATGAGTAGCGGTGGATCTTACAATGGCGCAGTCCCGTGTCGTTGGAGAAATATTGCACTTTGGCGAGCACCTGGCCCTCCTTGAGAGCTGGCAGCTCCGCCGTCTGCAGCTTAAATGTTGCGTCAGGGCCAGACAGAATCGGGGCTCCTGATGGTCTAGATGCGAGGACCCACTGCTTCGTAGAGGACGGCGCCATGTTTGTCGATCGGGGCTTCGCGGAGTCTGATCACAACCGGCGGGACTCTTCGTCTAGAACGCAAGGTTCTCCGGTCTATATATACCGGTATACATAATCCCAATATAGTCCCAATGCCCCGCTGTTGCACATTGTGGTACCCATGATCACCGTCTCTTATGCCGCGGCTCTATGCCCGCGTCCCCGCAAAATATATCCAAAATGGCAAGGTTGATAATACCCCGGAGTGCAGAACCTGTTATCGTTGCTTACTAGCCTATCAGCATGCGATGTGATGCGAGTGCTCTGCCGTCAAGCGATCCAGTTGTTGCCTCGTGGCGTGATCCCTTGGAAGAGCTCGCCTTGGCATGACCCGTCGGGGACTTTGGATAGAAGGGACCAAGCGCAGGCTGGACACTCAACGAGCTCAGGACTGTTGATGCCGTAAATGGCCATAGAGTCTGGGCTGTCCTCGTCCCATAGAAATTCAAGCCTATGCCGACCACAGAAGCATAAAGCCTCCACATTCACGGTGCAGTGAAGCACGATGCCAATCCCAGAGGCAATCTCTACTGTCGCCCAGTAGCTGCCACACGACGAAGACCAATGTCTGAGTTTGACGGGAGAAACCAGTGCGAGGGATTTATTTTTGGGGGACATGGACACCGCATGTTCTTTTCAGCCAGATCGGGAACTTCAATTCAACTTATCACCCACGTCTTTGACTGTGGTCGTCGCCCACAGCGGCACCTTCGAATATCCGCTGTGGGCCTCTCCCAGCCGAGAAAAAAAGAGGCATAAGATGACATGCAACAGTCGGGATTCGCTGGTCGTCACCGACCCAACTACAGTATTAATCGACCTCTCACAAGCTCGATTACAGGAGAGCGGACGGGATCCGATATTTTCTTGTGGATATGGTCGCATGTGCTCGTTCATGGTGGTGTGGCGTTTAAGTAGGTGACCTGTCGTGAAACATGGATTTCGTTGCGCCTTGTAGATCTGCCACTTCACCTTCGGGAAGCCGCTAAGCATCGGGCAGAGCGATTCTCCCACGTGGCGTCTCCAATTCCCGGGTTGTTTCGTGCCGGATGTTGTGAGTGCTTTGCAAGCTGATGGAAAAGGATGAACTCCATCTAGTGTTTCTGACCTCGGGCGACGAAGTTTGGGGATGTGCATCAGATCTTCCAGGGATGCTCCCACTAATTTGGGTTGCTTTGACGTTCCCGCGGGAGCTGTCAAGTGCCAGCGAGAACATGGTCAACCCTTGACGTCAACCTTACCCGAAGCCACTTCGGGCTCTGGCTTCAAACAAAACACCTTAGCCTCATGGACACGAAGACCTGCCACAGTTTCCAAACCACCCGCTCGGCCCGGCCGACCTAGACTATTAAGTCCCGACGACGAACAAGATGGACGAGGCACTGCGCGCAGCCGACCACCCGGGGCCTCAGACCGATTGAGCATCGACCAACGATGTCCCTGCAATGGTCAAGGGAAGCAAGATGTTGCTTCCCTTCGAAGCTGTTTGGACGAACCACAATTAAGCTTCTCATGTCTTGTCAGAAATATGCCAGGGTCAGCGAGGTCGATAGTATCCTTACGTCGCAAGGGTCAAATGGTGAGGGAGCTTATTCGTCTGTAACCTTCGCGAGAAATCAAAGCGTGCACTCGGGGTTCGTCTGCGGTATGCAATCTGCTTCACGTCCTCGCCTAGAGTCACAGAGTCCAGACAAAATCGTGTCGAATCGGTCTCGCTCCCTGAGTTCTCGGATGATCCCTCGAGATCAGAGTCAACATGGGCAACGCGATGGGCGCATTGGCCAGTTGACGAGGTGTTGACTGGCCTTTATGATGAGCATGTGTTGCGTTGCCCTTGCACTATCCTCGAGTCTGCCTTCTGGGACCTCGAAAGAAATCACTCGATGTTGTGGGTGATCCCACCTAATTCCGATGAATGTTTCTGGCAGCACATCGGTTGAATCGTCTGCCCTTGACACAGATAGCTAGCTGGCAGCTGCGAGCCTTCCGTGTACAGAACTTTTCCCTTGTCCCATCCCTCGTCTTTTTGCTGTGCTCTTGTTCTTGAAGAATTTGGAAATCGTTTCAATTTTCACCCACAGAGCGTTCATCAGTGCAACCAGGTCGCAATAAGCAGGACGGAGACTTCGGCCAGGATGGAAGAGTCACCACCGGAGGGCCAAAGGCCTGATTCCATGTTGCCGCATGAGCCGGATATGCAAGAAGGCCTGAGAATGGCGACGGAAGCCATGCAAGCGGCCGCTGATGCAATGACTGCCGCGACTGCGTCGTTTCGACGGCAGACCCTGTTGCATGAGGAGCTCGTCTCGAGGCGGACAACATCACTGCCTTACAGACAAGCAGAAAATGATCAAGACGAATTCGGAGGCACACGACCGGGAAGTCCAAGCCGGGATCGAGTTTTATCCGTCCATCAGTTGGCAGCAGCACTATCTCGAGATGATCTCAGAAACCTGCACAAACAGGATGACCGCATCCCAGAAGATGGAATTCCTTCGTCCCGTCTCGCAACGAGTGTGGCACCTCCTACCTCTCAAGATGGTCATCTCCCAGCAGCGTTGCAGTATCCGCCACGCCTTTCCACTCATACCCGTCGTCTGTCATCAGCAACCCGCCGGACGAGTCACCAGAACCTGCGGGGATCATCACGAAGGACGACATTGTCTGAAGGTTCAACCTTGATCAATAAAAGCTCGGGCATTGGAGCTGGGCAGCAGTGGAGTCTTCCCTCTGAAGCCTTCCATAAGGTGGACCCATCATGGCCGATACAGCCTGTATTCGAGGACCAGGGCCCTTACGCGCCTGAATATGACGAGCCTTATGGATCACGGTCGAACCTATTCCAGGAGGCAGAGCAGAACAATCGGTTTCCTGCAACCCGGTGGCCTTTGGAACAACCTTTGCCAGGAATGGGTCCTGCTGGTACCAAAGACGTGGATGATGCTCAGGGTGAATATTTCTCACCCATCATCAGGATGGGCAGGTACACGTACATACGGACCAACACAGGAGAACTCGGGGCATCTCTGCAAGATCCACACTGGCAAGACCAACAATCATCGAACCAGAGCAGCAGTGCCAAATCTCGGGCGTCGAGTCCACCCACCAAAACACCACCAAATAGACCCTACGGCTTTTCAGCCACGAGGGAGGTCTTCTTCGTGGCGGTTATAATCCTCGCCCAGGTGCTGATGCTGGCTGGGCTCGCCCAAGCCCTCATCCCGCAGCACATCATCGGTGCCACGTTCCCGGACACGAACCCCGGGAGCCTCGCGTGGTACTCGGCGGCCTACGGGCTGACCTCGGGGTCCTTTGTCCTCCCGTCCGGCAGGCTGGGCGACATCTTCGGGCACAAAAGAATTTTCATCATCGGGTTCATCTGGCTCGGGCTGTGGGAGCTCGCAGGCGGCTTCAGCGGATATGTACAACAGCGCGGATCTGGCAGCGGAACCGCCTTCTTCATCGCCTGCCGGGCCATGCAGGGCGTCGGGGCGGCCCTACTCGTCCCGAACGGCCAGGCCATGATCGGCAGGGGATACCCGCCGGGCCCGAGGAAGAACATCGTCATGAGCCTGTTCGGCGCGGCGGCGCCGCTGGGGTTTGTGGCGGGCGGTGCTATGGCGTCGCTGTTCGCGCAGCTCGTCTCGTGGCCGTGGGCGTTTTGGACCATGGCGGCGGTTTGTGCCGGACTGGCGGGCGTCTCGGTGCTGGTCTTGCCGCCCTCAGGGAAGAAGACGACGAGGGAGGTCGGGGTCAGCTTGTGGAAGCAGGCCGATGGTCCGGGCGTCTTCCTGGGTGTGTCCGGCTTGGTGTTATTCAACTTCGCCTTCAACCAGGCGCCTATCGTCTCCTGGAGCACGCCGTACGTGTACTTCATCCTGATCATCGGCGTGCTGCTCCTGGGGAGCTTTGTGTACGTCGAGTTGCACGCTTCTCACCCTCTGGTCCCCATCGCGGGCATGACTCCGACTACGAATTTCGTACTGGGCTGTACTGGGGCTGGCTGGGCGTGCTTCTCGATTTGGGTTTACTGTAAGTATTCTCCTAATGGTCTATCTTGCCACAGTCCAGACCTGTCACAAAAACGGTCAGTCCTGAACGTCTCGTAACTGACGACATGGCTAGATGCGCTCAGCTTCATGGAACAGCTCCGCGGCTACTCGCCCCTGCTCGCCTCGGCAGCCCTATCCCCTGCCCCGGTGACGGGACTCGCAGCATCGATGCTGGCGGGGTTCCTGCTCAGCAAGAAGGTCAAGCCATACATTGTCCTGCTGATGAGCATGTGGGCGTTCTTCGCGGGCAGCCTGATCTGGTCGCTCGCTCCTGTTGGACAGACTTACTGGCTGAACTCCTTCATCGGGGTGCTCATCATCCCTTTTGGGATGGACATGTCGAATCCAGCCGCGTCGATCCTGCTCAGCAACAGCATGGCCAAGGAACACCAAGGGACTGCGGCCAGCCTCGTGGTGACGACTGTGAACTACAGCATTTCGCTGGCCTTGGGCATCGCGGGGTCCGTCGAGCTGGCGGCTAGACGGGGGAGAAATGATGTGCTGGCTGGTTATAGGGGCGCCCAGTATATGGGCCTTGGCCTCGGCGGCTTGGGTCTTATACTGGCTGCGGTGTTTGCGTTGCGATCTAGAAGGAAGGCATCGCATGGGACTGAGGCGGTGGCGAAGGTTGGGTAGGCATGAGGCAGCCCTTGAAGGCTACCTTGATACGATAGACATTTCATCCGCACAGAGCATACGATAGACATGATGAATTGAGCGAGCGCACAAGGTACTGGCAGAAAGATCATAATTGGCTGCAGAAGGAAAAATGGGAAGACGCACGGAGTCAGTGGTATTCGCACCGTATCGAACTGCCCAGGTGTCTAGGTATGAGCAACGGTTACTGCTGCTTACGAGTTGCCCTTGGTGAGTGTGACCAATGCCTGGCGTGGTCTATGCAGCGACCCCAATCCCCTCCCTATAGGCAAGCCAAACTCTCCCATTTCGAAACCTAGCACTGGCCAGGAAGTTGTGTATGGTGCAGCTGGTGACTTCGGTCCCCTAACTTTGCTAGCGAGTTAGGGATCAGTGAGCAACTCCAACCTCGAAGTGGTCATGTTCAATTCCTGGATTTGGCAACTTCCGCTGCTCCTTTTTTTTTGAAACTTTTCCCTATCTGAATAGCGAAATGTGCTGTCAGTCTTCATCATCTTCACTGCTGGCTCTCCACAGACCACAAGCAAAGCTTCTTCACAGTACTCGTAGATCGGGCTGATGCCTGCTTCCTCCTCCCCTTCTTCCGGTAGGCTGAATGCACGCAACTCGTCTCCCTACGAATGTAGGCTTGTCCGTTTCTCGTAACTCGAGGTGGGCTTCCTTCCAAGACGAACGTCCCTATGGCAGAGTTGGACTCTTCCAGGCCCGTATGGGCGAGCTGGTGAGCGCACGGCGATCAGTTGCGCCACTCGTCCCTGCCGCAGACTGACCAGCCGACTTTCAACGTATTCGGCGTTCGGAGAGGTTTGAGTCGAATATCACCAGGGCATAATACGACCCGGCTGTTTTGCTTTAAATCTTTCAGATAACACAGAACCCCCTTTCCTTTTCCCGAACGCCGAGAATGTGCCCAGCCGTGGGAGATTTTGGACGTCCCACCTGCAAAAATAAAACCGAGAAAATGCGCAACGGGAAAGATTATTCCTTCTAGCCGCGTCCCCTGCTGAAGCCACCCCTACCACGGCCGCCGCCTCGTGAGAAACCGCCTGAGCCCGAGTTGCCTCGTCCGCCGAATCCACCACCTCCACGGCCACCGCCCCGGCCTCCAAAGCTGCCACCCCTTGACCCTCCACGGCCACCGCGGTCTCCGAAGCCACCGCGACCTCCAAAGCCTCCCCTACCCCTCGCGCCTCCTCGTCCACCGGCGCCGCCGCGGCTGGGCTTCTTGACCTTGGGAAGACCGGCCAGTGGCTTGGGTTTGGGCAGGAAGCGGTCCATAGTCAGGGTCTTCATGCCGTCGATGTAGAACTTGTCGCCAGGCTTGAAACTGGAGGCCTGGATGCCCTCGGAGGGCTTTATCGTGAAGAAGAGTTGGTTGATCGGGCCGAGCACCTCGTCTATCTTACCGACGGAGGTCTTGTTCTCGAGGTACATGATCGCGTTGAACTGGGGGACTCGAGGGTTGATGCTCTCGCAGACCATCTCGCCCTCGCATGAGTGGAGGAACTTGCCCATCTCCTGCACCTCGGCTGGTGGGCCGAAATCGCGTTGTTGGAAGCCGCCTCGGCCTGTGACAAAACGTATGGTTAGCTATATGTGGTCGCATGCAGGTTGAGCATCTTTTGGTTGGTTGATCAGGACGTACCACCACCCCGGCCACCAAACCCTCCGCGACCTCGCGGAGCTCCTCTGAACGACATGACGACGTCTATTCGTGGTTTATTCTGACGTCACGAATTATTTCGTCGAGTCCTGGCCGTGTTTGCGGTGGCGTGTCGTTTTATTGGGGGACAGATTTATTGGGCTGTGCTGTCTGCAGTAAATTTTGAGGCATCGAGAATTTCGTGGAGAAAGTTTGCTCGGCCGGCAAGCGCACTTATGGCTTGGCCTTGCTATTTTGAGACTAGCTCACATGAGCGGCGGGCCGGCAGGGATGCCCCACGTCAGGTACTGCGCGGTGCGGTTCCTGCCCGCCAGGATATCAGATTCCACACTCGTACAGTATTTGGACGTCGGAGAACTGATCAACAACGAGAACTCCATGAGGAAAAAATTTGCTCGATTGAAGGCCGCAAGACACATGATATATGACAGAGACTCATCCTAGCTGTACCGGTAGAATAGGTACCTGTGTACCTGGATGGGCACTGGCAACCAGCGTTGCTGGCTTGCACAAGGCGGGGCGCGGGCGTGTGAGTTGATTGGCCAAAGCTTCCCAGGCCTGCAGCGCCAGTGCAGGGTCCAAAGAGCCTGACGAAACTTCAGAGCAGTCGCGTCTGCTACCGTGTGTGGTCAGGGAGCCGCAGCCTGGCCATCAAAGTAAACAACCCCCCCATCCGCCCGCCCTCACCCACGCCCACCACGACGCGACTTGCTTCTGCACTCCCCAAACCAACACGGTTTACAGCTGCTCCCTACTAATAAAGAGCCCACTCACATCTAGCTTTCTACTATCCAATTGACCCATATGTCCTTCTGTATCAAACACACCACCACGCGCCTAGCAGTTGCAAAGCTATCAACGACGCGTCTCCCGGCGTTGCTCGTGCCCGGCCTCATCACCAATTGATCCCCGCCCATACCCACCATGGTGCAGCCCGGCATAGGGCTCGACACGCCCAGGACAAATGTCGGCGACGCGACATACCTCGATCGGGCACCAGACTTCGACATCACTCAAGAACCTTCCTTCCAATCCCCAAGCAAGGAGCCAAATGTCTTCCAGTCTCTGCGCAACGGCACAGCCCGTCCAGGCCTGCGGACACCTCGCGGTGCGAAGAACCGTGCTCCCTTCTCCGACAGGATGAACCTCCCCGGCGGCATTGGCGGTGCCGAGTTCACCCCCCTCCTCAAGTCTGCCACGCGAAATAGTGCCCGCCGGCGCAGTGGCAAGGAAAACGGCCTCACCACGCCCGCGCTGGGTAAGATCAGCGAAGATATGACTCCCATACAGGTCGGTGAGAGCAGCATGTATAGATCCAGAGACCAGTCATACGTAGACCGCACGCCATTGCCAGAAGCCGACAGCGATAGTACCGCCTCGACACCAATGATCATGCGACGCGGCAAGGGCGGAGACGGAGGCCCCCTGCAGGACGGCCAACAGCTCTCCCTTCGCGAGCAGGAGAGCGTCATCGACAAGATCGAGAAGGAGAACTTTGGCCTCAAGCTCAAGATCCATTTCCTCGAAGAAGCACTGCGGAAGGCTGGGCCCGGCTTCGGCGAGGCAGCTCTAAAGGAGAACACCGAGTTGAAGGTGGACAAGGTCACCATGTCACGGGAACTGCAGCGCTACAAGAAGCATCTGACGTCGGCGGAGAAGGATCTCGAGAACTATCGACAGCAGATGGAACGAATGCAGGAGTTGGCACGGAACAAGCAAGGATCGCACGAACACTCAGCCGAGCTCGAAAAGCTTCGTCGGGACTTGGGCGAGAAAGATGCAGATCTGGAAGACATGCAGCATCGGATACAGTCAGACCTACAAAATGTCGACAGGGTTGCGAAGCTCCAAGACGAGATCGGCGATCTCGAGGCTGATCTTAGAGAGAAGGAACGAGCCATCAGTGAGCGTGACGACGAGCTGGACGAGTTGAGATCAAAAGCCAGGCAAACCGACCATCGAAGCCAGGATGAGGTTGATCAGCTCAAGGACGACATTGAAGACCTGCAAGCCAATCTCCGTGAGAAGGATCGAGTCATCGGCGAACACGAAGATGAGCTGGGTGATCTCCGATCCAGAACTCAGCAAGCGGAGGACAGGGCAAAGAAAGCACAAATACGCATGATCGAGCTTGAGGAAAAGGCACAGGCCAGCGACAAGCTCAAAGAGGCCAGAGAATCCATCCAAGATCTCGAAGCAAATGTTCGAGACCTGGAACGACAAGTTGATGACGCACAAGAAAAGCTGGAAGACGCCTTGTCAGAAAAGGAACGTGCAGAGGCTGATCTCGAGGAACTCCAAGAAGAAATGGCCAACAAGTCAGTAGTCACGAAGGGCTTGCCAAGGCAGCTGGAGGAGAAGCTTGCACGACTCCAGGATGAGGTCGAGGCAGGTCGTCACGACTACGAATCACTGGAAAATCAATTCCATACCAAGCAGGCAGAGATCGATGATTTGAAGTTCAAGCTGAAGGATTCTCGCCAAGAACGAGATGCTTCGGAACACGAGCGGCGAGCAATTGCTACCAGGATGGAGGAGCTTCAGGCGGACTTAAATTCCAGGACCGACGAGAAGAACCTGCTCCAGAGCCGGCACGATTCTTTGACTGCTGAGTCCGCTTCTCTGCAGCGAGATGTTAGTCGCTTGCAGAAGTCGATGACAGATCTTCAAGGCGATCTCGAACAAGAACGACAGCACTCGTTAAGCATCGAGCGGGAGCTTAGAGCGCAGTATAAGGCCGACTTCGACAAATTGAACAACGAGATTTCTGACTTGCAAGCTGAGGTTCGTGAGAAGGAGAACCTCTACGATAACGACTGCGAAAAATGGGAGACTGAGCGCCACAACCTCGAGTCAGAGCGCGATCGGGCAGAAGAGCGCGTACTCGGACTGCAGAAGACAATCGAGAGATTGAGAGATGCCGAGGGCAGTCTGAACGACAAAGAATCCAAGCTACAGCGAGCCCTCCAGAGTGAGACGGATCGGCACCACAACGAAGAGGCAGTCCTCAGCAGACAGATTCTTGACCTTCAGCAAGATCTCTCTGATCGACAGCAGATTCTTGAGGACCTCCGGAGCGAGCTCTCTGCTGTACGTGACGAGCTTCGACAAGCCCAATTGGACAAGCAGGCAGCAGCCGAAAAGGCCGAGGGCTTGGAAGACGAGGTCGAGGTCCTTCAGGTTGCTCTGGACGAGGAAAGCGAGAAGTCAGCCCAGGAGATTGAGACCTTGACCAAGGAGTGCGATGAACTGCGTCAGCAGCTCAGAGAGTTGCGCCGAGCTTCGGAAGCTGCCCATGCTTCAACAGACTCCTCCCGCCAGACCGCCGAGCTGAACGCAAAGGCAATGGAGCGTCTGGAGAAGCAGCTCGACGAGTACAGGTCCAACCTGTCAAAAGCTACTCAGGAGAAGAGAGTCAGCGATCGGGAATGCGAAGAACTGCGACAGCAGCTTAGGGAGCTACGCAGGCTCACCGAGTCCGCCAAGGCTTCAACTGATGCATCCCACGAAGAGGCCGAGTACAACGCCAGAGCAGTCCAGCGCTTGGAAAGCCAACTTGCTGAGTTCAAACGCAACATCGCTCAAGTCACACAAGAGAAGAAGGACATCCAAAGCCAACTGACCAGCATCAGGGGTGAGCTTCACTCTGTTCAGACACGACTTGCTGAGACACAGGCAGAACGAGATGAAATCGACGCCGAACTGCAGCGCTCCAAAGAGCAGGATAACGACACATTCCAAATCGACCAAGAGAGGATCAACCTCCGAGCGACAAAAGCACGTCTTGAGAACGAGATTCGCCGTCTCAAGGAGGACAACAGGTCTCTAGCGGACCAGCGAGACTCGCTGGAGAAGACTCTGGAGGATGAGCTTGACAAGGCGGAGGCCGAGGAGGAGCGTCTGAACCAGGAGATCCTCTCACTGCAGACCAAAGTCAGACAAGGCCAGGTCCCAGATACCCAGGACGTGTCCAAATCCCGACGCACCATCCGAGAACTGGAGCGCAAGATTGCGAACTACGAGCATCAGCTCGCCCAGGCCACCATTCCGATCAACGCTCTGGAGGGCAATAGTGAGCTATCGCTGATCAAGCGTGACCTTTCCGCAGCGCGCCAGAAGGAGCTTGAGTTTATGCAAAAGGAAGGTGACCACAGAGCCCAAATCCGGGGCCTGAAGCGCCAGATTGGTGACCTCGAGCGACGAGCGCATGAAGCGGACATCTCACGCATGGTTCAGTCACCTCTGTCAGAGAATGCCTCTGCCCGCAAGGCCGAAGTCTCAGAGCTTCGTCACCAACTCTCCACCGCCCACCAGTCGATCAGCGAGCTGAAGAAGAAGCTGCGTGAATCAGAGCGTCACGCGGCATCAGTGGAACGCGATCTCCAGCGCCACCTTGAGAATGTCGAGGATGAAAAGATGGCCTTGGAGCAAGCTCTCGAGGATGCGCAGCTGGCAGCGGAGGAGGCCAGGGCCGATGTTCATGAAGCATCAAACAAGTACAAGCGCAAAGCTGAAAGGTACAAGAAGGAGCGCGACTCAGTGGCCGACACCCTGGCAACCACCCGCCGCGACATGCGCAACCACATGCACGACTCCAGCATCACCTCCAACATTAGCAGCGTGGGTAACGGCACCGTGACAAGTGAAATGACGCGGGAGGAGCGCCATGACCTCTACTCGATCCTCCGCAAAACACAAATTGACGCGGAGGCCTTGGAGCGAGAAGTGCGGGAGCACAAAGAAGCCCTCGACGAGCTTGTTACACTCGAGAAAACCCTGCGCGTCAAACTTGACCGGGCCAGATCCGAGCGTGCACAGTACCGCTCTGACGTAGAGAAGTTGCAGCGCGACTTGAAACATGTCAAGAAAGGCAAGGACGAAGCCGAGAAGATGGCCGAAGCAGCCAAGGCAGCGGCAGCTGTGGCCCGCGCCCGCGCCACTGTGTCCTCTGTGTCCGCTTCCTCCTCGTGGAAGGGCAAAGCAAAGGAAGGCAGCGAACCAGTGCCACGGGCCGTGGAGCTGGAAGAGGTGGACGACGAGGACAGCGCCGCAGAAGCCGCTAACGACGACAACGCGGCGCGCGTGATTCACTTCCGGGATGATAACGACACCCAGGTGCACACGGACGCGATCGTGCGGGCAGCCGAGGCGGCGGAGCACCGGCACGTCAAGCAGATGCGCGGCATGACCATGCAGATGGAGTGGATGCAGGCGCGGTGGGAGAGGGAGCTGCGGATGCGGGACGACGCGGCCTTCGCGAAGAAGTACCTGCAGCTGGAGCTCAGCTCGAGGGATGCCTGGTACGTGACAAGATGATCGCGCCGGCGTTTACTTAGTGGAGTCTGTCTGTGTACACACCGGATGCTAATCGAGAACATAGTAACCAAGCGGACCTCCTCAAGCTCGAGGGCGTCTTCAAGCAGCTGGGCATGAAGGAGCGGCCGTACTCGCACGTGGCGGCCCACAACGAGCGCACCAACGCCAAGCGGCCCTTCACGCTCAAGCGGCTGGCGATCGCGCTGCGCTTCATCGCGAAGCTGCGCATCGCCTCGCGCGAGTGGCAGAAGCACGAGAAGACGCGCAAGATGCTCGCCGACAAGTGGGAGAGCTACAAGCGCGAGGACCGCATCCGCGCCCACCAGCTGCGCTTCCGCGAGGCCCGCGCCGCGGCCGCGTTCGTCCCTTCCGGCGGCGGCGGGAGGCTTAAGGGGGTTGCGCTGCCTTGAGTGTTGGCCGGCCTGGGCTGTTACCGTGGAGTTGGGGTGATCGAGGCTGGGGCATGGCCATGAGTGTTGTTGTACGCACCAGGGGGCAGGGGGTGACTTTTTACCAAAAGACATTGATTGGTTGCATAGGCGAAGGGGAGTTAAGGACTGGCAGCTGCATGTAATATGCGTTCATGCATAGATTCTGGGCGTTTTATTTCCCGTGGTCAGGACAAGGGTGGGTCGGCCTGGCCGCGAACGGGACTCTATGACGAGACATGAGGTTGTCCTTGTACATCAACATTTTTCCGTTTTCAAGGCCGAACAAGGAGCGACGGGAGCGTTCCCTTGAATTATGCCAAATGAACAATCAAGCGACGTTGTCTTTCCATTCTCCCCACGTCTCATTTTTCAACGGTCACAGAGGAGCAGACGATGAGGATCCAAGCGAAACCTTGATGATGATGATGATGATGATGATGCTTGGAGATATACTAAATGTTGACCCTTCCCAATGCTATACACCTGCTCATATCCAATAGTAAAACCGTTTCCATGCCATCGTCCCGGAACTTCGTAACTGATGACTCGTCCTCGCTGGGTCACTCCCAACACTCGTAGAAAGATGGATATGACCCTTCGCTGTTTTGTGGGGATTACCACCAAGATTGACTGGTGGAATGATTGATATTCAACAACTCCGAACTTTTCTGCCAGCCACACGCTTCCGCCCGTTTTGGTGTGCAAGTCCGCGCACCTCCGGGTTCTGCATATACAATTATTCACAAGTCATGATTGTGTCACGAAACACCTTGCTTCTTTTTAATGTCGTGCCCAACTGGCTCTCCTACATCACGAAGAGGAGGTTCGTATCTACTCGGAGAAGACAGGGTCAGTATGGTCGAGTTTTTACAGCCGTCCCAAGCGGCGCGGTGACCGTCATGTGACTCACTAAGAGGGTGGCTGCTCGAGAGTTGAGGCCGTTGGCTGTATTTGCTGGCGAGCTCGTCGCGGATACTGTTGAGCAGCTGGACGTAGCTTTGTTGCGGGTTCTTCTTCAGGGCGGTGATGAAGGCCCAGGACATGGCGCCGGTTGCCTGGGCGGCAATGGTTGCGTCGGCTCTGATGATAAGGTCAGCAGGTGTGAGCGTAAAATGACAGTATAGCATTGCGCGGGAAGAGATGTGGCCGTGAAGCAGTGAAGAGGCGATCACGGATGAGAGCTCTCCCTGGTAGATGAGTTTCGTTGCAGGGTCATCGCCTTCGAAGTACCCACTCCTCCGCTGTATCCTTCGGAGGCCAACAAAATCCTCGAACTTCAAGAGAAAATAACCGAGAAATAGAAAGAAAATGAAAATAAATTGGGAGCAATCTTGGGAGCCTTGGTTTCCTTCTCCGGCACCTCGATGTTTGAATCCCAGACAGACGCCAAGCTGTCCATGGTCCCTGCGCAGCCGAATGTATAACAGACGAGACCAAAATACGGTCAATAATAAAATAGACAACAAAAGAGATACGTACGAGGTCTGGTCATCCTTGCTACCTGAAAGCATGATAACGTCTGCCGGCGAAGTCTTTGTGGCAATAGTACGGTTATGAGCGTCCTCCCCATTGGTGGCCTTCTTGAAGAAACCCATGCCCTTCTTGATCATGCCGCCGATATCGCCCTGGCTGTAGGAGGCGATGACGCCCAGCAGGCCCTGACCGGCCTCCTTGGCCAGGTTAGGCTCCTTGAGAATGCCCTGGGTCGAGTAGATGTACGGCAGGTCCAACGCTGTGCCCGAGTGGCACGAATCGAAGATTGCCGTCAGCCGGGTGCCGGGCTGTAATGGCTTGACTAATATCCTGTGCATCTCGTCGTCTGTGATGTGCCCGACCTGCCGGAAATCGACCGGATATATCACCTCGTCATAACCGTCCTCCTCGTCGCCGTCCAGGTCCTTTGTCTGTCCACCGTGTCCTGCGTCTCTGTCAGCAAACGCGGCCCAAACGGGGTCCAAAGGGCCGGAAATGCGGGCGCACCTGAGTAGTGGAAGAATAACGAGTCGTTGGGGCGGGCGTCCTTGACGAGCCAATGCATTGCGCGCAAGATGTTCTGCTTGGTAGGCTGGCTCATGGGGTTCTGCTGGTCGTCGGTGAGCAGGACCATGTCCTCCCGCTTGTAGCCAAAGTGCTCGACCAGGTACGCGGACATGTTGCGCACGTCATTGATGCAGCCTCTCAGCTGGCCGCGCTGGCCGAAGTAGTTGATGCCGACGAGAAGGGCCTTCCGGCGACCATTGCACTGCGAGTACTGGAATGCATAGTTGGTGGGGGCGCCGGTGCCAAAGTGCTGTGGGGTGGCTGGGGGTGGGCGAGGAGCATGGCCGTACGAATTCGAGGGCGGTGCGTCTGCGTGGCGAGCATTGTGTTAGAAGGGGGCCAACGTGCCAGAGGGCGGGTTCCGGTATGCTCGGGCGGGGGGGAGCTGCTCACTTGGTCGGCCGTACTGGCCCTGGTGCGGCGCGTTGTAGCCGTACTGCTGCGGCGGTGGGGGCTGTGGAACACGAGCACGGTCAGCTATGGGAGGCGATGTGATGCGATGTCGTGCGGCTTGGGGAGACGGGGGTGGGCTTGGGGAGCAGGCGCGAGGTAAGTCGTACGTACCCCACCGTTGAAACCGTAGGGCTGAGGCGAGGACTGATAGCCATAGCCAGGCTGGGGCGGAGGGGCGTAGCCGTTGTAATTCTGTTGCGGAGGACTGGTGCACAGGGGGATGCAGTGGTCAGTGGAGAGTTCGTAAAAGAGAGGGCCATGGCAGGTCAGACAAGAGGCAGAGGCCCAGGAAGAGACAGGCGAGAGTCATACGGGTAGTAGCCCTGGGAGGAGGGGAAGGCTCCTGGCGGGGGCGCGCCGCCGTACGAGGTTTGGTAGCCGGGATAGCCAGACATGACGGCGTTCGCTGGGTGCTGGGAGCTGCGTCGTGCGTCGTGGGATGTGGGGGGAAAGAAGCTTCTTTGCGCACCCTCTTGCAGAGCCGTCGAAAAGGATTAGATGGCTGGAAGAGGGCGGCGCGGACGGCGCAAGATGAGGCCAGGCGAGCCGGCGACGCGACGTGATGCGATGCGATGCGATAAAAGGGCGTAGTATAGGTCACGACGTCAGAGCCCGACCAGCCTGTGAGTCGGGTGGGTTTTTGGAGCGGGCTGAGCAGCTGGGTGGGTTGATTATGGATCACCCGAGGTGGCAGGGCAGCGCAGCAGGGCAAGTATATGAGCGTCTATGTACGTATAACGCCGGACCGGGGGGGCAGGGCAGGATTTGTTCCTTCTTGTTCGCCCGTCTCGAAAAGAATGTAGAATGTTCTTTGATCGTCTCCAGTGACGCGGCGGTGAGGAGGGTCGAGTGAGACACACACACGCAACGATGGGATGGGGGTTGAAGATCAAAGATGAAGAAAAGGTCCCCAAGGTTAGTTAAAGGGTCCTTCCTTTGTCTAGTGGCATTGGGGATGCATGTCCAGATCTTTGGCCCAAGCCACAGTCACAGTGTGGGTTCCGTGAATAGAATACACGGTTGCTTGCGACGGGACCTAGACGGTCGTGTGCTCAGACCAAGCCCACGAGGAGCCAAGGCTCTAGGAGACACGGGGACGGGCAGCATGGGGGGAGGGGGAGGGAGTAGGGGAAGTAAGGGGAGCATCATAGGTGGGGAAGGTGCTGCGAAGGCGCAGCGCCTTGCGGTGCGGTGCGGTGCAGTGCTGTGCTGTGCTGGTGGTGAAGCGGGAGGAGGACTAGTAGGGAGGACTGGAAGGAGGAGGAGCGCGGCTTCACAAGGTTTGGTTGGGCATGAGAGCATGGGGACGGGGGACATGGGCCTGGAGTGGAGCGGAGAGGGAAGAACGACGGATCGCCCCTCGGCCCCGGCGGAGGCAGTGTACGCAGTAGACTACATGACGCTCTGCCCAATCTACTGTGGGGCCGTCTTGCACTCCATGTACCATGTACCAAGCCTCCCCACCTCCATCCACCCGTTACTCTCTGTGTGCGAACTCTACACTCTACTGCTTGCACATGTATCTCGTTGAGACGATGCGATGCGAGAGCAAGAGCAACAGAAGAAAACCTTACCCAGCCGGCAGTCCATGACCCACGCATTGCGCACTGTGCCTGGGTGCCGGCCTGGGCAACAAATGCATCATTATTACTATTTCTCCCCGGAGATGTCGATGTCGATGCCATCATCAAATTGCATGCGTAACTGAAGTTGCATGTGTCGGCTTTGGCCGCAAGGCGAAGCACTGCCCGGCAGTCTGTTAGTGCAATGCCACCGCCGATCAAAGCCGCAGCCGCCAACAGCCCAAATGCAATGCCACCTGCAACATGCACGCCTCACTCATCACTCACCCTCACACTTCAAGATTTTGATTTTTTTCTACCCCAGTCATCCGCCGTCCTAGCCGGGCGTCTCCTGTACCTGCCAGATGCAACCATCCGGCCGGCCAGGTAATCTCAGACAATCTGCCATTCTGTCGCTGTCCTCCTATCGTGGCCTCCTTGAAAAGTCCGCCCGGCCTCCCCGTCCCTTCTCAGCTGTTGATGCCTCGGTCTTCAATCTCCATCTGATCACTTCCGGACACGGCTCCCTCACCGAGACAACGAGAAGCACCGAGCGTGTGTGTGTGTGTGTGTGCAGACAGCGTGCGACAAGTGGCACACCCTCAGAAAAGCCCACTCATCATTGATAATGGCCAACGCGCCGGCCCGTCTGCGCCTGGTTTCTGCGCCTGAGTCCCCTAGCATTCCACAGCCCTCGGAGGTCGGCTTGCCCTGCCCTGTTTCTTGTCTGCAATGCCACTCCTGCAACTCCTGGGCCTCCCCTCTGGGGAAGAGCGCGGGAGTGCCGGCGCCGGCTGAGGGACACACGTCGCCTCGGTGCGTTAACAAGCCAATGACGGGAGCCCGGCGAGCCCAGAGCCCACACCTTTCGTTCGTCCTTCCTGCCGCCCGCAAACGTCCCTGGGGGCCATCTCCAGGAGGCTGCTACGCTGCCGCCCACGCCCATCACACCATCGCGGCCCGTGCCTGGAGAACGAACCCACACCCTTGTATGGTTCGCTCCTCCCATCACACCCAAGATTGACTCTTATCTGCTGTTCCACCCGCATTTACACAGGTACAGTCGTACCGTGTGTCCTCAACAACCGAGGCTAAACTTAGCTCACATCAGCCGCCTCGCCGTGGCGCGGTGCTTAATCTTGCCACCATGGCCTAGGCCCTACCTGTCATCGCGATGCCTCCTTCATTGAACTGAAATGGTGTGGGGTGGTGGGGGGGGGAGGGGGCTCTCTCCTGGCTCTGAAGCCGAGTGGCCCACGAGGTAGGTGATGCGTTACTCCATGGCCAATAAGACGAGAATGCATCGACACGCCTGGCACACACATGCGTTGGCCTTTGGAGCAAGACAGGCGACTTGGCACCATTAGGCTTTCAACGTTGTTTAATTCCCTACCGCGCCACTTGTAATATTACACAGTAACCACTAACCAATCAAAATTGATTGCATTGAATTGCAAAGAGTCCCTTCCACAGACAAGGTCGCCGAGGTAGGTTCTAGCGCCTCGATATGCTGCGAAAACTAATAAATGTGACTGCGGCTCGGAATGGGTGACACTTGCAGGCGAGCGTGCCAGCAAGCTTCTAAACCGGCAAACTAAACGAAATGAAGTTTACAGCTTGAGATCTCGGGATGCCAGAAAATCAACAGCAAGGCCTCCCCTGCATAAGCGACTCGACATCCAAACTCGTGTTTTATTGAGCTATGCTTTGCTCCTTGCCCTTTTGCCGTGGCGTCAGGAACCCGAGCAGCCAGGGCTTGAAGCAATCGACCCGGCCTCGAAGAATTCTTACTCCAACAAGCATAATGAAGATCGGAATCTCAGCCTGGTTACACCTCTGAAAGCCCTGTGTCCATTATGATGTAATTGCCATATTGGAGGGGTTTTCAAAGGAAATCTTTTTCTCTGGTGTAGAAGCTGATACAACGTCTCCTCGAACAGGCCGGGACGGCACTCTCTTGTCATCCACAATGAAGAACCAAGTTCATCATCAGCAAAAAGGCCTAAGGTTTTCCGGACCTGTCTCAGGTACCTTACATGTTCCAATAATAGGGCATGTGGTATCTCAGCCACCAGTGTAAACAGGAATATTTATAGCACCTATCCAGCCAAGACATGCCTGCACCGCGTTGAGGAATTCAGCACATAATTACAGGGCTTGTCAATGAGGCTACAGGGTAGAGCCGAAGCTCCATGTGTTGTTCCAATGTTACGAATGCTCTCAAATTTGTTTCGCTGAGTAATGATGATGTTCAGCTCTCTACCGGACTGGTGGGCAATTCCGAATCCTGGCGGTGTCTAAACTGCATGCTATTGGATGCCATCTCGCTCATTTCTAAAATCTATTCCTCTTCGTAAAGCCTCTTCTGAGCTTCCCTGAAATTGAGCTTTAGCCCCTGAAAGTCGGCCACCGACCCGATGTTCCTAAATATCACATCCCTCCGCACCGTCCACACATGCTAATAGTTGATGTACTAGAGGCCAGGTGCGGTTCCGCAAATTTAATATTATACGGCCCTTTGCACACTATAAGGATAGTATTAATTTTGCCTAGCCTTTAAATTGCCAGGCAAGGGGGTTATAATTATATTATTAATTAAAGGGGCCTTTAAGGAATTATATTAAGAAATAAGCATAATTAAGGAATAACTTATTATTATATAAAAGGTTATTTAAAAGTAAATAAAGCATTAAAAGGTTAAAAAATAAATAAAGTAAATAAAGTAAATAAAGTAAATAAAGTAAATAAAGTAAATAAAGTAAATAAAGTAAATAAAGTAAATAAAGTAAATAAAGTAAATAAAATAAATAAAGTAAATAAAGTAAATAAAGTAAATAAAGTAAATAAAGTAAATAAAGTAAATAAAGTAAATAAAGTAAATAAAGTAAATAAAGTAATAAAGTAAATAAAGTAAATAAAGTAAATAAAGTAAATAAAGTAAAATTATAATTATATATATATATAACTTTTTTTAAAAATAATTTTAACTTTATAAAATATTTAATTTAATTTTAATTTATATTATATAAAATATATATTTATTTAATAACTTTATAATAATATAATTTTTATAAAGTTAAAGTTATAAAAAAGGTTATATATAATATTATATAAAATATTAAAATTTTAAAGCTTATAAATATATATATATATATATATAAATTTTTAACTTTTATTTATAAAAAGTTATAATAACTTTAATTTTATAAAAAATATATTATTTTATAAAGAAAATAATTTATATAATAATATATAATATAAAATAAAGTTAAAAATTATTAATAAAAGTTATATAAATTTATATATTTATATATAAAAACTTTTTATAATTTTAAAATAAAATAAATAAAGTTATTATAATTTAAGCTTTATTTATTATAATTAATTAATAAGCTTTAATCTTATAAAAATAAGCTTTAATATAAATATAAATAAAAAGCAAACTTTTTTCTTTATACTTTAAATATAAATCTTATTTAAGTATTTTTTAATAAATAACCTTAAGTTAATTTATAATATATATTTAAAATCCTTTTATATTATAAACTTATAATATAATTATATAAAACTTAATATAATAAGATTTAAAAAAAATAATAATAACTTATTAAGGTTTTTTTTATTTTAAAAAACTTTTATTTTAAGAATATTTAATAATTTAATTAATAAAAATAAAGATTAAGTTTATAATAAATAAAGAAATAATTAATATTAAAAAAGCTTAATTTTTTTATATATTTAATTATTTAAAAACTTTTTATAATTAATTTTTATTTTATATTAATTTTATAAAGATATTTAAGGGGCAGTTAAAAAGCTTTTTAAAGAATATA